GAATTGATATTGAGTAATTTATATAATGTTGGATTGGAGAATGTGGAAATGAATTTTGTTCAAGCTCCTTTTTACAAAATTCAAAATTCTAGAGTGAAGAATTGTTTGGTCAATCCAACTTTTGCACTCAGTGTGTCAAATTCAGTTCTTTCGGATGTGGAGGTTTATGCTTCAATTACTGTTCATATTCACAATTCCCAATTAATTTATGTAGGATTAACGATTGAATCGGCTGACATTGTAGAGATTGTAAATACATCAATGGTTGTGGAAGCACACAACAAGTTTGATATCAATAACGTCCAATTATTTAACATGTCCCGAGTTGAATTTTCTATTGGATTGCATTGGAAAATGAATTTGAGATCCATTCAACAATTTAACTTTATTGATTCATATATTGGCTTTTCTGAACATGCCGTTTCTACAGATTATTTCGTATTTGATTTAGAAATTGTTTTTACTGTTAATTTGAAGGGATTGAAAGTGAAAGATATGGGAGGAAATGCATTTACTATTCGATATTCATCATCTATTTCATTGAAAGATTTAGAAATGGTAGAAAATCGTTGTGGAGTTGGACAAAAAAGCTTGATTCATATTAGTCATGCTTCCAGTGTCGAATTGTTAAATAGTAATTTCAAAGATAATGGATGTAGTGCAATATTTGTAGAAAATGTAAAGTCGTTATCTTGTGGATCATCTACTTTTATCAATAATGGTAAAACAACCAATGGCGGAGCCATATCTGGGACTGGAATCCAAATCTTGGATATTGTGAGCTCTTCTTTTATTGCTAATAAGGCAATTGGTGGAAGTGGAGGAGCTCTTTATTTTAATAATATAGGAGTAGGAGGCATTCACAAGTGCCTCTTGGAGAAAAATAGGGCAAGTGTATCAGGAGGAGCTCTCTTCTATCGTGGTGGCACAGAATATGTGAGTGGCCTAATAATTAATGAATGTATATTTATAGAGAACTCGTTGGATTCAATGAGTAATAGTACAATTTCAACAGAGTTCGTAGATTGCAAAGGAACTGGCGGCGCATTTTCAGTGAAACAACTTGGTTTCTTGGGATCAACTGTTATTAGTGGAAACAGAGCTACTTGGGGTGGAGGTGGTTTTTATTTCTCAACTTCTTTCCATGTTGAGAATACCACTATCATAGATAATATTGCATCCTTTGCTGGAGCTGGCTTATTTGTCACATCCCATGTTGACACTTTGAACTTTCTCAATAATATTACCATACATGGCAATCAGGCATCGGTTTATGGAAATAGCTTTGCAAGCCCCATCAAATCAATCTTAGATTTCGAAATTACTTTTTTTGACATTGATGGTAAAATTAGTAGTGTCGTGAAAAACCCAAAGAGCATTCAAGTTTTCTTTGGACAGAGAATGGATTTAAAATTTTTACAAATGGCCGATGTTTTGGGAAACGAATTTGCACTCATGCAAGAGAGAATTCAAATATTTGATTTCTTTTATGATTTTGAAATTACGAAATTTGCCCTTCCTAATGGCATTGGACTGCAAATAAGAAAACGTTTTCGCGATATTCCTCACAGAAATAGTCTTACACTTTCACTAATTACAGAAAGTCTATCGATTGATTTGGTATTTAGAGATTGTCCGAGTGGATATGAACTTGGAGAGAGTGAATGTGTGAAGAGTTTTCCAACAGCAATGGTAGTGAGCTTATCAATTTTAGGATTATTAATTGCAGTAATAGTGGGTGGTGTCTTTGGATTTTTGTTCTCAAAGATTGTAAAGAAAATTTCGTACATGAGAGCGAGAGTTTCGATATTGACCAAGAGAGAACAAGCTGATGAAGATATTGGACGTAAGCTTCTTGAGAGTCCATTTCAATCATATGGAGAGGAGGTCCATACAAGAGATTCCATGTCTCTGAGTGCTGACTTTTCTGTAAATAACACTCCAAGAACCAAGCTCAAGAAAATTTCCAAATTTATTATTAATTCTGAGGATTTAACATTTAGCAAAAAGATTGCTGAAGGCGGATTTGGATCAGTGTATTTAGCTAAATGGAATGTCTCTACAGATGTTGCTGTCAAATCATTTCATCAAAATTCAGAAAATACAGATGAGGAAGAATTTGAAAAAGAAGTTGCACTTTTGGTCAACTTGAGAAATCCTCACATTGTGTCCTTTTATGGAATTTGCATAACAGAGACTAAGAAATTCATGGTTGTTGAATATATGGACAAGGGAAGTCTTGACAAAATTATCTACGAGTCAAAGTGTGGAAGGGAGAATATTTCCTTTAAACAAAAATTAAGAATTCTCATTGATGTCGCAAGGTATGTTTCAAATTTTTGATGGATTCTAATATAATTAATGGAACGACAAATAGTGGAATGAAATATCTACACGGACTCAATCCAGTAATTATTCACAGGTAAGTTTATAGTTCCTAAAATATATTTATTAACCAACTCTGAAAATTAGAGATTTAAAACCTGCAAATATTCTCATCAATTCTTCTGGAAAGGCAAAAGTTTGTGATTTTGGACTTTCAAAAACCATTAATAATGGATCAAGACATTCTCTCTACACTGCTACAGTCGGAACTTTGCTCTATATGAGTCCAGAAATGATTAACTCTGACATGAAAAAACAGAGTGATCTCTTGCATAAGATTGATGTCTATTCATTTGCAATTGTAATGTTTGAATTATTCTTTGAGGAAAATCCATTTTTAAATGAGGAATCGAGAAAGATTCATTATTTCTCTCCTCCATTAGAAAATGAGAGAGTCAATGCTTTTAATATTATTTTCAAGGTTTCTAATGATGGACTTCGACCTAAAATTCCTTTTACAACACGAATTCAATTGAGTGAGTGGATGAATAGTTTTATGAGGGATTCAGATAGAAACTATTTCACAACCGATGGACCAAATGAAAAACTGCTCAAATCAGTCGAGTTCTTTATTGAATTGATGAAGCAAACATGGGACCAAGAGCCATCCAATAGACCCAACTTTACACAAATCCTATCTCAATTATTGACCATCAATGAACTGCTGTCTTAATGAGAGTTGAATTTTTGTTGGAAAATTGATGAGAAATTTGATTTTATTTACAATACAATACCCTAATGATGTTAATTGCTTTATTCACTTGTATATTTGGATCCTTCATAACTAATGTCATTGATCCAATGGCAATAAGCCTTAGGATGAAATTCTTATAATGAAAGATGTCTTTTTTTTGAGTGTTGAGCACAATATTTTGATTATCTCAAGAGAAAATTCAAAAGAAAATGAAACTCCCAATAAACACCAAGATAATCATGATAATTACGTCACAACATCCCATTGTAATGCGTTTTATGGAACATTGATCGAACATGGTGCCAATTTCCTTCACAAAATCAAAACATAAAAAAATCCAAATCATCAAGAGGGAGAAGAATGAACGGTCCTTTCGGGTTGGATATTACCAGTGCTAGTAATTTGTTGGAGATGATTCATGATCGTGTGGGAGAGGCTATTTTAACCCCGATCAAAGGTTTGTTTTTTTGAATGTGTTGTTAGATTGCTAATGAAGATTATTATATATGAACATATTAATGTGTGATTCCTATCATTCCATCCGATCATGTTATTATGTTGTTAATATATGAATATTATTAAATGATCATAATATAGAAACAATTCCACAATATCACAAGGATAAATCAAAATATACTAATTATGCCCAAGCCTATTGGAATAATGGAATGGCTAAATTTCCAAAAGTTGAGGTTTGTTTTTCCTTGTGATTTTGTAATAATTTTGATCAAATTTAATATCACACAACTGATGATGGTTGTAGAATCTTGATCCGAAGGTTTATTCATCCTCTGTTGATTTTGAAGCTGCTGAAGGTGAGAAAATGACACCTTTGAGTAAGATCTGGACTGATGCAGATAGAAAGAAGAGTGAAGGTTTGTTATCTCTTTATGAACTACAATGATTAATAATTGAATTAATAGAAAAAACTATTGTTGAAAAAAGCGCTGATGAGTCATCTGAGAAATTGGAAGAATTATGTGAACTTATTAGAGAACATTTTGATTTCGAGTTGAAATTCCATATTATTACCATGATTCCAACATCTAGCAAACTTCCATTCGAAAGAGAATCTAGTACCATATTCCAGTTTAAAAAGTATTTTTCCAATACTCCAAATAACTTTTGTACTGAAACCATTGATTCAGTATTTGTAACATATCACAAGTATCGTGCAATTTCAAAGACATTTAACACAAGAATGCAAGAATATTTAATGAATGAATGCGATTCTTTGAATATTGCTTCCATTTTCATTCGTTTCTATTCACCAAGAACTAATGCATTTGAACCAGAAAATAATATTGACCTCTTCTTGTCAAAATATGCTCACTTGCTCTGTTTTATCAATGCTAAAAAGAGGTACCACTCCAAAAAGTTGGATCACTTTGAAGATGAAGGCATCTACAAAAATTGCCCAAAGGTTTATGGATGCTTGAAATCCAATTGGAGTGAAATGTTCCTTTTGAAAACAGATACCGAAACTGGAACTTTTACCATTGGAGGTTCTATTCCATCCTATAGACTCAATTATTATAACAATAACGTGGATGATTTAGATATTGAAGTTGATGAAGAAACCAAGAAGGAAGCTAAAACTGACGAAAAGTTAGAAAAAGAAGAAACGCTTGAAGTTGATGTAGAAGAGGATACTTTCCTTCAAGTTGACAAAAAAGAAAGTCAAGATGAAGAAGCACAAGATGAAGAAACTACTGAAGCAGATTTAGTTGATGAACTCAATCAACAAACTATGAATAATAATTATATGATTTCCAACTTTTCACGTCTGGTCACCCAATCAAGCAAGAAGGACAAGATCAAAAAACGTCCAAAAGGAGCCGATATAGTTCTAGAACGTAAGTATTTTAAGTCGCTATCATAATCTAAACTACCATTAACAGTTGACACTACAGAAATTGGGTTGGATTTGTTGAATGATAACTTTGACAATATGGAACCATCTGAACTTTACAAAAAATACTTCCCAGAGGGTATTCCAAGAATGAATCACGAGTTTATTTTGACTCCTCACACTCTAGCATACTCTCCTGTTTACACATACGAAACTTATCTTTGCGCTTTGGTTCGTTTGTCCCTTAGGAAAGCCCTTCCTGATCTGTTCAGTGAATGGCATGAGGAAACTTACAAGTTATTCAAGTCCATCAGCTTAATCAATTTCCAAAGTTATAACTTCTTGAACAATATATTGTTACATATCTTGTTGGAGAATGGTAAGACAATTCCAAAGATTGTTGATCCTAGCTTGGTTAAAGGTACTGTATGTGGTAGTCATATTGAGGAGATTACCTTTGTTAACTTTGTACTCGATAATCTTTCATTTGTTTTCTCAAATGATAGATCCTTCTATCCTAATGCTGGAAAACTTGATGGGCTTTCAAAGGATCCTTTGGCCATTAAATCATATTTCGATTTCGAAGAGTTGCAAGAATTTGATAGTGTTAGTAAGAATCTCCTCAGATCCTGCTTTGCTAACAATGTTAAAAAGGTCAAGTTAGCCCCATATGGTGATTATGTATATTCTCTTGGTACTGAAATTGGATATCTTGCTACACTCTTCCCAAATATGAAGGAAATCAGTTTTTTGGGAAAAACAAGAGAAAATTCAGATTCCAATACCCAGATGACCAACGTTTATACCAGTACAACAGCTGATATTGAGTCAGCCAAGGATGTTTTGAAGAAGTTTTATGACAAGTTCTATTTCTTATTTGAAGGTAAACCTCAAAAGGTAGTAGATACTTTAAAAGATGGCTTTACAAATAATGACGATGATAATCAAGAAACCCCTGCCGATATTACTGGTGCTCTAACTGTTCGTCCAATGCTCGATAGAGAAGACGAAAAGAGATTGGTTATCAGAGCCATTCTTGTTGCCCAACTTGACAAGGACTTGATAGGACCAATAACTGCAATGACTGAACAAAGATTAGAATTCCTACCATTGATCAATCAATTATTGACCCAATCCCCTGGATTATCCATCATTAAGAAGAAGGAAATTATTGATTATTGCATCAAATCCAAAATTCCTTATTCTGCTATAGATACCTACAACTACGAACACATAGAAGAAAAGAGAGTTATTGAAGAATATCTCATCTATCATAACAACAAGTCTGAAGAAAGCCTTCTCCACCCAGATTCTATCATTTATGATGGTAGCTTCCACTGGTGTCACGTCTTGTTATACTTTGGTATGAATATCTTCAAGAATCCTCACGTCTTTGAAGAGTTCATGTTCTCAGTCATGGTTGGTAAATGTAGTAAGATCAATGGATACTATCTTGACAAGACCATCCTTTTAGATCTTTATATGGCCAAATTATTCTATGAAAATGGATCAATTGAACTATTAGCACAGAGTCTGTCTCAAATTTCAGATTTCCAAGGCCTTGATAATTTGGAAGAAACCTTGAAGAAAGTGGAAGCTGACTCAAACTGCACAGAAGAGCTTTCTACAGATCAAAAAGTTAGAGCCTTGCAAGTCTTCTTTAGATACTTTACTAAACCAAAGTCACATCCTGATTATGAAAAGCAAAAGGTTCAAATCACTACCGACAAGCTTATTGCCATGTTAACTTCAAGCTATGATGATATCAGACTGATCGATAATCTTGTAACTTTGTGTACTTGTTTAGGAAAGTTCAGAGAAGTATTTGGAGGAATCACTTACATGCAATCCGCCAAATCTACCCCTGATCCATATTCAGAAGATTTCTCCAAAACTTATTGCAACTTTTTGGATTCTACTGATGAAGTCAAATTTAATAGACAAGCTACTCTCGTTCAAATGATTTACAATGGTCAAATCTCTGATTTAAATCAAACTGTTCCAGCATTTGAACTTGATCAAAAGGCTATGTTATTTGAATCTCCAAGAATTATTGAGACAAGCATTTTGAATTTATTGATGGCAAGCATGGTGAGATCAGTTCCATTCGTCCTTACCTTGATTGAAAATATGTCACCTGAAGATCTCTTGTACAGAGATGATAATGGATATACTTGCCTCACAATTTTGGCCAGCCAACGTACTGGTATACCTACAGAAATCATAACAGCAGTTCTCGACAAACAACCAAAGCTTATCAATATTCCAACACTCCGTTTAATGACTCCATTACATCTTGCCTGTTTGGATCCATCAAATATTGGACTTGCCAAACTTTTGGTCACAAAGTATGGAGCTGATGTTAATGCAATTAATGCCTTTGGTCTTACTCCATACGAAATTGCTTCCATTATGTATTTGAAAGATTTATTCCCAAGTAGAAGTGTCTTGTCAAGCTTTTTGAAGAAAAATTATGATAACATGTCTTGGTTAAAGCCAACGACCAATTTGAGCAAGAAGGAAATTCTCAAACAAATGATTGCAAATAGAAATTACTAAATTCTATTATATACTTTTGATTTGTGTATGAAATGTTATTATGGGAGACTTTAGAAAAATTGAGTTAAATAATAGAAGCTTGTTTAAAACTCATTTTTTAGCGAATAATTTTGGAATATTAAATAAACTGAATTGCTCTAGCCTTTTTAGAATGTTGCTGGGCCTTGTGCAGCTTGTTGGTTGAAAGTAATCATGATACCAAGAGCCATCCAATAGACCCAACTTTACACAAATCCTATCTCAATTATTGGCCCACAATAAACTGCTTTCTTAATGAGAGTTGAATTTTTGTTGGAAAATTGATGAGAAATTTGCAATAATTTCAATCATATTTTTGTAAACTTTTTGCCTCCTCTATTAGAATATCCAGCAAATTCTGTTTAGTTTTGAATGTTCTGAAATAAACCTCCTCTAAAATTTTACCTGTTGAAAACTCACTTTCATCATCTTCAGTTACAATAATTGATACATTCTTGAAATCAGAAAATAAACTTCTCACTCCCAAAACAAAACAATTCTTCATTACAATAACTATTGGAAAGTCAACTGATACAGAAATATCTTTAAAATCCATAGGATATTGTAGCACTATATTACTACCCACACGATTATCCACTGGATAATTTACAATCACAAAACAATCAAATCTATTTTCCATGGTGGAAATGAGACGGAAACAAGTTGTCTCATTAGTTGGTTCCATGCATACAAATGAAACGTTTCCAATTTGATTAATCTTTTTCTTAATGGACCCTACAATTGATTTAAATCTGCCACCTGATAGCTTTTTCAATAAAGTTGTCTTTCCATTTCCTAAATAAATTTCCAAATTTTTAATAAAAATTGAAATATTATATAATTTAATATTTACCAAGAAATAATACTTTTAAATTATCGCTTGATGAAGATAATTTTCCAATTTTTCTCATCAATCCAGTAATGTATTTCCTCATCAAATGTTTCTTCCGAATTGGCTCTAGAATTTCCTCCTCAAATTCATCACCACACAATTCGACTAGATTTTCGATCAGTGCAGAGGGAAAACTCTTGCAGAATAAACTCCACATTAAATCATTAAATAATTCAATAATTTCCTCCGATGATCGAAAAGTAGTACAAACTTGTTGCATTTGACAAATTTGTTGAAGCGACTGTCTTGCCTCAATAAGCGAATTATAGAGAGTCTTCTTGCTCTCCCTCAAATTAAAGAGAAAACTGAAAATTTCTTGCAACAATTCCGTTGGTAGATCATAGAGTTTCATTTTTTTAAGGTTGGAAAATATTGAAGAGAGCTATAGCTCTGAATGGCTGTTTGTTAATATATTTCTGATTGAGGGAGTTTTAGTAGAATATTTCATGAATTTATTAAAATTCAAATACTTCCTTGTGGAGATGGAATCTAGTACCTCCACCATTCACATCGAAAATTGCATTTTGTACAGTGGAAATTAATTGAGTTGGTCCACAGACGAATACTCCAACATAGGAATCATTGGTATTACTCTTCACCTTTTCCAGTAATTGTTTAACGTCCATTCTTGACATTTTAATGTCACTGTGAGAATGAGAACCCATCTCAGTGTCCTTTCCAGTGAGGAAAAGTTCCTTTTCGATAGATGAATTATTCTTAATCGTTGGGAATAAATCCAACATTGAGGGATGTCTGAATGACCACCACAAGTGAATCTTCTTTGACTTGTCTTCTCCTCTCTGAACTAGACCATCGAGGAGTGAATGAACAAATGTAATACCAATACCACCACTAATTAAGATGACGGTTTGATAATGTTGAATAGGAATGGAGAGATTTCCAAATGCTCCCTCAACTCTGGCAAATAGACGACTAACATCTGGATTGGATTTGGCAAGATTGGCCAACTTGTTTCCATAACCCTTACCATGATGATTCTTGACATGGCATGTAAATTCATAGGTTCCCTTCTTATCCAATTCCTTGTAACTACTCACAGTAAATGGATGATATTCGAAAGGAGAAACTGAAGGCAAATAAACAAAAATAAATGAACCCTTTCCAGGTTTTCCTCCAATATTAAGGAAGGTCAAAAATCTCTTCTGGAAAGTAACGGTTGTTACACTACAATCCTCATTATAACTAATACCAACAACCTTTGTTGGAATTCCAAAGCCAAATACCCATCTGAATAGCAAATCAATCAAATACAAGAGAATACTTGCAGCCATATAAGGGAGTAATGTAATCCATCCTCTACCGTGTGCAATGGATAATCCAATCACTAGAACAGCAAGAATAATATGTGAACCATAGAAAAGTTCCCACAACTTTCTTCTAATTGGCTCAAAAGTTCCCATCACTAGAATACTCAATAAAATCCAAGAAATAAAACCCAAGAGAGGATAATTAATTGTTGACATTGACCACAAATAGGCAGCATTATTGATCATTGCATTTTCAATCAACATGGCAAGGAAGTGAACAGTAACAAAGAAGTGAGTTGATCTTCCCAACCATTTGTGGAATTTGATAGCTCTCTCAAATGAAATACCGAACAGGGCAAGTAAAACTGAATATCTACTCAAAGGGAATAGTATCAAACTAAAATTCCAAACATTCACATAAGCAAAAGCTCTTCCAGCTGGGAATGAGCTTGCCGAAATACCTCCATAAACTGCCCAAGCAGCTAGAATGAGCCAATATGATGACACGATTAAAACTTCTCCAATGGTCAAGTCAGCCAATGAATTAATCATTCCTCCCAAGTATTTGTTTGTCGAAACTTTGCAAAATCTTCTATATAAAATCAAATCTGTCAGTAGATTTGGTTTAACCAAAACTGGAATAAATGTAAAGACAATGCCCAATGAAAGTACAATCACAAACATGATTCCCGTAACAATCAGATGGAAATTATAGAGATTATTTGTAGTGCCTGTTGTGGTGCCTCCACTTGATGAATTTGTAGCAATCAAGAGCAAATTGGTCGTGAACTTTCCAGTCTTATCGTGATATGATTGGAAATCATTGGAAGATAAAGAGTAGGCATAACTGAACCTCATAGTTTCGTTTCTAATAATTTTGTCTCTTGAACTATCTCCAGTATTCAAGTATCTTCTGAAAATCACATGAAGATCACTTCCACTCACTCCACCATCTTTGAAAATCAAATTGTCAATAGTATCTTGAATAGGAGCTGATCGTGAATTTGTAGCCAAGTACATATCTTTGATATCAATTGATCCAGTATATCTAAACATCATCATCATACGGATAATAAAAGTTTCATCATCAAATTATAAATAATGTGAAATATTTCGTACAAACCTTGCCATCACTGTATCAACATTTGACATACCACTCGAAACGTCGTGATCTATTCCTAAACCAACCCATCCACTGGCACATCCAGTAGCAATGATTGCAATTTCAATAATGGAATTGGTGCCATTTCCTGCCAATAATCTCCAATACATTTTAAACCCATCACTCGTAGAAATTACATTTGCACTTGGATAAGTATTTGAGTTAACTAGAGTCGCCACAGTTGACTGTGTGTAAAAACCAGCTATCACCAACAGTGAAAGAATTAGCAGTAACAGAAATCCCTTTCTAAACATTTTGTATCAACTAATAACAATTCAAGTCAACTAGACAACGATAATGATTGTTACTTTTTTTTGAAAAGAGAATCCCACAGACTACAACATTTGTATGTTGATTTGTGACTTGATAGGGTACTAGAGGAGGAAGCACTATCTAAACAATCACGATCGGGTTACCTTCATACTTCATGAAATTTAACTCAATTTCATTTTGAATACTTTCCAATAAGAGAGGTGTTCCATATGCGTGGACTTTCCTCACAGAGAATGTTGATGAAAAGGATATTAAGGAATTGAAAATAGTCGTGTTGGAGAGGAAGTGGTTTCTATTTTGTAACAAGATAGTGTCGTAGGTGTTGTTCGTTGGTGGGTAACTTGGATAATAATAAGTATTGGGAAATGACCATACATGATGGTAAAAGTTTTCCTTTTTGTTTCCGTATATGAGGAGAAATTCCAATCTCATTCATCAGCTGATGATTGTTCTTGAAATTTGTTTCCATGGAAACTCAATCTTTACAATTGTTCTCTCACTACAGATTATTAAATAGAATTTAGGATTATATTGTAGGTTGCTAAACATTTCAAAATTAGTCTCAAATTAAACATTATCTTTTTCTTCACACCATCAAGGAAACAATTATTCTGTTCAATATCGTACTTGAGTTCATTCCCGAAATTGTTGCCTTGAAGTTTTTGCTCATCACCATCAGCAATTTGATTATTTAATATTTTTAAAAATAAAACAAAAAATTTGAAAAAATTCATCATCACACACAAAATGAACAATACTCCCATTGATGTTCAATCCTTTACTCAATTACATACTAGGCTAGAGAATTATTATTCTTTAGGAAAGGGACAAGGATTGGAAATGATTCCGTTCATGGATCGTTTAAATCCATTGTTGGCATCTGATAAGAGAATAACTAGAATTGAATGTTTAAAAATTTTGAATAGAGATTATCATAAATTGTTAACTTGTAATGATCATGATTTTTGGGTGCTCATGTTGAATGATACCTCTCTCAAGAGAAGCTTAGAAAGTGTATTTAGATTGTTTCCGAGACCTTTTGATATTGGATTTAATCAAATCAATGAAAATTGTCCAAGGAATGAACAACGTGAGGAAATCAAAATATATAGACGTCTCTTCATGATTTACTATAGATTATTTATGAACTTTAATTTACATGGAAAGGGAAATATTGACATTTCACATCCAACAGACTTGAATAATGTAAATCGTGAAGAATGGTTAGATGCTGGGTTTGTCATTTGTGAAAAGCATTTACTAGATGTTGGTAAAATATTTGATCTCTCTTCACTTTATGGATATCCTAATTCAATGCTTACCACCGAGTTACTTTCCAGAATTTTCCTCTCTTCACCAAATTATATGCACGAACTCAATGAACATGTTTTGAATAGTATTTGTGTTACGTGGAGAGATTTGTTTGATGCCTCAAACAAGGTGACTTCAAACTCAAAATCTGATTGTCATCAAATTAGAAAGTTAATTTACTATTTATACGATTCTACATTTACCATAAGATCCCTCCTTGATGTTTTCCCACTGGCGTCCTATGCTTTCATGGTTGACACTAGAGAAACCAAAACTCCTGTCAATTATCAATTCCCTAATCTTTTGATGGAATGTCACGATAAGATTATACCCCAACTTTTGAGTATTATTGGTGATGACCCTGATTATAGATTTGTATGCAGACAAGTCAAACTTAATATTGTTTCTATTCTTCATGTTTTGTTTAGAGAATACTATATGAGAAATATTGAAGATTTAATTACTGGAGAAACTCATTCAAATAGATCAACAACAAGTCATATGGAAACATTGTACACTAGATATTTTGAATCATCATTCAAGAAGGAACAAATTCCAAAATCTAAACTCGAACTCTTGTGTAAATTTACTCTTGACAAGCAACTTACAAGACAAGCAACAGGAATTGTTTTGGAATTATTGGACATTTTACAAGGATTTTTCAAATTCCAAGCTAAGGATCAAACTAAATTCAACTATGTAATCTATCAATATGACAAGTTATATGGTTTAGGAAAGTGGTTAGAACAAGTTATTTTGGGAAATGCTTTACTGAGTAGTGTCTCTTCTGTCTATAATATTTCAACAACTATTTTCACTAAATTATCTGAAAATGCTCAAACAGAGGGATCAACCAACAGTGAAGATGAACCAGCTCTAACAGAAATGCTCAAACAACTCAAATCATTCTTCCCAGATTATGGAAATGGATTCTTACAAGCATGTCTCGATCATTTCAATAATGATATTACCAACACTACAAATGCCCTCATGGATAATCAATTGCCATTGCACTTGAAGAAGATGGACAACAAATTGTCACTCAAATCCTATAAGGCTCCAACAAATACTGGAAGTAAGCCACCTTCATCTCTTCTCAATACTGGCTCAACAAGTGGATCATCATCATCCTCTTACGAACCTGCCTCACCAATTGTTTCACCAACTGTCTGGATGGATACTGACTTTTTCGCATCGGTCAGAATTGGTAAAAAGAAGGACAATAGAACCAACTTTAATGAAACAGACGAAACTATCAAGCAACGTATTCTCCTCGAATATGCCTACGATGATGAATATGATGATTCATATGATAGTGTGATGGCTGTCACAACTGAAGGTGAACATGAAGACGAAAACTTTAACAAGATTAAGGTTCCAAAGGCTTACAATAGTAATCCAAATCATCAACACCACCATGGTGAAGAAAAGCCACAAACAATAGAGAATAAGCCTCCTCAACAACAACAGCAACAACAAGAGAATAAGCAGCAACAAGGCAATAAGCAACAAGGTAATCCAAATAGAAACAAACATCACCAACAACAATCAAACAACAATAATCAATCTGCCTCAACTCCAAATACTTCTCAATCCTCCTCAAATAATGCTAACGCTGCTGGTATCGAATCCAATTCCAAACCTCAAAGAAATCAAAACAACAATAACAACAGAGGAGGATCAACAGCTAATAGAGGAAAGAGAGGTGGAGGCTATCATCAAGTGAGCACTCATCAACAATCCAAACAACAATCTGCAGATACATCCAACCAAGGTTCAAATGATGCCTCGAAGCAAGTAAGCAAACAACCAACTGCTACTGCCACTAACAAGGTTGTTACCAACAGTGCTACAACTAGTCAAGATAACAACAGTGATACTACTTCCTCACCAAATGAACAACAACGTGGCGGAAACAACAATAACTTCAAACAAAAAGGAGAAAACAAGGCCAAAAGTGCTAATCACGATAGAAGAAAGAAGGCAGATAAGAAGAGAATGGTTTTAAATTTACAATAAAATTGTCTTTTCAAAAAACCTAATAGTGGCGCCTTTAATTTAAAAATCCCTAATTTAAAGTTACAATTTTAAAAAATGTTATTTCATTCGGATGATGATGATAATATTTTAATTTAGAGACCCTTCTTCTTGGCATCTTGAATTTGCTTACACATAGCAGCACAGTCCTTATCGAAGAGACCACAATCGAGACAATCACTCTTCCAAGCGTACAACTTTGGTCTCAACTTGGCGAAAACTGGTTTACCATCGAAAACGTAGACGGTTCTAATATCGTCGTGTTCAGCCTTCCAGACCCAGAGAGGACCAAGAACACAAGCAACAAGACCTAAAGCGAAAGCTTGCATCTTAGCACCCTTGTATGTCTTCCAAGCACCCTTGTAGTCATAGACTGGATTTGTGTGGAGGGATCTAGAAGTGTTAGAAGAAGTTTGAATAACGCTTTGGGCAGTCTTCTTAGCGAATCTGTTCAACATTTTTTTATTTAATTAAAACAAAATTGTATGGCCCCAAAAATAGGCAAATATGGGCAGAGTCAACCACCACTGTTACAAAGCACATAAAAGGCGCCTTTCTAAGTTGAATAAAGATGATAGAATTCACTCTCCAATAAAACAAAACACACAACAACAATAAGAATATGTAGAAAATATTAACTAAAAGATGAAGATTTAAAGATGGAATATTATTAATATGAAATTTTGCCGACAATATTTTGATGGTAGAATTAAATACTCCTGACGAAAGAATTTTTCAAAAGCTTTTTGAACAATAGAAGAGTTTAATTATCCAAGTGAATACCATCAAAAGAGTGTTCATCTTGAACGACTGGCACGGAAATTCTATCTACAATACACTCGACTGGTAATAATCCATAGAGATGAGGAAAATAATTACTTCTTGCAGGAACCCAATCGTAGGCAATCTTCTCAACAACAGTTGAACTTGAAACTCTAGCTTCCAAACTCTTGATATCAATCTTTAATATTATCAAATCCTTTACAGAGTGCATATACAATTTGCAACTCTTTTCAACTTCGGAAGCAATGGACATGTGAAGAAAGCCATCCCTCTTATCACCATTGAAATATTGACCGTTGTGTTCTTGTACATCTTTCAAATAGGCACTCTCCGATACGAGATGATAAACAAAATTCAAGGAAGGAATTGGAGGAAGAGAATCAGTCATGTTCTAAAGATATCTGTTTTTTTAACTTGTTACAAATATTTGTTATTTAAACTATTAAAATTAAGATTGCTTATTAGAACAACAATAAAAAACAAGAATTAGAACTCTATTTTAGAAGGAACACAATAACAGAACAAAACGAAAACCTTACAATTTATTAAAAATCAAAAAATGTCTTTACGTTCTTTGGGCAATGATGATCAGCACCACCATGCCGAAGAAGAGGAACAATTAAACGATGACGGAACGACAAATCTAATTGTACATAGAAGCAACACTCGTCACCACAGTAGTAATCATAACAACAATCGTAGTATTGCTAATAACAATGGAGAATTTAGTTTGGGAAATGTATTTAACGGTTTGATTGAATTGATATCGGGAAAGAGAATGATGACTTCTCCTCGTGGTAATGCCTTTGATGAACAATTATCAAGTGATGAAATGGATGAATTATTGGAAACAAATGATGATGAGGCAACACAAGTTTCTTCTTCGAGAGCTATTGGTGTTTTCAATCATCATGTCTTGTACTCAATTTATGGATTCAATGTAAATCCTGATAGAACTTCTGAATATAGTGTACCTTCTCAATGGGAGCAAATACCTAGAGATGTTCTCCTTATTGTATTTTCATTCTTGCCTTATGAATCTCTGATCATGTCCATTTCTCAAGTCTCAAAGGAGTGGCTATTCCTCTCTCAACAGAATATTTTGTGGGAGAAATTCTTTCTTAAACAATTGTTTCCATCAAAACATTCCAAATTCATCTTTTCCTCATTCCAAGGTTCGAAATACTTACCAGAGATTGATAAAAAGGAGAATTTATTAGAATCCCTTCAGAGTAGATTTTACATTCCACTCTTTGATCCAAATCCTAATAATAATGATAGTACAAGATTTGAGGGTGAGGTTGAGGATGAAAAGAGAAAGGAAATTAAAATTAGAATCGAGGGAGAAATTGAGGAAGAGTTGGAGGATAAATTCAAACAAAATCACTATAATTTGAGGAATATTTTGGGAGATAAGGCAGTTAGTAGTATTGGTACAAGTGAAATTAATAGATATGAAAGAGAGTTTTACACTCTTTTACATGCACCATATATTTGCTCATTCTACAAGCTTTGCTTCCAAAAATTGAACAATTTTGTTTCAACAGCAACCAAACAATTAGAAACTCATAACAAGGGAAGAGAAAAATTGGAAAACATGTATGAAATGTGTCACAATACTCAATATTATTTCACATTCTTTTTGGGAGTGCCAATTTCCACAGCCTCTGCCACTCTCTGTCTCATATTACAACTAATCAAAATGAATTTCGACATGTTTTCCGTATCAATGGACGATCCTAACGCAATCGATGGATACTGGATATTACCTTTTGCATTTTTATATCCACCACTGTTTTGTGGTATTATTGTATTATTTCAACAATTTACAAAGGCCTATTTGAGATTTAAACTCAAATCAAGACAAACTGTTCAAGGAGTATTGGTCATCCTTATTGGATTAATTTTCATATTTGGCTTGACTGGATTCTTCTTTATGGTTAATCTTTCCTGTATATTCCCATTATCTGCCAAATATTTGATGGATGATACTCCTGGCATTGAGAATATCAAATTCTATGCTTTTAAGAGAATTGTAAATAACTATTCCTTTATAATGTCACCTTTCCTAATTGCTTTCATTCTAATTACAGTAAGTTGATATTATTTAATATTCAAGCTTAATTTTTTCAATAGGTTGTCTCTTGGATTTCTCAAACAATAACATTAACTGCAGCATTGGGAGGAAATAGAAGACAATTAATTATTAGAAATATTATCAATACGGCTCTTCACTTATTTTTCTGTTTACTGATTGGAGGAGCTTTTGTTTTACTTCACTACAGCCAAAAAGCAGATGCTTCACCTGATGATGAGGATGGATTGGCAGCTACAATTTCATATATTGTTATTGGTATGCATGTTTTAATTGCCATCATGCACGTTGCAACATGTTTAATGTTTGGATTTATTCTGAAACGATTCTGTACCATGTTTACTCCTCCTGCTAAAAGACCTAAAATGAAAAAGCTTGGTATTGCCTTGATGATTAATGTAGTCTTTCTCTTCATTTGTTCGTTAGGTCTGGAAGTAATGATGGGTGTAAATTATAGACTATTCACTTTGCCATTGATTCCAACCCCAACAATTTTATGTATTGGATTCTATATTGTTTCTGCCATGTACAAACTTTGGATTTCTTGAGCTTGTGTGGAATAATCTCAAAATATTGTGACTTTTGTTGTAAATAAAGAGTTTACTATTCTGAATTGTTGCCAATAATGATCGTACATTCACCCTTAATATCTTCATTTCGCATTACTCGTTCAATTGTTGAAAGTTTTCCCTTTTGAATTCTCTCAAAGAGTTTGGTTAATTCAAAACAAAGAGCAATTTGTGTATCACCTCCAAAAATTTCAACACAATCTGCTAAAGTTTGCTTAATTCTGTTTGGATTTTCAAAGAATACAACACAACGATTTCCTTGTATTTCCCTAAGTTCTTGTAACAACTTCCTTCTCTTCTTTGGAATGGCTGGTAAGAAGCCGTCAAAAATAAATCTATTACTATTGAAACCACTAATTGATAATGCTGCAATTATAGAGCTAGGACCAGGTACTGAATAAACAGGAACTCCTAATTCATGACTATTTAAAATTAATATAATTTTCAAATATTTCACATACCAATTCTTAACTAGAATCCAACCAGGATCTGAAATACAAGGACTTCCACATTCACTAACCACCGATACTACATCACTTGAGCTAGTCAATCGATTCAAAATTAAGCTCAAATGCTTTTTAGATTGACTATAAACCTCAGATGCATTCTTATTTTCCACAAAACTAATCAATTGCTGAGGAGGATCCGAAATCAACGAATGAAAATGAAGTAATTTCCTTGTCGTTCTCGTATCTTCACAAGCAATCATATTCGATTGAGATAACACAAATTTAGCCCTCTCTGAAATATCATTCAAATTACCAATCGGAGTGGCAATAATATACAAACCAGGTGGAGTTTGCAATTTTGAATTCCTTTCCACTTCTTCATCCATTGTCTTTTCATCCATTATCACTGATGGTGCAACATTGGCCTCCTCTGATTCTTCCTCCTCATTCACTGAATCCTCAATTATTCTCTCCTTCTCCATCAACTTTTGATTATTCACTATTATTTTACTTGTTGATTTCTTCTTCAAACTCTTTGCATAATTCCTAACACTTCCCTGCACACTATTTAATTCCCAAAACATCCAATGCAACTGCTGATGATAATGATAATGATAATTACTACTATTATTATTTAATTTCGGAACAGCAGCCATCACACAATTCTCACTTGAATTTAATTTATTCATCATTTCCTTCTTCATTATCAATTTATTGGAAGAAGAAGAAGCAGAAAATGGAAAAATTGCGCCCAACTTTCTAGCTTGAAATCGTTTCATTTTTTTTTGTAAATTTAATTTCCAATTTCTTGAACAATTGCAATTTGTTCAGAATTTTGAGTTTGTTCTCTGATTGGATCAGAGTACTCTGTTGACAATGATTCGCTACTTTCTGGAGGATGTAATAGGACTATAGAAACGTATGGTATCGATTCTAACATTAAGGCATGTTCTAATTGGAGTAATTGATCTGTTTGATTCAAATGGGCCATTACAACGATGGCAAGACCTTTCTTAAAGTTGAGTTCAGTTGTGAGTTGAGTGAGATTGTGTTGGAATAGGTTGTTTGCAGAGAGATTGAGTGATTCTTCATCGTTGGAAATAAAAGTGGAAATGTGGTTGGCTGAAGGATAGTGATCTAGTTTGTAATCCTCAATTGGTCGAATGTCCACAATGAAAGAAATGGACGAAAGTGTTGAATTTTCAAAATCTTCCAATGTAATTCTCGGATAGAAACACTCTCTATTGTAATCATCAATTGAGATACGGAAAGAATGATTGGATTGGAAGAATTTTGGATTGGTGAGACCACTTGGAGACTTTTCTTGAATTCTTCTCGTATCGTCCAATACTTGAATAATGTCAACACCTTGAATATTCTGGAATAGATACATGGCACTGTTGAAATCCGATTCGAGAATCTTATTTCTCATTTGTTTGAGAATGGCAACTGCAATGAAAACAGGTAATTCAGGTGTTCCAAGAATGAGAGCATCCCACAATTTGAATAATTTTTCAATTGGCAATGAGTGAGCAAAGAGTGTGAGGAACCAACTGATAGCATACAATTCTGGAAGGAATGAAATGTGATGCAAATGAGAGGCAACCTCTGGATCATGATACATGTGCAACTTTTTAAATACTGACAATCTCTCTTCCATGGCAGTTGAGTTGGCTCTCGATGTGAAAAAATCGTGAGTATACTTATTGACGAGGGCTTTAAGGCAACAGAATGCCTTTGCTTCAAAGTCAAAATTCAACACAAGGAGAGGAGCACACAATGAATCCAGACCTTGCCAATAAACGAGTCCTTCATTCTTATGATAATAGACCCATGCTTCGAGAACTTTCCTCAATTTTTCATGACCAATCTTGGAATGGAGAAGTGGATTATATTGGTGACATCTGGGCACATCTACTCCAATTTGTCGTTTTGTAACATTTGAGAGTGGTTGCTTTTGTAATTCGAATAGAATTTTAGTATAAATATCCTCAGCTTTCAAATCTTCTTCAACTCCCAAGATGGCAGCCCAAACTTCTCCTCTAAGAATTGAGGGAATATCAATCTTGGCCTCTCTGATAATCTCCTCCCTACTCGATGGATAACTGAGAAGTAATTTTCTAAAGGTGTGAACTCTCTTTTGCTGATAGGCAAAGTTCATATCCTTCTCAGTGATGAGTGCAGAAAATCTATTCCAAGTATTGGTATTTCCATTCATAATGTTTTCCTTATTGTAGAGACTTCTCTTCTTTCCAATATCACCAGAGACGTGAACGAGTGAGGGATACAATCGATCATCCACTGTTGTTGGAGAGTCGATTGGTGTTTCGGGTGTATCAGATCTAATTCCCAGAGCATCATTATTGTAGAGTTTGATGTGAGTGAGAGCTTCCTCGAGGTAGCTCATTGGAATCAATAGGTAACTATCGACATGAGCTTGTGAGATGCTGGCATAGCTCATGTGAAGTTTATCACCTGGACAATTCTTATTATATCTGAAAAAGTGAGGTACAATGGACATGTCAAATATTCTCCTGTAAAACAAATCGAATATACTAATTTTTCCATCGTAGAGCTTTTTCCAATCAAAGTACTTTTGCTTGAACATGTTTTGTCTTTCCTGGAGTGGTGAGAGAGTACCAGAGGTGATGGAAACTTCCTTCTTATTGGTAATTAGAGGTTTTTCATCCAAACTCTTCAGGTGTGGATATTTGGCAATTCTATACGAGTAGTGAGCCAATCGTTCCTTTGAAATGGTTTGGAAATAAGGTTGCTCAATGAGCCAATCCATATCAGGTCTTTCACTTGGTCTGAATGCCAAACAGTGGAATAATAAATCTCTGAGTGATTTGTCCAATCTTTGAATTCTCTTCCATGCATTCTTATATTTGGCATCGTCTGGAGTTTCAGTTTCAGTTTCTTCTACATTCTCCCTATATTTACAATAATCTACAAAATCAAAAATATCCAAATAAATATTCATTGCCGACTCAATCCATTCCTCTTTTGTTTTATCCTTAGTATCTAAACGTGTAGGAAATGGTATTCTATTACCTAAAATAAATTCCAATAAAATTACACCAATTGACCAGATATCGCACTTGTTATTTACATCTTGAAAATAATTCTCCTCATAGCAAGCCAAAGAAAACAATTCAGGAGCCAAATATGGAACAAACAATTCAAAATCTCGAGCTTCCTTCAAGAAGACATTGGGAGTCTGAAGGGATGAATTAATCCAAACAACCATATGATAATAAAAGGCATCTTTCACTTTGATATCACCCTATAATTCGAATTAAATGATCAATTATTCCAATAAAAAACCTACATTATCAGCTATACAAATCAATTCAGGACATAACATGGTGTGAAAAATCCCAAACATGTGCATAAAATGTACAGTACTCATCAATTGAGAAGCAATTTTGTAAACTCTATCATCACTCACTCTCTTTCCTTCTTTTTTACAAAAATCCACTTCATTCCTAAGTGTAGTTCTATTCTCCAAACTCACAAAAAAGCAAGTAAATGGATCAAACACTACATTACTCGACGATTCATCACTGGAAAATCTAATCTTTGTCTTGTACTTGAAATGTGAATCCAAATGAGGCATTGACACTAAATCCACAACCTGACATATATTATAATGATCAAAAAACTTCTTTTCCTTCAACCAATTCAATTTACATTCAATCAAATCAAGAAATGAAATATCATTTAAATCATTTTCCAACTTTTTGTAATTATTTTCATAAACCGAAGAATTTGATTTCATTGACGATTGTTTAATTAATTCTTTTAAACAATCTCCAACTCCTCCTCCAACTACTCCTCCAATACTACCACAGCTACTACTACTAGACAATTCACATTGATTAATAGAGAGTGGTCTCACCGATAAAACAAGTGATGATGCTGATGAATTCGGACTTGCTGAAGGAGTTGATGGAGTGGAAGGTGTTACAACAATTGATGATGAAGAAGAAGAAGCAGCAACATTTTGGCCAATATTCGGATTTCTTGATGATGATGAATTTTGTTTGATGGCTGTTGCGTAGAGTGTCGATTTGCTGGGAATGGAAATTTGAGCGAGAGGTTGTTGATGCTGTTGATGTTTTTGAGACATTTTTTTAATTGGATATTTAAATATTATTGTCATGATTGAAAAATTGTAATCAGAGAAGAATATTAGATTTGACATTCGTCTATTTTGAATTTGTAAATAGGTAAATATGAAGAAACTTTCAATTATTCCAATAACTTGTATCAACAGCAATGTATTGATAAATCTCAATGTTTTATTCAACATTGTGATTCTGAAGCAAAATGGCCCGTGTTTGGCTAATGATTTGACAAGAGACATCCAAAAAGTCTGACATTCGATCATCAAAATATTAAAAAATTATTCATAAAAAAAAAATATTTTAAAAAAAACTTTCCGTTACCAACAAAACAATAACCTCAACATCACTTGATCATCAAAATGGCCCTCATTTCACAACAAGATGAAAAAGAATTAAAAGAAGCCTTCTCTCTCCTAGATATAAATGGTGATGGTCTTGTTTCCGAAAAGGAAATGGAAGGATTATTGAAAAGTATGGGATTGAAGGAATCAATGATTAAATCATCAATTTCTGATGCCAAAAAATCAAATTTATCTGGAAAGGATGGTATTGAATTGCAAGGATTCATGTCAGTTGTCAATAAATTAATTAGAGATGACAGTAAATCAGAGGATATTATTGAAGCAATGAGAGTTTTTGATACAAAGAATGTTTTTAGAATTGAAGCTAAGGAATTTAAAGATCAAATTCAACAAGCAACTGGTCTTTCGGATGAAGATTGGGAAGAATTAATGAAGGAGGCAAATATTGATGGTGAAGGAACTTTTGATTATCGTGAATTTGCTTCACGTTTATGTTCTAAACAATAATAGTGATGATGGTTGTGTATTTTTATTATTATTATTATTATTGAAATTGTAAATTAATAAATATTATTGTAAAATAATTGAATATTATTGTAAAGTATTTAATTAGATTATTTTTGAGCAAATAATAGTGAGAGATAAGAATTCGTTGAAAAAATATTATAATAATGAAGAGTTTCATAGAGAACTGTTGATGAACATGAAAATTTTAATTGCCTGAAAAGTAAATTTCAAGCGCATGATGCAAAAAAATCAAACGAAAAAAAATATGAGTCAAGCTGTGCCTTCCTCTTTGATGATTACTTTGATAGAGAGTGTCTCCGTGCTGTCAGATGATGTTCTCTGTCTGATCTTTCAATTTCTGGAGGCGAAATATTGTATTGGATCTTGCTCGTTAACTTGTAAGAAGTGGCATCAGTTGACTAAATCTGTTCCACTTCATGTTAAATATTTTCGGATTAATTATAGTGATTTGGTGAGGGTGGTTTCTACTGATCAAAAATTGGCTTTAAATTTGAGTAGTTTGGATTTGAATGGAGCTGAAATAAAGGATAGAGGTGTGAAATGTATTGCTGAAAGTGAATTCATGGTCAACTTGAAAGCATTGTACTTGGGAAGTAACAAGATTGGAGATGAGGGTGTTAAATACTTGGCAGAAAGTGAATATTTGAAAAATTTGCAAACTCTGGATCTGTATTTTAACGAGTTTCGGCTCGATGGTGTGAAATATTTAACACAAAGTCCATTCATGTCCAATTTGAGAAAGTTGATTTTGAGTGCAACGTTTTATGGAGCTGAAGGTGTGAAATGTATTGTGGAGAGTCCTTACTTGACCAATTTGCAGATACTCGATTTGGATAGAAATAAGATTGGAAATGAAGGACTTGAATATATTACCTCATCTCAATCCATGTCAAATTTGAGAGTGTTAAGTTTGTCAGATAATACTATTCGTAATTTGGGATTGAAGTATATTGCAGAGAGTCAGTACATGTCTAATTTGGAAGAATTAACCTTAAAATCGAATGAAATTGGAGATGAGGGAATCAAATATATTGCAGAGAGTCAGTTCATGTCGAAACTTGGAAAATTATTCTTGACAACAAACTTTATTGGAAATGCAGGAGCAAAATACCTTTCAGATAGTCAATATTTGAGTAATTTGCACACACTGGATCTGTCATCTAATCAGCTGGATGATGATGGTGTAAACTATATTAATGAGAGCAATTTAATGAGCCACTTGACATTTCTTAATCTGAGTAATAATAATACGAGTAACAATAAGAATTTAGCTCTCGATAATTCCGTGATATTTGTGCTTTGTTGTGTTGTACTTGGCAAGACCCTTTGTTCTTGTTGGTTTTAATGATATGTAAGCTCTCAATTATTAAACCTCAAATCAAAGAATATTATATGAATATAAATTAATTTTTATCTACATTTAAAAACCTCTGAACTTGTATCTAATGTATGGGACTTCTTGATCATCACCATTATCCAAATCTTGAACACAAACTTCCAAGTTGACATACTTTTCCTTTGGCAAGAAAGGACCAGAAGTATTTTCAATAATCTTACTGATTGGTGTCTTCATCTTTTCTTCGTTGGATTTCTTGTTACCAAAGAATGAATAGATTAAAGATTTACCAGCAGACATCATGGTAATTTCCAATTTGTGTCTTTCCTTGAAGATATCCATCAATTCCTTGAGGGTGATATCTCTACCTTCATCAACTTCGAATCTATCCCACAAAGTCCATGTCTTGTCTCCCAAGTAGGTTTGTTTTGGTGGTTCAGCTGGTTCAGACAAGGTCATGAAAGGCAAAGCAATATTGACGAAACCATTCTTGTAAGTGGCAATCTTTTCAGCACCTTGCATGAGCTATTGTATGTTTAAATCAAAATTTGAAATTTAACAATATATGTAAGCACATAAATGGTCCAGTACTTTCATTGATGCGCTCTGTTATATTGTCACCATTGGTTAATATAGGCTATATGAGTGAGCATTGACAATTATATTCTCTATTATCAAGCTGTTCTGATAGCCCGGTGACTCAAACAAGAGCAACACCAACAAAAAGTATAGGTGTGTAATTAAAGGGTAAAAAAATGTAAAATTTCAAAAGTAAACATACCTTGTAGAATTCCAAACAAGCAAGACCAGTAACGAGAGCAGTAGTAGTAACCATGGCAGGAATAATCTTACCGGCAATACCCTTAGTCTTGTGTCTATCAGCTTCTGGAATCTTATAGTTTCTGGCACGCAAGTTACTGGTAGCAGTAATGAAATCAATGTGATAGTTAGAATCATCATCCTTTTCAAAGTCACTAACATTCAAACGGAATCCAGCTAATTCTGAAGGCTTTGGAATCTTGGAGGTCAAAACTTTAATTTCTTGTTCGTCTGATTCAGTTAATTCTTGTTCTGGTTCCTTATTTTCCTTTTCGTCACTTTGAATCTTGACACCACTCTTTGGAGAAAATTCAGGAACAACAATCTTTGAAACAACTGAGGCAAAATCGTATTCTTCCTTGGTGAATCCCTTCAATCCATACATGAAAGCTCTGAGGTTAGAGGCAGCAATGACAAAGTCCAAATGAGCTTGATCCTTAGGATCGAAAGTCAATGGAGTTGGTGGACGTTTAGCACCTCCCCAGAATTCGGTACCAGATGAAGTGATCATACCAATTGGGAAATTGTACAACAATTGTTGAATATTATTGTTGAACAATTGTTCAAACTTGATTCTAGCCCATTCAACACAATTTTCAAAAGTGATTGGCTTGTTGCTGACGAGTGATTCGAAAATATTTTCCAAAATCATCTTCCTTGAATTTTCACTATCAAGTTCCTTCAAATAGTCAGTCTTTGAGAGGTAAGTGTTAACTTCATTTGGAACCTTGTTGAACAAACCTTCGAATGAATCTCTGGCCCATTGGATGGTGTGTTCAATGGCATTAGGGAAGTTCTTAAGAGTACAGATTGGGATTTCCTTTTCTGGTGGATCTCTAGTTGAACCATATGATTCAGTCAACTTTGGAACAACAATTTGAGTGTTACCCTTAGCACCCAAAGTACCAGATTCAATCAAAGGCTTAGAATAATATACACATCTAGAATCTACATAGAGTCTTGCTTGAACATTGTCCAAAGCATTAGTGACACCTGTTAATTGTTCCCAGAATTCATCATCGAATGTTTGTTCAGTTTCAGGAGCAACCTTATCTTGCAAAGCAACAATGTTGAATGCAGGATTCATTCCCTTGACAACTTCAGCAGCTGTTGTAGACTTTTGTGAACCAACATGCTTTCTTCTGAACAAGAATTGTCTATTCAAATTGGAAACTTCAATACTGTCCATGTCAGTAACAAACATCTTTCCGTTATTTCCACAACCAACACCCATCATGGCATAGTTCTTAAGATATTCGCAACCAAGGGCACCAGCACCAACAATGAATTCCTTAACATTTGACAATTTTTCTTGGAATTGTTTACCGAAAACAACAATTTGACCATCGTATCTGGTTGAAGTGAATTGACAATCTTCTTCAGTTGGATATTTGCTTTCATCTTCTCCCAAACTTTCCAAAGAATCAAAATGTAAATATTGGTTCAATGGTGTGAATTTACCACTGCAAGCCTTTTGGACTTCTTGAGCAACAATACCTCCCAAAAATGCTGCCATTGGATTCAAATTACCTCTACAAGTGTAAGACAACATCTTGACAACATTTTCATCCAAAGATGTCTTGAGAGCTTCTGGAACAATTTCTTTAGCAATTTCCAATAATCTTTCAGCATCAGCCTTGTTGTATGGCTTTGGAAGATGTTGATTTCTCTTTTCAAATTCGCTGAGAGCTATCATGGCAACGTGAATGCTTTGAGGTCTACCAAGCTTGGCATAATCAAAATCAATACAAGTTGGGTTAACCAATTGATCTTTCAATGGTTGATAAGAATGCTTTGTTGGAACCTTAACTTGTCTCACATAACCACCAGATCCAGACTTGTATTCACTGAATTTAGTGGTATCGAGATGAATCTTGAAAGTATGTTTACCAGAAACTTGAACCTTGACTGGTTCAGTATTGTTAATTTCTGTCATTCCTTCAATACCTTCGAATTGAACATAATCATCATCATACAATTGGTGGCTTGGTTTATCATCATAGACTGTAACTGTGGCTGGATTTCCGTTTGTAATATCTGTAACAATGTTTGATACTGGATTTTCACCATCATTATCATAGACTGTAAAATCTGTTCCAAAATCGCAAAAGATTGATCCCATCAAACCTCTACTCTCGGAAGCAATAAATTTAATATTATGCTTGTGGCAGACATCACTCAACTCTGAGAGTTGTGGAATGTGAGAATCTGTGAAAACAACAACAGAGAATTGTGTAATAAACTCTTCGTTCAATTCTCCTTGATGAATCTTTACAGGAACGTATGGATTCAATTCTTTAAGTTGTGAGAGGGAAACTTCTGCTCTGTTGAGACCAACATCCTTTTCAGATGCATAGAATTGAGCAGAGAGATCTTCCAATGTAATATTCTTTGTATCGTGCAAAGTAACACTCTTAACACCTGTAAGAATAACATTCTTGGCAACTTCTACACCCAAACCTCCGAGTCCGCAAATCAAAACATTCGATTGTTGCATTCTCTTCATGGCATCAATACCCAACACGTATAATTGTCTGCTGTATAACTTTTCATCGACTTCTGGTTGTTGATCAGCTGCAACTTCATCGACCATCTTGTCTTGGCTACTTGGTGTTGACAACATTTTTTTGTATTTTATTTTTGGCTCGTATTCCCTTCAAGCCTTTTTTATTTGCTTTAATTCTCTTAGCTGGGTGATGAGAATGAACATCATACTTGTGTCGAAACGCAAAAGTTGAACCTTGTTGTAAATTGTTCGTTCAAGACAAGAATTGAAGTATCTTTCGAGGGTTGAATTGACTTGCATAGTGTACAATAAAATCAATTAAGTGTTATTAATATCCTTAAAAAACTGTTGAATTTGAACTCAGGAAAAACAACCTTAATTATTTTAATATCTCCCTTCTTAAAACAATTAATACAATTAAATTAATCGCTTACTTTGCTTTACAACTCTTTTCTTAAATAACATCTAATTTTAGGCCAAATACAACTTTTGAGCAATTAAAATACAACAAAAAAAAGCAAACTCGTCTTTACCCTGTTGGATAGAGCAAAAAAGTACTAGTAAAATACAAAAAACTTCGGAACTCTCTCGGAAATGAGCAAGGACTATCAATCAAATCTGATTAGAATGCAACACCAGATCAGAAATAATGCACAAGAATACAATGAGTTTGTAAATGATTTGCAAAAGTGGACAAAGGAAATTTCTGAAAAGGATAAAAAGTTGCAAGAAGGAGAAAAGAAGAAGGTAATTAAAATTAATACCTTTTGAATAATCTAACAATATTTTAGAGTTATCCACCTGTTAGAGGAAGTGACCCAACAACTACATCGGCAACAACACAGCCAACCAGTGCAAAGGCTCAACCAACACAACTGGATCCCGATGAACAAGCAGAAAAAGCCAAAGAAACTGGTAATGAATATTTTAAGAAAGGAGATTTAAATAAGGCTATTGAATTTTATACAAAGAGCTTACAATTCAAGCAAGATGCAGTTGTGTACAGTAATAGAAGTCAAGCACATTTCAAATTATCTAATTTTATTGAATCGGAATTGGATGCCACTCGATCACTCTCATTGAATAGTAGTTATGTCAAGAGTTACATGAGAAGAGGTATGGCAAGAAGAGAATTGAAGAAATATAAGGAATCTAAGGAAGATTTTGAATATGCTAGAAAATTAAATCCTAATCATGTGGAAACTGAAAGAGAATTATTGAAAGCTATCGAATTATTAAAGAAGAGTGAGGAAGGAAAGGCAAAAAAGGTTGTCATTCAAGAGGATGACGATGAAGAGGAAGAAACAAAGCCAACTCCAAAACAAACAACTCAACCACCAGTAGTAGAAAAACCAAAAGAACAATCGCCAGCAGTCACCAAAACAACAATAATTGCTGACGTTAAAAAACCTGTTGTGGAAGAGGAAATTGAGGATTTAATTACAACAGGAGCATCTAAGAACATTAAGGAAATGACCAAACAACCAACTCCTGAACCAAAGAAAGAACAACCAGCTAAGACCCAACCTAAAGTTGAACCAACTCCTGAACCAAAGAAGGAAGAATTACCAAGAAGTGAACCTGTCAAGAAACCAGAACAAAAACCAATTGTTGTTGAACCAGTCACAAATAAGGAACCAGTTGTTGAGACTGTCAAGGTAACAATCAAACCAACATTCCCTCAATCAGCTCCAAAATCATTCTATGAATTTGAAAAGCAATATAAGGAATTAAGAGGTGAAGACTTTGCTAATTATCTCAGAGTAAGTTTTTTTAAATTGGAAATGGCTTAATAATCACTAAATTTATTAACAATATAGATCATACCACCAACCCGATTACATTCAGTTTTGCATGATTCTTTGTCACCAGAAGTTTTAGTCACCATTCTTTCATCCATACATAAATACTTTTTAGCCAAACCATTCAATAAGGAAGACGTGGAGAATGCTTTTGAATTAATGCAAAAGATTGCAGATGTGAATAGATTCGACATGACTGTCATGTTCTTGGAGAGTTTAGAAATGCAACTTGTCAAGGCAATCTTTGAACTCTTTTATCAATTCAATGGAATTGAAACACAAAAGATTGACTCTTTAAGATCTAAATATGTTAATTAAATATTCCATTGATTTCTTTGTAATTTTCAATTTCAAAAACGAACATTATAACTCAAAAAAATGATTTCCCTCTCCTCTGATGAATTACTTGAGATTTGCAAATATTCGACTCCATGCGATATGTTCAGCCTCTCTCAAACCAACAACAGAATGTTTAATGAATTTTTCCCCTTCCGAATTCTAGATAATGATCATCCATATTTCCATTGGACCATCAATACAATTCAAGAGAAAATTGTGGATCACTTGGAAAATGTTGTAAAGAATGTAATTTATACCATCAGAGAGGAGGAATTGGTCGAAAAGATGAAACGAAAGGAAATTTGCAATAGAAAAGAGTTGAAGGAATGTTTGGCTCTGTATCTGAAGTTTAATTATTTACTTCTCAATAAGAATAGTCATGATTGGGATTTTATTATTCGAATTGATGGAAATAATCTCAAGGAAGTTTCAGATCCTGAATTTAAATGCTATACAAAATTGATTACTCATATCAATAGCCAAATACCTCAAATAATCAATGAAATTAAGAAGGAGGATATTCTAATATTCAAAGGATACAGACGAAATAAGAATTTCCATATATCAGAATTTAAAAAGGAAGATGAAAAACCACCTCAAAAACTCAATTTTAGTAACTCTTGCTGGAACACACAAGCAAATTCTATTTACGCTCAGCTCTCAAATCCAGAGATTTTATACAAATTTATTGTATCAACTCTGCATCATAGGAAATATCAGGAACAAAATTTTGTTACCAATTTGATTGCAAAACAATGTTTGGAACTTCCAAGAAGGAACATTAAATTGAGAATGGAAAATGTTTGCCACTTGTTTGGAAATAGATTTAACAGATTTAACCAACAACGACTCTTTCGACAATATCCCACTACAGTTCATATTTCAAAACTAACATCACAACTCTCAATTAGCTATGAAAGTCCAATGAACGTACTCATTTCACCAGCTATTTTGAAAGTTGTAATGGAATGTGTGGCAGTTATTTTGTCATTGTTGGTTTTGCTCTATTGTAATACTAAGGTTTTTGGATTTACCTATTTTTTCAATTCCATATCTGTGTTGGAAGAAAGAATTGGATTTTCACTTACGGGCTTTTTTAAATTTTTTCCATTTGTTGCCTATTATTTGATTGTTGCCTATGTAATGTATTTGCCAATTGGTATTGTAATGATAGTACTGGGAGATGTTGAGTTGTTATTGTATGCACTTTATTTCCTTTTAAATGTTTTGTTGTATTTGAAGAATTACACACTTAATGTCGATATTGAAAGGAAGTACTACTTGGCACCAATTGAACTCACTCAAATGTTTTGTTTATTGCACGCATTAGGGAAGTTTCAAATATTGGGAATGAATTTTACATTTATCAAAGATTGGTCAATTCAATTATTTAGGAAGGCAAAGAAAGCCCTACTCAACTATTTCAGCAAGTAATTATATGACATTATCATTGATAACTTGAAGAGCTCACATGATTCTGCGTGGAATTAATCATCATTTTCAATTTCCACCTCATTTCTTATTTAAATAGACTTTCTATCAGTGATTTATTGATAATTTTTCAATGGTTTACCTTCAACTTTGTCCTGAATTTCAATAATTCTTACTCCACTCACTTCTCATTCAATAAAAAAGCAAAAAAATTAAATCCAAAATCATAAAAAAAATGAGCAAAACCAACCGAACACCATCACGTTGTGTATTCATTGGTAATATTGCCTATGATGCCTCTACCGATAAATTAAAACAAATATTTAACGAGGCTGGACAAGTTGTTAATTTTCGTATGGTTTTCGATAGGGAAACTAACAAACCTAAGGGATATGCTTTTTGTGAATTTATTGATGAAGGTAGTGCTAGTAATGCTATGAAAACATTGGATGGAAGGGATTTTAACGGAAGAAAACTTCGTGTTGATTTTGCTGATAATAACAAAATTAATATGCCTGGGGAAGGAGAATCGATGGGAAATTCAATGCCTATGAATCAACCTCCTCCACCAATGCCATCATCATCATCATCAAGAAGTGATCCTAGATTAAATTCTTATTCTAATAATCCAATGATGAATCAAAATGTTGGAATGCAAAATTATGATCAAATGACAGATTCTAATCAAGATCCAGTAATGGAAGCTTTAAACCAAATTTCAAAACAACAATTATATGATTGTCTTGTGGAAATGAGAGATTTGGTTCAAACAAATCCGGAATTAGCAAAGAATATTTTGGCACAAAACCCAACCCTTTCTGTAGTATTATTACACATCCAATACATCCTAGGAATGGTAGATCAACCTTTCAATCAACCACCACCACAAAATATGATGAGACAACCTATGAATCAACCTCCACCACCACAACATAATCAACCATTTAGTGATCCAAGAGGTGATCCTAGAAGTGATCCTAGAGATTCAAGAGTTGATCCTAGAAGTGATCCAAGAGATCCTAGGATGGCTCAAAGACAACCACAAAATCAAAATGCATACATTGATAATGATATCATTAATATTATAGATAATATGAGTGAGGATCAAAGATTACAAATTTTACAATTGGACGATGCCACTTTGTCACAATATAATATCGAAGAGAAAAATCATATCAAGAGGATAAAACAAGGTATTCTTGCTAGAAAAAAGATGTAATTAAATATTTTATTTATTGATCTGTAATTATACTATTATTTACTTCCTCAACTGGAATTATATTCGTTTTGGATGGTTTCTTTTCCAATACTGGTAATGTTTCTTTTGTTTCTTGTTGAGCTATTTCACTCTGTTGGGTTTGTTCAATGACAGCTCTCAAGTCACCTTTTGATGACCTTCTAGGAAGAAAGAGGTTTTGGTATGATATTTGGAGTAGTTTCTTTCAGCTCAACTCGTTGAATAGCACTTAATGGATTTGAAGGGTTCAACAATTGCATCTGTGAGGAGGGCAGAATTGGTGAAATGGCAGACTCTCTTTCCACAAAAGCTTGGTCAATGTGTTTTTCCAAACTCTCAATCTTCTTTTCGTAGAGTTGAATTTTACGTTCCAATGTTCCAATACATGCTCCCTCATTGAATTTAGTATTCAACTTTTTCAATCTACTAAATTCTTGGATATAGAGACCTTGCATTCTCTCGTATTCTGAAACTTTGGAACTTAGATTGGTTATGGTGTTCTGGTATTCCAGAACTCTATCTACTGAGCATTCAATTTCCATTTGGTGTATCTTATCTCTTAACATGTCCATTGTTTGTTTGGTTGTATGTACATCTGTGTATTGGAGGACATCTTTCAAATTTTGAATTTCCAATCGAAGCTCGTTATTTTCCATTTGAGAAAAGTGTAGATTTCTCTTAGTTTCCTCATATTTCAATAATAGTTCTGTATCTCTATTATCTTGTTCACTCACTAGAGAAAGTAAAAAGCCCGCAGCTCTATATCGCATTTCGTTATTATCAGAAGCCAACTCTGCGACTTTAGACTTCCAAGCATTCAATTTTTGCTCTTTATGCATTAAAGAGATGTGAAGATCGTTCATTTGTCTGTGAATTGTTTCTTGAAGGTCAGAAACTCTAAATCTTAGCTTTTTGTTTTCTTCCTTCACTTGTTGCCATTCGAGCAGTCTCTTTTCGAGCCTATGTTGTGATTCCATATTTCTTCTCTTGCATTCTTCCGTGTCTTTCATTAATGTAGCTATCAAATTTTGCATTCTCGATTTAGCAGCCTCACTGTTATATCCAATCAAGGAATTAGAAGCTAGTTGACTTTGCAATTCTCTCATTTCAGCATCTTTGAATTCTAAACACTCCCTAAGAGTCTTGATCGTATCTTGATCCTTTTTCCTGTCGAGGGATTGTCGTTTTAACTCTTCCACCAACATATTCTTTCTCTCAAACTCGAATCGTATTGTATCCAGCTCTACTTGTAATTCTGTTGCGTATCTTTCCAAAGCTTGGCTTCTTAAATTTTCCTTTTCTTTCATTGTTCGTTCCTTTTCTCTATCGACAACATTCACTCTCCCAATACAAGCTGTCAGAATTCCTTTCACATCCTTCAATTTTTCAGTCATTATTTCCCTCACTGTTTTGCTTTGGCCTAGAGTGTCATCTTCGTCATGGGCGTCGCTACTAGTTTTATCCTGATGTCCCATCTCGTTTAACAACTTGTAAGACAATAAATGTACGCTGTTTACCAATAGATTTAAATGATAAAATTCCTGTTCCTCATTCTTTTGTTCTGTATAAATAGTTTTTTCAATATTCTCAATTCGAGATGAAAGAATATCATAATTTGGGAGAGTTTGTCTTGGAGTCCACAGTTGGTTTTGCTATTGATATGGTTTCCTTAATTGTTTCTTGTGGAATAAAATCATCCTCAATACCTTCCTCATCACTTTCCTGAAGATCATTTAGAGAGACAGTTTTTGATCCTGTTGCTGTTTGAAAGGTTATTGTGGAAGGATCTTTTGGATCTTTTTCCGCCCTCTTTTTTTCGCTCCTCCTCTTTTCAAGTAAGCTTTTGAATTCCTGTTGTTGCTTTTCCAATTTTTCTTTGTATTCTTTAGAAGGTTCAGCTTTAGGCCTTGATAGAGACTTTTCAGCTGATTTACTTCTCCTAGATTTTCCTGGTTTGAAATTTGGATTGAGTATTCCAACAAATCCTCTCTCATCTGTTGAATTTTTGTTTGGTTGTTCCTCCTCATAAAGAAACTCAATCGTATAAAATGTCTGATCAAATCCAAATCGAATTCTATCTCCATGATGTAACTGTTTTGTGACACTATCCAAAAACAATCGTTTATCATTCACCAATGTACCATTCTGTGACTGTAAATCAGTAATCATACAAGTGTATGAAGTTGCAGTCTTTCTAAATTCAATCCTGGCATGTTCAGGCGATATAGTCTTTCCATTATGTAATACAATATCACATTTATCGGGATCTTTTCCAATCACTATCTTTTTCTTCTCCAAAACATAATGAGCATCATTGGTTCCCTTCAAATATCCATACACTCTTTCCTTCTCCTCCAAAATTGTCTCATCCATATTGTTTGTTGTTGTTGTTGTTGTCTTCATGGTCTTGTAGAGAACAGTGTCGGAATTGAGGGTTGATAATAAATCAGTCATTTTTTTTGTAGTTATAAATATTTTGGCGCCAATTAATTTTTATAATTTCTTAATAAAATTTCTTCTTTCGAATTTTAATCAACTCGATTATCATTGATCTTAATAATACAAAATATAGAGTGTAAAACATAAATTAATGAGCATTCATAAATTCCTCAATATCTCCTAATCTAGATAAAATATCCTTGGCAATTACAGTATTATCATAATATTCGACCATGTCGAGACGAGCTACTTTACATAATTCATGTATGAGTGAAAGATTACCCTCTGAATGAATATATTTGAGTGTTTCAATCCATGATTCCACTGATTTGGCTTGCTTGATAATTAAGCTATTATCCTTATTGAGGAATTCGAATAATTCTCCTCCTGGAGAAACAATTAAGAGGCCTGATGACATGGCTTGCATGACGAGTCTTGCACTTTGATTTTCAGTTAATATCTGCAATTTGATATTAAAATTTGAGATTGTTTTGTGAAAAACTTACAAGTAATACATGATAATCACGATAGAATGATGGAAGCTCTACTTTTCTTGCATCTAAAGGTAATATTTCAATTGATGGTGGTTTGGTAAAGACAGTTTCAATTCCCAATTGCTTGATAATTTCCTGAGAGGTCTTATCATTGGAAGCAGATGTAAAATCTTGAATAAAAATGGTCAACTTGACATTGGATACTTGATCAAAACTTGTGGCAAATGATTCTACCAATAATTTGATTTGGTTTCTATTATTGAAATAAGAATTAAATAAAATAATTAAACTAATTACCTTTCCTTTTCCCAATCTGAAAACACGGACAAGTAATTGGTTGGAGCATTCTTGTTTTCATCCTGTTTGAATGCCAAAGTATCAACTCCATTTGGAATGAATTGAGTTTTGCTCTTCTTAATCCCCATTCGTTTCAATAACTTGGCATGTCGTTGCTCAGAGACCCATATTTCATCATATTGTTGCTTCATCTTGTTGACATCTTCTTGTTTAATCTGTTTAATATCACTCATAAACAGTCCAATGCAGTATTGTTTTCTAGGACAATTCCAATTAGGATCAAATGGAACAATATTAACGAGAGGAATGTTCGCATCAGAGTGAACAATATTCTTCATTCTATTGAATGCAATTCTATCACTCTCACTCACGTGAATTCCGCTCAGAGTTGTGTTGAGTTTGAGAATAATTTTACCCTCAATATTGATTGCATTTGAAATTTGTTGAAGTGATTGTGATGGTAAATCAGCTGGAATGGTATAGATTAGATTAATATTCTTAACTTCCAATCTGTTAAAGAATGAGTTCATGGTACTTTCATAGTATTGTTTGGAGATTTCAGATTCTGCATTTCTGAAGGAAATTTTCTCATCCAAACTACATGGTTCAGTATCTGAAATGATATATTCTTCATAATTTTCACTTCCATATGATTTCACGATATTTTCAGGAATAATTGGAGCTACTTGATTGTGTTCTTGAATTCTTAACAAGAAATCAAAGATATAATCCTTTCGGTAGTCCATTTGGAATCCACCAAAATATTTCCAAGTTTGCTTGAGAATCGATGCTCCATTAAAGGAAGGAATGAAAACAACCATTTCTTCCTCATCACTATCATTGGATTCCAATAATGCAGAAAGCTCTTTGCCATACATGTGAGGAGTAAAGGCAATTGAATGAGTAGTTTGTCCCTTACAACTTCTCAATTTCAAATCCCAACCCGAGTTCAGAATCTTTCCGCTCTTTTCATTAATTACAATACTTCCAACAAGAATTGAATCTTGCAACATGTAGTACGTATCAGTGAAGGAATGTGAAACTGGAATGGACAAATCAGTTATGAAAATAATCATTGCATTATCGTCCTTGATAGAATTGGCAATAAAATCACTCACACTTTGAACTATGCCCTTTTGTGAAGTTTCCACACGTGTAAAAAGTGATGGAATATTAGAATCACCACCAAAAATCACAAAATTAATTGATTCAACATTATCCTTTGCAGTTGAAGAGATTTGATTGTAAGACTTGATGAGTGAATCTTTCCAACTTTGTTGTTTTGGTTTTTCACATTGTTCCTTATCGAGAGTGCAGATAAATAAAAAGTAGACTGGTGGAAGTTTTGTAGATTTTCTTGTTTCTTCTACAGGTTTAGTATTTTCCTTCTTTTGTTTTTTCAGTTTAGAATTCTTTTTCTTTTTCTGTGATGATGTGGAGGCAACATTGGTTGAAGCTGTTGTTTTGGTTGACGAAAGTAAACTATTCCTTTCCTCCTTCTTCTGTCCCGTCTTCTTTTCCACCACCTTCTGCACTTTCTGTTCCTCCTTCTTTTCCACCACTCCGACTGTTGTTGGTTTTGTTTCTATTTCTGCCTCCTTTTCCACATGATCTGCTGCTACCTCCACATCTTCTGGTTGTTTGAGTGGTACTACCACTTCATTTTGTATGTTTTGATCGGGAATTGTGGCAACATGTTGAATTTTCATACTCATGTCATGTTTCGTATTTCCAATATGTTTGCCAATAAAGAATTGGAATAGAGTAATGAGGATGAGAAAACCCATCACAGCAAAAGCGATATTCTTTCGTGTGAGATGTTGACGCATTTTTTAATGTGGAATGATTGAGAAATCAACGTGTCAACAGTCCATTATAATCGATAATCCTTATTAAATTTTCAAATTAAGTCTGTAGCAAATTGGATTTTCATTTTAGGTATGTGATCCAATGATTATTCAGAAATAAAATTCCTTAATGAAATTATTAAAGGTTGATGATAATTTTAATAAATATCTCCATTGTTATTTATTAAATATCAATATTTTACTATTGATATTTAACCAATAACTCTTAAAATGTACAAGTTAGAATATCAAAAATTAAACTCGGAACATGATAATCTCATTATTTACAACAGGTACCATTATCTGTTTTTTTAGGTTCTTCATCTGTGATTGTAAGTCCACTAACTCGAGAACTAATTCTGTTATTAACTGGTTTTTGATTACTAATTTTAAAATTTAGTAATTTAGACAACTAATGTAAAAACTTACGGATTTTCTTGAATAGTTAATCCACTGACACCTCTTGTGGACATTCTGACAGAAGCTCTATGAGCTTGTGGAGATCCTCCCATAGGAGTATTTGCCTTCTTTTCAAGAATTCGTTTCGTCAGATCCAAGAAAGATTCTGCAACATTTTTGTTTGCTTTAGCACTGACTAGTAAGTGATTTGCTCCCACTGATTGGGCATATTCCAAAGCCTGTTCTTCCGATACTTGTCTGTGTTTAATCATATCACATTTGTTACCAACAATTGTAATAACAATATCATCCCCGAGAACTTTTCTCAATTCCATCACCCAAGTTTTAGCTCTATCAAATGTATCTTGGTCAGTAATATCATATACCAACAAGGCACCATCGGCATTTCTGTAATAAATTGGTCCAAGAGCATGGAATCTCTGTTAATATTAAATTTTGTTCATATTTTCAGTTATTAAAATTATTATTATAATAATATATTATTATTATTAAATTATTAAAATCAGTTTAAAATTCAATTTTTCCTCTTACCTCTTGACCGGCTGTATCCCAAACGGATAAAGTTACTTGTTGATTTCCAACAATAATGTCTTTTTGAAGATAGGTTGCTTGTATGGTCGATTGTTGGTTATCATCAAAAACATCTTTAATAAAACGGAGAGTGAGTGATGTTTTTCCTACTCTTCCTTCTCCCAAAAGGACAATTTTAAAAGACTTTTTGTTGTTCATAGTTTCCAATTTTTCTTCTTCTTCCTAAACTTAAAAAACTTTTTAAATAGATTTAATAGTAGTCGTCGTTGTGTGTTATAAATCTTCTGAGTTTTTAAATAATAACAAATTAATATCGTCTATTGATTTTATTATCTAACAACAACAATAATTTTAAAATCAAACGATGATAATGAATGATCCACACACGGAGTTTTTTTTAAAGTTTTTGCTAGCAAGGAATATGTGATGCTCATCAAAAAGCTTCGAAAATCCAACCCTCGGTTTGCTTTAAAAAAAAACCACTCCGATACTGTTGCTGTTCAGCTGCTCGATAGCTTTTTCGTAAGGCTTTGAATTTCCAGAGAATAAGATAATGAATGAAGGGCTCATATGTATTTTATTTGAAAGTGATGATGGAAAATGTTCCACCAGCAGAGTATTACAGCTGGGTTAATTAGAGGAGATTGAGATGGAAATTGGTCAAGAAGGGAAGTTTAATTCATTACTTGTCTAATTGGTCAAGTAGTCTCTTACAGCATAATAATTCCGAGAACTGGAAGACTCAATGTAAATCTTACTTGTATTCTTCTACTTGGAATGTACGTAATGGAATGATTTCGTGTTTACCTCAATGCGTTGTAATATTGAGTATTATACAATCGATTACAATCAAGAAGTTTAGAGTTCTGATATTCTAGTAGCGGATCATGTAAATGATATTTAACTTTATTGTTAATCTAAGTGATGACAGTAGAGAGATCTTACCCTCTCCATCACACGTACTAGAAGTTGAGTTTGATTTACTTGTCAGTTTTTAACTCAAGGAAGATGTTCCAAAACAAGCATGAAAAACACTCTAGATTTCGAACAATAATTTAAAAAAACAACATTACACAATAGACAATGGATATTCTGAGAGCCAAGCTATTTCCAAAGCATGCAGCCATGCTCTTGAGAGATCAGGTGTTAAGAACAGACAAGGAGTGGAATGTTCTTTCACATTCAAATGGTCAACCAGCTGCTTTCTTATTTACCTTGATGAATCCTGATAATTATTTGGCTGCCAAATATCAGAATAGAATTCTCACACAAGATGAATTAGATAAGTCATACGTTGAAACCACTAAATCGCTTCTCAACGAAAGGGACGACATTTATTCGAATCTAGACGATTGGTTCAAGAGAGAACTCTCAGATCTAGATAGTAACAAGGAAGATCTTGAAGAATACTTTTCCTATTTCAAACAACATGATACTATCAGCATGCTCAAAGTCCATGAAAATATATACGAAAGATGGAGTCAATTCTCTTTCATTGAAAACCCAGAACAACCACAAAAACCAACCATCACATCTCAAAACAAAGATCGTTCTCACTTTGTCCTCAATGTAAAAGTACTCGACGAAGATTATGCCAAGGAACATCCAACAAAACCACCACGTTACATTCCAGGAGGAACAATAGCCTTCTCTGTCAAAACTCAATACATTGATGGTAAGGAATACAAAGTTGGTTTGGCTGGTTCTGGGTGGTGTAACAAAAAGTACAGAGATCATGGTGCTGATGTGAAATTCTCTGCTTGGTACATGAAAATTCTGTTAATGTACCAACTTGGTATCAGATATTGTTATGCTCATGTTTTTGCTGACAACGCAAAGAGTTTGTCTTATATTTCAAAGAGTGGAATGGTTCCATCTCGATTCAGGTTAAAGTTCCTTGGGTTCAATACAAATATTAGTGGAAAGGATGAGGTCAGAAATAAGGAATTGATTCGCACACAAAAGCAAATTAACGAAGTTGAAGAATCAAATGCTGCTTCTGATCAATCTGCTCAATTAGTTTCTTTGGAAGAGTACAAGACTTTGATGGAAAGAGTGTATGGGAAGGCAAACTTTTTGATTACTCAACTCGAAAAATTGTACTACCATCCAAATTTTGCTGGTTGTTTTGTAGATCCTCAAAATCAAGTCACTTTCCAACTTTGGAGAGCTAAATATTCAGTCGACCAAAAGACAAAGGCTCAAATGCCTGCATTTGTTGTATACAATACCAGTCATACAACTAACTGTAACAAGAAACTAACAGAATCTCAGTGTGAATCTATCATTAATTCACTCACTCAAAAGATCTTACCACAAATGTGTGGCAATGTGGATACCAAATTAGTCAATTTGGTCTTTGCTACTCACGGTGGATCAATGTATAAATATCTCTTAAAGAGATACTCTGATTTGGATAGCATTTCATATGCTTCCTTGTATTATACACTTCAAGATAATATGAAATTCATCAAGAAGGTGAATCCAGAAACTGATCCAGTTGCAAGATTCCTTCTCCTTCCGCCTCAACCATCCTCAAATCCAGATGAAGAGGAACATAACTTGTTTTTGGATGTAAGAGATTGCACCGGTAAACCAATGATTTGGTCCAACCAAATTAGGGATACTGAAATGGAATGCTTGAATGAGGATAAGGGTGTTTTCAAAGTAATAGAAACTCCAAATGCTCCATTCAAAACTTCCAAGCTGTAATATAAAAATTTTGTTTCAAATACATCCTTAATACTTTTCCAAATATTGAATAATAAACACATAAATCAAATGATGAATCAATTCATTAGAAATAATGAATACTATTTCTAATATAAAATCTTTTTTTATTTAAGCACTTTGGACAGCAAGTTTAGCCAAAACAGCAAAGTTTGGAACACCAACACCAGAGATGGCATCGGCACCTTGTGTTGCTGGGAAACCAGGGCAAGGAGAAACAGCATTGTTACCTTGAACAATATCGAAAGTAGCACCCTTAGTATTCAAAACAACCTTGTACAACCATGGATTCAAGAAACCCAAAGGACCCTTACCAGCCTTGAATCTCAAATCATTCAATAAGGAGATAATACCAGCAACTGCAGGAGTGGAAGCAGAAGTTCCAGCAACAGATTGGATTTGTCCATTGACAACAACTTGATAACTATAAAGTGTTAAAATTTCAAAAATTATAGAAATACATACTCAACACCGAGAGCAGCAATATCTGGGTACATTCTACCATTAACATTGAAATAAGTGGTTGGTGGAACAGCATTTTGAGACAAATAAGCAGTGACAGCATCAGCTTGATACTTTGGACGTGGATAGCTAAAATTATTAGATTCAACAAATTAGTACTTTGAAAAACTTACAATGCAGAGAAACCACCACCACCCCAACTGACAGATCTTTCAACATATCTGGAATCTGGGCGAGTAGCACCAACTGAAGTAATAAATGGAGAGGAAGTTGGCCATTCTGGTTCGAAAGAATCACCAGAATCAGAACAACGAGCACCATTGTCACCAGAAGCAATCAAAATTGATCTACCAGTAATGGTCAACTTTTGGAATTCCAAATCGAGACTAGTCAAGTAATCCTTTGGCATGTACTTTTCAACACCTCCATATGAAATACTATGAACCCAAGCACTCTTGTCACCCATCTTTTGTTGAGCAATGGCCCAATACATGAATGGATCTTCATCATCGTACTTCTTTGGAGTGGAGTTAATTGTGGTATTAATCAAATAACCAGTTGAGATAATATATTGAATATCGAGAGCAGCTTCAACACCTGGTTCAGAATCAACATTTGGACCAATAATGGTTGGCTTGGTAATTGGCAAATTGTAAGTTTGTTGGAATTGGAGCAAATCTTCAACTGAAACATATTGACCTAAGAATGAACCAACAGCTTGTGAGCTCTTTGGTGAAGTGCTTGTTGGAAGAGAAATGTTATATCTTCTCCAGAGTTCTTGTGGAGTAGTGAGGGAATCACTGGCCATGACACGAGTTTGCTTGGCCTTATGTTGGAAAACTGGGAAATTGTGAACACCAATCAAAGTCTTGACAGCATAGGACAATGGTTGTGGGAGAGCGAAACCTTGTTCAGAACGATAGATAATCTTACCAGATTCCTTATGAATGAATGGAGTCATCTTAGTTTTAAAGTAACGATCGATGGACTTTAATGGCATATCGACAGTAACAAAGTTTTCATGAGCAGAAACTTGGACAATCTTGGCTTCTGGAATGGATTTAATATATTCCATAACCATGGACTTGTGGGAGGAGTGAGGAGAGGTCAATTTGGCAACTTCATCCATTGTCATGTACTTTCTGAACAGTGGTGATTCTGGATCAGTGATGGCTTCAAATTTAGAGTTCAAAACTTCGAGATTTTGGGAATGCAAAGCAAAGGTAATCTTGGTACGTTGATTATTCAAAACTTCACCAACGATGTTTGGAGAAATGTTGGCATGGTCAAAGAAACGAGTCCATCCTTGAGGAACAAGAGGAGCACTATGTAATTGGACGTATTGGGAATTTAACAACTTTTCGGAAAGTTGTGCATTGGCAAGGGAGAAGATAACACAGAGTGTGAGTGCTATCAGAAGGGATTTGACCATTTTTTTTGTGTATTTGATGTGTTTGTGAAAATTGGTGATTGGGTTATTTAAAGGGAACTGGACTTTTTTTTTACTCCGTTAACGGAATTTGAACTCCTATTCAAAATAAAATAGGAGTGCTTGTAAGGTTTCAAAATGGTTAGTTAATGTACTCCAATCGCTCCGTGAACCATTGAATTTCTGAAGAGAACATTTGAGGATGGTTTTTGAAGAAAGTTAACAATTGCTGATATCTTTCCTTCTCATCAAAACCAATACAGTGTTGCAATTTCCTCAATTCTACTGGACACAACTCTAATGGACGTTCATCACTCTCTTCCATGTGATTTGAGCCATTCATTGCGCACTTGTAATAGATGCAGTGCTTAAAGCCAAACATGTGTCCAATCTCATGAGAAGCCACTTTGCAACTCCTCCTCAATATATTTCTCTCAATGTCTGAGGGAGATTGTGAATGGTCCTCACCATAGAAATCCGGATGATATCTTGCAAATGAAAAAACTCCTACTCTCTCCTCTAAAGAGGCAAAACCAAAGACAAAATTCCACTCATCCCTTGGATACAGATCTACCATTGTTACTGCAATGATACAGTAAGCATCCTTGGGAATGACCTTTTTGAGATATTTGAGAATGTCAGGGGCTTTGTATTGTTCAACTCCGTCATTAAGTCGGGTTGGAAATGTTTTGTAACCTGTTGGATCTTTGAATAGCTTAACTTCAACTCCCCAATAGAATTTCTTAAGAAATTCAACTAGAATGGTCATGGATGGATATCTGGTAGGTTGATCTTCTGGAAATTCCTCCAAACAGCAAATATAAATTACATTTTGTTTTGATCCTCTGCAGGAATAATTGAATATTGAAATTAAATGATTTAAATGAATCAATAGAAATATTTCATAATAATTGATTCAAAATAGATTAAAGTTAATAAATTGAGATTATCAATATTCTACCTACTTGATCCTATTGAATGAACCTCTTTCATAGGATGGAAAGGTTTGCCCGACTTCCTTATGTTCAACTAACCATGATCCTTTCTTTTGTTTTCCTAATGGAACGAATGCATCCTCATCATAATAAATCTTAATTTTCTTCGGAGGCAATGTTGATTTATCCAAAGCTCTTTCTCTTGCCAACTTGGTTGATGGAACAAATGAAGACATTTTTTCTTTTGTGTTATCTGTAAACCACAGACTATTATTAGAACAATAGCTCTTATTAGATTGATATTAAGGCGTTTTATATGCTTACCGTAAGCCTTCCTAGCTCAGTTGGCAGTAGCGCTGTCCTAGTAAGACAGAGGTCTTGGGTTCGATTCCCAAGGGAGGCAATCTTTTGGCTGTTAAGCCACAGATTCGAAATCTTGCCACCCATTCTACTCATTCGTATAATATCATTTCGGGAGAGATACGATGCTAACAACATTCATATGAAACTCACCCATGATAGAAAGTTCTGCTTTTTGGTTGAGATAACTCATTTCGCTTTTATCTGTAAAACAATGGAACAACAACTTCATCTCTTATCAACAACGCGAAACTTGCTTCTCCTGCAACACATAACGACATCTTTACTTAGCAACACAACCAACAGTAATGTAACTTCATCAGCAGGTGCTGCTAGTAATATTGGACAATTCTCACTCTTCAGACAAATCACCCTCGGAATGAGTGCACCGTTCGTATTGGTGTTTGCTTTCCTCTTCTTAATTGTTGTGATAAATTATGCAATTCAATATAAATATTTGGCGAGGAATCAACATATACTATTCGGATTATTGATTGTCTTATTGGCGATTGTAAATTTGAACATGTGGGTGAGGGAGGCAAATGAATTATTGTATTTGATAAGTGATTCGAATGCCGTGTTGGTTTCTTCTTCGATAATGAAGGGAATTGGTAGAGTTTGTAATAATTTGGGAGTTTTACTGTCTATTCTGATAATGGCGCATATTTCAATGGTTTTGTAAGTTTTTCAGTCAATGAATTGTAATTTTACAATAAACAATTTATTCGAAACAGTTTTAAAACTTCCGAATCAACAGGAAATGTTACAAAAAAGACTTTCAAAAGAATTAGAATCACGGTCATTATATTTCTTATAGCCATTTCCCTCTTTGTATTTCTTTCAGCTAGTTTATGTCTCTTATTCGGTTTCGCCTCAGCTTTCAAACTAGTGGACGAATCCCTTCTATCCAATCTCTTAATAGGCCTCATGGTCTTCGCCTCACTCCTTTTCCTCATTTCCATAACCATCTTTTCCATTATCCTAAACTATTCCGGACGATTATTAAGGAAAAATCTCAAAATCGCCAGAGATCGAGTAGACTCCCTCAGAAAAACTCTCAACAATCAGAATGCAACTGATAAGAGTTTGGAATCGAGTTTACAAATGAAAAAGAAGGCACTTCGAAATGCAACTCTTTTACAATATGGAATTACAATTTCAATGATTATTCAGTTTTGTGGGTTTGTGTTCATTCCATTTTCATTGTTGTGGCCCTACTGCACGGTGATTTTTCATGGGTTTTATAATATTGGATATGTTTGTTTAGTTTGCTTTCTATTAGCAATTTATTCGCCACTTTATCAAGTTCAAACTATGTTTAGAAGGATGAGTGTTTCGTCTCAGAAAAAGGAATCTCCAAGAGCTGCTGTTAGTGTCGAAAGTGGTCCAATAAGTCAAGAATTAGAAACTGGAGCTCCAGTCAATCGATCCATTAATGAAATGATTTCAGAAATGAGAGATTTCAAGGCGAAGGATAAGTCAAATGTGGATGAATCATACACATGTGTTGAAATTGTTGTGGAAGATGAGCAACAAGTTTGAAAGTTTCTTATTTCTGAATAGTTTTCTTTCGAATAATTGTCCTTCCTCATATTTGTGAGATTCAAAAATTCAATACGAATCTAGAGCTATGAGAAATATTTGAGCTGTACTTTTTAATACACAAGAACCGAGTACATGTTCCAAAATCCGATGATCGAATCATTTAAATTTTCATTATGAAAATTAATGATGGAAATATCCAATAAAAATGGTAATCATCATTAGGTTGAACTTTCTAATAAATTCTCATCAAGACATCTTACCTAAACTCTTCCGATTAGCAAGCCAACATGTCCTTCTTCAAACTCGATTCATTTCTTCCCCTTCATTCTCATCATTTTTTTTCACAATTTCCAACACAATACAGATTGGTCAACCAATCCTATCAACCAAAAACCCAACAACTCTAATACCAACCTCACCCAACAACTCTCTCCACTACAGTAAAACTACAGTGCTGTGATAAATGAAAATCATTTCCTTGTTCATAACAAACATATGGTTCGTGTACACTAAATTCAAAATCTCTCTCGAGTGATGAGTAGTGGATAAACCCCTTAACAAGCCAGTTGATAGTTTTTAATATCAATTCACCCAAAAGTAAATGTTTTATTCTCCTCATCTACTATAATATAGGTTTCCTCTAATTTTATTAGAAAGTGCCCTAATTGACTCAAGGTTAACTAACTCTATCTGATACTAAATTTGCACAAGTTATTCCAGCGAAAATGAATTTTCTCCAATTTGCTGTGTATGGCAGGGATTCGATCATCCAAAGAAAATTGATAGTTGCAAAAATACCAAAATGGTAGTGAAGGAAAATTGTGATGTGACCTTGGCATATGACGTTCACAAACTTTGGGGAAATGTTTTTACGCGTTAGTTGAAAATTTCAGAGAAGGTTTCAAGAGGAATAATCATTTGTTTCTTAAATGGTATTGTCTACAAATTGTGTTATCTGTTGCATGCTTTCAATTCGAAACTGTGAATGAATTGCAACTACATTCTAAATAATCGAGAGACAAATCGTGATTGGCACCGCATAATTCTATTCTCCTGTTGCAACTCCTCACAGAAAGACCCATTATTACAAACACCAAAACGAAACCAATTTTCAATTCGAAACTCTACCCATTTACAACTGTAAATACAGCAATTTTCACAACACACTTTCCACCATCCATACTACACCTCATAAACTTGTAAAATTGCAAAATTCCATATCTCATATTCATTTGTAAACTCAAATTCTGCTGCTGAAGAAAACTTTGTTCAACTCAAACAAAAAACCTGTTTTCGGAATCATTTGAAAATCCCCTGAAAAATCATTCCCAAAAACAATCGGTGGGTTTTCCGATAAAAATTTATGTCAATAGTCGGAGGGCTGGATTCTAAAAGTGGAGGTAGAAGATGAAGAAATCTTTTCACCACGCACAGTTAATGTTGGCTGGAAGGTGTGGTAGAAATCACAAGGTTATGTTTCTTTGCTTGTTTCGAATAATTGTTGTGCAAAATTTAGTTTGTGTATTGTTCACCATTCATGGTGGTGACTTCTTCTGCTATCTTCCAAAAGTATTGACATACCTGAATGGGAATTTTTGAAAGGCCACACAAGGAGTCTATGCATCCCTCTATTCGAAACATATTTCACAAGGCTTTCGTCTGATTTCTTCCAAGCCAACATCAAAAAAAAAGAATAAGTGTTTGGTTTGTAAGAAAGGTTATACCCAACCAAAACCACACTCCTCGCTCCACTAGTGCCAAATACCAATTTTGTGTTTCGCAACAGGTTTATTTCCCCAAACTATTCGAAACAATTTGCTCAAAAAAAAACCAATCAAATTCTATTTAACCTACTTCTACCGAGAATCTTTGCATCACGCAAATATTTATTGACACAACCAGCATTTCGTCTAATTTGTTGCTGGTCAACCAAGTCGTTACTCTTTGCGATCATTCCAGATCAATATACAACAACTTTACACAAAGACACACAATTAATCTTTGTTCATCTACCACCAACCCTCTCTCTTCAACATAGAATAACTTTATTCTAAACAAACTAATGGACTCTATGGCAATCATTGGCGACAAGACCAAACACAAGAATATTCCCAACGAGGATGGAAGCAATCTTTGTGTATGTTGTAAGCGATACAACCTCCACTACTCTAAAAAGTATAATATCAATGCAAGCAACAGAGATGCTGTAAGTATTTTCACCTACCTTTGAATTATCCTAAACCCTTCTTCTTTCCATTTTCACACAATCTTCTTCATCATCATCTTCATCATTAATATTCATCATCATCATCATCACATGTGTATGAATGCAGTATGTAGCAGCCTTCAACTTTGAGGTGCCAATTGGCGTCTGTTGCAACTCTTGTTATAACAAGCAGGTAAGTAAGAATATTCTCTCTCGATAGATTTTAATGAATATATTGATGAAACATTATCATCAACAACATTTTGCCTCCTGCTGCTGTTGTTGTTATATTGTGAATGTGTGTGCTGAACGATTGCCTCATTACCATTAATAACAATATTGGATTCGGAATTGTAAATTGTCCTTCTTTCCATTTGCGCGCGAAAAATCATTCTCAATCATGGCCTACAATGTGTGCTATCTTCCATGCTGCATTTGCGTTTCGACACACAACATGCTGTGTTGAACCCTCAATGTCTTTATCATCAACAACACACATGTTGATTACCATGATGTGTATGTGGTGGCCACTACTTGGATAATCATTATCATCTACCAACACATGTATATATAGTATCGATTTAATAAGAATCAAAATGGTAATAGTCACCATTCAAATGGATGTGGTGGTGATAATGAAAATAATCAAACGGAAAATTCAGAGGTAAAACCAAAGAGAAAACGAAATTCAAGGAAATTATCCCTTGCTTCTTCATCATCTGCATCTTCTTCGAAAGAGGAGGACGAAACCCTTCGAATTGATGAAGAGGAAACTTCATCTAATAATTCTCTGAAAAGATCATCTAACTGTTCCTCTTCTGATCAAGAGGTTTCATCATCAAAGAAGAGAAAACGTTCATTGACTTCGTTGGTGACGACCACAAACACAACTACCACAGTTGACCAAAATAATCCAGTTGATCAATTACAGAATTCACAAAATGATTTGTTGACTCCCTGGAATGCACTTTCAAATCAAGATGATGAATTCTTGAATTTATTGGAAAGCATTCCCACGGATAATAATTATGTGAAATCGAATAATCAAGTCGAAACCCTTCTTCCACAAATTCCACACCAACCAACAACTGCTTACTCTCTTCAATCATTACTGAATGAAATGGCCAATACCATTCCAAATAATAATAATATCCACAATTCTTCAACTCCTCAATATTCCAACATGATACTTTACAATCAATTTAATAATAACAATACGAATAATTTAAATACAGCAACAGTGAGTTCTACAGCATCCTCTCCTTCCAAATCATTTGTGGATATGGTTTTAGGACAAGACACAACCACCAAAATGTTAAATTCTTTGGATATTAATGAATTGGCCATGAAGAGAATGAAAGCCACAACCAGTAATGGACACAATCAACAACAAGATCACCATCCATTGATGGGCATTCCAAATGTACAGTTAGCATCTGCTTCGAATAGTAACAATGAAATGGTTCAGCCATTTTGTATTCTAGATCAATCCAATAATTCCAATTCCAATATTACTAGTAATATTACTAGTAATAATAACACCACAACTCCAAATATCATGACATCCAATTTATCAACAAGTGCAGCTGCTGCTCAATTCTATAACACGTCTCCATCCTCAGCTCCATTCCTTTCTCAACTCTTCTCCTTACCATCATCCAATTCACATCAACAATATCCAGTAGTGACTCCTCAATTTTCACCAAATGGAACTGCTCAAGCTGCCATGTTTGTCATTTTCTTTGATGAGACGAAGATTTTAACAGTGGCAGATTATTCACATTATGAAAATTCACTCATGACTTCCAAGTTTTCAATTCACAAATGTTGCACATTCTCATTCTTGTGTGAACAATTGAGTGAAAAGATGGTCAATGAGAAAAAGTTGTGGAATAATAACATGTTAAAATCCATAACGCAGATCAAGTTGAAGAGAAATGGAGTATTGACACCAATTGACCCATACACAACACCTCAATTACAATTTGAGCATGGTGATGTTTTATTGGTCCATTTGGTTTAGTTTACTTCTTCTTTAAACAGTACATTCTGAGAGCAAATAAACCCTTTTCCCAATTTTTCTGTTTGGTATTTTCAATAACTTCAAATTTGGATTGAACTTGTGAAAATAAAAACAAATAGTGATTATTACTACGAGTTATTGAGCCATCATCTGAATCAACAACAAAACCCTTTCCTGAAATATTCTCCTTGAAGCACAAAACTCCTCCATCAACTAGTAATTCATAACAATATTCCAAAAATTTGACAAAATCTCTATCAGTCAAGAAACAGGCACACCATTGAACCCAAATACACTGTACAATGTCAATAAATTTTCAAAATGAATAAACCTACATGATATTTTCCTTTACATTCTTCTGGAATGACCCTTGACAATTCATGCAATGCACAAGCATAAGTCTCCTTGATCTTGTTGCATTCTTCCTTGGCTTTAATCAAAAATTCCTCATTAACATCCTCACAATCAATATAATCGAAATGTTTAGACAGTAAATTTTTAGTAACACGTCCATTTCCACTATTTTAACATTATTAAATATTAATTAACAATATTATTTTGTTACATCCAAAGTAATAATAATATCGTCATCATCATTAACAATTATTTTTCTAATCAAATACAAATAAAACATACCTTCCGCATTCTAAACAATACATGAAAGACTTTTCTCCTTCTCTACCTGGTGTAACATCCTCCAAAACTTTACTCAATAAAAGCGAACTCTCTTTAATATCCCTATCGTGAACATGAGTAAAACCTCCCAACATTCCATTCATATCATTCGTAACCTTTTCCTTCCAATAATCTGTTGATTTTTGATAAAAATCCTTCTCTGCAACATCCCAAAAATCCTTCAATGATTTATAATTTTCATCATAATCGGAGGAAATTCCAATCTCATCAACAAGTTCAGAATAATCTAACTCTCCATCATCGGCCATTGCTGTTTCTCCTTCTCTTTTCATTTTTTTTATTCATCATCTTTTTCAATTTTTAATTTATTTACCGAATGATGATGATTTAGAGTTTGATTTGATATTAAGAAGAAGAGCATCATTTGCTTTAACGGAAGTAATACATAAATATAGAGGCAAACACACTAGGAATATTTGCTATAAATTACCTCATTAAGGACCTCCAAAAAAAAATAACCAGCAACCTTATCAACATATTTGGACCTTACTTGGTGGGGACCAAATGCTTGCTGTATTGCAATTTTGTTCTCTATCTATTATTTGTGGGCAGCTTAGGCTGCATTGTTGTTGCATGAATGGGGTAACATTTAGAAGGGTTGTTGTTGATGTTGCTGTGCGGGAAGGCTTATCAACAATCTCAATTTTTTATACAATCGATAATGATTGAGAACTGTAGTCAACTACGGTCGATCAATAGAGAATTCATCTTTGATTTAATACTATTGTATAAGAAGATACTATGAGAGAGAGGAGGTGGATACAATTTGATTTGGTAATACACTTTTCTGGACACTTTAAAATAAATCTGGATTGATTCAAGTCGAACACTCAACCTTTCAGATGTGAACAATGATCTATTTAACCCATTATCTGTTAGCTTACCCAAATTGTGATCTTTTGAATAGTCAAAGAGCAATACTTCGTACTAACCTCAGACAAGTATGAAATAGTTTAAATGTCACTTTGGAAAAATAACATAAATTGCAATGGTAAACGAGTAGACAAAGAATCCTCTCTCACAATAATACTAAGGGATCATTGTTGGATGAATAATTTCTATTGTGTCCAATCCCTAAAAGAGCCACAATATCAAAAAACAAGAACCAAACACATTTTGGCAAAGAAATCCTTTCGCCATAACGATCGTACAATCTTGCCATAGACTTTGGACAATACGTGTATAATCCATAAAGTGAATGAACTATCGTATCGTAATATAAAACCATACAGTACGAATGTCCAATTGATCGTTGAAAGGAAACATAACCAATATCGTGCACACCAGAATTGTTATGTACGCCAAGTTATTTGGTTGAAATTGTACCACTCAAAGCAACTTTGCTTTAATCTTCAACAAAAAAGAAATACAATTAAACCAATGCCAGATAACAGCATGAAGAAGAAACAAACAAGATCTAATTGCAATCAAAAGCAGTTGGTTGTTGTGGAAAACAAGCAACAACAAATTCCACACTGCTCACTTTTAGTCTTTGAATCGAATAAGAAAACAAATAAGAAGAGAGAAAATCCATTCGATGGCTCGTGTGATATTTCCAACTTACTTTTACAGAGTGATTATTCTTCACACTCACCATTGACTCATAACTCATTCGAAAGTAAGAAGAAGAAACGAAAGCATTCGACTGATTCATTACCACCTCCTCATTCAAATCAAAACAGGGAACAACTACCATTAAGTGGCAATTCTCCAACTCTAAATAATCAACATTCAATAATGAATCCTAATCGAATGATGGTTACAAGTGAACAACAACCATTGTCCACTCCATCTCCATTCACTTCCTCTCCAGTTCTATCCAATTCGTCGACCAATTCGTTCAAGATTCCACAACAACTCACAAACCGAAATCAAACCAATCAGATTCCACTCTTACTTTCAATAACCACAATGGGTAACACAGATTCAAACACACAAAATAATCACGATTCGTTAATTTCTCCACATTTAAACAATGGAAGCAATTGCAGTAGTGGATTATCTTCTTCCTTTTTCGAGGATATTTCCTCCTCAATTCTGTATCTAGTCACTGGTAAAAGAGATCATGAGCGAATCAATGAAGAATCTCTTACCAATCTAACCAAACAGCAGTCCTGTTGTTGCAATCCATCCAGTCAACACCAAGATTCAGAGCACCAACATTACAATAGAAAATCCATCCAAACTCCCTCAACTACAGTTTCACAATCACCATCATTTCCCTCACCAAAACACTCACTACCATCCATGTCATTGACTGGCGATATTTGTGTAATGCATGACGACCTGAATCCAAACCAATCAAAACACCAACCATTCAATTATGGAAATAGTGGTCCTTCTTCAAATTGTTATCTGTTTCCAAATAGTGGCAATGACCAACCATTTGGTTTAGAGCAGAGGGCAGGGTTTTCAATAATGGCCAATACAGAAAAGAGTTTCAGAACTAGAGGTTACGATGCGCAACATTTGTCGGAGGATGAAAGTGAGGGAGAGAATTCGATTCGTTTCCTACCTAGTATTGCATCTCTATTAGAGAGAAAATAAAATTGCAATTATGAAATTGTAAACGTTGAGTGTTTTATTTGATATTGTATTGAAAACTTGTCATGCAATGGAAATCCGTGTTGTATGCTGTTGGAATGTTTGATTCGAATAAATGCATCAATAATCCAAACTAATCATATAAATAAACTCTTGCTCAACAATATTAATTCCCAATAATACTCAATAATCATTGTAATGCAACTCAACCAAGTTCAATAAATCCAAATGAACAACATTTAGTAATTCTCTATTTTGGACACAAACACATTTTTTGACATTTTGACTGTTGAAAGAACCACCAACTATTCTCCTTGTCCAAATAGTAGCCACAAACAACCAATCAATTGGCGCCAAATTTCTAACAAAGTAAAAACCCAAAAAAATGCATAGATTCTCGTTTTTCGAATCTCGCCAAAACTGAAGCTGTTGCATCTCGATCTTCAGTCAAGCAAAATTCTTTTGGTTTTTTCGAGGATAATACCATCACGTTTATATGAATTCTGCACATTGGTAATATCGGGATGCAATCAACGAATAATTGGCAACAGGACGCATCATGATCTGCTGTACGATGTGCTGATTTTGTGCTACTCCTGAGAGTGCTGGTTTGAATAAATAGTTGGAGAGATGATTGCGTTCTGAGAGAAAAACCAAATCTAAAAAAACAAACAAGATTCTACTACAATTTTACTTTGAACAGTAACTGCCCAGTTGTGACACAACGTTTATTGATCGAATCAAATTTTATAATTATTATTATCATTGCATCGGAAAGAATGAAAGAAAACAAATCAGATTGTCAAGAGCATTCTCATCAAGTGAGATATCATCCTTATAGTAAATTGCCTTCGAAACAAGTTTTGGAAGAATTGACTAATGATTTTCCAGATATTGATTTATCAAAGAATCCAATTAAGGGAAAGATGGGCGAAATATTACAAATTCTATTTGCCATGGTAATTCAAGAGACACTTAATTGTGAAGGTTATTTGCCAACTGCTTCGTCGGATGGTGGTGCAACACACCAATCCACCACAACCCATCTCAATATTCCAAACAATACACCCCAACCAAATCAATTCGCTAACCATGATGGAGTTAAGGAAGAGGAGCAAGAGGAAATTTCTTGTGGTGAAACACCATCCCTTGAAATTTACACCCCTGCCACAAGTGAACCATTAACAACTTGGGAGCAATCCAATGCAGTTCCTTCCACTAGTTGTGCCTTGTCCACAGAAACTATAAAGTCACCGTCATCACAAACAGTAAAAGAGGAACCAGAATCGGAATAGAGACCATCCAATAAGGATCCACAATTGAGAAAGCTCACATTTGAGAAATCAAGTGGTGATTAGTTTTATCACCCTAACTCTTGTAAATTCTCATTAAAACACACAGACCTTGCATTACACTGAATTGGCCATGGAATATTTAAAGGACAAATGAAGAAACGCCTATTAAGGAAGATATTGTTCCAACGGAACAACTTGCATTACAAGCCTCCTGTTTGGAGATGATAACGATCGTAACATTCCTGTACAAGCCGTAACAGCGAGAGAAGAATAAAGCACCCTGTTTACTATTTTCTGTGCTCTTTTCATTTCAAAAAAAAGAGATGAAATTCAGCATTGTGCACTTTGAGAAACCTTCTTCTGCCAATACCACCCACAACTCTTCAGACAATGTTTTATCATTCTCTCAACAAAATTCGCTGAAACACCACTCCTTCTCCTCTAATAATGCTTCATTCTCTGGTGGGAGAAAATCACCACCAAATCAAAAACTTGTAATGACTCGAAGAACTGAAATTCTGGAGCCATTGAAAAAGTTAGATGATTTGAAACAGATTCAATTATCAATTATTCAACAACGGTTGGCTCAATCAAACTCTTCGAGTCAATCAAGGAAATCACCTGAATTGAATAGTTCCACGACGAAGGTGGCTCAATCTCTTCTAAATCAATCCATTGTGAGTAGGAGGACAGTTCCACCTCCTCAAACAATTCCTTCCCAACATACTCATGTTATTCTCCATTCTCCTGTGAATACAGTTCATTACGAACAAGCTACTGCAACTCTTGCTATACCAATAATTTACCAGCACCAAACCAATTTGCAAATTCCACACAATCACCATCCCATGCTTATTCCGAATACAATCAAATATCAAGCACCTCAAAATTACCATCACCTCCCTGTAAATACTCCACCAAAACCAGCATGTACAGTATCGTATGAGAGAGTAGTGTCCTATGAACGCCCTCATGCTCCATCAACCATGAATCCTCCTCATCAACACCATGCTCCAAGCTCTCTAGCTCTACAAGCAAAATCAGCTCAGGAGCACTCTCCACATCCTCCTCCTCAATACTCTAAACAAACCATTTCAAAACCTTCCAAAATGTCAGAGAATGCATCATGTGGAAGAAAAATCAAACGAGTTTCCATTTCCTTCAATGAACTCCTCAATGAAGACCATGAATTTAAATCAAGCCATTAATTAAACTCATTCTTATTGAAGGAATTATAAACTGTCGATTCAATGTTCAACTTTATTCTCAAAGCAAAAAGAGTGAATAAGTTTTACTTGCAAAGAGTCAATTTTCCTTGAATTTCCTTTTCTAAGGGAGATGAAAAAACCGTATCTCCACCATGGAGTGTTAAGGCAATGGTTTTTATTATCTCTCATACCATGGTATTACCACAATAATGGAAACACGATGAACAAGCAAAATTGAACAGTATTTTGACAATGTTCATCATGATGAGGATTCTATAGGATAAATCAGAGAGGACGTGGAAGTAATCGGATTGTATTTTTCTCTCTAAATCACTTTTGAAGAAATGAGAGTTATTTGTTGTTTTTGTAAAATGGTTAAATAATTGTTAAATAATTAAAGTATTTAAAAAAAAAATGATGCCACAGCAAAGTAATCAAGGCAATTCAAAAGATCATCCAATAGTAGTGGACGAAGAAGATGAAGGAAAATTACCAATAACAACAACAACTAATAATAATAATGGTAGCAATGCAATTATTGATCACCTCTCCGATGAAGGTTTGTTTTAACCGATCAATTTATTAATATAATGAAACTCTTCCGATCTGTGATCAATTTAATCTTCTTCATAACCTCCTCTGATTAATACTTTACAATTATTCTTGATAATATTAATAATTAATAATATAAATTTATAATTAATTAGAAAAACGATTGAATGAATTTGTTGAGAGAAAATTTCCAGAATGGAAGGACGATAAATCAATGCTCTTTTACATGAGCAATTTTAAAAAGTCTAGACAAATTAATATCAATGATTGGGATACTAGATTAAAGTTTTGGAGGAATGTTCTCTTATCGATCATTTCGGAATTTTATAAAAATTCAATCTTGATTGTTACGATTGGCCAAATGAAAACTTTCATGAGTAGACGTAAGAAGAGTGATGAAGGTATTGTGGAAACTACATTGGGATGGCAAACTATCATTGTAAGTTTTGAATTTTATAAACTTGATAGAATGATTGAATTTATACAGCAACAAATGATTCATGATGGAGATTTGATTTCAATTAATGAATTTAAAAAAGTGTATGATATTAGTAATAATCAGGGAATAACTAGTTGGTTGGTGGATGTGGCCACAACATGGTTCTTTGGAAGACAAAGTTCCTTGACCAATACTGGATCAGATGTTGCTGTAAATAATACCAAGATCCATGAAGATAATCAATATATTGTCATGAAACCTCTCAAGGAAATAACTTATAATTTTATTAGAAATGCAGTGAAAAATCATGTAACAAATGTTGACTTGTACTTTTGTCCAAGTGAATTGAGAGAAATTCACTTTCCGAATTATGATTTCAGTCAATTGGATTTGCTATTGAGATATATGCATTGTGAAGAGGCAGCCTATGTGATTGAAATTTCAAATTCCAAAAAGGGTGTTGTCTGCTTTGAGGAAGCAGCAATCAAAAAGACATTTTTAAAGCAAGGAGAAATGTCTTCACAGAAAGCTGCTGGTATTATTCACTTGAAAGAAAGTATGAGTTTACTCAAAAAGGAAGTCAAAAGTTTGGAATTAAAGATGGAAAGTCTCATCCACCAAGCAAAAGAATACATTACCAAGGGTAAGAGGGATGAAGCCAAATGGATTTTAAAGAAGAAAAAGCTTGTTAGCAATATTTTAGAGAAGAGAAATGCAGCTCTTCATAATGTTTTTGAATTATTGAGCAGTATTGAAAATGCCACTACTGATATTGAAGTTATTAAGAGTCTTTCAGTAGGAGCAGGAACTTTAAAACAATTCAATACAGAACTGAATACCATTCAAGACGAGTCTCTTGAAAATATTGCAGAGGCACTCTCTGACTATAAGGAAATCAAAAATATAATCGATTCTGGAATGGAAGAAATGAACAAGGCTCAAGGTTTGGAATTTAATGAAGAAGAGCTGAGTAAAGAATTGGAAAGATTAGAAATGGGAAATTTGGAGCCAACATCCACTGAAAAACAACCTACAACACCTCAAAAGGAAGGCTCCAAAACATCGGAAAGCAACAAGCCAGAAGAACCAATTTCATCCTTCCCAACTACGGATGATCTACCAACAGACAGCTTTTCCATTTTGGAATATGAACGAGACAACTCCAACAATGAAGAAATTAAGGAGTTTTGTACATTGAAACTTAAAATGCTCAATCTCAAGAAAAAGATGAACAAATTCAAACCTTTAGAGGTGGTACCAAAACTGCAACAAAAGATATTACAATATGAAAAGCAACAACAAGAGTTGAAAAAGAAGGGTGATAGTGTTGGATGCAAAAAGATTGATGTTTATTTATCACTGTTACTTACAGAAATTGAATCTTTAACTGAAGTAGAAGATAAACAACAGGAAAAAGTACCAGTCCTCAATTAATCTCAATTAAACAACATTAATTATTTTGAATAGGTCTGATTCTACCATATGTTTTTGAATCCAATCTTTTGCCGTGTCTAGATGGACTTTGAGTGTTTGAATGAAATATTCTTGCTTTTCTTGATAAGGAAGTAATTTGGAAAGGGCTAATTTGTTAACAACAATTTCAATCATAGTATCTGCAACAAGTTTCGACGCTTCCATTGAGAAAACATTTTCCAGTAAGAGAATGGAGTTGAACTTTTCCAATAAATCTCCAAGGCCATCATGATAAATTTCCAAACTATCCCATTCATTTTGGTTGGATTTGTTTTCCAGTGGTATTTGTTGTGATCTGTAAATGGCGAGCTTTGAAATGATGGACAAGACTGCTATCAGTTTAGAATTTCCATCATTCAGATATTTGAGTACGAGAGACCATAATCCATTCAAAATCACAGTATTAAATGTAAAGTTCCAATCATCTACTAAACAAGTGAGCAAGCCCAATGCATTCGATGCTTGTGCTATGGATTTTTCATCTGTACCTGTATGAATACTCTCAATAATGGTCTGCGAGAGGGAAGGTGGTGTGAGATTTGTTTGATCCTTTAACTTGTAAAGATCCTTGAGTTTTTCAATATCTCCAATAGCCTTGGTATTCTCGGCATCTAATAAGTTTTGACTCGAACTAAGTTTGCTTTGCATACTACAGAATGTAAAATAAATTGCCAAATCTAGAGGAGAGTAGGTGTCAAATCCATTTGTAATTAACCTCCTGTTTGAAGTTAGCATGGCAAGTAAAAGTTGGAAATTAGAATACTTAATCATTCCAAATTGGTTTCTCGTATTTTGTAAGCTATATTGTAATATGTAGTAAAATATCTCCTTTACCCTGGAAAACATGCAAAAGTCAGGTCTGGCAAATTTAGCATTACTAATTGTACTAATACCAGCCAAAAGAGCCATCAACTTTTTGAATGATTGGTCACTACTCTCAATACCGGTAATAAATGAAGTGATTGTAATATACAAATTAGCAAAAATGGTTTCCAATAGTTGGTTGGAAAAACTATAAATATCCATGTGATCTAATAAAATTATACATAATCCCCACTTTTCACATGATGCCTTACTTGCGATCAACTTGGCAATAATTGTTAAAATACCATTGGCTATTTCATTCGTTTGCTTAGGGTAATTTGTCCAAATTTTTTTACAAGCTCTATTGACATCTCCTAGTAGAGATGATTGATGCTTGGTCTCACTAAAGAATGGCTCAAATTTACAAATAAAGTTGATAAAGATATTCTCGATATAAATCTCCACAGTTTGATTCTCCAATTTTTCAAAGAATATTGGTGGTAATTGTGGTGTTGACAGTTCATTATTTGAACTAGCCACTGTAGTTGGAACTGTTTTAGGTGGTGGCATTTCTTCCCTTGATTTTTCCACTGCATCCTTATTAATTCTCTTTTCAACTATTGAAATGTGAGATGGGGATGGCATTTGAATTATTGAGGGTGTAGAAACAGGTTTGGAAGATGGCAAAACTTCTTCAAATTCTTCAGAAGTTGGCTTTTTCATCTTTTTCAATTTCCTCTCGAGTTGTTTCTCCTTCTCCTTTTCTTCATTCTTTCTCTTAAGGGTTGTAGTTGTGGTGGTAACGGTAACTGGTTGTAAAGGTAGAGTTGGTTTAGGTAGTAACAATGGCTTTGATGGCAATTGAGGAGGAGTAATTATATCAATCGATGTATCCATAGATCCAAGTGGTTCAAATTCATCATCATCGTCATTTTGGCTACTAGCAGGAATGACAACTTCTTTTGGTTTGCTAATTGGTGTAGAGACAGCTCTACTAGGATACTTTTGAGCAATGTACCTTTCCAACAATGATGCCTCTGTATTAACAGCCACAGATTTGCATATCTTCTTTTCCTTTTCTTCAGAAACAGTTGGTTTGACAATTGCAAAATCAGCATATGACATGAATCCCTTCTTACTTCTCAATTCGGTTAATTCTTTCTGAGCTAATGCAAACTTGGATCTTAGTTCTTCCACTTGTTGCTGAGTAGCCTCTTGTTTCTTCCATTTCTTTTCCTCAGTTTCAAATTGTTTTTTCATCGTGTCCTTTTCAGAATTCACTCTTTCAATTTTTTCTTTAAGGGTTTTCACCTTATTTTCCAACTCTATTTTTTCAAATCGTAATTTTTGTAATTGAGCCAACTGCTCAGATGAATCATTTGATTGTTTTGGTGGTGGTGGAGCATTCTTCTTCAAATTAGCATTTTCAGTCAAAAGTATTTGATTTTGTTGATAGAATTTTTGAAGCTCACCATTTTGTTCCTCTATTCTCTTTTTCAATCCATCATGCAATTCAATTAAAGCCGAAACATCAATCATTTTCTTTTTAATTTTCTTGATATTCGACATTAATTTCTTATTCATTTGTTTTTCCTTTTCCAATTGTTGTTTCAAAGCCTCCACTTCATGAGGTCCACCAACACTACCACCACTACCATTCACGACACTCTCATTTTGCACACCATGATGATTATCATAAAAAGTCATCCTGTTGCTTGTTAAATTAATACTCATGAGTCCTCTTCCATAAGCTCTTTGAATTCAAAAAAGATTCCTTTATGTGTGCCCGATTGTCTAGTTTGATGATCAAAAAAACTCTCAAATTTTAAATTCCGAGAGAGAGTTTCGTTCTTGAACTTTTTTTTTGAATATTTTTTTTGTTGAAGATGAAGTTCTTTTCAAATTCCGAATATGGCGCCAAAATTAGATCATCCAAGAAGGCAGCAAGATGAAATTGAATTTTCAAAAGTTTATTTGAAATCACCACTTTTTCATCATTTTGAATTCCTTCTATCTTGCACTATTTAAAATATTAAATATTTAAATACTTTTATACAATGTTACAAAAATATTTAATATTAAAAAAATTGGAATTAAAAAAAAATGATTCAACAACATCCGACGCTGAGACAAGTTTCCTTTGTCGATTCGCATGATTTGTACTTTGATCAAAAAACAAGCCTTGCTCAGAATGCCATTCTCTTGGAAGACGTTGATGGAGATGGTTTGAGAGAATTGGTGATTGGAAATATTAACGGAACATTGTGTATTTATCAATTTATTCAATACAAGTATCCGAAATATGTTTGTGTTAATTTAGGAACGGTGGGTTTTATTTGAATTGATTTGGATATATATTGGTAATATAATTTATTATTTATAATTATTATTATTATGAATATTGACTTTAATTTATTATGATTATGAATAATTTATTTATTTTGGATTAATTGTTGAATATGATTAATTTCGGAATGAATTTAGATTTCAGCAATAATTTATGGAAAATTACCTGCTTCATCGTGTGGATGTTGGGAGGCAATGCCAATTTTAATTGTTATTTGTGCTGAGGGAGAAGTACACTTTTTCAAATTCACAGAACGTCCATCGACAACTCTTAGTAATTGTTTTGATGATGCACAAAGTGTGGAAAGTCAAACTACCTTTAATACGAATCATCCCTACACTATGGAAAATGATAATATCAGTGTGAATAGTTATGATAGTTCCATGACTGCTGATAGTCAATCGAATCCTTTTCATGATATGTTGTCATCATTGGGAACTGGACAAGATATACCAACACCATTGCATATACCTTCTTCATATTCGAGTAAGACATCACTTGATACTACACCTATAACACCAACTGAACAGGGCAATTTTGTGCCACCTTCAAGAAGTCCATCTCCACCGACTGCACAATTCCATCAACCAACAGTTCACATTAATTCAAGAAATAGAAGTGAGGCAATTCTTCCATTTTTAACTTCGAGGATTCCATGTAATATTAATTGTGCAATTAGTTTTGATATTGATAAGGATGGAGTTGAGGAAATCATTTTTGGAGGAAATAATAGAAACCTCTTTGTTTACAAATTTATGGAAAAGCAAAATGGAGTCGATTTTGTTTTTTTGAAGGAAATTTACACGAAGGATAATCAAGTTAATAGTATTTCCATTCACAATGATTCGATAATATTAGGATTTGTATCAGGAGGTTTTGGAATTATTTCATCAATAGATACTGTAATAATTATTGAACCAAAACATATTAATTTCAAGAATGAACCTCTCACAGTGGTTGGTAATGTGAAATTTGGAGAAAATCAATGTGTAGCCCTCTCAGGATTGAGCGGAGAAGTCATAGTAATCGATCCATTCAAACAATTCAACATTACAGAAGAGATCCTCTCCACGAAAGGCACCATCGTTCACGCACCCAACTATACCATCACTAAGCAAAACTATCATCAATATTACGACTATTTTGTCAATATTGAACATGAAATTCTCTCCCTCAGTGCGCACAATTTCATTACATCCTCTCAAAATTCTCAATTACTGATAACATCATGGGATGGTATCATTTACATTCTCGACCACGAGAAGAATATCGTGACCTACAATTTCAAAAACCAACTAGCCAATTGTTATTGTGGAAAATTTTCGCTCACTCCCCGACACAATAATGAACTGGTCCTCATCCTCTCCTCTTTCAACACTGAATACATCCACATCTATTACAACATTCAATTGGAAAACATTAGAGCCACCAGCATGTTCACTCACCTCCAAAAAGATCCAGAGCTGGCCAATCTCCTTTCCCTCCAAGCTCAAGAATCAAAAACTTCCATTCCTTCCCTCATTCACTCTCTTCTCTATGACCAAGTCGATCAACAATAAATTCACTCTCTCATCGTCATGACTCTATTGCTGATTATTACCTCAAATGTTCCCTTCATTACAGTCTTTCTTGCCTACATTTATCAATATTCCAATATTCACAACCAATTTATTTGTTTATTGAATTGTAATGTGGCGCCTTTCCAAAAACTCTCCAAGAAAAAATGTCTACGAATCATCCACAGGAGGAGCAACAATATTTATCTGCGACCCAGATGATGAATAGCAATAGTAACACACAACAGCAACAACAGATGGCTACTCGTTTGATCGTATCCAATGGAGGAGGAGATAATCATCAGCAGCAACAACAACAAATATCTACAACAACAACAACAACCACGAGAATAATTCCTAATATTGTATCATCGGCAAGTGTATTGTCTGATCATGATGTTTGTTATGAGAAATTATATCCACAATTATCTTTGAAGGATAGAGAAAAGGGATTGTATTACTTCTTTTATGAATTGTATTTGTATTTTGGAAATGATGATGATTTGGAAAAGATGCCAACTCCATCAACACACTCGAAACGAAACGTGTCTTCTTTGAAAGAACGATTATTTGGCAAGATTTTCAAACATTCAAATAAGGGAATGGTGTCATTGGTGTGCCATTTTATATTACTGGCTCAGTGGATTACATTGTTCACGGATTTTCATCTGCCATGGCATCGATCAAATGTAAAATATTTCAAATACCTGTCAGTGATTGGAAATTTAAAGATTTCTTATTTGTGGGATGATGACTCGGATTTTGTGGGAACACTTTTAGTACCATTCCTATTTGCAACATTTGTTACTCTGACACTGTTAATTTTGACTGGTTTTTGCTTTTACAAATCTTGGAAATCATATCAATTTTTGAAAGGAACCAGAGAAGTGGATTCTTATGAAAATATTCAAGATCATCCTCAGATGATTATATTCAAACAAAGAAATGAAAGGAAGAGAGTTGTGGCTTTTTGGTTATTATTTAATTTAGTGGAATTATTACCTGCAATGGTTATTCCAGTGAGTCTTGGATTTTTCAATTCAATCCAATCTCTAAATGTATTTATATTAATTCCAAGCTTATTATTGGTCTTTCCATTCATGATTGTTTCATATGTTTATCTGATACATTGTTACGAGTGGAGATTTGATCTGGGAAACATGTGTGCAAAGAGTAACTCGAGATTGGATATGATTTTATACTTTTCATGTTTTGTTTCATGCTTTGTTCATAGCATGTTTACTCACCCTATTATGATTGTCATTGCAATGTTTGTGGACTTTTTCCTTGTCTTGATAGTATTGTCGGTGAGCATACTTTTTGTCTCGTGGTACAAGACGGCTATGAATATTGTTGCCTGTATAATGATATTCAGTTCTTTATTTATTTTGTCCATAACATCCATGCTAGCAGTTTTGAAAGCATTTATTCCATCCATTGAATATAATAATGGATTTTATTCTGAGCTAACTATTTTTGCATTGGTTTTCATTTGCATAATTATTGGATATTGCTTTGCAAGAGTAAGAGTGGCATTTAATGAAATTATTGTGAGCGACCAAGCTCGTGCTGAATATTTATTGAACAGTCAGAGAAATGCATTAATTATACCAAAAAGAGATTTTGAGGTGGAAATGTCAATTAGAACTATTGGATGGATAGCCAATTTTTTCGAATCCAAAACTATCAACAGACCACCTGCAACCTCTGAGGATGAAATTAGAGAAAGATTGGAAGAAACTATGGAAATTGATCGAGTGGATGAAATGTTCCAACATGCCATGGATCTTGAGCACAATCTTTCACCATTTGTTAATTTGTCATACTCTCAATTTAAAAAGTATGCAAAAAATGATCAAAGATATTCTGACAATGTAGTAATCATTCACAGATATTGTGATTGGAAATGGTTAGATATCCGATACATGTTCTACCTTAGAACAAGGTATTGGTTTGAGTGTGAACTATTGAAGAAAATGAGTTTGATAAGAGATAGCAATGTATAAAACGTTATAATTTATAAATTATTCTTCTACAAGCTCCATATTACCATATGTACAATATGAACAAACACTATCTTCTGCACAAGTATCAGAAATACATCCTAAACTTGAGCAATATGAACACTTCAAGTGTCGTGATGAAATAACTTGATAAGTCTTCCAACAGAATTTCAATGGTTTTTCTTCTGTTGCCTCTGAGAAAAGTTGTGCCAATTGTGCATCAGCATTAGAGAATCCCTTTTCAGAACATTCTTGATATCTCTTTTGAAGTTCTTCCTTCACTTTTGGAATACTTTCGGTGAGTGGAATAAATTGCTTGATAATCGAGCTAGTGATACCATAGTTGGCAGCATTCATATTTCTCTTGATACCCATATTGTAACAGACAATCTTATGCTTATTAATTACATTGATTTGACAAATAAATGTTGCCAATCTGGCGAGTTCTTTGGCATCGGCTTGATTTTCTACTGTTCTTATTCTGGCTAACAAGTGAATCAATAATTTGTAATTTACACAAAGAATAATACTATTCTTCTTAAGGATTTGAGTACTATCCTTAACTAGAGCTGAAATAGCAGAAACAATTTGATTTCTTGCTTCCTTAAAGTCACCTTTTTCCATAGCTGTCATACCATCCTTCAAGCATTGAGTTGGATTAATATTAACAAGCTTAGGTCCGTCGTCTTCATTGCTTTGACTGGATGGTGTAGAAGGTGTTGGTGATTCTTGGGTAGAATCATTGGCTGACTCTTGCTTGTTGTTGATTGTAGTGACACCTCTTCTTCTTCTATTACGACTACTACTGGCTCCTCCCAATCCACCAAGTCCTGACATGGAATCTCTAATATCGGTGGCTGAAGCATCCTTGTAGATAACTTCTTCCTTAATCTTAAGACCTTGGAATGCCTTGGTCCTTTTATCTTCTTCCTCATCATCAGAATCGCTATCATCAGAATCACTGTCACCCTTTCTCTTTGATTTTTGATCTTTTGTGGATGTCATTTCACTAGTTTCATCATCATCCTTCTCTGATGCTTCTGTAGCTGATGTAGTTGAACCGTTTGGTACATCCAAGGAAGGTGGAGCTTGCAACTTGTGTGGTAGTGGTGGCAATTTACTTGTTGATTTACCTGCTGGCTCATCTTCTTCAATTGATGCTGATCCTCCTTGACCACCAAAGTCATCCTTGAAACCAACCTCTTCAAGATTTTCCTTTCCAACTGACATGGTTCCATAACCCAACCATTTAAGGAAATCAGTCATGTCCATCTTGGAAATTTCCTCTTCAGAAGATGGCATACCTCCCAGAGATGGTGGAGTAGTAAGACTTGCATCTCTACCAGAGTTGAGTTGATCAGTAACCTTTCTTTCACCAACGAGCATTCTTCCCTTAATTTCAGTACTAACTTCGTATTCCTTAACATCTGTAACCTTAAATGGCCAATCATCAACATTTACATCCATAGAATTAATGGTGATATCATAACTTCTTATGAAATCTTCAATCACTTCAGGTCCAATCAATAGAGCACAAGCTGTATAAATTGAATAAAAATCAGGTGAATCTCTACATCTAAGTGCTAATAGCTTCAAGCCATTGGCATTATTTGTAGTTGTGAATAAATTAAATAATCCCCAAACATCATTGATCATATCAAAACATTTGAGAGCAACAGAAAATTGACCATATTCTAAAGAAGATTTGGCAAGATCTACAAAATGTGTGTAGAACTTTGAATTCTTAGAAATAAATCCAGTACGATCATGAGACTCTTCTTCATATTGAGAAACCAAAACCTTCAAGGCATAAGAAAAGTTCATTGAACTCTTAGCCAATCTTAATCTCAACTCCCATGAAAAGTTAAACAAACTGTTTGTAACAAGCTCGGATGCTAAGTGAGGGAAACCTTGTCTCTCCAAAAAGTACAAGGTTTTTTCAGAAACATTTCTACAATCAAATCTTTCGGTAACCTTTCTTAAAAGATCGCCTCTTTGTTCATCAGAAAGCTTTTCTTTTGGAATTGATAAAATACCCAAAAGCAAAGGTTCTACAATGTTCAAATAACGATAGGAAATTGTTGGGGTTCTATCTTTGTGTGAGACAAAGTAAACTCTGTCACATAAAGTGGCGCACAACACTGATTCAGAATGATCCAATGTACCAATGTAGGCACTAGAATTATTGGTAGATCCATATGGATGAAGACAGTGAATAAAGTTTTTAGAATTGTAGAGGAGTACTGTTCCTACCCAGAGAATAGATTGGAATTGGAATGAAATTTGGCTGGAAGCTTCAACAGATGAAAGCATATCCATATTTTTGGAAAGGATGATAACTCTTCTAGAAGTAATTACACCAACTAAACAGGCCTCATTACACAATGGTTCTCTTTGCCATTGAATATCAATAAGTGTTTCGTTTCCTCTGAGGTGGAAAATTTTGTTATTGTCAATTTGGAGTCTGTTTTCTGTCTTGTCTTCAATAGAGGTGGCTAAACTTAATTCGTTATTGGCTGTACAGTAAATAATTGATCTATCGAATGGACAAGTTGATAATGACTTGACTTTACGGTTCAATTTGATATCACTTTGAAGCTCATTGTTTGTGTAAACCTTGAGAACATCACCTCCTTCTGAAAGGACAACATAATCCTTGTTAGAATCTCCCAAAAATCCTCCATCAATACCCTTTTGAAGTTGCAATACGACTTTATCCTTGCCTCCCGAGTAAATATCATCTACTTTGGAGAAGAAAAATTTAGAGTTATCACTCTCATAAGTATTTGAAGAGTTGAGTAATTTTTCATAGAACATCAATACTGATTTTCTATTAGGACTGAAATTAGATTTGGTGCATCTATAAAAGGGATACAAATCTTGTGTAGCTCTCAAAGATCCAACAAGTACTTGAGCAACTTCCTTCTTCAAATCAAAAGACAAAACTGTATTGTGAGGAGGTCTAGATCTACTGTCAACATAAGGAATAGTATTGAAGGGTATTTGATAATCCAAAGAGTCCACATTGGCAACAAGTTCGTTAGAGGTTTGTTGTTTTTTAGAGGACAATAACATTTCGAGATTGGAATTAATAACAGAAGGATGTGGTAACATGCTTCCAGGATTTCCAAAATCAAAAGCAGAAAATATTGGGAATCTATCAGCAACAATAGTTCCTTTGATGACTCTTGCATTTAGTTCAGAAATTTGGAAATTTTTGCCCTATTTGATTTGTTATGAATATAATAATAAACAACAAATGTTTAAAAAAGAAACTTACGTAAAATGCAATATTACCAGTCTTTGGATGGATTGTAGCATTAATGATAGGAATTAATCTCTTTTTGGTATCCTTTGTTCTGTGCAAAGCAACATAGTATGGATCTAACATTTCAAATTCTGTCAATAATGTCTTCATCTTTGGTCCACCAGTTGTTGAATAAATAATTGATCCAATGTCAATAGAATTTAAACATCCTTTAGCGTTCAAATAGAAAAGACATGGTAAATTTGGATGGATTAAAATTGATGTGATCCATTCATCAGTAGTGACATAACCAACAACACGTGGTTGTTGAGGTGATGTTGTACTTGGTAAATACCATACTTTGATTGATCCTTCTCTTGTTCCAGAAATTAAAATGTCATAATCACTATTCTTCCACTATTATAAAAACACAAGCTAGTAACAGCTTCTCTTTCCTTTTTGTTTGCTTCAAATTCTATATTATCACAAATTCAATCCTAAAATCATCAATAATAAAAACTTACCATCAATTTGAAATAATAAATTATGTTGTTCAGTCTCCCATACTTTAATAACACCATCTTGACTTGCTGATGCCATCAAAGATTTACAAGGATGTGTAGTAATTGCTGTGATTTGTTTCTTATGACTATACTCAACTCTATGTTTTGAATCGGAAAACATTTCAATACCAAAAACAATATTGGTTCTTTCACGTGATAATTTTGAAGGAGTTCTTGCATAGAAAATCATTGGTCTCTTATTGGACAGGGCAAAGAATGATGCACTTCTTGCTTCCTCTCTTCGGACAGGAATATGGAAAGCAGTCAGTGTATTTGTATTTAGATCAAGAACACTAAAACATCCATTTTGTAATGCAGAAACAATTGCCGGATGAGTATTAGAGTGAGCAATATGTGTTACCTCACTCTCTGTTTTAAAGTGAGCAGTCCTAGACCCTGTTCCAAGATCATACTCTTTTTTCAACAACAACATAGACAATTAATATTGAAATCACATTCTTCATCCTCACATCCACAAATTACATACCATAAATTTCCTTTCTAAATCCAATAGCAATTTTGTTTTGTGTTGGATGGAAACTAACCGATCTGAGTTTGCTGATTTGTTTGTCTGATGGTAAATCCACACTCAGCAGTGCTTCCAACTTCATTTTTTGATTTTTTAATTCTAATGGTGATGAAAATTTATTTATTAAATTGTTTTGGTTGTGATGCAAGAGAGGTGATGTTTGATAAAGACGAGAACACAATAACAAGGTGAGACAAGTATAAGAGGAATTGGAGGAAGGAATTTATTGTTTAGAGTTGGTGGCTACAGAATCAATAAACAAGGCAAGATCAACATCTCGTTGTGATAAGCCTCCACAATCGTGAGTAGAAAGGACAATATTGACTTTGTTATAAACATTGAACCACTCTGGGTGATGATCGGCCTATTATGAAGAAGAATTAGAATTCATTCTTGTTAGGATATTATTACTTACCTGATCAGCCTTCTCGGCTACTTTATTCATAAAAGCCCAAGCTTGTTTAAAATCTTTAAAAACGAAATTCTTTCGGATCACATTTCTATTAGTCTCTTGATGAAGTTCCCATGATGGTATTTTGGCCAATTCTACCTTCAATTCTTCATCAGTGTATTTATGTATTTTTCTCATTTGAATTGATTTGCTATTATTGATTTGGAGGAAAGAGTTGGAGAGATGATATTTACAGAGTATTGATGATGGCTTTGATGATGAAGAACGAACAATTAGATTTTTGAGCATTTTCCAACGATATTAATATTATTTTTAATAAATTATAAAATGTCTTGTATTTGTTGTTTGTCAATCATTGGCAAGAAGGTATGTGGAAGAAATTATGATTTTATGAGTGTGATCAAACTTAAATGTTGATCAATATATTTAATGTGATTCACAACTTGTGCGGAATTTTACACCATCATCATTGATAATATTAACAATCATCAACGTTGGAAAATTATGAAATTAATATTTATCTATTTAAATAATTAATAATTAATAATAATAATAGAATAATCCACTATTTCTTAAAGTTTATAAAACAGCAGAGGCTGAAGAACCTCTCAAGTATCACTACATTGCTCACACAGCTTTGGATATTGTTGAAGAAAAGATCAGCAATCGTAAAACAACAACAAATGTTAGTCAAAATGACATGTATTTGGGTCTTCTTTTCCCAACTGAAATTTACAAAGTTTATGGATATATAACGAACAGTGATGTTAAATTATTATTAATAATTGCAGGAGACGAATATCAACAATCGGACAGAGATTCGGAAATCAAATCATTATTCCAACAACTTCATTCTTTATATATTGATTGTATTTGTAATCCTTTTTATACATTTGGAGAGAAAATTGATTCTCTGAATTTTGCTGTATCTGTACGTAATTTAGTCCAAAACTATAATCAACAACAAGGAGTTGGTTCATCGAGAAAGAGTAAAAAGTTTTAAATTATTCAAACATATTTCCAAATCTTATGTAATCACCAGAATTTTGTTGATATCTCATAATGGATTCGATCAAATTGTTTTTAACTCCAAAATTCTTCTTGATTGGTGTTAAGGTAATATCAATATCATTCAACATTGGTTTTTGGAAAGATTTTGGAGGAGCAAAGAATTGTTCTGGATCCTTCTCAAGTATAGGTGACACGAATTTTTCAGGTGACATTTCTCTACGTTGTTGTTGGGGTTTTCTCTTTGGTGGAGTGAATTCCAGATTGCTTTGCTTCTTTTCTATCTTCTTGTCAGCATTCTTTGTCCTGGAATCATTCTTATTGACAACATTGGGTTTTAGTTCATTAAGATTGTTGGTAAATGCATTCTTCTTTTTAGGAGGATTGGAGATGGGAATTTCATTTTCCTTATTATCTTCGTACTTTCGTTTAAAATTGGTTGGTTTTTCAGTAATAGTAATTTGAGTTTGACTTTCATCACCATAACTGTTACAAATAAAACAACAGAAATCGCCGTGGAGTGACTTTGGGTCAATCTTGAAAAATGTCTTCCCACTTTCACACACCTTTCTGTGGGCCAGAATTTTACCCTCCTTAGTTTCAATAGTTACCAAGGAAAACTTATTAAGTGCATTATGAACAGATCCAATATCTATTTGAACTGAAATACCATTCTTGTACTGGCTGGAGTGAATGGTTGGAAGAGTAGATCCTGAATTCCAAGATCCAACTTGCACTTTTCTGGCCATTTTGAATGCATTTCTGCAGGTCACACCAAAGCCCAAATTCTTTGCAATTTCAAAGAGGCAAGATAATATTCTCGAAAGAGGTGATCTAAGGGTGACAGATTGTTGTCTCAAACTGACAGACTCTATTGTAATTGATCCAAGAACGCTCTGAACAAGGACAAAAACCTTCTCTCTTGCCATTTCTATCTTTTTCTTCAATGGATATTTGATCTTTTCATTTTGATTCAATGATATGAGTACTCCTTTTTCACCTTGCCGAATGGCATATTCTGCAAATTCCTCAGCAGTGCAAGCAAGTTGGAGAATTTTCTTTTCATTCATCTTACTTCCAATAGAGCTCAGTAAGAGCAACATGGTTTTGTATTGAATGTACAGTCTTGACATTACTTGACCAAGAGGAGTTGGTTTGATTAGGGTTCCATCAATGTTAATTATTTGATTATCACCAAGCTCTGTGATTCTCTTCTCGAGAATTTCTTCCACTTTCTTCTCAAGGTCTTCTGAAGTTGTGAGCCCGTAATATTCTGGGTTTTTCTGCAATCTTATCAAAAAGTTGGAATGTACTCAAAATTGAAATTACTTACCTCGCATAGAGAAATGTTGATTTAAGCCAATAGGTAGATTCGGTTAGATCTCTTACACTTTGTAGGCATATTTCAGCATTTAAATGTTCGAATATGTATTTGTGAAGAGTAGACTCAATGACATAATTGTTATTTGCAAGGTTCTGATAGGTTTCGGCCATATTAGATTCAGTTAAAATCAAAGCAAGACCAGCCTCCTCAAAACCAGCTCTTCCTGCTCTACCAATCATTTGAAGAACATTCATACTGGGATATTCCTTATATCCGGTTCCAGATTGATAGATTTTGGTTCCCTTGATAATGACCAAATATGCTGGGGTGTTGAGACCTTGACTAAGGGTGGAGGTGGTACAAATTACACTCAACTCCCTATTTGAAAACAATGACTCTACAATATTACGGTCGTTAGAGGAAAGCTGTGCTGAGTGAAAGGCAACTCCAAATACAATCATTTCTCTGAGTTGTTGATCTTCAACATTTTTGGACTTTGCAGTGAGTCTCTCTTTCTGTTCATTGGATGTGATAAAGTAATTGGTTTTGCAAGAATTTGAATCGTTGACAATTTGTTGAGCACTCTTCATTGTGGAATTTCTGCTACTACAAAAAACAAGAGTCGGTTTCTCGTGACTCTCAGATTTGATAATATCAAATAATTTCTTATCTAACATTTTCTCAAAGGCAAAGTAATTCTTCTTATCATTTGTAAATCCAATGGACCTTAATTCAAGTTTGGATGGTCTATACTCATCACCAAATACCAATACATTTGATTGTGAGACATCCAACCAAGTGGCTACATCCTCAATGTTTGGAATTGTAGCTGATAGAGCAATAATTCGTGAGCTATGATTTTGAATTGAGGAAATGCTCTTGATACGGGATACTATTGCCTCTAAAACAGCTCCTCTTTCCTAATAGAAAATATTATGACAATAAGGTATTTCAAAATACTCACCTCATTCAACAAGTGAACTTCATCAATAAGAATCAACTCTGTAGACTTCACAAATTTCAAACAACTGTCATCTCTCCATTTTCTACTCAAAGAATCATATTTCTAAGAAATTAAGGAAATAAATCGTCACAATGAAAACATACCTCTGGTGTTGTTAATATAATATCAAATGGTTCCAAAGTCTCTGCTGTCACTTGATGAGTGTCACCAGTCAACTCTCCAACATTAATCCCGAGAGAGGAAAACTTTTGCTTCCATTCATTGTACTTCTCTTGCACCAAAGCCTTCACTGGCGCAATGTAAATAATCTTGTGTTTTCCTTGTTCTTGCTTTTTTCCATAATACTTTTCCAATACTCTAATCATTCCCAATTCCAAACAACAACTCTTTCCTGATCCTGTTGGAGCTGAAATTACAACATTATCATCGGAATCATAAATTTTGTGAAAACAGGCTGACTGTAGCTTGTTAAAGTGACCAAATCCGAAAACGTTTTTGAAACGATGATGAACCAATGATACAGATAACCTTCCTTCAAGATTTTGTTCTTCCATAATGGTGGGAGAGCTTTCATCATGATTATTATTGTTCTCGTATTGACCTTTCCAACCGTTGTTATCATCATTTGAAGAGTTTCGTTTCAGATTAACATTTTTTTCTTTCAAGCCTTGATTCTTCTTTCCTTGTTGTTGAAGAGAGTTCTTTTGGTGATGGTTTTGCTGCCTGCCAGATACAATTTTTGTCTTTTTAGGCTTTTGGATTTTGAGAGGATTCACAACCTTTGAGGGCTTTTCGGCAGGAATCTTCTTCATTGAAGGCACAATATCAGGGGGAATTATCTCCTTCTCCATAAGCAAACTTGATCTAGATGTGGTAGCTACTAATTGTTGTCCATTTGCACCAATTCGATCACTCCTCTTCAAAGGCCTTGTCTTCTCAATATCATTCAACAAATTGACCAAGGAAATTTCCTCAAAAATGTCTTCCTCGATCATTTTACTCAAAGTACAGTGTCTAAAGCTATTTTTTTTTAAGCGCCAAAATCTCAAAGCTATCAAGTAAGCAAGGCTTTAAATTTTAGTGTTCACTTGTTGCACCAATTCCTCCTTCCTATTCAACAACTTGTAATAAGCAAATTAAGATTTGAAAACCTTCAATCAAATGAAAGATCTGCCTCTAGCACCGATCATGTGTTGTGGAGGAGAGGATAAAAACCGTAGTTATTATTGCAATGGTTGTAAAAAAATTTCTCTATACAGGGATGTGACCAATTCTGTATCTCGTGGATTATTAAATCCTTTGATCACGAAGAGGATCTATAGTCGCCTTCACAAAGCGCCGAGAGGCCTTGTTTTCCTCACTGGTGGAAAAACAATCATCCACTATTCCCAAACAGTCTTTACATGGGAAGTGATATTCCTAAATAATTGTTTTTAACAAGCTCCTTATTTGTAAAATGTCTATTGGTAGAGATGAGATAATAACTCCATTTCATATTCCAAACGACTTTTGCAGCCTTACTCATATGACTATTGTGTCATGATTCTTGAAAACAGCAGTTTTTCATTATCGATTATTCTGAATACCCTAATGGACCACCAAATTAGCTCTGTTACCTACGAACATTCGTTTTGTTTGCATACGAAGATACACTCGTTCAACCCATTTCAAACTGAACATTTTGTGTTTTAAAAATCAACATTTCATAAAAAAAAAGTCTTCACAACATTCTAGCAGAAAAACTCTGTGAAACAAATATCAAAGTTGAATAACTGAAAAACCTGAAACTAAGAACAATATGATTTTTGAATCGACCCATGGACAACAAGCAATTGTTGGTCTCCAACCGTTTTCCTTGATTGGACTGATTAAGAAGAGCTGCTCTGATTGCACCACTGATGACAATAGCAATTTACTCTACACAACCACCTCCTCCACAAACACTAAACACACGAATACACGAATTGAGATGACATTGTGCAATGCTTCACTGAATAGAGTAACCGACCAAAAGATGCTCTTCATGGATGAGTCGGCAGTTGCAGTGGAATGTTTCAAACTATTCTTCTCTCTTCTAAAGGTGTTCATTTTGTGTGTTATCCTCAAGTGCAGTTACAAATAATGGTGATGAGAAAAGAGCTAATAAGGTTACTGAGAGTTGCCAGAGTAGGCAACACCCCAGTCTGCGTTTGGATGTTCGCTGGTTTCGAATCTGAGAATCTGGAACCTTTCTGATAATACGATAAGAGGGAGTGTATTTATTCCTCCTCTTTGTTAAATGTGGTAAACGATCACATAATGCCAAATAATATCTAGATACGAAAGATAATTTCCATAAAGAAAATTTCTATGTTTGAAAATTAGACAACAATTCTTTAACGTAAAAAAAGTGTTATTCGGCAATCTTTCAATTTGCAACAATATCAATTAGTATCCATGAAGTTGGCAATTGAATTGAAAGTCTGAGATATTAGAACGATTGTATAATATTGTATAAATTGACAATACTCTCTGTTACAAACCATTGAGAATACAATCTTATTTGCAATCAGTACTTCTGTCAATAGGCAACACACAATCAAGATGATATCCATTCAACTTTCACAGTAAGCGATTCCCAAACTGTTGGGAGGCGTAATAAAAAATCAATTGAGTTTATAGTGACATATTTAGACGAGTGGGGGAAAGTGACAAAAAGAAGGTTTGCTTCCTCATTTGTTTATAAATCCAAGGATAAGATGATAATGCTTGCCTTTAACGAATGAAAGGAGTTGGAGATGACTTGGAGTTTCTGATAAAACCATTTGAGGGTTTTGTTCACTCATTTTGGTGTGAGTAACACTTTGGATTTGTTGAGGTTGAAAATTCACTCAATTCAACAACCAATACAAATGTATTTCACTGAAAATATGAATGAATTAGTTTGATTCATTACTATTATCCATTGTTGTATGAATACTAGGAAGGGAATGAATCAAATAAATTCATTCAAATGATTTCAAGTATTCAGAATGAATTATTGAAAGAGATAACAGATAATGAAATTGAAATAATTGTGATTTTTATTCTCAATGTTCAAGATTCAAATACAGACTATCTTTTGTCCACATCTTTCCAAATCTGAAAAAATTGCACATCTTTTTGTTTGATTCAATTACAATACAATTTAAACCAAATATAGATTGTTATTGTAAAAATTCGAAAACAAAAAATGTTCAAGCTTGGTAATAGACTATTACATAACAACTTGTTCATTTCAACCAACGGAATTGAACATTCAATTCTATCATCATTGACAATATGCAAATCAATACATAATTATTGTGCAGTTAATTCCGATATTAATATTAAAAAATCATCAACAAGATCGGATATTTGTGAGAAAGCACATTTGCAATTTTCCTCAATTCAATCATTATCTGAAGGTACCATCATCACCCAATCGGCAGCTTGTGCAACATCCTCTTCTTGCTTGTTGTTTACTAATTACAAAAAGAAAAAAAACATCCATTCTAGAAGGAGCCTTTTGTTGGATCATTTGAAGGGACTTGAAGAGAGTAATAATAATAGGAGATTTTATCATCATACGAATAATAGAATGGCATCATTATCATCGGAATATTCGAATACATCAAACAAGATGGTTGAACAATTATTTAGAGGAGTTTGGAATACAGAACAGGAACATAAACACATTCCTTATCATCTCATTGAAAATATGTATCATGCAGAGAGTGGATTGTATAGTGAGGGATGTTGGCATAATTTTGTGATGGGATTGAATATGTTCTATCTATTGAAGAATGCAGAATTTAACGAGTTTTGTAAGGAAAATAATGTAAAGGAAAAGTTATCCAAACTCTCACAAGCAGTTTACAAGTTGAATTTTGATGCTAGTCATGGATTATTCTATCAGAGACAAGCATCTGGTATTTGGCAAAGTTCAACTGAGTCAATTATGGAGGAACGAAGAGAATTTTGGAAAACCAATAAGGAAGAAAAGAAACTCATTAGTAACACCATGGGACTTTTATTCTTTGCAACAATAGGACAAGAGTATAAACCAGAGGATTTGGATTTGAACAAGTTTTGCAAGAAAATAATTGATGATTTTTATGATTCTGAAAAGCAAATGTGGGCCACAAAGAGTTTGCCAAAAGGGCAACAAGTGAATTTACAACACTACAGATTGGTGGATCATTCACTTCTTTATTTGGCTCTCAAAAAAACACTTTCCAATAACTCAGTTGACCAAGCATTAACACAAAGATTAGAACAAGTTGTTGAACAAGTTTTGGAGGTAATTTTGAAAAAGTTCAAAGTAGAAACCTCTGAAAGGATTACTTATTTTGATGATAAGTTAACTCCTCACACCAAGAAATTCCTTTGGCAAGATTGTTGGCTTGTAATGGCCCTTATTTCCTCTAAGAAACATAATCACCTCATTCCTCAATTACTTATTGAAATGCACCATGACTATTATGATGAAGAATCTGGTTTCCTGTTCAATGAATCATATGGATCTATTCAAGACAAATCAACAATTCAAATCAAAATGGTTGAAAACCAGAAACGAAAGATTTCTCCAAACTCTCATCAAATGTATATCAGCTTTATCAATGATAATGCCCTCTTCTACTTTATCCTCAAAAATAGACATCTTTATCTTAATTCTGATAACACTGAAATTTCCCACAAGATTGAAGAATTGTGGACTCAGACACATGCCTCCTTCTCCAATTACATTGAAAAATCCAAAGTGAAGCATGATCCAAACACCAACGAGCAACGTCTCCTTGTTTCAGATTATTTAAAGAGACAAGGTTTATGGGCAAATAGTGAAGTCATTTGGACTTTATTAGCCTCCTTTGACGAGCTTCAATAAACTACATGTTCTTTCCAATTCTCTTCCCATATCTTGTCAATTTCTTATTTTATTCTTGAAAAAGCTGTTGGTGAGCAATACATCATTCAAGTTACTTCCAAGTTCACTGCAGAAAAATGCTCGCCTCAAATAAGAACTTGTGTTGGACTTTCAACAACAAAAAAATAGCAAAGATCATCACCCGATAACACCATCACCCGGAATAGGTGTTTCATTAAATATCAACACACCAAAGTTTATATAGTCATCACCATCATCAACGTTATCATAAATTACTATTCTAATAATTGATATTGTGCTAGGTTGCTATTATTGTTGATCTTTGAAAATGGCCAGCAGACACAGAGATTTTAAAATCAAAGCTTGGCCCTTTGTTTCCCACACCTCAAATGTGGATAGATCGGAGACTGATATTATGTGGCCTCTCATTAGATATGAAAGGTATGGAACGAGGAAAAAGTTTAGTATTCGTCCATTCCTATTCAAGTATGAAAGTGATAGCAGTACAAATGCACTCACTATCATGTTCTTGTTTTATAGTATCTTGTATAAGGTTTCTATTGATGCTGTAACATTATTTCTTCTTCCATTCCTTACTTTTCATAGAAAGAGTAAGACTTCACAAACAACCATGATATTGGCAGGTCTCTTGTACTTTTTACGTAAAACTTTTCATGCAGCTCAAGAAACCAAGTTCATGGCCATTCTCCCTTTTATGTATTTCTCTAATGAATCGAAAAGAACAGATGACAATAACATGTCATTCCAGACACTATTTCCATTCTTTTGGAAGTACAAAACAAAAGAAACACATTTGAATATAGTATTGCCATTCTATTTCTTATTTGAAAATGGCAAGTTTAGAATCAGACAAATGTGGCCCTTCTTCGGAACTCAGTTAAGACCAGGAAAATATCAGGAATGGTCAATCTTATATCCTCTATTCAGAGTTAGAAAAGGTGAAGGTAATTTTACACTTCACATGCCATGGCCTTTTTTGAAATATGAAAGATCGCCAGAAAAACATTCACTTAGATTCCTTCCAATTTGTTGGATTAGATTTTTGAAAAAAGGAGGGTCCAGAGGATTTGTTCTTTTCTTTTATTGGAAACACGTATCTTCCAAAAATTGTAGTCCATCTGAACCTGCCAAGTTTACCTTTGGTATTTGGGGATTATTACACATCAAAATTTCTCTAGATAAGGGAGAAAGCAAAGGACATCACATCTTTTGGATATTCCTACTCTTTTTCTACTTTAAAAATTCAGAGAAGGTTTATACTTTCATCACACCATTTTTCATGCATGCAAAATATGAAAAACAACTTATGAAACGAAGGATCTACCTCTTCCCATTCTTCTATTATTCTAAATATCACGATCATGATTGGCATTTATTTATTCCTTTGCTTTTTACTTACTTCAAAAAAACTATTTACAATTATTCTACATCCAAAACCTCAAAAACCTTTTTCACCACCTTACTTTTATTCTGGTTCCATAAGTCAAAATATGAAACCGAAGGTACCACCTCAACAGATTACAATAATGTCTTCCTCCCATTTTATTGGGTACGAAAGGATATTGGTATCAGAGATGGAAAGACAACAGATGATACTACTAAAATATTCCTCATACCTTTACTCTTCTATTTCTTTAAGGAGAATATTGATGGCAGAGAGGATATTATGGTGAATCTATTTTATTTATTCTATTACAGAAATCAGAAGAGTATTGAAAAGATGAGAGTGTGGCTCTTCCCAATTTTCTATTATTCAGATATAGGAAAGGAGAAAACATTCTTACTTTTTGTCCTTCTTTATGCTAGAAGATCAGAGGAGAAGAACTATCTCTCCATACTTATCATATATTCTAAATTACACAAAAAGCAATCTCACAAATTGGTAACGTATCCTTTCTTTTTGTACATTACCTATACAAGTTACAAGCAAACAGATGAGGTTTTATCACATACTAGGTTATTTGTTGGTGGACTCTTTGGTCATAGAAAGATTTATGACGAAGTAACCATTTGGCTCTTTGTCTGTTACTACTCATTTGTTTCAAAGAATGAAAGTATCAGAATGGGATCCTTCTTTTTCCTTCCACCATATTTCTATCATAGTGTTGAAGATGGAAAAGTTACCATGAGTACTATATTCCCTTTCTATGTTTACAATAGATATTGGAAGTACACTTTTATTTTCCCATTCTTTTTCATTAGAAACGATAGACGCAAGAAATCGGCCCACTTGCATTTTATTTTCGATTTATCAATCGATTCCCAGGACAAAAATTATTACTTCAAGCTTTTCTATATTCCAAGAACTAGATACAGTTTGATACAATATGATAGCAAGTATGTTGGATCAGCTGAGGGTACTTCTATGATGAGGCGTTGGAGGTTGTTTGCCTTCCCCTTCTTTTATTTTGAAAAAAGAGCTTTGGAAACTCCTGATTTAACCAGCTCAGAAACCAAGCAATATGCTCCACTAATAACTGTGGCATTATTCTGGCTCTTGAAAGATTTATCATTGGGCAGGATTATTTTAGATTATAGAGAGATGATCAAGTCAATGTACATACTTCCTCTTTTTTATATCAAGATTGATAGAAATAACCAAGTTGTTAATGCCTTACGTAATGGTCAATATTTGTCATTCTCGCTAATCTATTTTATCAGTGAAAAGGTTGCCTTATTTAGATATACCAGATTAATAACTCCAAACTCTCATAGATCTAGCATGTATGTGTTCCTATTATTCTTCAGTACTGTCAAAAATTGGTGGACAGGTCATGGTGAGGTTGTAGGTAATGATTTTACTCTCTCATTCCTATGGATTTTCAGACAAGGTTGGAGCTTTATATATTGGAACCAACAATATTCCACTGATGCCTACAATTATTTGTGCTGTTATGTTTTGCCTCTATTTTACTTTGATAAGCAAACTAAGACAACAACTTTGGAGGAAGTATTTGAAAGAAGCTTTTCTTTGCTTTGGATATTACACAAGACTGCAGCTCTTTTCACCATGGATAAGGTTGTCAACACTTCTAAAGAAAGCAACCAAATTACTAAGAGTGATACTAGCTCCTTCCTATTCCCAATTTATTATTATTCATGCAATGATTCAAACAAAGTTTGGAAATGGTTATGGTTGCCAGCTCCAAAAACATGGGGAGTCTCTATTATTAACTGGATTGTTGAGTATGAATACTCCACTTACAAACCAATTGATCAAAGAAAAATTGGAGAGCAGAGACTTCACATATCACCACTTTACTATAGAGATATCAAGTACGATCTCACCCAACCAAGCAAGACTGTCCAAGAAGATGTTCACTACGGATTTTGGTTTTTCACAAAGAACCTGTCCTTGATACGTGCATGGAGTTTAACCACAACTAGTAACAGAAAGCAAGGGTTCTACATTTTCCTCGTCATTCTCAAGTATACCAACGTGAGTGGAACAAGTTTGAGAAAGACTTTCTGTTTGGTTTGGATGTTCACCAAGTGGCTTGCTCTCTTCCACAATAACGTACTTTGTACACAACCTTCTGTTTCCATGAGTACTAATACAGATGATTACTCTAACAAGAATCACAGACAATTCGTAATGAGTTTATACTTTTACAAGCACATGACTGGAAATATTGAAAGGAGAGAATTCTCATTGTTCTGGCTCTTTTACAAATATGTTACCTTTTTCTGTGTTTGGAAGTATGAGAACGAACAAGGTTGGTTTGCCTATCCATTGGTTTTCTATAGAGCAGTTAAGACGACTACTAGAGCGTTCAAATTCCTCTCAGTTCTATTCCTGGTAGAAAAATATGTTTCAGTTTTCTTTTGGAGATGTGTTGTTGAGGGAAATAGGAAGAAGATTCTTACCTATCTGTTCCCAATATTCTTCCTTGAAAGAGAAAGGGAATCCGTCACACTCGAGACAAAAACTCACTTATTCATGTTATGGTTATTCTACAAGAGAATTGCCATGGCCCACTATTGGAAGTTATTTGCTAACGGTCATACAGATTCTGGATTTTATTCATTCCCACTTGTGAGATATACCAATGATTCTTCAGGAGAAGCTGGAAAGAAGTTTGACATTTCAATCTTCTATTTCTTCCACAAAAATTTGGCTATCATTTATTTTGGTAAAGATAGAACCAGAACCTATTGTGATACAATGTTCTACATTTTCCCACTTTTCATTCATCAAACAAAGGATCACAGCTCAAATTTAACCAAAAGAATAGATTGGTCTATTTTCTTCTTGTTCTATTACAAGCTAGCACTCGTGAGATATTGGAATATTGTAACATTCATCTCGAATGTGGGAAATAAGACCAAATCTACTCAAGATTTGTGCTTTTATATTTTCATGTTATACTCCTTCACAAAGGAATTTGCATCATCCAAGACAACTTTGACTCACTCATTTGCTTGGTTATTCCATCCATTATTGTCCACATTAAGATTCAAACTCTCAAGATGCCGTGAAGATTTTAGCAGACTTTTCTATATTTTCCCACTCATACTTTTCCATTCTTCTAAGGAAGGAGGCACATCAACATTCTACTTGTCACTTCTCTGGTTATTCCACAAGTTTGTTTCTATGTTCCATTTTGGAAGACAAGTTTTTGGTGATGGACATATTCTTGCAGGTGGCGCGTCTGATAATAAGGACTCTAAAATCACTAGTTTTATACTCTTCCTCTATTTCTATGCAAGCGATACAAGAGTTAAGGAAAAGAAGTGGAGTTTGTTCTGGCTGTTTGTTCGTCAAGTCAGTTTCATCAGATATTCCAAATCTCTTAAGGAAGGTCACAAACTTTTGAAATTCCTCGTCTTCCCATTCTTCAAATTTGAAAGATGGAGCACTAAATCGTCTAGATGGTGCCTACTTCCTTTCGTTCCTGTCAAATTCTCTTGGGTTGCCAACTTTATGGTTTACACTAAGCGTGTCAACAAGGTTGGAGCTGTTCTTGATGATGGCAAGGAAGACAAGTCCTCTAGAGATCAAAATAGATATCTCAGAGTTTTATACAAGGTTGTTGTTTGGCAATATGTTGATCAAGTTAAATCTTTGGAAATTAATCCATTCTTTGCCAGTGAACATGACTATACAGATGGATATAAGAGTTGGGATATTCTTGGAGGGTGTTTGGGCAGAGTGAAGAACTCTCCAGAGCATCAAGATGCTTGCAGATTATTCTGTTGTTGTTTTGTTTAATAAATAGATTTTTAGACATTTTTTGTTGTGGAATATTGGAATAATACAAACGAAATCTAATCCTATTTCATAACCTTTAACCAAAAGAATCCAAAATAAAGGTAGATGATTTTGGCGGGAATGAGGAGAATCTTCTTACTCCGTGATTACTCCTTTTACAAGAGGAAACTACACAAAAAAAATGTCAAACAATAAAATCACCTTGCCAATATCATTGCGCAGTATCATCTTCATCATCCTTGCATGCATGATAACGATGACATTCGGCTCTCCAACATTCACAGTTCCCCAGCAAATGGTAAATGTTTGGAAAAGGTTGTGGATTGAAGAGCCAATCGGTCACATTGTGGATAACACAACCATTGTATTCAATATTCAAACCAATTCAATGTATTGTGATATTAGAATACCAATTACTAGACCTAATTATTTAAACCAAAAATCATCATTGTCTCAATATTCTTGGGATGAGTTGCTTCAATTGGCCAATCAGAAATCATTTGCTGGCTTTGCACATGCCAATCAGAGTGCATGGATATGTCAATGGGATCGTAAAATTGACTTCCAACCATTTACAGGCAGTTATGATATTGGACATGTGGATACAGAGTCAAGAAAACCTCTCATGGTTGAAGAGGGAATTAATGGTGATGATTATAGAGAGATTTGGCAACCTGCATTCGTATCAAATGTTAATCCTTCTTATATTTCACTGGAATTGGAAAGAGAAGTTGAGAATAATGTGGTCAATAGGTTTGCAAAGGGTTTCATGGTTGTAAATGGAGATTATTTCATTTATCAGGTTGATAAGAGAGAATTCCCATTGCCACAGGCTGATTCCTTGTTGGATTTGATAAAATCTCAAAACTATTCAAGAGTGCAAGTTGAAGAAATTATTGGAAAGTATATGTCAAGCTTTGGAATTAGACAATCGAGTGGGGTTTGGCAAGTTCTCCATTCCCTCTTCCCCTTCAATGAAAATAAGGAATTGGAAGGTAAATTTGTACTTCACACTCCAAGTAATCAAGTTATTCAATCCATTTCAGATAAGGGCATTCTTAGATTTTGGAAAATTAATGAAATGACCTACAATCCATTCCAATAATAATAACTAGTTTTATTATGTTTGATTCTTGATCATTCCTCTCTTCATCTAATAGATCGAAATGATTTAATTATTGCACATTATACTAAGGCGAATTAAGGAATCATTTCTATATGAATGTAATCGGGTGTGGTATAGTGGTAGCATTCCAGACTGTCACTCTGGCGACCCGGGTTCCTAAATTAGGAAATTTCATTCCCGGTAGCCATTCAATTCCCGGCACTCATCTCCAATATTCTTTTTTCATAATATCACTTTCATTTTCCTTTTTAAAAAAATTTGTAAGTTGCTGAAAGTTCCAGTTTGCATTCTCTTAATAGGAATGGCTAATCAATTATTGCATATATTTTAATAAATTAAATCTTGTTTATTTCACCGAAAATAACAACTCTCTTTCCAAGCTTTTCAGAAAGATTCTTTTGAATAAAGTCTTGATAGTCTTTGGTTTGCTTTTTGATTTTCAGAACAGTTGGTTGTTGGTTCTTGATGGAATTATTGAGAGAGGAACGTTGGGAGTCTACACCTTCCAAGTTGGTCTTTGTCTTGCTCATAATTTCAAGCTTTTGTGTGAGGGATTGAACGAGACGTTCCACAAACTTCTTCGAGGTCTTGATGAGAATGAGTTGTTTGAAACGATGGTTATTGAGAGTAGTGACTACATTACCAGTTGCATGCATAAGGTTTTGAATTTCTTCTTTGGTGATGGATTTGATAGAGTTTGGAGCAGAACTGAAAATTTCACTATCGAGTGATGAATTCTTTGTTACCTCAATAACTCGTTGTTGTACAAAGGCATATAATTGGAAGAGATTGTTGGAGAAGAGAGCTCTGACATCTTCATCATCAAGGAAGGATTTCATTCTCAACTCTGCAACCAATTTGATACTGTCTTCGTCATTGGTATTGCTGGAAATATCGACAGAATCCATTGAAAAACCACCCACATCATCAGTACTAAAATCTCCAAAATCAATCTCGAGTTCTTTCTCTTGAGCAACATCATCAAATTTGATTTCAATTTCCTTATTCTCTTCCACACCAGTATCCCAATTAATTTCTACATTGCCCTCAGTTGAAAATTCAAAATCACCAAAGTCAATTTGTGGTTCATTTGATTTGTTGGCCTTCTTGCTTTCTTCATCTTTTAATTTTTGAATGTAGGATTGTACTTTTTCTTCATCCACAGAAGGTAATGATTGATTGTTGAACAATTTCCAATCATACATGGAAAGTGTCGACTTTTCCAAATTGGAAAGGACAAACTTGAGACAAGTTAAATCTTCCCTAACCTTGTTCTTATTGAAAAATGATGTAAAATCTTCATAATAATCAACTGCCTTCTTGAACTTGGCATCCTTACATGACACTACAATATTTTCATAAAATTGTGGAAGATCTGATACAGCACTCTTAATTTCATCCTCAATATCAACACCAACACTAGAACCACTCGAAGCAAATTGAATCATGCTTTCAATTTTTTCCCTATTAATAGAAAGTTTTTCACAAGACTCGGTAAATTCTCTCTTGGCTATTTCAAGGGATCTCTTCCAATCGTCTTCCTTTCTGTCAATACTTTCCAATTGATTTCTTAATGATAAAAGTGAGCTTGACATGGAAGGAATTTCATATTTTACATTCTGGATAATATATCCTGAAATCTCGGCCAAATGGAGATTGTTTGCTTCATAACTTTGTAAAACATGTTTCCACAATTTAAGTCTCTTAGATCCACCAACAAGACCAAACAAATAACCACTTCCTTCCGATGAATCAGCCTTCTCCAAAACTTGAACAATTTCCTTCGTTATAAAGTAATCAATCACTGCCAATTCATCTTGTGATTCTTGAGAAAGTTGATTAATTTTCTCTAATAATTCTGTAACTGGTTTTTCTGATTCCTTGCTTTTCACTTCTTCATGTTTATCCTTCAATTCTTTAAAAGCATGTTTAATATAACCTCTAATTTGTTTTAATTGTTTTACATAATCGGAAGGTAAAAAGTTTCTATTTACAAGCCAATCTTTAACCTTTTCATAATTAATATCAATAGTCTCAACCGGAACATATTGTTGTTTAATTGGTTGTTGTTGTTGTTTTACTTGTTGATCACCCTGTATAGTAAATTCTTCTTCATTTCCTTCTTGTTTTTGATCATCATCATCAACAATAGTAGCATTTGCAACTGGTACCGATGTTGTTGTTGTTGTTTCCTCTTCAAAACTAAACATTTTTTTTTAATCTTAATCAATTTTAATTTTAATTTTAATTATTAATAATACATCATCATTTGAATGCTAGTAATAATATTAATTATAATTTAATTGCTAATAATTTATCAAATAATACAAATCTTTATCTTTTCAACCCAATACTGTTAGTTTCATATCCAGTGAAAAATCCAAAATTGAACATTAGAACTTTTACAAACTTTGAAAAAATGTTATTAGGACACATTGAATCTCATGAGGCTCATGGTGTTGATCACGCAGCCAATATATCTTCATCTGATACTCCTCATAAAACAAGGCAAAAATCTCCAACCACCAACACCACCACATCATCTACATCGGATCATCAACATTTAACGGTTTCAGCAGCCTCGGATGCTATTCATCACTTGAATAATTCCTCATCAAATACTGATGAAGAGGGAAATACATCGTATGTGAAGAGAGCCTCATCAAAATATGACTTTGTTAAAGTTAGAGTTGGATTGGAAAATCACTATTACATTCTCTCTCGTTTTATTGTCAGCAGAATATTAACGGTTATTCAAGTCAAGTATAAGGATTCTATTAAAATTGCATTGGAACTTAAAAAGACACTTGTAGATTTAAATTTATTGAATATTTCTCAAGAAGAATTGGAAAAACACTTGTTTAATATTATGAGAAATTATGGATATGGAGATCAAACAATTACAAGATACAAATTAATGTCTAAATTTCACCACAAACGTATTCCCTTGTTAATTTTGGTTTTTGGAACTGGTTGTGTTGGTAAATCAACTTTAGCCACTCAATTAGGTGAGAGACTAAACTCACCTAATGTTGTACAAACAGATGTAGTTTTAGATTTGATTAATTCTTTCAATCTTCACACAACTAAGAATAATAGTGGCTATGAAAAGCAAGTTCCTGTCTGGTTTTCAAAATATGAGGATAGTGAAACATTTCTAAAACAATATAGAGAGCAATGTATATTTATGAAGAAGGCCCTCCAAGGAGATATTGAGAAATGTTTTGGTGATGGTAAAGCTCTAATTATTGAAGGTAGTCACATAGATCCTGAAATTTATAAGGATTTATTCGACAAGTACATTACCAAGACTTCAACAGAGGAAAACAAGGCAGAGGGAATTATTATTCCATTTTTCATTTCCATTTCCAATAAGGATGAACACGAACTGTTTTTTGAACAATGGCTTTCAAAGAGAGAACATGATATTTATGATAGTCGTACTCATACATTGGGTACAAATTTTGATGAGAAATTGCAAACCCTTTCTCATAATTTCCAAGTAATGCAAGAATATTATGAAAATGTGACGAAAAATGTTCCATACATTCATAAGGTAGAGATTAATCACAGAAGATTGGACGAAACTCTTGACACACTGCATAAATATGTCCTCGATAATATTTTCTCAGTCGTGGAAAAGTTACAAGACTAATCTAAGGTCATAATTACTTGGATATCATTCTATATGATTGATAATTTCGTCTCCTCACACTCACCCTCCAATACAATAGCAATGAATAAATAATTGATAAAACTACACCAAAACCCAACCATTTCAGAATTGCTGTTGCAGTTTTTGGAATTTTAACAGTAATTGTTTTAAAACCAAATATATCAGAATCCAAAAAGTTTGGCATGAACATGCTCCTATTCTCATTTGTTCCAACAGAAAATTCCAATTTATCCAAATTTTGTAAACACACTTGTTCAAAGAGAAATGCATAGAATGATTCATTTGGACCGTCCAGTTTCATCTGATGTTTGTAAATTTTCCAATTTTTCAATATTAAATATTTTCAATAGGTTTACATACATCTTCGTCGTTTAATTTGGCAATCAAGGACATTAATTGATTAGTGGGATCTGTTCTAAATTTTCTATCCATCCATTGTTTCCGATGTTTTAAAAGTGCAAACACTGAATTCAAAACTTCTCTTCCACCCTCATCACTTTAAATTATAATTATCCAATATATAGTAAATCCTTTATTTACCTATTATTTGTCATTTCTAGAATGTGTTTAGTGGTTTTTCCGAGAGGTTTTTCTCTCTGATTTACTCTTCTTTGTGATGATTGATTTCTCCTCACATTTCTGTTATTCATTTTTTGTTAGATTACTTGAGAATACTTTTCTGAAGAAGTTGTTTGGAAGATATTAAGCATATTTCAATACAAAACCATCATTATGATCGCCACAAAACCAGCTATCCAATGGTGAAGACAGATTATGAAACCGATAAGTATTTTTTCAACACAGCAAATATTTTATTAGCTCTTAATTTTACAAATTCCCAACAAGAAAAAATACACCAATACTAAGATAATAGAACCGTAAGGTAAATTAAGGTAAGAATGGATCCACAAACCAACAAGATTGTTACAGCAAACAATAAAAAACCAACTGCAACACTAGAAAGAAAGACGAGTGCAGAAAAACATAAATGCGACGAGGTTAAATCATCACAACCTTCAAAAAATCATTAAGGAAGAAAGGATTATGTGTTAATGGCCGTGTTGAAGTTAATTATTATATTTATATTGAACAAGAAAATATGAAAAAAACAATTCAAACAAGATTAGAACAGGGAGAATTTTCTATTTTAATTGCTCCTAGTCAATCTGGTAAAACATCAATAGTTTCTAATTCATTGATGCCTTCTTTGAAAGAAAGAGGCTATTATCCTGTATCTATTGATATGAGAGGACTGGTGAGCACATACTTGTCAATACAATCTTCAAGTTTTGATACAGCATTTCTAATTTATATCAACCGATTCTTGGGAACGCAATATGAATCGAATGAATTAACATCCTTATTCGAAAAGAGTTCTTGCATTCCAGAATTCAAAGATGAGAAAGTAGTATTACTTCTCGATGAATTTGATTCCATTGCAGAAATTCCCACAGAAGAAAGAACAAGATTTCTAGCTGCACTTTCTTCAATGAAACAAAACAAAACTTTATTATTTTCTTCATTCTTGTTTAGCAATTACAAATTTTGTTGGTGAATACTTTGGTCAACCAATTGACCATTCGCCATTCAATGTTTCAAATCCAATATTTGGTGATTATTTCAATGAGCATGAAGTTGAATTGTTTTTTAATGAATATGAAATTGAAAGTAATAAGAAAGTTAGTTCTGAAATAAGAAATCAAATTTTCAAATTAACCTCTGGTGCTAACTATATTGTGGAGAAAAAGAATCAATTGATGAAAAATGTTGGCTGTCATCTCTGATTTCAAAATCATTTTGGGGATATATTTCAACTCATCAAAATTGTATTAGAATTGCATCTGTTTTAAAAGATGAAATGCTTGATTTGGAAGGTACTGATTTTGAAAATATTATTGATTCATTCATTAAATTTAATGGAGATGACGAATCAAAAATTGAACATGCCTCAAATGGGATTTTACATGTTGATGATGTAAGAGTTAGACAATCGATCACCCGTTGGGTGTTCAATACTTTGCTTGAAATATGCAAGCCATTTGCAATAAAATTGCAACAACATCCCGAACTGAAAGAGCACCACTTCTATATTAGCTCTATTTCAAATTAATTTAAAAACCAATGTTAATATTATGTGATTTTACTTTTAATCAATATTTTGATCTCCTACTTGTCTAGAAAAACTCCATTGTCACATAATAACAATATTATTAGACTGGTATTGTTTCTTCAAAACTTGTAACCAGCAGAATTTCATGTCACCTCTTTTAATTATTATATAAATAGTTTTCTCTCAAACTCTACCATTTTCCACAACAACACAAACAAAATGTCATCATTTCGCCTATTATTAGAAGAAGAAACACTTCAAACACCACCACAACCAATCCGAAAGCAACACAAGAAGAAACGCCAAACAAGCAATGAAACAGAAAATACCAAAGTAGAAGAAACAGAATTTTCCAAAATTCATCTCAATGAAATTTGGGTCGTAATTTTGAGTTTCATCGACACAAAAACTCAATATAAATCCCTAGCACTAGTTGACAAATTGATTTGTGGCATTCTCTATTCGATACCTCTCTTAAAATCCAGTTTACAACGCACATTTTCTGGAATAATCTCTGGAGAGGAGGAACAAGACCACCTTCCACTATTGAACTATGGAAGTATGACATTGTCAAAGAGAATTGACAGGGTTTTTTCATCCAATGATCCACTCAATATATTTGGATTTGCATCCCATTCAGAATGTTCATCTGAATCCAAATACGAAACCGAAACTATTCCAGATATTCCACTCACATTCCACAATTTGTACATTGGATTATTGAATAGAAGATTGAATATTACCAATAGAAATGTAAAGCTCAGAGAATTTTTGGGATTGGGTGGTTGTTTGGATTGTCCTTCTTGTTACAATAGAAAGAATAATAAGCAAATTCATTGTGAACACTTTCGAATACTTGTAAAGCAAGACCAAAACAATAATTATATATTGAATTTAGAATGTAAATCGTGTTCACTTCATCAAAGTGTGCAGTTAGTAACTGCTCTAGGTAAAATTAAACAATTTTGTTAACAAGATTGTTTCGTATACAAGACATTTCATTGTAAATTTAAAAAATAAACCATTACAATGATAATTCATTCCAGTTACAACAAATCAAATAGTTAAAAGTTATTTAAATTAGTCAATTTGACTGTTGATTGATGTTGCCACTCAAATTTACTTTTTTAAAAAGACAAAATCAAAAAAAAATCCTTCAACACTACCCGAATGACATCTCTCATCGATGAATTTATCCTAGACTTGGGCAGTTTCACAACCAAGTACGGAATTTGTGCTGATGAAATTCCTAACGAATTTCACTCAATATCAGGTAAGTACCTAGTTGACTATAATTGTTGACTATATTTGTTTACTATTATATATAATTCATTCAACACCATTCAGGTTCCTATGAGAAACAAGGTTTTGCTGGTGTATCAAAAATTGCTTGTGGTACAATGGTATTAAAAGAGAAGGAATTGACTGGAAATTTCAGATTACGAACTGTGTGTCCATTGGTTTCTCGTGGACAAGTCAAATTGGCCAATGATACCCTGCTCATGTTTGAACACTTTTTAAATCATGCCTTCCGTTCATTGTATAATTTAAATGGAGATCCATTCTCTGCACAAACTCTCAAGGAAAAGAGTTTGAATATTGTAATGAGTCCACAAGTACAAACTATTGACTCTTTGAAAATGTTGTGTACTCAAGTATTTGATAGACATCAAATTAAGAGAGTTTCATTCCTCTCCTCAATGGAAAATGTTGCCTACATCATGAAAGATAAATTGAATCAGGATCAATTGGAGAGTAGTTTCATTCTTGAACATGGTCATGGTTTGACTCAAATTTCATCACTCAGTAGTGGTGGATCCATTGTAAATACTATTCCAATTGGAGGAATGGATGTTTCAAAGTATATTAGAGAACATCTTCAAAGTGATGAGCCAATGCTCAAATTAACTGAATTGAAGGAACAATTTGCCAAGTGTCTTCTTCCAAATCAATCGATCTGATGAAAGTGCCACTCCAAATTCGGAAATTTATACTCAAGCTGCTGAGGTATTATTCAGTAGTGGAAATCTTGTGGAATCCATTGTACAATTCATTGAAAAGGAAATGAAAGATAGAGCTTCCAAACCAACCTTGTATCTGAGTGGAGGTGCTTCACTCTTGACCAATTTCAAGGAAAGATTACAATTGGAACTTGAAAAGCATTTACCAAATATTAGTGTGGAATATAACAAACTTGGAAAGGATTCAAATTTCTTTGGTGCCTGTAAGAGAATTAAGGATTCAGAAAAAAGTGAAAATGCAATTCATGTTACACTTGCTGAATATAAGGAAAAGGGATTTGATCGTCTATTGAAAGAAAAGCTCTTACCATTCACTAATCAACAATAAATTTATATTTCTGTACAGTAATCAATTACTAATAACTGTTCACAACGAAGAGTTTTATATTGGAAAAGGATGGTAATGATTATTATTTTGGTTTGGAATCGTTACGAAGTTTGTGTAATATCTCTCAAGTGGTGAAGATGTTTTTATGAGATTATAATCAGTGTCAGTAATCAACAAAACATTAAAAAATGCCAACACACTATCCAACAGAAAATCATCCATCTGATGAGAAACACAAGAAGAAGAAGTCCCTCGTCGGCATTGCTGTTGTCACACAACTTGTTCTTGCTCTTCTTTCTCTTGCTGGTGGTGTCTTTGCAATTGTAATTTACACATTACCTGATTATAATAGAGATCTCGAATTGGTATGGTAATCTTCTAATTAATGTATTTAATCTATTGCTTATTACTATAGCAATGTCCACTCCAAAGGTAAGTAAGAGATTCTATACTTCCATACTGATCAGAATGTAGTCTTCAAACTTTCACACTTGTCTTTGGTATCTGTGAATTGTGTTGCTTTGTATTGTCTACCATCTCTCCATTGTGCCTCTTATTGGAAATTAAATTACGTGAAGGATACCATCCAGGATTGGTTTCTCAATGCTTGGTTGTTTTGAGAATTTTGATCGGTTTTGTATCTGCTTCATTCCTCATCAAGAATGTTTACTCATTCTACTCTGCATTGTGTGTAAGTTTTTTGATATTCACAACAGATTTTTGGGTGTGACACGAATCTTTGAAAATTGATTAATCGTAATTATGAAATTAATTTGATAATAACATGTGTGTGGAATTTAAATTTCGGAATTGTTTTGAATAACAGCCTGTTGAACTCAAACCATTCACTCCATACAATTCAATGTTGATTTTCAATTTGTCAACTTTGGGAGTTTTCATCATTACAGGAATTGTCTTGTTCTTTGTTTTCCTCTTCATTGGTTTCTCCGGATCTTCCACTGATAATAAGGCACCAACTACTGCACCAAAACATCAAACTCTCGAAGAAGAAGATGATGAAGATGTTGCCACCTCCCACAGTACTACTGAAAATACTCTCCAACCAAGAAATTCCGAAGAACCAACTGACAAGAATTTCCACATTGTTCGTAATTAAATCTATATTCATGATTGTATTATAAGGAAGTAATCATATTATGTTTCGATGAGTTCGTTCTCTAGTTAGGCTAGGAAATTATTAAGGATTTTTCAAAGCCTTGTTGGATGAATTTAAAGCACTTGTTTGATTCATTTTTTACAAATTTACAAATTCTCAATTTCTTAATACTCATCGTATGTAAACTTGATAACAAAAAGTTTCAAAAGTCTTGTAATTTGTTGCTTTCTCTCAATTGAGCAAAATCTACCAAGCAATTTATTCAAGTTTTTTAAATTTAAAAAAAATAATTATTAAAAATATTATTGCAGAAAAAAAATGTTGAGAAAGGGTTTATCGTTGAATGTTGCCTCATCCCTCATGATGAAGAGGTTTTGCGCTAATACTTCAATGACTTCATCGGTCTTATCATCAGTTCCATCATCATTAATTCCATCTACTCACACTTCACAAATTCAAATTTTATGTTCTTCTCTGACACAACAACAAATAAGAGAAAGAAAAAAGCAAAAAGTCAGAAGAAAGCTTCCATCCGGCAAGGAAACTTTTGAAACCTTCCTTGAAGGACCAGAGGAAAAGTGGAAGAATCCAGCTAAAGAAATTAAAGATACAACAAAGAGTGGCCTCAAACCAGCTATTCGTGAACTTCTTATCATTAGAGACAACAAACTCTCATTTGCTGGTGAAGTAGTGAAAATGCAAGCAGCCAAGGCCTGGAGATTTTTGGCAAGTAATCCGCCAAAAGCTGTCTTGAATACACCAGAAAACAGAGAACTTTACAAGGATTTATTATCAAACCCAGAGGAATTAGCAGCAAAGAGAGACGCCTTCAATAAGAGATATATTTTACAACGTTGCGTAGTCAAGATGTGGAGAAAGACTGAAGGAGCAGACATGTCTTACTATTGGGCAATCACAAAACGTGATGTTGCCAATTATGTTTGGTGTGTTTATCATATCGCCATCAAGGAAGAAGATATCAGCTTCCCAGGTGAACAAAAGAATAGTGAAGGTTCCTATCATCCAATCAGAAAACCAGGATATTACTGTGTTTATGTTGATTTGAAGGATGGTCAATCACCAGTACTTGTAAGAGTATACTTACCAATTAACGACAAGGCTAAGACATACCGTGGTAAATCAGTTATCGGATACGTTTAAACAATTTATTACATTTATTTTGAAAAACATTAAAAAATTAAAAGAAAAAACAACTTTGGTTTATTTAACCTCTTTTAGGAGAATATTTAAATAATATTATTGGATTTGGAAAATCAATTAAATTCAAAATCATTTTCTAATTGTCCAAAACCAAGTTTTGATTTTCAAAAGAAAAATCTTTTTAAAAAATGTCTTTAAGAGAGTCATCATCAAGCAGCATCGACTCTGTTAATAATTTCTAGTAGGATTACACAAGAAGGAAATTCCGATAATATTCTTACACCAACTAAAATTATTGATGAAGGAAACGATGATGATAATTATGCTTTTTCTGTTGTGACTCGACAAGGAAGTTTAAATACACAAGTGGACAGTCCCATCAATTTGGTTAATCCTTCATCAAGTAATTTTCCAACAAGTGTTGTTGATAAATTCGATACCTCTGATGATGAGGAGACAGCAGCCTATTCACAAATTATTTATAATGAAGAGGATCAAATTTCAACAGAAGGCTCCGAAGCCATCATAAAGGAAGCTCATTTGGAAGATAAGGATTTGGAAACTGGAGCTTCACAATCAGAAACCTTGTCTGATGTTTCAAATGAAAATGTTTGTACTGCAGAACAATCATCAACATTGTTCGAGAATGTAGTTGTAGTTGAACATAAGGATACCTTTAAAACAGAATTTGAGGAACAAACAAATAGTGATTATGCTGTTTCATCAATAATTATTAACAAATCAAATGACTCCTCAAACTCATTGAATATTGTTCCTGAGGAAATGCCAAAATATTTAAAACATATTGATGAAGATCAAACTCAATTGAAATGGCAACTACATCAAAAACACATTTTCATTTTGAGCGAAGCTGGTAAACCAATTTTTGCAAGATATGGTGATGAAAATCAATTGAATACCATTCTTAGTTTTTTCCTTGGTATTGTAACTATTGTCTCAAAAGAAGGAGGTACTGTAAGAACCGTTAATTGTGGAGATTTGAGGTTTGTCTATGTTCTTAAAGGAGCACTCTACTTCGTTTCTGCATGTAGAACATCAGAAACTAATATTGAAATTGCCAAACAATTGGAAACTATTTACGAACAACTTGTATTTATACTTACATCGAAGAATATCCAAGATATATTACAAAAGAGATCTAATTTTGATTTGAGAAATTTATTGGGAGGAACTGATAAGATTATTTATTCTCTAATTAATAGAATGAGTAATTCTATTGATTTTTCGTTTGATTCAACACATGTTCTGAGGTTGCCAAAGAATACTAGAAATCAAATAGGTGATATCATGATGAAGAATAGAGTTCAAAATAAGCTCATGTTCTCCTTAATGATTTGCGATAATACCCTTGTTCACATGATTAGAAACAAGAAGTACAATATGAAAACCAAAGATTTACTCTTACTGATGAATTTTGTTGGATCTGCACACTCTTCAATGAAGAGCAGCGAGACTTGGACTCCTATTTGCTTACCTGGACTCTCAGAGACATCCTATGTCTATGCTTATATAATTTATTTCACAGAAAATTGGTGCTATGTAATGATTTGTATGAGTACAGAGTCTTTCTTTGACTGTCAACAATCTCAAACTCAAACTTTACATGACCTTATTCAATCCGAGTGCTTCCCATCTGTTGTCAATGCTTCCAAATCACCTTATCCACCAGTTAACGAGATTTTCACAAATGTCAGACAAACAGCTTCATCCCCAACAGCAGATGACTTTTTAATGACTCAAACTTTCCTCAGACATTTCAATTGTAGAATCAAATCAACCACTATTTCAATTTGCCAAACTTGTTCCACTAAATTCTTACCACCTTATCATACCAAGAAGGAAAGAAAGAGAATTCTCAGATTGTACAAATCAACAAGAGAGAAACTCGAATCCATTCCAAACAAAAATATTGGATCTCAAGTAAGAACCTACGTGGAAAGCACCAAATATGAATCTGTTATTGGACTGTGGACTGGTAATTTGGAAATTTATGCTACATTTTCATTGTTAGCTTCCAAATCTGACATGATTGCAATTTGTGAACAAATCAAAAATTGGATCAAGAAAGAAGATCCATCTCTCTTCCTCTCCAATATCCCAACCTTTTAATTTATTTTTTCTCACACTCAAATTAAATTTAATATTACCCAAAATTTGTAACAATAAATATCTCACTAAAAAGAGGTATTTACAATTTATTCACTATATTCATACTAATTCCATTACCTGCCAATACCATTGCACCAGTGTACATCGATTATTTCATAGCCCTTACTATCCTTAACACATTTTACAACTTTCCAAATTAAAACTTGCGTCTTCATATTTCTGCTCTTGATTTGGCTTTAAAGCGACGCAACGTTAAAAAACTTTAAAAAAAATGAAATTCTCTCCCGTAACGGCATTTTCATCATCACCAATGTTATTAAATAATAATTCAAGGAGAAGCATTGGCACGATGAGCAATCCGTGTTTCAAAAATCAGTCTAGGATAAAATCATCAACATCGCGGCGGAGGTCTCTATTGATTGGGTGTATATTCATCATGACTGTAATTTTGTGTTTATTGCCGAGTGGTATTTGGTCGGAGTTTAATGAAGATAGCTATACGAGAATGATTGATAAATTTGGATACTTGAAGAGTGTTATTACGTCGAAAAGGAAACCAATTCATCATCATCACTATGATAATTCTATTGAGGAAATATTCGATACAATTTATTTACGAAATAATGAAACTCTTGATTATGGTGTTGTGGTAGTTATTGATAAGTTGGGAAAGGTTATATTTAAGAAAGCTTACGGAACTCGAGAGCCAACAATTGTTGGTGCAAAAAGAAATATGAAAGATCCTCTTGATGATATTTTCCCAATATCAGAAGTGTCAGCAACTTTTACTGCTGCCACAAGTGTGCAGCTTTATGAAATGGGAATTCTGGAAAATTTGTCAACTACTCAAGCTAATGTATATTTACCAGATCCTTTGAAAATCAAAAAGGATATTATCGGAGATTATTCTTCTACACTTGACCTACCTGTAAAGATTAGTAGTGATAATGTTACTTTAGGATCACTGCTTACCCACACTACTGGGTTTGATAGCCGAGTTGTTGGATCATGCTCTCGAGTTGATGATTCATCTGAAAAAAACGAGCCAGAACACTTTTTGAAAAAGTATCTGGAAATAATGGACGTTCCTCGTATTAGAAGATATGATTTTGTTTCATCATTTTCACATATAGGATATACCATGTTAGCTTTAATTATTGAACGAGTGACAGGACAATCAATGAAACACAATTTGGAAAATCATATTTTCAAACCTTTGAATATGTCCAGCACTTTTGATAGGTACAAGAAGAATATTTTTGATTCAGAAAACCTTGTACTGCCATTCCTTTCTGAAACAAATGACAAGGAAGAAATTTATGGCAGAATCTACGATGACTATTGCTGGTATACTCCAGCATTTTCTTCTTCTGTGGGAATGTACTCTACTCCAAGAGATATGGCCAAGTGGGCTCTTACTCATTTGAATTATGGAGAAATAATTCCATCAGAACTCGATCCACATGTTGAGAGAAAAAGAATATTCTCAAAGGAAAGTGCTGAACTAATGTACAGTGAACATTTCAGCTCTCATCCAAACTGTTCCATCACCACTGGTTATGGATGGAATATTGAAAAGAAATCGGATGTAAAGTACATTACAGCACACGGTTCTTTCATGCATCCATTTTTCTCTAGGTTGGCTGTTTTCCATGAACAAGGTCTTGGTATTGCAATTTTGGGAAGAGGAAAAGATATCAGGTGGGATTTGGGATTTGATTTATTTGTTGATAGATATGTCGATAGAGTTCCTTGCAGTATGAGAAAATCTCCTTTGAATACTACCTATGTGGATAATGATCTTGGAATTTGTGCATTCACAATGAAAATTAGTTCACTTCCAAAATTTTCTGAAGAGTACAATTACATTACCAAGTACAGTGGTTGCTATGTAATGCACGAATATGAACATACTACATGGCTTAAATTCAGGAAGGAATTCCAAAAGAAGATTTGTGTTTCTGTCGAAGACAATCACCTCTATATTTCCACAGGAGAGAGGGGAATTCAGCTTGTGGCTTTGGAAATGCCAGGAAGAACTCTTGAAAATGATCCTCTATTTATTGCTGGTATCAAATATGATGACGAGGTATTAATTGTCGATGGATTTTCTGATATTTCTTTCGAGTTCAATGAGGGAGATGAATCAGCATCGTACATTACTCTTGCTTCTGTACCTTTTGAACGAGCCACACCAGTTAACTTTTACGCATTATTGCTTACTCTTGGATTTTCATTTCTCATTTGCTTTTCATTCTCATTGTTGCACTTGTCGTTCTGTATCCATACATGGAGAGAGCATAATGCAATGTATTCCAAGAGAAAGGCATCAATTTTAATTAATCGAGTTGCCTCACTTCAAAGACCAATTGGTCCACTTTCTTCTTCGACTGGATCAATCACTATTCAAGACTCTGATACCAACATTGTTGGTGTGGATGAAGAAGGTAGACAATTATTGTACTCTTATGGAGATGATGAAGAGGCAATGAATGGATCTGAACCAACAACTACTGTCAAATCAAGTAAGATACACAAATTTATCAAGATCAAATCCATTGTTGATACTATTGCTATCTTATTAATGTCGTGTACTACATTGAATAATTCATTGGCACTTATTGGAATTATAATGAATTATTCATTATTCAATCAGACCAAATTATTCCCACAAGAGCAATTTGGCATTCAATTTTTCCTTCTTGAATGTCAACTGGCAGTGGTATTTGATTTTGCTATTGTTCTTGCTCTTTTGGCTTTGTTTGTCGTTCAAATGACTCATCCAAAGGGTAAGAGCAGAAGAGTTTGGCTTTGGGTTGTAATGTATGCTGTTTCAACCTTCATCCATTTAGTTTGGCTTGCATTTTGCATTTACTTTAATTGGTTTGGTCCTGATTATCAAACAATTTAATACAAATTATTTATTTACATTTTGCTCAATAATGTGTGCAATGGAAGAATAGGCAAAATGGTATTGTTCTTGTGTTTGGATCATGCCAAATCTTTGTTTCTGCAATTTTAATGTTAAAATTAATTGTTGAAATACTAAACAAACCTTTAAAGAAACAGCTCTTTCCATAATTTTTTCTGCATCAATATCCACACCATTTTGGTAATCTTTGAGAATTGAGTCAACTAAACAAAATGTTCCAGTTCTTCCAACACCAGCTGAGCAATGCACGTAAATCTTTGATTTAGTTGTATTTAAATTATTGACTAAATAGACCACTTCTGAGAATGTACTCAAATTAGGAACTCCAAAATCAGGCCATGTAGTAAAATGAACAATATGGACAATTTTTTCCTCTGCTCCAGAAAATCCAACCTTGATGGTTCTATCATATATTTCATTCTTAATTAAATCCTCATTAACATTAGATACGATAATATCTCTTTGTTCTCGTGGATTGCTGTCATCTGGTGTTGCTCCTCCCTTGTCTCCCAAATTAGGCCAGTATTGTTCACATTTTTTCTAAATTACATATATTGTGATCTAGATAAGCTGCTGCCAAACGTGATGGCTCTACTTACAGAATTTTTTTCAATCACATTTGCCAACATTAAAATCACCTTTACATCCTCCTCTATTATCATTCTCCAAAAATCGTAAATTGTATTAGCAAGTGGTCCTTGTCCAGCAATATACAAAACTTTATCATCCACACCAATATAATTTGCATTAATATAAAATTCATTATCACTTGTCAATTTTACTCTGGTATCCTCATCTTTGATCATCAATCATCACACACTCTATCGGAATGTAATAAAACCTACTTGCCAAAATATTAGAATATCTATTCTTTGAAGGATTGTTCAATGCGGTCGTGAAATCTGTTGATTTTACCAATTGTTGCTCCAAATTCCTCATTTTAGCAAATTCCTCCTTTGCATATTTGTTTGCATGATTTTTCAGTGTGAGTGGAAGTGATTTATTTTGACCCATTTTTTAATTGTAATTTTTTTAAATATAAATTTCATTAGATGATGAAATTGATAAAAATGGATGTTTACATGTTTGTTTAGAGAGATAGATCATAATTGTTGTGGGTATGTTCCAATATTGAGTGGAAATAGTAAATAAAGGAAGTCATATATCTTTGTTAATTTTGTTATTCAAAAATATAAAAATATGGATCTTTGGAATAGTTCTTGAAAAATTAATGGACTACCTCAAGAATAATACACTATTTCTTGAGTTTCGCACAGGTTTATCACCATTATACCAAACACCAGCAGATTCATTCAGCCAATTTCCTTCTGGAGCACCATAATAGGTAAAGGTTGTGAAAATTCTATGTGAAAAATGGTGCTCTTCCCATTCTAAATCCAATCAGTTGTCCATTACTTGCTTTACAATAGCATAAAACACAATATTTCACTATTAGTTGTTTGGAAAATCAAGAGTTCCAAGGTTTATTATTAATTGATTAGTTGTTAGTTCCATGTTAGAAAAGGTTGATTCAAAATCTCAATAATACCTAAAATCACTTGTGTAAATCTGCTCTACAATTAGGGCATGAAGGTCTCACGGCAGATTTTAACCATCCGTCTAGACACTTAATATGAAACATGTGGTCACACCCAGTTTTGTAAACCATTACATTTTTTTTCAATTTTTCAAGACATATTGTACATTCCACAGGTTCTGAACCATCTGTAGGATTATATTTAACCTTCTTAATATCTGCCTTATTTCTTGGAGGTTCTGGAGTTGTATTTCTATTGTGCATTCTTTGTAAAGCATTCATCAAAAATCCACTAAACCTCGAAGGAAATTGGGGAAGTAAAAGGAATGGATTTCTTCCCAAGTTAAAATGTCTAAAGATTGTGGCATCATCTCCATCGTCTTGCTCCTCAGAAATATCAGTGTCGTCATCGTCATCATCTGAATCACTATTAATATGATTCGTCCCAACTATCTGCACTTCATTCTGTTCGTCATCACTATTTAACACAATGGCATCGTCTTGGTTTCTACCATGTCGTCGAAATTCGTCCGCATCATCCTCTATTACTATTACATTTTCATCATTATTCGAATTATTGTTTTGTATGGTTGTTGGTGGTAAAATAAACGGAGAGGGTATTGCAGGTGTTCGATGAGGTATACTTGAAGAAGATGAAGCAGCAACAGGAGCAGATAGGCTTGGTGTTGAATTACTTATTCGTCGATGTTTCCTAACAGGCTGTAGAGATGAAGATCCAATAATGTTATTATTATTCAATGTTGCAAAATGATCATAAGAGTTTTCCCGTATTGTATTATTATTATTACCACTACTACTAGATCCGATTATTTGTGATTCCTCATTCTCATCATTATCACTATTAATGTCTAGGCTTTGTGGAGTAGTGTGCTCCAAAAACCTCCTCTTTGTTGCAATTCTTCTTCGTGGAGGCATCTCAATGATAAAGTTTCTCAATTATTTTTTTTCTATTTGCTTGCTCTTTAAATAGATAACGTGCGGTTTTACCTTTTGGCGCCATTTTGTGCACAATTTTTTGTTCTTGCTTTGAGTTATTTGTTCTTCTTCACAATGTTTAGTATTTTCAAATTTTTATTGGAAAGCCTTCTCCCTTAATATCAACTGGATCAAAGGTAATTATTGTGTTGGGATGGGAGGTGAAATTTCAAGTTAGAAGAAATATGAAACTAGTTTCCATTACAACATAAAAAAAATGAATCAAAACGATCTGTTCTTCCACAAATTGCCATCTATTCGCTCGGCCATTCAAAAATCAATATTGTCATTGTCCCAGCACGATCTTGTTCAAATTAATCTTTCTATTGATAATAATACAAATGTAGAATTCATTGAAGGAAATGAAGTGAATGATGTTTTGCGTTCCGTGATCAATTTTCAAAATTCTCTGATGAGAGGTTTGATCAATTGTCAAGCCAGTGGTGATAATTTTGCTGATCTCAAGATCATCACTGCTAGTGGTGATGATCACCAGGGTGATTTTTCCAAAACTAAATTCACTACTATTGAACCAATTCGTAAGGTTACTGGCACTTTGTTGAGATTCTATGCTTCCAAAGGAGCTATAAACGAATTTCCAAGTGCTTTGGAAAATTACAATGCGCAAAAGGAAGGGTTTGAACAATTGGTATTGCCACAAGTTGATGTCGTTTTTGGTTTAGCTTCTCAAAGTGAAGCTCAATTATTTTCTCTTCTATTTACTGGTTTTGAATTGATGTCCTTGGGTGGTGATTTTGAAATTCAAAAACCAAACACCAGGGAATTTTGTGAATTTCTTCCCAATTTTGTGGCTGAATATTTTGAAAATTTAGATCAGGTTCACTTGTTTGCTCTTATAATTGCAGCAAATGCAACATTTTCAAAGAAAATTTTGGATTTACTCTGTGCTCAAGTTGCAAATATGATTAGAGGAAAGAGTCCTGAGCAAATTAGAGACACTTTTAATATTAAAAATGGTAAGTTGACTATTTCAAATATAATTCATCAAAGATATTTACTAAATATTTGTGAACAGATTTCACTCCTGAGGAAGAGGAAGCAGTTAGAAGAGAAAATTCTTGGGTAGAAGAATAAATTTTAAGAATTCTCTCATCAAGAAATGCTATTGAGCTTTTTGCTTTTAGCTTTAGAAAATTTTTTCGCGCCAAAAAGTTACAATTTTCAATTTCCCGCCTAATGCTCAAAAACAAATCAACAAAAAAAATGTCTAACAGGAGAAAAGACAAGGACCCTAACATGCGAGTTCATTTCATAAGAAACAGTGTCGATGAGGGAAATAAACAATCACCAGTTGTATCTGGTGATGTATCAATGATACCATCGGTTGCTAACATACGAAGACAGTACGAAGAGAGAGTCATGTTGCTGGCTGATGGGTTAACTAGGATATTAAGAGATCTTCAAAATGATAAAGTAATTTTACAAATGGACAAGGATATAACAACATCTCCTCACGTAAAAGATAGAATTCTTGAAATTCTAGGTGAAGCACTAAGGTCCGGTATGTAAGAAGAAAATAATATTATTTTAATAATATTCATCACGATGACACAGAGCAAGAAACGGTGATACAAAGATTAATCGAAGAAATGTCTAAAATGGAGACAGAACTCAAAACAACAACAGAAGAGTTCACTAGGTGTCAAGTAGCTTTAAAACAAGAAACAATTATTCGCACAGAAAGCGAAAAAAAAGTAGGTCAACTCAAATTAAAAGTGAAGGATATGGTTTCCGATCAAAGCAAAACAGAAGGAGCTAAGGTAAATGACTTGTACGATAAAGTTGTAAATTTAGAAAAAGAACTATCAAACAAAGAGAATGATCTGAAAAAGAGAAAGAAGGCACTCTCATTGTAAGTATTGCATGATTGGAATTTTTGATAACAAAAAACAGAGAAAAGGAAGAGAACAAAACCCTAAGCGAGCAGCTGCATTCGAGGGAACTAGAATTGAATGAGCTCAGGAGAAGAGTTGAAGAACTTGAGTCACTGGCTGAGGATAAGGATGAAGTGATTGTAAAGCTTGAAGAAAAAACAGAAAAATATAAAGAAAGTTACTCCGAGGAAACAAAGGCAAGCAGATTGACGAGCAAAATGCTGAAAAAGAAGTTGATGGAAACTGAATCATTACTGAAAGAAAAGACTGATCAAGCGAAGGAGGCCAACATGGTAGTAATGAGAGTTCAAGCTAAAATATTGAAATATAAAGAGAGACTGGATGAAACTGAAAGAAAGAGAGAAAAATTAGAATCGGATCTCAAACGCCTAAAGACAGATTCAGACGAGTGTCTTGAGAGAGAACGAAAGGCTCACAACGAACTTCAAACAGAATTTTCAAAGAGACTCAATGAGAGACTCTCAGAAAGTGAAAAGAGAATTAAGGAAAGCTTTGAGAGTAAGATTCTTTCTCTTGAAAGAGAACTTTATCAAAAGGATTCTCTTGTTCAAAAGTCTCAGTTTGATCAACTTTATCAACAACAATTAATGAATGGAATGGTAAGTTTATCTATTTGGATTTTGAGAATAACATTCCAAAGAAAACTCTTCAACCTGATCAAGTGGATAAAATGTTGGAACTTTATGAGAGCAAGCTTAAAGTCTTCCAAAAGGATTATATGCCAAGATCGGAGCATGATAAGTCGATAGTAGATTTAGAATCTAGGTTTATGAATGAAAAGAGAGAATTGGAAAGAAAGTACGATTACGAGTCAGAGTTCAAGCTTAAGGAATTGGAACAAAAGAAACAAAAAGAGTTTAACAATACTCTTTCCAATATTAATCAAGCTGTCAAACAATTGGAAGAGAGATTGTACGAAGAACAGAAGCAATGTAAGAAATTGAAGAAGGAAATTGTTTCCAAGGATGAGGAGCTAAGAAATACTAGGGATGAAGTAAAGAATGTTGAAAAGAAGAATCAACAGCTAGGATCTTATATTGAAGAATCCAATAGAAATATCGATACATTAAGAGATTATATCGATAAGCAGGATCATGATAGAAAAGAGATGGAGATTTACTGTTCCAAGATGGCTGACGAGGTAAGAAACATCAACTCTCAACTAGAGGACATGAAGAAGCATTCGGATAACCTAGAAACTGCTGTACAACAAAAGAAGGCAGAGTCTAACAAGCTCAAAGAGGCCTTAATATCAGAGACACACAAGCTGGAAGAAGTTGCTCACGAGTATCAATTGGCCTCTCAAGACTTGGAAAAGTATAAGCGCGAGCACAAGATCATGTCAGACACAATCAACTACCATCTCGAAAATATTTTACTTTCTCTTCCTTCCACAGAGTTTAGAAAATTCAAGCTTTCTTCATCAAAGATTGAAGGTATTGATTCTCTGTGCAGTGAACTTGGAAAGAGTATTGAAGAGTTTAAATCCCACACAAATAGAACAACACAAGAATTAAAAGAAAAACAAGTAATTCAAGTGAAGGGATTGGAAGATGTCATTAAGAAAAAGAAGCAAAAGGATGGTCTTGTTGAGTTCAAGCTAAGAGCTGAGGTTTCAAACTTGAGAAGGGAGCTTGACACTGTTAAACTTCAAGCAAATCAAAATCTTTCTGCTTGGAAGCAAACACTACAAGGGTTCTCAGATCAAGTTCTTCAAAAGGTTCACGAAACTAGTGTATTGAAAGAAAATGAAAACTACAAGAGGCAAAGACAATACGAGAGAGACATCCAAGAGCTTTCATCTCAATTAATGAAAAAGGACAATGATGTCAATTCCAAAGTTTTTGCTCTCCAAGAAGAGTTGAACATTGTTTCTCAAAGACACAGTGTTGATTTAACAGAGAAGAGTGCGTTGGCAAGAAAAATGGAGGATTTGAGAAGAATAGTTAGAATTATCGAAGAAAACTTTGCTATGCCTTCAGACATTATTAATGGTATTTGGTCAACTCAACCAGAAATATTTGAAAAGTCTGTATTCCACCTCTCTCAAAACCTTATAACTTTCAAGAAGAATTTCGAAATTCAAAAGAATCAAATCGATGATCTCTCTCAAGATATTCAAAATCTTCAAGCTCAAAATGAAGTAACCGAAGAGGCAAAGAGAAAGCTTGAAAAAGCAGCTGCAAAACTTCAAATAGAACATGACAAGTTGCTCTCGATATGCAATGAAAAGTATGCCGAAGTTGTTGGTAGTTTGGAAGACATTAAGGTAGAAGTTGAAACCTTAGAGGCCAAATATTACAAGGACGTCAAGGAATCAACAATCAAGGCAAAGGAATCCTACGAAAATCAAATGAAGCACCTCACAGAAAAGTTAACAGACAATATTGAAAGAGCCTCACAACTGATAGTTGTTTCCTCAGATGCCTCAACTGTCTATCAAGAAACAAAGAAAAAACTGGACGATATTAGAAAAGAAAAGGAAAGACTCCAAAATTCGTTAGTGGAAACCCAATTTGACAAGGAAAAAGAAAAACAAGAAAATATGACACTGAAAAGAGAATTAGAATCTTATGATCAAAAATTACGAGAACTTGAAATGGAGAAAGACAAGTACAAGAGGAAGAATCAAAGTTTAGAGAAAAAGAATAAGAAATTGGAGCTTGTTGTGGAGGCTGTGAAACAAAGTTATGATATTGGCGACCAACCAATAAACAACAATTAATTATGTAGTGATTTCACTCTAGAAATTAATACTTATGCAAGGATTCAATGGAAAATGATTTAATTCTTGATTGGTTGACTTGTTTTCAAAATGTTACAAAATTCTAGTATTAATGTTTTGAAAGAGAGGTGATTTCCGAATGGTTTGATATCTTCCAAATCCAATTCTGTATTTAACCCCAAATGAATCATGATATTTAGAATTCTTAACAATCCAAATGCTATACAGAGAGTTTCTTCTTGTTTCACCATAGTAAATCCCCAATGCTTTCGGAAGTGTGAGTATGCTCTAGTTCCATACAGATTGGCCATCCAACTTCCCATCACAAATAATTCATTGGCCCCAACAAGAACTTCCAAATCAATCATGACAATACTTTGAGACGGATAGGAAATGATGAAATTTGCTGGATTTACATCAACAATAGTCAGAGAACTTTTTTGATTGGAAAGAATTTGGAATGAATTTTGAGGTTCTGAAAAGAAATCTTCCAATTGTTGCATTCCTTCTTCTAATATCTGCCCTCTAGATGGGTCCATTTTGCTCAATAGAAATTTCTGTTCCTTGATGGTGTGAGAAATAAACTCTGAATAAGTTTCGAATTTTCCTCTCAAATTGGTTGAACTGTTCTCTTCAACAAGAGGTCCAAAACCCTTCACTGGAATATTTCGCAATTTTCCACAAATTTCAACACAATCCTTCATTAAATTTGAGAGAATATCATCATCTTCCTCTTTTAACTCAAGCATATTGGAATTTAAAGCTTCCAATAACGTTTTCCCCTTCACAAACTCCAAAATCAAAAAATCAAATTTTTTGGAATTAATCTCAAGTGAACCAACTTGAAAACATTTTGGAAGTGGTAATTCTTGATTTGCCAAAATAGTGTAGAGCATACACTCAACATTTCCAAGCGGATTACTAATTTGTCTATCGATTAACTTGAAAATGAATGAGGACTTCTTCAAGTTTAGGTTTGAAATGATAAACGAAATTCCTGCTCTCTGTGATGACTTCAATTTCCGAGTGGATCAATTGTTGAAGAAGAGAGCTGTCAATGAGATTAGAGGTGCGCAATTTTTCAAGAAGAGCTTGTTTCATTTTTTTTCTGTGATTGAGATTCGGCAACTTTATTTGAGTAGTGACAATGAGCTCATTTCTTATCAATTTTTCTCTTAATGGTAGAAAGGATTTTCCTCTTTTCCTTCAATTGTTGTTCGACAAATATCTTAAATCTGCGATGAGTATCCATCATCAAGACACACATTTCAGTTTCCACAATTTCGAATAAATTTTCAGGAAGAGATTCATTCTCTCCCTTTGCAAAATAATCCAAAAATTGTTTCACATTATCAGCAACTTGTTTGCTGGTATTGACAGATCGTTCACCTCTCACATCTAAAAAGTCAGTGTGAATTTCGAATGCAATTTCAAACTTTCTCTTTTCAATATCGGATAAATCCTTCTCAGTAAAGCCCTTCTTAATATTCTTCTTCTTTTTAGATGAATCTTCATTACTTGTGGTGGTTGTTGTTTCAGAAAATTGATCAGAGCCACTCAAAATGTCAGTGTCAAATAAGAAAACTTGAATGTCAAAGCTCTTTTCACACAACTTTTTGTAATCGTTAATCTTTTCCAGAACTGCAAAGTTTTCTTCACTTCTTTCAATCTTGCAAAATTCTTTGAATTTCTCACAAAGTGCCGAATCATTGATTGTATCCATCAGCATGTACTTTCTCACTTGTCTCAATTGCTTCTCCTTAGTTGTATCTTTCCTTACCGAAAGCACAATATACGCAATCAACACTGGCACGACAATGACCATTGACACGACCAGAATAATGAGAGAGGCCAGAGTTGTGCCCAAATCTTCCTCTTCAACCACTTCTTGCATATTAATAACATAATCCAAAACTGGTTGAATTTCTTCAGGATAACCTGCTAAATAGTATTGATATAATGGTGAATCGAGTATGGTGATGGCTTGTGAATAATTGGATGCCCTGACCATCTCTATTACTGACAGCTCTTCCTTGACAGCTTTTCTCGATCTCACATCCTCTCTGCTCATGTTATTTCTCTTAGAATAGACTACATCTTCAGGTACTGAAACAAGTAAAACATTGAGTACTTCATAATACTTGTCATGATAGGTCATGAATAGATCGGCATATTCCAGCGCCAAAGTTCGATTATATTCTGAAACGACAGATACTCTGCATGAGAGTTTCATCAAATCTCTATAGTAGGTGGCATCTGTTTGCAAGGCCCCTATATTCGAGTACAAGTTATCGACAACTGAATAGTTAAATGCCACAGCTGCCATCAATAAGCAAAAGGCAATTAAACTAACGAATAAAGCTAGCATGCTAGTCATCTTGAGGCAGTTAAGCTCCATTACACCACAACATGTATGAATTTTGAAAGCTCTATTATAGAATTTGGTAACAGAGGATGAACGGGGTGTTTTCAATGAGGATGGAAGTGATTTTTGCTTGTGAATTGAATCTCTCTTTGTTAAATATTGTTGGTTGTTGTTGTTATTGACTTCAGTGATGTCAATAGTGGTGGTACATGTATTGGGTGAGACAACTTTCAATTCATAGGACACATGTTGGCTTGTGTCAATGCTTGTCATTGTTTTTTTTTGAATGTGTGAAAAAGTTGTTTGTTTCTTTCCACATATTCTTGTCAATGAGTTCATGTTGTTTCGTTTAAACTCTTATTGATACCATCCTACTATTTATACTATTTAGAGAATCTCAACAGTTGTCGCTTTTGACTTGTGGATAATATTGGTTGTGGACATTTATCAAGGAAGGAAAGTTACTCCATCCATACAAATTATAAAGACCAATATGTTAAACATCAACACAAAGATATTGGCATCCCATGATTGGTGTGATACATCCAATAGATATATGGTGGTACGTTTGGTATGAATAATGATTGCATCTGAATGGTCAGTTACCGTATATTCGGATTTGTTACCTTTTTTCTGTTAGTAGAAGGAACTATTTGCTTTTGAACATTTGTTGAATCATACCTGCTCTAGAATGAAAGAATTAATCATTTAAGAATGATTCAGACAGAAGAATTTGCTACAATTTAAGGTTTAGTCAAGATTAGTTCAATCAGATTCCTCTGCCAATATGATGTATTTTATTGAGGTGAAGAGTACAATGTTTACTTATTTTTATTTCTTGGTGTACTTGACTCCCATATTAGCTGCAGCGAACATGTAAACATCAACCATTTCCCTAATTGACATTGCCAAAGACTTGCCAGCTCCATGGCCAGCATTAACTTCAATTCTGCACAACAATGGAGATTCGTTTACAGGTCCTGCTACATGTTGAAGTTGGGCAGTATACTTGAAAGAGTGGTGAGGAACGACTCTATCGTCATGATTGGCTGTTGTTACCAACACGGCTGGATACTTTTGAGGCTTAATATTGTGAAGTGGACTATAAGCACTCAAATAATCGAAACCTTTTGGATCACTGGAACAGCCGTAATCACTACACCAAGCATGGCCAATAGTCCAAGTGTGGAACTAGAAATTTCATTAGAAAAATAATCAATTATAAAACTTACCTTAAGCATGTCAAGAACACCAACCATTGGAACACCGACACGGATTAGGTCAGGTCTTTGGTTAACTACTGCAGAGACTAAAAGTCCACCGTTAGATCCACCGTTTAAGGCAATTCTGGCTGGAGAAGTATACCCTTCCTTAATAAGATATTCAGCTGCAGCAATCATGTCGTCAAAAACGTTTTGCTTTCTGTCGAGAATACCTTGTTCGTGCCACTTTTCACCACCAATTTCATTTCCTCCTCTCAAGTTTGGAATGGCTACAATACCACCAAAGTATTTGATCCAAAAGAGTCTCATTACACTGAAGGATGGTTGAAGTGAAATTGAAAAACCACCATATCCGTAGAGCCATGTTGGGTTATTACCATTCTTTTCAAATCCCTCCTTTTGATGGACAATAAACATTGGAACTTGTGTACCATCCTTTGAGGTATACCATTCTTGCTTGACTTCAATAGAGTCAGGTGAAGGAACTAGATCACTAGTCTTGGTCTGATAAAAAACTGATGTTTCCTTTGTGTTGAAATCATACTTGTAGACTGTACCTGGGTGATTGAAAGAAACAAACTTGTAAAAGAGGATTGAGTCTTCCTTTTTGGCTGAAATACTTGCTACTGAACCAACTGCAGGCAATTGAATATCATTGATATATTCTCCAGTTGAAAGGTTGTAGAACTTTAAAACATCTTGAACGTTATGTACATAATTTGCAATGATGCAATCATTATTACCAATACTGGCAATGCTCATTGGATCCTCAGTTTCAGGAATTAATTCCTTCATTTCAGTGTATGGCTTGTTGACATCAACGTAAATGACCTTTGAGTTTGGAGCATTCAAGTTGGTCTTAAAGTAGAACATGGTTCCCTCATTGGTAATATAATCATATTCAGCATCAAAGTTATCAATATATTTAACAACTTTGATTGGTGATTCACTGTCATTTGGATCAACTTTTTCGAATGCCAATTCTCCTCCAATTTCATCATTCTTATAAACCTTTGTAAAGAAGAGTCTATTTACAGGTGCAGTGCTTTCACTGACAGTAATAATCAAGTACAATCCATCATCAGAAACAAAACCTCCAAACATCCACTTTGGTTGGCTCCTGTCACCATAAATTAAAATATCTTCAAGTTGACTAGTTCCCAATTTGTGATAGTAGAGTTTGGAATTTTCATTGGGGTCAACTTCAGATCCCAAACTTTCAACAGATGACTTTGGTTCTGGATATCTGGTGTAGAAGAAACCCTTAGAATCATGAGTCCAAGAAATTGAAGTAAATTTACAGAACTTAATAGAATCAGGTAAGTGTTCCTTAGTCTTGACATCCATAACCTTAATAGTTTGCCAGTCGCTTCCCTTTTCACTTAAACCATAAGCATAATAGTCGCCATTCTTAGTGAAAGCACTACTTCTAATTGAAGAAGTACCATCAGCAGAGAATGTATTAGGATCAACGAATACTTCAGCTTCATCTGATTCAAGTGATCTTCTGACCCACATGACGTCTTGATTTTGTAAACCATCATTTTTGAAATAATAATATCCAGTCAAGTCACCTTTACCTCTCTTGAATGGACATCCAACTTTTTCAAAATTAACCATTTTTGTAAGTTGATCAACCAATTCTTCTCTTGTAGCTCCAACCTTTTCTTCAATTCCTTCTTCCATCATATATTTTGAAAAAAGATCAACTTGTTGAGAAACCCATTCCTTTGTCTTTTCACTGTATGGTTCTTCCAACCAACGATATGGATCAGCAACTTTTACCTCCCCTCTTGTTTCACTCTGATAAGTATCAATGGCTGATTCATCTCTAAAAGCTTGAGGATAATTCCAAGATGGCATTCTCGTGTTATATTTTATATTGTTACTATTATTATTACAGGATTGATGTACAAATCTTCTCTGTTGCTGTTGTCTATTGATTCCGAACAAGGACGACTGCGAAGGGAGAAATTTTGTTTTTTTGTTTAAGAAAAATTTATTTGCAGTTCGGCAAGTGATCATTTTTTATAAAAATAGATTTGAAATCCTTTGAAGAGAAAAAGAGTTTACAAAAAAAAATGCAAGACATTGCTGGCGAGGGTTGTGGGGAAGTGAATGATGGAGTAATTTTGGTGATGATTGGAGGATTGCCAGCTTGTGGAAAGACGAGTCTGTGTAAGAAAATTCAAACCTATTTGGAAGATATTCGGATGGAGTGTAAATTATTTTGTTATGATGAGGTTTTGAATGAAGAGTTGGAGGATGGTGGATTTACTTCGGAAAAGTGGAAAAAGTCTAGAAATTTAATTTATAAACAAACAATTAAAACCATTAATGAATTTAAATGTATTGTGAAGAGTGGATGGAAAATAATTATTTTGGATGATAATTTCTATTATAAAAGTATGAGACATGAATTTGTGCAAATTTGTCAAGAATTTACTATTGCTCACATACAAATAATTTTGAAATGCAATGTGGAAACTTGCATTGAAAGAGATGCAAAACGTAGTCAACCAGTTGGAGAAGATATTATTCGATCTATGAATATAAGGTTTGAATATGGAAAATCTTCATTCAGTGATAATATCATTTACATGGAATATGATACAGATAATTTTTCTGAAATGGATAGTATTTCTTCTAAAATTATTGATCTATTCCCACTAGCCAAACCATTACAAGATTTAAACAAAATGAAACAAGAAATGAAAGAAGAGAGCCAGAGACAAAACGAACAATCTTTTAAAAAACAGTTGGATGATTCATTGAGAAAAAAAACATCACATTTAATCCAACATAATTTAATCAAGAAGGAACACGCCAAAAAGCTATCAGACCTCAAGAAGGATATTTTAAAGTCTGTCTCTCAATGTGATGACATATCATATTATGAACATTTATTTGATGAAAAAGTGAAAGAATTTCAATAATTTACTTTAGTGTGGCTATTATGCCTTTAATATCCTCTCGCATCACTTTCTCTTCATCACTTGGAGGAGGGTAATCATTATCGTTATACTCACATCTCAGTAATATTCTATTACATAGTGAAAGTATTGACATGCCAAACACGTAGTATCCGTGTAACAGTATTGGAAAGTCAAAGGAAACATTCTTAACCTCGGAGAAATCAATTTCGTTGGTTCCTACATTAGATTCATTTCCTATTCGGTTATATTCTATTAAGTGATCAAATTCAAACATAGGATTGAATTTAGGAGAATTCCATACCAGAATTGGTATCCCCTTAATATACTTGACTGGTTTGGACTGTTGGTAGATTACAACGAATCTAGCAGAAAGCAGATTCCCTTCCTTAGTTTCAATACTTTGCAGAAATGTTTTAATTGCTGGAAATGGCGCACAGAGTATTGCCATGTAAACTAGTAATTTTAAGCATTCCCTGTTAATTGACTTTTCAAATTTGGAATCTAAAACTCCTCTAAATGACCTTATATACATGATTAAGAAGCTGATGTCATTTCTAAATTGCAATGATTTCTTCTTGGTTGTTGGGAAAATGTTGGAATACGTTTCATTCCATGCCTTTGCTGAATTGAAGAGTAATTCACTGAACAAGTCGCTGGCAAAGTAGTCAGGAATACTTTTGAAGAGCTCTTTACAAGTCGATTTCATATAGTAATTCCACATCTGGATACCATAACTACACCTATCATCATTCAAGAATTTTCTATGAGTATCCCAATCCATTTGATACCTAACATCTGGTACACAATATAATGAAATTATACTACTATGATACTCGATTATGAAATCCCTAAATGTTTTTGATTTTTCCCTGTAAAAGTTATTCATTTGGGTAAAATCAAAGGTTTTTTCCTCCACACAATGCTCAATTGTTTCATTGTACAATGCACCAAAATAGCTCACAGAGTCACAACAGTACAATAATGTAGAGTAGGCAACATCTTTGAACAGGTTAAGACGAAGTTACAGTATTAGATTACTTACATAAGTTCTTCAATAATTTCGGATCGAAATCACTCTTGAAAAGAAATTCATCAAATTTCCCCAACAACACTGAAAATCCGTAACAAATTTTCTTCAGAATATTATTTTTGAAATCCGTAAGTCCATGTTTTGAGAACATTGTAATAATGTGAGTCAACTTATCCATCAAGGATTTCACATCCTTGAGGATTGGATGCTCGTTACTCTTGGTAAAGCTCTCAAATGAAATTTCCTTTCCAAATAATCCATTACAAACCTCTCCCAATATGAACACTATTTCAACTGTAATTCCATTAAGAGTGGATGAAACAAAATTATCATATCCGAATATGAAGGTTTTTGAACCAAAGGAGAAATCCACTTGTTTAGGAACAGATATAGACAATTGTTGCTCTTGTTTCTTTGACTTCCCTTTTTTCTTATTGATTAGATTTGAAACATTTTCTTGAAAGTCAAGCGCCAACTCGAATATTTCAATAATATTTGGCATTATTGAGGACACCTTATGATTATATAAACTCTCAGCAACATCCAAACAAATATCACCCAGCATTATTGTATACTTGTTAAGATACAGTGATACAAACATTTCAATAAGAAACTCATTATCTATCACCTCTGAAGTGATTGAAAAATCTTCTCTGATCACGGAAAGTAAATCTCTCGATAACTTGAAGAAAATGTCCAGATTCAGTTGCTTTACATCGGTCGATAGAGAAGGCACATAATCTGCAATTTCCTTTTCTCGAAGGGAATAGTACTATTGGAATAATTAAGGTGATCAATTAGTTAACAACCCACTTACAAATTCCTTTAACTCCCTTGAATCAATTGACAATGAAAGATTCAAGAGCAATAGTTTTCGCCTATCCATATCTTTTTTTGGGTGTGTATCAGATATTCCATTCACTTGATAGGCAACCATAGCATAAATAAATGTATTAATTTCCTCCTCCAATTCAAACTCTGTATCAAAAGTCTTTCTATTATTCAATTCCAAAGGGGGAGCCAACCTATATCTTTCATCTCTAAAAACTCTCGAACATCGGTATTTAAAATCCTCTTTTAAAATTCCAATCTTTTGCAATACATTCATACTCGAAAATAAATCAGTTTCCTGATAATATCTCATTATTACAATTAAATCCTCCAAAAACTCCTTATCACTATACTGTCTAGGTTTTGTATCTTTTATCAAATTAGGAATAGTTACAGCTCACACATAAATCTTCTACAACACCTACCATTATCTACAGGTAATACAATACTGGTTTGATCCAACTGTTTATTCACCTCCACAATTCGTTTATCAATCTCCTCCAACATGGCTTCAAAATTAATGGATTGTAATCCCGATAGAGCTGTAGTTGCATGCGCTCCTTCCATCAATAAAAATTCCTCAATGGAAATACTGGTCCCAATAAGCTCTCCCATTTTTTTCAAACTTGTGCTGATCTGTGTTATTATTATTAAACAACAGCAAAAAACAATTAGGAATCTTGCTGTTGTAGGTTGTTGGGAGTTGTACTTGTTTTGGCGCCAAATTAAAGTTTCATTTAAAAAAATTTACTCGATTCGTCAGCAGAGGAAAACTGCTTACTATTGGTGTTCATCAAATCATCATTAAAATTCCATTTGTTGAGGACAATAAAAGTTATCTGTCGGAAGAGAACAGGATGATGATGTTATTATAATATTAATGAAAGACGAAAAGAATGAATTTTGTTTGATTTTTACGAATTTAGGAAGGTGCTTGTTATACTTGCCCTTAAATTATGAAGACGATGAGTATGCCACTGAATGTGCTTTAAATGTACCAAAAACATGTACATTAATATGTTCGATACAGCAATTAGGAAATAACAAGAGTTCAACCTCAATGACTATACAGAATTTTTCTGTTGTGGTGGAGCATGGAGAGGATATTATCATTGCACTTTTTAAATCAAAGAACTCAAACACTAGAGTGGGACATTTGGTAAGTAAATTCATATTTAATCAATATTTATCCGGTGTGTGGATTAATAGAAAATGAAAAGAGTGCTTGATCACTTCTTGAACATGTATGAAAGACCCCTTAGAGATTTAAAAGCATTAGAGAAACAATTAATTGAGCAAGAAACTAAGAATTTTGTTTTCAAAATTAAAGAGAAAGAAACTGTGGAAATATCCGTTGTGAATAAGTACACAGTTTTCAAGGCATATGGATCAATAATCAAGGAATTCCTTTACAACGATCTAGTTGAGGAAAATATAATACAAGCACTCCTAAATTCGGAGCAAGCCATAGAGAGGGTTCTAATTTTTGACGAGTATCTGAATCCCTTATTTAACAAGTCGCGAAAACGATCGAGACATTTTAATTTATCGAGTCCAGAAGGAAAATTTATCGAGTTGGCACTTAAAACCAGTGTTGATTTTGCAATTGATGGTAAATCAAAACAGAATGTTTTTACCTATCTCTTAATTAACAAACTGTGTATAGTCACCGTATTGGAAACAAGGAACGACATCCTATTTTTCATATTTATAACATCAGCACTGAAACTGAAAGACATTGTGACAGAATCAACCAATCATGGGTGTGAGTTTGTACAAAATGCAAAAGATTTCCAACCTTCAGCCCTGAAGAAAATTGAAGGATTTTACGAGAGGATCATTCAGTGGTATTCCGTACCTCAATCACAAAAAGACCAATGTGAAAAGGACTGGGTCAAAACCAATCTTTCATTTTCTCAAAAGAATGGAAGAAAATTCTTCAAAAACAAGCACACCTCCACTGTTATTACACCTGCGGATGATGATCCTTCCAAGTATATTACACCAAGACCTCCACCTCAAGTCTCCAACATAACCAATGATGTCAATAATGCATCTTTCACTGATTCTACAGATGAGGAAAGTGAATATTATGAGGACGATGAGGAAGGAGAACAAGGTGCCGTCCAAGAATCAGAAAATGGAGAGAAACCTCAACCCTCACCTCCAAAACTACCACCTCAAGAAATAAGATTTGTAAGGACTTACAAGATGACAGAATAATATGATTTTATACAGATTTTTATGATTTTTATTACTTTATTGCAATAATGCCAAAACTTCTGGCAACTTGTCTTCAGGACAATTCTCTTTCAAAAATTCTTTGAAAGTGTCGTCACTGTTTGTAAGCTTAGCTCCAGAATCTAGAAGAATTTTAACTAGTGAAACATTACCTTCGGCAGCAGCCAAAAGCAAAGGTGTAAGTCCCAAGTTATCCTTTTCATTGATGGTTTGTGAACCTTCGTGTGAAAGTAACCATTTCACAGTGAATGTAGATCCCGATTTGGTGGCTGTATGAATTGGATAGGTTAAACCATTTTCATCATCCTTAAAGCTCACATTCACATACTTTGAAAGGAATGATTCGTACTTTTGTAAAATATATTGAATAGTGTCATTTTCGCTGGAGCTATTAAGGATGTGAGCCAATATATTAGTGTCAGTATTTGTTTGATCAAGTGTAATACCAAATTCTTCCAATACCTTGATGGCAACTAGATTACCTTTGGTAGCAGCGAATGCTGCCAAATTCAAGGCGTTAATATCTTTGGTTGTAAAGTTCTTGAGGTTATACTTTTCATATTTGTTATTGTAATCCATAAGAAGCCTGAGAGTTGATCCTTCAACACCAGAATCGACACCATAGAAAATTATTGGAAGGTTAAGATATTCAGAAGCCAAAGAAGGAGGGAATGTTGATTCGGAAATGAGAGTTGAAATTTGGTCTACTTGATTTTGAGTAATCAAATATTGGAAGTTTTCAATATCCTCTGAAAGTTTCTTTTGGTCTGATTGCATACTATTTAAAATATATTGCTTGGAATAAAGTTCAGAAATCAAAGCTCCATCAAATAAATCATTAACCTTGGATTGTTTCTTTGCGGTACATTCAATAAATGTGATACCATATTGATCTGCCAACTTTTTAGCATCCTCTGATTTGACAAGAATATTTTCCTCAATATCAGACTTGTTAAAAACAATGAGTGAAGGAATTTCGGACAACTTTCTCTTTTTCAATCTTTCAATTCTGTTAATGAATGTTTCAATTCTATCAATGGAAGTTTGTTGATCAGGAGAGCAAATAAGAAGAACTGCATCAGCTCTAATTGCCTTCTCAAATTGACATCCACTTTCATATTCATAATTTCCACAAGTGTCGAGAATGTTTAAAACGAATGCAGAGTGAGATTCAGATTTTGGAACATATTTTCTATAGCTGTGTTCTTTCTTATTGGATGCAAGGGCTACCACCTCTTCATTACCAGTGAGGTATTGATGAATGAGTGATGATTTACCTACACCTGATTCACCATAAACAGTAATGTTAAATTCACTCAATTGTTGTCCCAAAACCTGAGTAGAACTGTTCACAATCTTGGAAGAATATTGCTTTCTTTCACTTCTAGATACGAGTTTAAAAGATTGGAGAACCTTCTTAAAAACTTGTAATTCCTCATTTTGAATATCATTTGGAATGGATGAATTGACAAATGTTGAAACCAAAATGTCGCCTGTTGTGAGAGGAGTGAAATATTTTTCAACAAATCTTCTTTCTTGCTTATCTTCATTGTGTTGATATTCGTAACTAAATGTGAAACTTTCTGGAACGAGGTCAGTTGATTTAACACCTTGTAAAACACTAAAAGTATAACAGTTAGCAGAATTTTGATCAAAATCACCTTCAGTTCTATTCAATGCCTCATTAGCAACAGTTTCAATTGTAGATGTACCTGTTCTAAAAACTTGAAAATCAAAGTACAATTGTTTAGATTGTTGTTGAGTAATATCTGTTGATGAAAACTTGGCATGTGAAGGAGTATAGGTAGTTAAAGAATATTCTCTCTTTTGTACAACTTGATATGGAAATGGAATATCGAATAGGATTGAATTTTCATTCATTTGTAATTCATAAACAAATGTTGAACCATTTTCAGGGAATTTAAAATTGTTCAAAAACTTGTAAAATACCAATAAATTCTTATCACCACTCAAACTCTCAGTCAAGTATGTGAAAATATAAGTACATGATTGAAGTGAAACTGTAACAATATAATGACGAGTCATTTGAATTCTACCATAACTTGTATATTGAACTAGACTCTTCTTGGCATTCAATGAATTTGACACTTGACAGTCCTTTAACACTTCAATTTCACAATAATCTGAAATTGCATATGATGACATTAACTTTTTAAATGTTTCCGTGTGAATTTCCTCATGAGGTGATGATGAACTTTTCTGTGTAAAATCTACTCGAATCTGATCCATTACACTATCATCGGCATCTTCCTGATTAAACCATGGTGATATTTCTGTTGGTGAAATTAATTTTAATGTTCCTGATGCCATACAATCCAACTTCCAGGTATTTGGATATAAAAATTCAAAATTAGGTTGCAAAGATGTTAATGTACTAATCCATTGTGTTAAATCAAGTGGTGATGGATCATCATTTTCTTCTATATGATGTTGTTGTTGTTGCTGTTTAGTGGTACTCATTTCTGTCAAGTAATTAAAAAGTTTAATAGTAATTGTTATTCGTATTCGTTGCAACAAAAGTAAATTTTAAAAAAAATTTAGTGTTGATGATGAAAAAACTTACCAAAATATTTTGGAATTTGTTTGTGTTGTTATTATTGGTGTGGAAACAAGTGTGAGTTTTGGATATCGTTGATGATGGAGAGGAAACTTGTTGACCAATATTTTTTTTTAAAAATGTCAACTCGTCAATGACAGCTGTTAAAGTTGTTGTGATGATGGAAAAGTTGTTGTGCGATGGGGACAGCAGGCATTGAGCTATTTTACCAACAAACACTCCAATGGATTCTCAACTAGTTTTTTATCAATACTATTGTGCACTAGTATAATATTTAAATACTTTACAATTTATTTAAAAAACTTTTTAATATTACCATTTTGGGCCTTTTCTGGTTGCCTCCAAAAAAATATTAAACACAAAAAAAAATCATTTTTAAAAAATTTTCCATTTTTTTCAACAAAGAAAACAAAATGATGAATCGTCGTGCATTGAGTGTTGTTGCCTCCGCTTTGGTCAACAAGTCATCTCGTAGTAGAATGGGGGCAGCAGCCACTTCCTTGTTCTCCTCCTCATCCTCTTCCTCCTTCAATAATACAACACCAGCAGCAACATTTGGATGTTTGAGTGTTCCGAGCACAAGGTATTATAGTCGTAAATCACACATGAAAACAGCCATGTATTTGGAAACTTATTTACATGAAGCTTTTATTTCTAGTATTGATGAATTGGCAGTCTCTGTCAATGGAAAGGATGCTCATACTATTAATTGGCATGAATTCCACGCAAAGTTTGAAGCTTTAAAGGCTTCTTTGAAGGCACAATCTAAGCTTGAAGATCTTGGTTGGGTTCCTGCTATTCATGAATTTATTTCAACAAGTGGAAAGGAACATAAGGATTTGCAATTACTTTCCGATTTAAAGTCAAGCCACATTTTGGAACATCAAGCTATTAATCATATTGAACATATTATCAAACATCATCAACATCATCAAGGACCAACCCACAACAAGATGGATGAATTGAAGAATCACCTCGCTGAATTGAGAAAGGTTGTTGAAGATCACTTCCAAACCAAGGAAAATATTGTCGTGCCATTATCTGAACAAGTTCTCTCAAAGGAAGACCTTAGAAGTATTCAAGAACAAGCTTTTGCAAAGCTTTTGGAAACAGACCAAAACGCCCATCAAGTTCTTCACTATTATTCATTCTCTAAGAATTCTTTGGATTTGACTGAAGCTATGGTTCGTGAAGTTTTGGCTGCCAGATCTGAAAATAAGACTAAGGCTGATGCCATCTTGACTGAATTCAAGAAGCACATGCCACAAGAAGTTTGGCTTCAAGTTGTTGAAAGAATTCCAGAAGTTAAATCTCTCTAAGTTTATTGCCTAAATATATTATTGGAATTTGAAATATTTGGGAATAAATAGTAATTATTAATGTAAATAATGGTATTAATTATACTTACAATGTTGTATAGGTTTCTTTAGCCTTTTTTCTTCTATTGACAATGGTAACAGAAACTACAATAATAACCAATCCAAGAATCCAAAGACCTAACAAGGTACCGATAGTTGCCCATTCCTTAGCTCCCAATTCCAAGTGAGCTTGTTCACATCCATTCACATAAGATGAAGCTCCAATAAACTTTCTATGAATGAAAAAGTTTGGCTTGTCGAAATCAGTGATAAATCCTTGAACATAGTCACACAAATTGTTTGTAACAAAGTACATGTATCCATCATTGGAAATACCAATAGTATCAGGCCAGACAAGTTCATTTTGGTGAGTAATGGTGATATTCTTCAAAGAGTCAACCATGTATTCTCTCAATTTGAAATCAGAGATTTTGGTCTTTCCTTCTAAAACATCAGCAAGACCTTCCTCACTCACTTCATAAATTGTGTTATTTTCAATAGCAGTAATATAAAATGTGGAATCAGAAGAAATAGCAAAACCATCACTAGATGAAATCTTGTCACCATAATTGACAATCTTATCGTGAACCAAGGTTGTGTTTGGTGGATACATCAATAACAAGTTGGCATCAATACCATACAAAGTTCTAGAGGTCAATGGAGTCCAATACAATCTATTGTAATCACAACTGAGAGCAATGCCATCGACACCAGTTTTCATTGGTTCATTTTGGAGACATTTCTTACCATTAACATCAAGCCATGCGCTTTGGTCAACTTGAACTTGAGGCAATCCATCAAACCATCTCTTAACTTTCAAATCATCAATATCAATAACTAAAATACCAGGTTGTGGACGAATGGTTGGATCCTTATTTGGATTATCAATTGGAATACCACTGTCACTAATAAAGGCAATATTTTGGTCAGAATCAACGACAATATCATTCAAGAATGAGTTGGTTGGTGATGCTTCCTCTGGTGTGAAATGATATTTAGCAATGAGTTCATTCTTTTCCAAATCCCACACAACCAATTTAATACTTTCCTTTTCAGCAGCTTTTCCAGCAACTTTTCCTTGATCCAAGATCCACATTCTTTGTTGACCATCAATTTCAAATCCTAAAACACTTTGAAGACCAAAGGTTGCGTTATTGACATTATTCCATTCCCAACTTGGAAATGGTTCAAGAATTGGTTGACCATTTTCTCCCTTTACAATCTTTGCCAATGTTGCTGGGATCTTTGGTGATTTCCAACGAGGCATTGACACGTAAATATCTCCATTAGCATCAACTTTGACACCTGCCAAAGCAACAAGCTTGTAAATTTCATCTTTCATATATTCTTGACGTTGTTCTTCTGATGTAAAATTAAAATTAACAAAATTAAAAGCGTGAACCAATTCTACAGGTGATGAAGTATATTCCTGCTGTGTTGGAGAACCATTAACTCTCAACTTATTCGTGCTCATCACAAATGCTACCAGCACAATAAATACAAAATTTAATAAATTAATTCCGAGAATTTTGCTGCTCTTCCTCATCATATTGTTGGAAAATGAATTTTTAGGTGTGAAATTGTAGAGGGGAGGATTTTGCATTTTTTTTCGGTGTTTTGTGTGTGGAGTTGTGAGGATGTGAAAATCACACGACCTTCGAGAGATTTCAATAAAAATCGAAGAAAAGATCTTGTTTGGATCTGTGTTAGAGATTTTTACAATTTTCAAATGGGTGACAGTAATAGTTGGAGGGGAGGGGTGATAAATTCAAAATGTTGGTTGAGTAGGTAAAACATTATTTACGGAGTCCATTGGAATGTAGTTATCTTTTCATCTCCAAATATATTGGAATGGAAATAATTAGTTGATTGTTAAAAAGGGAGTGGAGGAGTGAAGTTCGAACGGAATAATTGCATTTTGGTTCATAAAGTTAATAATGGATAATTGGTTGCATTCACGCACTCCACCTCCAATTAATAAGGTCATTACAGTTTGGTGTTGATTAATCTCTTTTAGGTGTTTAAGAAATTGGTCAACTTGAGAATTATTGGATTCTAGAGCTGCAGTAATTTTGCCTTTCAAGTCTGTGTAAGCAAAACATAAACTAGTAAGGATTCTATTAATTCCAAACTGTAAAAGAATATCGAGAGATTCTGCAGGATGTGTCAGTAAATCAAAAGCCTTATGGAATGTAATATTGAAATGTCCATTATTCTCTTGAATTGTTTCGCACAATTCTTTCAATATTTCAGTATCAATAATAATTCCACCATTCTCCTTCTTGATGCATCCAATAACAAATCCCTCAATTTTAAATCTTGACTTTTCCACTGCATGAAGATCAATTAATTTCCTGCACATTCTAATTTGCTCTTTCATTATTTGTAAATCATTCGAATCATAGCAGAATGTGTCGAGAATATTTGAATCCCTCTTGATAGGTCTAATCATTACATGAATGGGAATCACTTCATTATCATCACTTCTCCTCAAAACATCCCTCATAAATTCCTCAATCAATTCTTCACTCGGAGTAAAGCCTTCCAAAGCCAAATCGGAACACAACTCTAATCGTTTAGCACCATTCAAACAAGCTTGCACTCCCTTCTCATAACTATCAATACAAACTTCTAGTATTGTCATATTTAAATCAATCTGTTCAATTAATTCGCAAGCCAAATATATTTAATTAATATTGAAAGGCTTTCATGTGGTGATGACGAAAGCAAAAAAGCTGGCGACTTGTGATTTTTATTTTTAAATTTTAAAAAATGGCTGGACAAACAACAACTTCATCATCAATAGTATTAATCGCTGCTGTCCTGCTGCTGATTTGTATTTTGCGAGTTGATGCTTTTCAATTTGATTTAAAGGCTAGAGATTATGTTTGTTTCCGTGAAGAAATTGTTACTACTTTTGATGTTTATGGAGAATATGAGGTTGGTGCTGGATATTCACAAAAGATTGATTTTAAAGTGACTGACCCAAGAGGAAATATTGTTTTGGAAAGAAAGAATATTAAAAAAGGAGATCTTAGTTTTGTAGCTAAAGAAGGAGGAGAATATTCATTCTGTTTCTACAATAGAATGAGTTCTAAAGCTACTTATCATGATGGAATGCGTCGTCGTATTACTTTTGATATCTTAACCGGAACAGATACTTTTGATTATGAACAATTGGCAAGAAAGGAACATTTGAAGCCAATCGAAGTTAATCTTAGAATGATGGAAGATATTGTTCACTCAATCTATGCTGAATACGTTTATTTCAGAGAAAGAGAAGGTGCCATGAGATACACCACTGAAACTATTAATCAACGTATCACATACATGGGTATTTTCTTCTTCATCTTTATGGCTGGTTTTGCTTTTGGACAAATCTACTACCTCCGATCATACTTTATCAAGAAGAAATTAATTTAAATTGGAAAATTTAATTAAATTATAGTAATACATTAAATTAGAATTGTATAATTAATTTAAGCCATCGGATTTTTGAACTTGCTGATTAGAAACAATGATCTGCCTTTCAGCTTCTTTCTTTGCTCTTACAAAAGTTGCTGCTGAATTAATTAACCATCTGAATGATTCTTCTATTCCTGTTCCTTCTTTACCTGAGGTTCCTTCGATTTTCCATTCTCTATTGCTTCCTTCCAAGCTTAAAATGTTGTGTATCTGTGCAAGGGATACTTTCTTTTGTTCGACATCAATCTTGTTTGCACAGACTAGTATTGGCACTCCATGCAGTGCTTTATTCGAAAGTAAATCATGCAGTTCATCCCTCGCTACACACAACCTGAATTCAACAATATAAATTGAAGGTCAATTGGTATTTTCATAATTCCTTACCTCTTTGTATCCGTAATATCCACCACAAACATTATTCCTTCTAAATTTTCGAAAAAGTACTTCCACATTGATCTGTACTTTCCAGCTCCACTCAAATCAAATAATCTACATAAAAACTAGTAAGATAGAATTAATTGGTTCATCACTTCCTCATTTTGAAAACCTACCCCATTCCTACTAAATTCCTCCAGGCTGTAACCAGCTGTGGGTATTATATTTTCCTTCTGTTCCGATGTCGACTTTAAATGATTCACCTGTTGTATTGAATAATTCATTAACAATTTGTTTGAATATTTCCTTAATACAAAATTGTTCTAGTTAATTTATCAACATACTAATGTACTCTTTCCAGATCCTTCCAATCCACAAACAATTAAATTTAATCGTTTCCTCTTAATCCCGAGCTTTTCAAAAAATCCAACCATTTTTCTGATTGACAATAGAGATTAACGGTTTAGCAATTTTTTTTTAAATTTCCCGCCAACTTTCTACAACTTGCGTTCTAGTCAATTGTTACATTCTTTTCTTACATATTATTTAAGGAGGCGAGGATTGGTTGTGGAGAATGGTAGTCGCTGACTTGGGTGATCTTTCCTTAATTGAAGGGTATTTAAGTAGTTTGGGGTTCTAACATAATTAATGTGCTCGTCTCGTGGTGTAATGGTAGCATAGTGGACTTTGAATCCATTGACGGAGGTTCGATTCCTCCCGAGACGGTAAACGTGGCGAGCCTCTGAAATTTTGTTTAAAAAGGGTAGCGGATGGGCTGGTTAGTTTTGCTAAATTTAATCCATTAGATGGATTTTGTAAATAGTGTTATTTACATCAAAGAAACTCTTGGAATGAGAATTAATTGATAAATTATAATGGATAATTTAGGTACAATAATAAAGTGGTAAGGGGCTTAATATTTGAAACTGCTTTTAGAAATGGACTTCAATTTTTTCAGGTGAAAAAACCTATTTTCAATCCTTTATTACAAACGAAATGGCCTTATAAGCAATTGAAAATAAATTGTCATAATCTTTAAAACAATTTAATATGAGAAATGATTTAGAAATTGCCTTTAAAGCTGTCAATAAGCAAATGTATACCAATAAAATACACAAACATATGAAAGGACCTCAATAATTAAAAAATATACAATCATTTTCATTATTTGAAATATCTAAAGCATAGTTCAACAAAATTTCAGGGGCTCGCCACGTTTACCGTCTCGGGAGGAATCGAACCTCCGTCAATGGATTCAAAGTCCACTATGCTACCATTACACCACGAGACGAGCACATTAATTTATCTTAGTACTTCACTCTCCTTAAATACATAGTTAAAAACCTATTCCTTCCTTCATGAAACTTAAAAATTAATTGATTATTATTTATCAATTACTCATCCATAAAAATCTGTAATACTCAACTACTTTACAAAAATGTTTTTTGTTGTTCAATACTTTACATTTTTTTTGTAATAAATTAAATTTCTAAAAAAATGAATCCAAACGATCAATCACCATCTTCCACACCCAATTCTCAAGATGAAGATGGTAACAATCAAAATCAATTAAATACCAATAATAATAACAATTCCGATAATCAACAATCTTTCACCACATCAACAATTGATCCAATTTTATTACCAACTTCCGATGAGGAAAATCAAATCATTCTCTCAATCATTTCATCCATCACACGAGCTATTGATTTTCGATATAGAGTTTTGAATTTTGCGAATATGCAGATAAGCGACAAGATTTTGAATATTGTGGAAATTTCAATGCAGGATTACATTAAAATTGATCAACACTTGAATGCAATTTGGGAGCTGAATGTTGGACAGAATGTGTTGAGTGCTGTTCCGAATTGTTTATCAATATTTTCGAGGGTTGAACGTTTGTTGTTGAATGATAATCAAATTCAGGAAATTAAGAAGGAGGAAAGTTGGAAGAATTTGTATAATTGTCGATTAATTTCGTTGGATAATAATTTGATCAGTGCATTGCCACTACAGGGAAATCCATTTCCTGTGCATTCATTGTCTAGATTGATACTTTCGAATAACCAATTGAGTTCTTTACCGAGTTATATAGGAGAATGTGTTAATTTAGTGGAATTGGATGTTTCTGGGAATCAATTAATTACTGTTCCAAGAGAATTGGAAAATTGTAAACGATTAATGAGATTATACTTGCAGAATAATCCAATATTTTGTTTGCCATTCGAGTTGCAAAATCTACTAAAATTGAGAACTTTTAGAATTAACACTATAACTATTAATGAAAGATTATATAGAAACATGTATTCGAGACATGATACCACACTATTAGAGTTGGCCAAGAGATTTATAGTCAATTCTGATCATGCACTATGTGCTGGTCACTGCTGCAAAATGAATTTACCACCAACAACTACGCAAAAGCATAATAGTTCAATAATAGAAGATTTAATGGACCAGGATTTGAGCATACCTTTGGAAGTTCAACCAACATCCACTATCTCATTTGGAGCTCCAACATATCACGAACATTCATCAAAGGGAATGAATTTCGATTTGTTGAAATCACATTACAAAAATACAATGCCTAAACATATTCATGAAGATTTGATGGATCATAATAGATTGAGGCCATGCTCTCACTGTAATACCTTAATGTCACCCAAGTCAGGAATTCACTTTATTGCTCTTTTGAAATTGCCAAAATTCAGTTCCAATCAAATAGAAAATATTCCTCACTTTTGCAGAGCTTGCTGTGAAGAGTGCTTTGAGATGATTTCTAACAAATTAGTGTAATCGAGTTTTACAAATTGACCTGAAATTCATCAGGATCTACTCATGAATTAATTCCGAAACTAACACAACTCTTAGCCAAGGCTTTGAATTTTTGGCGCGTATTTGCTGTAGAATAATTGCCTCCCAAACTCTAAAAACACTTTCAAAAAAAACAAAACGATTGTGTCAACTATGAACGTAAGTAATCTCAAATTTTTGATCGACTCAATCAAGCCTAAAATCAAGATTGAGGAAATTTTACATGCATCACCCTCAAAAGCCTGTGCTCTTCTGGAGGAATTTTACAAGGACAATGAAGAGTTGACTGAACAGGATACTTCTTCATTCGATAGGAAACAAGCCGAAAGGCTTTGTGATTTATTACACAAAGTAAGTAACATTCATCATCGGATCTTTCAACAATAACTACTATGGCTTGTCACGATAATGTAGGAATGTGAGAAGGAAATTATCAGAGTGGAAAATGTCAAGATCCTACTTCGTCTCATGATGAATTTGTCAGATCGGAATGAGGCTTGTTCCAGTCTCTTATCTGTTGATAGTTTCGTCTCTGTCATGTACGATTTGTTTATCAGATTTGAACTCTTCTTTGAGAAGATTACATCAGAACAGGAAGAAACTGCTTCAGAGGCTAGAATCCGAGATAGTTGGGAGAAGCTATTCTGTAACTATTTGTGTACTACTCACTCCTTCTTTGAAAGTTCGAATGCAAAGCTCTTGTTCGGAGAGAAATTCATTCCAGCCTTAGTGAGAGTGATTTCAAAGCCTAAGAAGTATGATGTATTTGTGAGGAGACATTCAGCTGAGAACATCAATCAATTGGTGAAACACTCTAAGGAAAACAAGTTGGTCCTACTCAACTCTCCATCATTGATGACAACTTTGGCAGAGAGCCTTATGGAAGCAGGTGACTATGGATTGCAAGCTAACATCACTGAGATTCTATTCAGATTGACTTCATGGAATAATTCTACAGAGAGTGCAATTCGATCAATTTTCCAATGCTTTGGTGATGCAACAGACAAGATTGTTGTCATTTTCAATAATATCAAGGGTGATGATGCTTTTGTGGAGAGTATTAGATCATTTGTTGTGGAAATGAATGAACAAATATCCGAAGATAAGAGAACTGTCTATTCTATCAAGACTGAGAAGATGAAGATGGGTGCTTATGAATGTTTCCCTGGGTGGGTTGATTTTGGTACTCGTTCAATGAGCTGTTTCATTACTCAACCAGGAGATGATATCAAAGACATTGTTGATTTTGAATACACAAACATTAGAACATTGAGACTTTCCTACAAACAACGTCAACTAGTTCTCCAGTTATTCAACGAGTTGGACGGATATGAAGCATACTATGACGCAACAGATGATTCTCAAATAATTGGTATTGATATGACTAAGGAATCTTTACAATTAATTAAGAAGACAATTTCTGGTTTGATTTCTGCCTGCAGAGAGAAGAACAAACAAAAAGAGGAGCTCATCAATCAACCACCAATCCCAGAGATTGCTAAGCCTAATCCAACCAAAGAGGTAACAAGAAAGGTTTCTACCTCCATCATTCCACTAAAGGCTACTCAAAGTCAAGAGCTTACTCCACCAACAAAAGTAGAAGCAGTGCAAATGGAAAAGAAACAGGAGGAGGAAACTAAGCAAGAAAAGTCATCAAGCGATAAAAACACTACCTCCAAGAAAAAGGATGACAAGGAAACTAACTCTAGAAAGAAAAAGCCAACCACACGTTCAACATCCAAGAAGACAGAAAAGACCAAAGCAACTAAAAAGAGCTCCTCTTCCTCAAAGAAAAAGTCAAAAGAGATGGAAGAAAAGAAAATGGATGTAGAGCAACCAATTAGCTCACGGATTGGTGATTTATTAGAACAAGTTGTAAACTCACCAGACAAATCCAAAACACCATGTGATGGTATCTCAACCATAGCAACTATGGACGTGAATGAAAAGTTTTCTGATTGGGGAACATTCCTTAATGCACCTCTTCCTGATATGATCTCAACCAACAGCACTACTGTTTCAGTGTTCGAAGACTCTGACTCTCATTCCTCCAAATCTCCACTCGTAGAGAGAAGACTGTTCGATGATCCTAGTGGTATTGATACAACCTTTGGAGGGCTCAACCTTGATGAGACTTTTTATATTCAACCAACTCCAAAATCCAAGAAGGGAACCAAGAGAAAGCACTGCGAAGACAATGAAAGCGATGATTTCTCAAGTGAGGTTACTGCCATGATGTCAACCATAATTAAGAAACAACAAGAGAAAAAGAAGAGAAAGCTAGAGAGCATGAAAAAGACAACCTTGGAAAATATCAAAAAGATGGTGGCAGAGACAAAGAAAAAGAGGTTGAAGGAAAGAGAATCTCTTGCTGCTTTACACAAACAGACCGTATTGGAAGTTGAGGAGTCCATGATGAATTTGGCTAAAAAGATGAAGAATTCGTATACCAAATTTCAACAAGAAATATCCTCTCAAATTCAAAAGCATCAAGAACTGAATTCCAAGCTTAAACAACTTAAAGAAAATCATCAAGAGAAATTATCAATGCTCAGTAAGTATTAACCTATTGACATTTCACAATTTAATTTAACTTTATTAGAAACTAAGGATATGGCAGAATGTGCTCAGCTAGAGAAAAAGATTAAAAGTGAAATTTCTCAACTCAAAAAGTATGCAGAAGGAATGCATGGAAGCACTGACTACTCTGAAAAGGAAAAGCAATTGAAAGCTCTAATGGCCCAACTCTTAAACATCTAACTCATCATCTTGTAAATATTAACTTTCTCATTTGATTACAATAAAAAATGTCTCTACATTATTTAAAGTGGCACGAACAGGAATTAATTTTAGAGAAGGTTCTTTCCTATCTCTCTCCTTGCGATCTGTTTTGTGTTCATCATGAATCTCCAAAACAAGTTGATGAATTTGATGGCTGCCGATTAGTAAATCGTCTCTTTAATCAGACATTAATACATTCCGAATTTTGTCAATATTACTTTGAACATGTATTTTGTATATCAAGGAATGAAGAAAATAGGTTCAACATTAGATCCTCCTCATTAGTTTCATTATTGGATAATTTTGATTATGGTCCTTATGAACAATTTATGGGAGTCAAAAGGGGAAGAACGGAAGAAGATCCGATGGAAAATAACGAACCAATTCAAGCACTCGAATCTTTGGCATTTGTAGGGATGCTCGGAAATTGTATTGGATTGAAGTGGAAGAATGGAGTTCATAGGAAATTATTGACTTGTGTGGCAAATTTACAATCGAAGGAGAAGGGGAATATTAAGGCAATCAAGCCAAGACTGAAACAATTGAACGAATGGTTGGATATTGAAAAGAGAATGAAATTACAAAAATTCTTAACCAAGCTGAAAATGACAAGATTCATGACAATGAGCTTTGGATTGTCTAGATCTGTAATATTAACTTTTAGAGATGATGGACTTCCTATATTTATTAGAAATTGCTCTCAACAAACCCTTCGTTTCAATAATATTGAAGTAATCAAAAGTGGACAAATTAATCGTGATTTCAGTCTCAATTTATTAGAAAACGAGAAGGAAGAAACTGCCTTTATTGATTTGTTTTGGAAAGGACTATTTCTCAACAACTTGGCTCAATTTCAAAATTATGTTCCACCTCCTAAAAGTGGTCTCTCTCTCTACATTCAGGAAAGGTTGAGCACAAACACGTTTTCTGATCAAAATGAACAACACCAATTTATTAAGCAGGTTCAAATGAATTGGTTAGAAAATCGAGAAATAGATAAGGAAAAGTTTATTAAAAGAGCAAAAGAACTCAGAGGTAATTACAAACTAATGCTTAAGAATATCCCTTTCATCATTAGTTTATAAGAGAGATGATTTCCCTAATTGACTGAATTAATGAGTAAAAAAAATGTTCACAACACCTCCTAGCCCATCTTTTGCTACTTCAGATAGTAATGAAGAGCAACAGCAACCACCACAACAATTTTACCCAATTTCATGTATCAAATGTAAAACCAATCACAAAAAGGTAAATTCTTCATTCCGAAATAATTAAATTTATTAATTATAATTAGTGTGACAAGAAATTACCTGCCTGTTCCTATTGCTCCACAAGGGGAATTACTTGTTCCGTACGTTTATTTAAATTCTTTTTGAAGTAAACATTTTGAATGATGATGAAAATTCAGTATGAACCAAGGAAAGGAAGAAAATCAAATTTGTTGGATAATTCAAAGAGAAAGAAGAGGAAAATTAGTCCCGAATGGAAAGGTGTTCTCCTCCCTGATGGTATGATATTGGTAAACTTTTATTTTGATATATTAGCGAATGGGTGTCCTATTCTATCGAGAGAAAAGTTTTCCCACTTTACAATGAATGGTCTAGAGTTGTGTTTACAAGTGGAGGAGACTGAATTATTGGAATTTAATGAGTTGATTAAATCAGAGGAAGAAATGAAGGGTCTATTGGTTTGGTATTCGGCTCTGCTTTCACTGTATTATCAATTCAATGCTGATAGTGAACTAGCAGAGCTTGCTGCTGGTTTATGTGAAAAACAAATTCACAAATATTCATTCCAGTGCTTTGATAATATGTATTATGCTGCGGGGTGTTGTGCTCTTAGTTTATATTTAAGAGCATCTTGTCAAGAGGAGAAGACAAGATTTTATAGACATTATGCTGATTTATACTTTTTGAAAAGAAAGGATGATATGGAAATAGTCGACATATTTGAGAGAAATTTTCATCAATCATACTTGTTCTTGTCCTATGTGAGTGATAATGATTCTGTGGGAGATTTTACTGCACTTATTTCGGCATTAGTCAATTTTTGTAAAATACTGCAAGGTAAATCGATTCAAGATTTTATAATGCCTGAAGTTTGGAATTATTTGAAAAATAGTCAACCTGATTCTTCCAATTACTTGATTTTCAAATATTTATTAGAAAGCGTAGTTGGTTTTGCAAATCAACTAAAGATGAGTGTGGTGATTGATACCAACATGAAGGATCAATCATGCATATCAAAGAATTATATGGATCTTGATAACTTGGTGAGAAATATTATTAGTGATGGCTTTAGGTTAATGTTCTTTATGAAGATTCCTCAAATTTCTGGAGAATCCTTAATTGAGGAAACTGCACTGAGAATTACACTCCTAACTGAGAATGATCTTTTCAAGTATGTAATCTATCTCTTTGATATCAGTTTTATATTCAAAAACAACTTAGATTTGCCTATCCTTTCACAGATGTAGGAATAAGAAAAGCATGTGAATTTCATTTGAATCTTTGTAAGGAAATTGAGGAGAAAAGACGTGATAGAAAGTCATCCATTCGAACATCATCTGGAAAAACTATTTCATTTGATAATTTTGCATTACTGGAAAAAGATTTGAAAGCCCTCGAATCATTAGGAGCGAGATTCAAAAATGTCTACAAAAGTAACAAGCAATTAATTGAGGAATGTAGTGAAATTCTAAAAAGACAAATTGTCATGTCTGATCCATTTCCAACAGTTGTTTCGTCGACTGATTTTATAGAAACACATGTGGATTGGAATCAAGAAAATCAGGATACTTTTCTATCTTCAGTAATAGAGTTCATAAACTCCATGACAGAGAATGATCAATCAACCTCCAAATCATCAAATGGAATTTCACCAGATATTTGGGATTTATAGAATTTCCTACACCCTTAATATATTTATTTATTCACCATTAATTCCTCCACTTGAATTACAATTGATTGAGTGGTGTTATTTGATTTCTTTCAACCTTTCCTGGATAATGATTGAAATCTTCTGCAATCACATCAGCTCTATATGGATTTCTCTTAATTTTCTTTTGTAACATGTAAATACCATACAATAATGCTTCCTAAATGAATGTTAATTCACTTATTTAATACTTTAATACTCACAGCAGCTATCATTCCATTTAGTATTCTATAATTGAACTAACAATTACTTACTTGGAGGACAACCAGGAACATAAACATCCACAGGAACTATCTGATCAGCACCTCTCACAACATGATACGAATAATGATAATATCCACCACCATTCGCACAAGATCCCATTGAAATTGAATACTTTGGTTCAGACATTTGATCCCAAACTTTACGAAGTGCTGGTGCCATCTTATTTGTCAAAGTGCCAGCAATAATCATGGCATCAGATTGACGAGGAGTTGGTCTGTAAAAGATACCCATTCTTTCAATATCATATCTCTTTTTAACACCAATCAACATTGAAGAATGTGTAACATGATCAATAAACTTACAGATGCTGAGGTGTGCATCATTTCTACTGCACAACAGGCCAAGCCAAAGGAAACTGGCCACAATGAACTGGTACGAGCCCAGGCGTAAAGATCATGAATTGGTGCTTTTAGAAATTCAGCTTTTGCCATTTTGTTTTTTGTTATAAATTGTTTGGAAATGTTGTCTTGTTAAATTAAGGGAAATAGAATCCGGTCCGGGTTTTCGAAATGGCGGGAAAGTTTCGCTCATATTTCAATTCCCGGTATTGAATATGCGTCTTTAGAATAATCAATGAAATCCATTGTCAACAACTAAGGAGATTGGTATTAGATAAACTACAGTTATATAATAATATAGACGTTGATTCCATTCATCAGTTAACTCATGAATGCTGTGTAGAATGAGTTCTACAGTTTCCACCCCCCAAGCACTAATACCATAACAATAAAGACCTTTCCAAAGGACAAGAGATTCTCTAGAACAACAAATAATGTAAGTATTTCAGATTTATTCATAATTGTTGAGGCACACGAGTGAGCAGATAAGACCATTACAGCTACTTGATCGGTGCAGTTCTCTTCCAAAAGAATCGAGGAAACACACAAGATAATAAACGTTCCTCAGCAATTAGTGGAGCAATGAGAGTAGTAGCACCAGTTATCATCTTCAAACTCTTATATAAACTTCCAAATATACCCAAAATACCTCCTTCCTTAATGAGATCAACTGAACCCAGTAAGGCAACAGAAAAGAAATGAAATAAAAGGCCATATGGTGAATGCCACAAACCACTCAATAATGACAATGGACCAGTTTGACAAAAGCTTCCCCTTTGTAAGTACCTAAAAACAGCTCTACGCAATAAGGAAACTGTGTCATCTTTGTGTATTGTTTTCTCTTGATCATTTCTTACTACTGTTAATGAAGGAGCAAGAATCGAATACAAAGCATTTGCAAGAATATTAATTGTGGATGCAACTTTTTTCCTATTTGAATAGAATGATTGAATGGCTTCATCAACTTCAGAAACACAGTTCAAATCCTTAATTTGAATAATGGCCTTAACTAATTCCTTACAATCGGAGAAAGTGACAGTCATACCACCACCAGTGATTGGATGTCTGCAATTCATGGCATCACCAATCAGAACAACTCCCTTCTTGGTGAGTGATTCTGGTGTTTCACCTGGCATTTCACGATTTTGAACAACCTTAATTCTGCTAGCATCAACTTCGGCCTTGAAAGATTCATGTAAATTTTCTGGCAAGTGTGGCATGATATATTCAAGCAAGTATTTGGTCATTTCTTCACCTCTCTTTGGTAACTTATTCGAATCAGGATGTGGAAAGTCGACTAAACATCTCACTGTTAAAGAACTGTTTGGGTAAAGCAAACAGGTCCAGTTGGTAAAACAAAAACGTTTCCGTGATTTGGTTTTGGTAATTTTTCAGCACTGTCAGCAAGTTCCAAACCAATGAATTGAGAAACAACCAATGGCTTATTTCCAAATCTATCAGAACGAACTTGTCTAGTGAATGAACTACCAGCTCCATTGCAAATAATCACAAGTTTGCAAGTGACATCAACAGTTGAATCGTTGTTGTTTTTCTTATACTGAACACCTTCAATCAGACCTGGTGTCTTTTCAATCAATGAAACAACAGTTCTTTCCAATAATGTAGCCCTTTAACATTCGGTTTCATTAAGTTGATATGAAAACTATTTGATACTTACCCATCCTGTTCACAAGCTCTTCTCAAATTCATAATGAATCTTCCATAGTGGAATGATCTACCTTCTGCTCTTCCTCCCTCAACGATTGGATAAGGCAAATTGACCTGTTCATCATCACCATAGAAAACTTGATAACCAAATACTCTGGCAGCATCAATTCCTTCAAGACAATGTCCAAGTCCCAAATCTTTCAAATGTTGAACACCACCAGGTTGAAGCAATTCACCAATGATACGATCTGGCTCACTCATATCTCTTTCAAGAACCAACACATTCTTTCCAGCCTTAGACAATGCACTTCCCAATGCACAACCACCAATACCACCACCAACAATGACGACATCGTAATCCTTCTTGGCAAAACTTGGTTTTGGTAATGTCAGGAGTTTGTAAAACTTGTTTAATATCCTGTGAATGATTAGGCCAACAAGACCACAACCAGTTATTGTCCACATCTTATGTGAAGTGTGAAACAGTTGAAATAAACTTTCGAGGTGGAACATGTTTGCAATTAGGTGAAAGTTCTGAAAGGTATTTACCATGGAATGATTTGTTTTTTTGAAACCTGTTTGATTGTTGGAATTGTGATTATTAGCTTTTCTTTATTGCTGCTTAAACGGACAATTCGGGAATAGCTTTTGCACGAACCCTTTTCCCACCAAAACAAAACCCGGTTTACAAAGGATTTTAAAATGTGGACTGGTGTGAAAATCACGCAAGGAAACTCCACAACTAATCGAAGAAAATGAAGAGCTATGAAGAGAAAATTTAATTTTATTCAGATACAGTTTGAAAAATAGCTATTGAACTATCCCAATTTCAAAATGATGTGTAAGACTTTTTAATTATTTTTAAGTTAGATTTATTAGGATAAAAACTCGATTATAATGATTTGGGATATTTACTTTTGGTGGTGTGGAAGTGGCTTTCTTCTCCAAATGAAACCAGGGAAAATACAAGATAATAAACGTTCTTCAGCAATAAGTGGAGCAATGAGAGTAGTAGCACCAGTTATCATCTTCAAACTCTTATATATACTTCCAAAGATACCCAAAATACCTCCTTCCTTAATGAGATCAACTGAACCAATAACGGCCACAGAGAAGAAGTGAGCAATGAGACCATATGGTGAATGCCAAATACCACTCAATAATGACAATGGACCAGTTTGACAAATACCACCCTTCTTGAAATATCCGAAAACAGCTCTACGCATAATTGACATGCTGTCATTGTTTGAGAGAGCGTCTGGCTTCTTACCTTCACTCTTATATGCTTCCCAAGATTTGCTTCCAGATGGTGGAGCAAAGATACTGTACAATGCGTTGGCAAGAATGTTAATAGTGCTTGCAACCTTAGATCTGTTAACATAGAATGATTGAATTGCTTCATCAACTTCAGAAACACAGTTCAAATCCTTAATTTGAACAATGGCCTTAACTAATTCCTTACAATCGGAGAATGTGACAGTCATACCACCACCAGTGATTGGATGTCTGCAATTCATGGCATCACCAATCAGAACAACTCCCTTCTTGGTGAGTGATTCTGGTGTTTCACCTGGCATTTCACGATTTTGAACAACCTTAATTCTGCCAGCATCAACTTCAGCTTTGAAAGATTCATGTAAATTTTCTGGCAAGTGTGGCATGATATATTCAAGCAGGTATTTGGCCATTTCTTCGCCTCTCTTTGGTAATTTGTTGGCATCTCCATCAGGGAAATCGATCAAACATCTAACTGTAGTTGTACTATTTGGGTAAAGCAAGCAAGGAGCATCTGGCAAGAGGAATACGTTTCCGTGATTTGGTCTTGGCAACTTGTCAGCAGAAGCAGCAAGTTCCAAACCAATGAATTGAGAAACAACCAATGGCTTGTTACCACTTCCGACCTTATCAGAACGAACTTGTCTAGTGTAAGAGCTACCAGCACCGTTACAGACAACGACGATATTACCAGTAGCTTCAACAGTGGCATCACCTTCCTTATATTGAACACCTTCAATCAAACCTGGTGTCTTTTCAATCAATGAAACAACAGTTCTTTCCAAGATCTTAGCTCTATAAAATATTTCAATCACACTTGTGAAAAAATTAACTGATACTTACCCGTCTTGTTCACAAGCTCTTCTCAAATTCATAATGAATCTACCATAGTGGAATGATCTACCTTCGACCTTTTCACCAACCTTACTGTTGGAATCAGCTGGGTATGGCAAATTGACTTGTTCATCACCATAGAAAACTTGATAACCAAAAACTCTGGCAGCATCAATTCCTTCAAGACAATGTCCGAGTCCCAAATCTTTCAAATGTTGAACACCACCAGGTTGAAGCAATTCACCAATGATACGATCTGGCTCACTCATATCTCTTTCAAGAACCAACACATTCTTTCCAGCCTTAGACAATGCACTTCCCAATGCACAACCACCAATACCACCACCAACAATGACTACATCGTAATCCTTCTTGGCAAAACTTGGTTTTGGTAATGTAAGCATTCTCATAATCTTACTGCAGATCTTATTCAAAATATAAAGAGTGGCACCAACTCCTGTTAAACCAACAGCCATGCTAAGCTTTTCTTGTTGATCTTGTGGAAGGTTAACACCCAGAGTTTGAAGTTGTTTACCAATGACATTGAGAGAAGTGTCAAGGGATTTAGAAAGTGTGGATTGAACATTTTGCAATAATGCTGTGGTAGTGACTGGAGTAGTTGTGGTTGTGGTAGTTGCTGGAGTAGTAACAGCAGCAGTCTTCATTGGAGCCATATTATATTGTGATGAATTATTATCGGGAGTTGAATTCAACTAGTAAACTTGAATATTAGTCTTTGAAAAATTGTGTGTTGTTCCTTTAAAAAATTACGACACAATAATTGTTGATATATTGATATATTGATTGTTGTTGTTATTTGAGATGAACACAAAACTTGTTTTCACAAAGAACCAATTCACTCAAAACAAGCGCGCGTGTTGGAAATTGGTGATTTTTTTTTGATAAAAATGCTTAGCCTTCTTGAATTAGGATTTATTTGGAATATTGTGAGGTCAACGCAGCAAATTGCCCAGCGAAGTCGAGTCGGCTTGCTACCGTTCGCACACCTTATCCAGTGTTTGGTGAATATTTATTATTTAATATATTCGGGCGTTTTTTAAAGGGTGCATTGAGAGTAAAAAGAGGAGATTTCACATGTTTGAGTCTAGTTTTGAAACGAGAGACAAACATACTTTGAAAAAGTCAATAGTAAAGATGTAGTAAAGCAGATATTCAATGACGCTTAAACGATTGGATGTACACACAGATAGCAAGATATCGGAAGTATTCTCCTCGCTCTGTTCTTTGTGTTGGAAATGATTTTGTCGTTGGCTATTATCTACATAGATGTTCAAAAAGACCACAAGCCAATAGAATTCGATGTGCGAAGTTTACAATAGAAACTTACACACAGTTCCACAAAGGTTGAACTATTGAAAGCTTTGTGTGGACACCGAATATTGTCTTTTACTTGAAGAATTTACAGAGATTGTAAAGTATACTAGTTGATGATCATGTTAAATAATATTAACATTAAGGTAACTACCAGAAATGTTGTTTAACAATGTATTGATGGTTTTTATGCTTATTAGGAAGATAAGGATCAAAAATGGTCGTTCAAAACAACACGTTTTTTATATTTGGAGATTGTCCTGAATTCATTTACTGCCAAGATTTTTTGTAACATGATGCAATACTTTAAAGATTGATCAATACTTATTTACTCTTTACAAAAAAAATGTCTCAACAACTTGTATTTAGTGATCATTTCATCCATGATCTGTACGGGAAGCACTCAAAAATTGATGAAAAATTAGAATTTACTCCTCTCGGAAAATTGCATTATATTCAACTTTTATTAAATAATCAAATAGTAGAATCGGAAGAAGAAGCTTCTTCATCACCACAAACAATCGGAATTAATCGTGATGAAAAACATTTAATAATTTTATTACATGGATCATTTCAGACTTGTCATACCTTTGATGATTTTGTAGAGGAATTTTACAATTATTATCAGAAAGAAGAAAATAATTCATTGCAACGACACTCATTGAATAATAGATTTCGATTTGTTTCTGTGGATTTGAGAGGGCACGGAGACTCTGCACACACTCCAAATCAATATAGTATGGATGGATTTGTGGCTGATTTAATCTTGTTTGTGGTAAGATATTTGGAGAAGGAATCATTTGATAGAGTTTCATTTGTTGGTATGAGTTTGGGTGGAATTATTCTCATGAATGCTCTGCTCACCGATAGGAAATCAACTCTTTCATTGAGTGGTGGAATCAATTCGGAAACCTTATCAAGATTTGAGAAAATTTTAGCAAATCATTTGCATTCAATTTCATTAATTGATATTTCTCCTGATCAAATTCCTGTCCATTCAATAATTCCACAAGGAACTCAAAGTGTCTCTCAACAAGTTAAATCCACTCAAACATTTAATACATTTGAGGAATTTTTGGCTTGGGCTCAAAAGTATAATCCAAGGAGAAGTGTTGAGAATTTGACCACTCGATTGAAATACTCCTTGAAATGCAATCCAGAAACAAATTTATGGACATGGAAATATGACACCACTTTTAGTATTGATAATATGGCAGCAAACACTGAAAGAAATTTAAGGGAAGAATTATGGAAAGCCCTCGAAACAAAGCAAGATTATCAAAATGTCAAAGTCTCCATCGTTAGAGGTGCAGACAGCTCTGTAACAACACGAGAACAATTGGAAAGACTATTCAATTTACTCTGTAAAAATTATGAATGTAATTTTATTGAAATTTCCAAAGCTGGTCATTCAGTTCTTGGTGACAATCCCAAAGAATACATTGAAAACTACTTTGCTCAAGTTTTCATTCCTCAAAAAAGATCAAAACATTAAAACATTTAGTTTTTTGAAAACTAATGAATCAAAAAATTTTTCATCATTTCAAATTTTTTACAAGTCGAACAACAGCAAGGCAGGGAAATGATGAATTAAAAATAGAATCACCAACATCAAAAATTTAATACAAAAAAATGTTTAGAAATCAATACGACACTGATATTACCACTTGGTCACCACAAGGAAGATTGCACCAAGTTGAATATGCTATGGAAGCCGTTCAACAAGGAAGTGCTGCTGTTGGACTTAAATCAAAGGATTTTGTAGTATTGGCAACTTTGAAGAGAGCACCACACGCCGAACTTTCTAGCTATCAAAAGAAGCTTTTCAAGATTGATGATCACATTGGTATTGCTATTGCCGGATTGGCTGCTGATGGACGTGTATTGAGTAAATATATGAGAAACGAATGTATGAGCCATCAATATGTTTTTGAAACTCCAGTTCCTGTACAAAGATTAGCATCAAAGATTGCCGATAAATCCCAAAAGAGTACACAAAGCTCATCAGGCCGTCCATTCGGTGTTGGATTATTGGTTGGTGGTTATGATGAAACTGGTGCTCACTTGTATCAAACTTGTCCAAGTGGAAATTTGTATAGTTATAAGGCTATTGCTATTGGTGCTAGATCTCAAAGTGCCAAGACTTACTTTGAAAAGCATTACGATACATTCACAAATGATTGGAAGGATCTTATCGTTCATGCCTTGAAGGCCCTTAAAGGAACAACTGGAGATAATGTAGAATTGACAACAAAGAATTGTTCAGTTGCTGTTGTTGGAAAGGATCTATAAATTCACTTTATATGAGGATGATGATATTGAAAATTATTTGAATTTATTGGATACTTCATCAAAGAAGATCGATGAAATGGTCGATTAAATCATCTACTGATGATCTGTAAAATATTTATTATTAAAAACAAACTAAACAGAATTACACCTTTGCTTTCCACTTCTTCATATTGTTTGTGGCGATAGTACTGATGTAGCATCTATGAGAGGTTGTAAGAATCTGAACCAATCAATACATGGCAATTGAACGTGTAATATTGCTACTTCTCATTTTGAGATTATCGATTGTCCTGCCAGTAAGGTGTTGCAAAAAGTAGCACAAAGATTGGATTCCTAAATGATAGGAAGGAATTGTGAATAGAGCTGGTTTGATTTTCATGTTAACAAGTCAACCACCTACTTGAAAGTTGGTTACTGCACCATTCACAAATCACTGCTGTAACTCTTCGTCTACCCAATCGATAAGATAGAAAGAATGGCAATCCAATGTATTGTTATGATTACCAAATAACTGTGTTAAATATGTAAAATATAACGGTCGAGTCAATGTTAGGAGGATTCTTGATGGAAACTATCCTTGTTGGTATTTTGATTTTGGAAGCAAGAGGGTTTGACAGTCCTTATTAGAAGTTTATTTATTGGATAGTTGGAAAGAACTTGAGGAAAAGAACTCGAAACTAGTTTGAAATTCGAAACTTTTGTCGTAAGAATCCTTGCTTATCCATCAACAATTATATAAAGCCAACATTCTCTTGCAAAGATATCCACAATGTTAAAAAAACAACATCATGCATTCTTTAACAATCACAAGGTTTCTTATGTTTCTTCTGGTTTCGTCCATCATTGCCAGCACATGTTATGGACATGGACCAAAACGATACATTACTCCAAAAGATATTGTCAAGAGAGGTTCCCTCACATGCATTGCCTCTCCATCAGAAACTGAAGGTCCATACTTCGTTTCAGGAATGCCCTATCGTGCCGATATAACAGAATCAAAATCAGGTTTCCCAATTCATCTCTACATTACAATTTTAGATTTGGCCACTTGTCTTCCAACCAAACAGAATGTCACTGTTGAAATTTGGCATTGTGATTATTTGGGAATTTATTCACACTATGAAGAAGCTTCCAAGAATTATGCAAACCCAAAAACAGACACCAATACTTATTTTAGAGGAAAACAATTTACCAATTCGAGTGCAGTTGCATATTTCAAAACTATATATCCAGGATGGTACACTGGAAGAGACAATCACATTCATGTTAGAATTTGGCAGGATAGTACTCTTCTATTGACCTCTCAATTTTCATTCAATGATTCAATGACAGATGCTGTTGCAAAAGTTTCACCTTACACTTCAAATACCAACCAGAGAACTTCACTCTCCACTGATTCTGTTTTTAAAGATAATGGAGTGTTAGGAATGTTGACTTTGAAGCAAATTTCATCAAGTGATATCAGTGCTGGATTTTATGCATATGTTGAAATGGGAGTTTCAATGAATGGTACAACAGCTTCTGAGGGAAATTCTCTTAGTGGAAATGTCAATGTGATGGTTCTTATGGCATTGTTGGCTAGTTTCTTATTTTGGTAAAATTTATGGTTCCTGATAACAAACTTGTAAATAAATAGAAATAGATAATGAAATAATTTGATTGTGATAATTCTCTCAAGTTGAGTACTCATAGTATTATGAAGTACTTTCAATATTCAGGAAAATTGCATGTCCTTTCTGAACTTTGGAAAATATCATGAATGTAAAAACATCACAAGAGCATGGATATGTTATGCACAAAGGATTGCTTAATATTAAAACTGAATTATCCTGAAGAAATGATTCCAATTCATCAAAGTTTTTTGGGAATGGTATTTGAAATTGCTCTTGTGGAGCATTCATTTCATATTCATCCTCTTCATCATCCAATCGAGTCATATCATTTATCTTTACCAATTGCACATTTCTATTCAGTAAGGTTTCATAAAGAGCTTTCCTCATGACAAAATAATAGTACTCATCCACCTTTTCATTCCTAGTTTCCACACATTGCACTGCATTCTTCAATCGTTCAATCAAATCACCCGTCGTAGAGACTATGAAATCTCCTGGAACTGCTCTTACATCCCAATTAACAATGAATTCAGAGTAGGGTTTCGCCACTCTCTCATTATAAATTCTTCCATATTCAAATTCAAATTCACTCCTCCAATCTACAATCTGACCAACCAATGAAAATGCATTAATTTTGCAATTTCTTAGAAATGTTAACGAATAAGATGAATCTGATAAGTGTTTCCCCTTTCCATCATGCAGAATTTGTAAACAATTCGTCATTATCCTTTTATGGAGAGCCAATAGCCCTTGAGAATTCTCATTCAAAATTCTACAACTTTGGAAATTTCCAGAATAGAATAACTGATCAGTTCCCACAGGTCCAGTAAATGATACCCGTTCATTTGATGGAAAATCCAAGATTGGAATTGTTTGTAGGATGAATAATTCTCTAAAATTGAAATCTCTCTTATTTTTCAATAATTTTAAATTATCATCATCATCATGATTATTTAAATTATTATTATTTAAATTATTATTATTTAATGAGTCAAGCTTGACTCTCCAAAATAATTCACCATTCTCTGCTGATGATGATGATGAAATATTGTAGAAACAATTTGCCCATTCCGAACACACGAGACACAGGTTGGAAATTTGCTCTCCGAATTTTTGATCATTGAAATCAATTATCAGAGTAAAGATGTGTTCAGTGAGAATTTCAATAGGGAGTGTTTGCATATTTTTCTAATTGATTTAAATGATCAAAAATTCGGAGAGTGTTGAAAAACAGCTTGAAAACGATATCCCCTTAATGGAAGAGTATTTAAGCACTTGGGGGTGTTGATATAAATAATGTGCTCGTCTCGTGGTGTAATGGTAGCATAGTGGACTTTGAATCCATTGACGGAGGTTCGATTCCTCCCGAGACGGTAAACGTGGCGAGCCCCTGAAATTTTTGTTGCATTTATGTAATTTCAAATAAATTATTCCAACGAAATCTTTTTAGATTTCAACAAAAGAATAAAAACCTATGTGAATTCAATTTCTTGTGTTTTACAAATCTCTAAAATTGTAAAAGTTTGATATTCGTTCGGTGTCCAATATACAATGTGATTATTTACAAGTTAGTTACAATAATTTCAACATCCAGTGATGGATTTTTCAACAGCATTTCTCTAAATTTCTCAATTCTCTTCCTAGCAACAAGAGAGCATTCCAAATATTCCTGAATGAGAGCTTCACATTGCTTGCAATGATTACGTGCGTCATCCAAAGGTGTCACTCCAGAATAATTTGGAATATCACCCAAAGCTCCTCTTTCCAATAACATTTTACAAGCTTGTGGATTTTTGTAATAGGCAGCCCAATGCAATGCAGTGTCACAATAAGGACTATTTCCAATATATATTATTGCATAAATTCAATCACTAATCATTTGATAAAACAACTTACGAATGATTGATATAGTGCATATCAGCTCCTTGATCCAATAAATACTTGACCATTTCATTATGTCCCTTATGAATAGCCATCATCAATGCATTAATTCTCTACTCACCCCCATCAACACAATTTCAATTCGAAATCATTTCAAATTTTACCACACAATTTCATGAATTTTCCATCGCAAAATACAAATTTCCATTGATCATTATCATCATCTGAAACTATTAAAAACTCACCCCCGAATCACCTACTTCATCAATACAACTTCCATTCTCCAGACATTCCTTCAATTTTGTTAAATTTCCATTCGTTGCTTGTTTAATAATTTCTCCATCACCAGTCGGATGGGCAATTTGTGTTCTGATGAGGGAAATTAAACGAACGTGATGTGCCTTGCTCAAATCAAACTCTCCCTCATCAACTTTTCTCAAAGCTCTTAGTGATGATGACATTTTTTTTTTATGTTTTTGATTTTGTAAATTTTGATATAAAAGGAAGGTAGATGATGGAAATCAAGTGGATGATGAAATTGATTAATAAAAATTATTTGGAAAGGTTGAAAATAGGATGTGATATTTAAAAATATTGAAAAAAAATGATTCCTGCAAACTTGTCAGCTTTTTTGGCAGATGACATGGAAGATGATGAGACTACTAGAACACATACTTGTTATGTTACATTAAAAACTGATTCTGTTATAACTGCTATGGATTTAAGTTCGAATAAAGTTATATATGCCATCGGAGAACATGGAATTAAACAAATTGTCAATAATCAATATATTGACAAGGGAAATAGTGAAATTGTACAGGAAATAATGACAGGACAAATGATACAGATAGGTAAAGGACAATTTGGAACTGTTTTCTTGGGTAGGTCCTCATCAAATTTATGTGTAATAATTATTCGAAAGTTAAAACTATTTCCGGAAAGTATTATGCTCTGAAAAAGATTCATTTAAAGTGGGATGATGAAAAGGATAATTATATTTGGAGGGAATTTCATACCATCTACACAAGGTGAGTATTATTTACCTTCATTTCGAATATAATTTTGTAAAATTACCTTCATTTCGAATAGTGAATCACCTCATCTTGTAAAATTATACGAATGTTTCTACAAGGAAACAACTGTACACTTGGTTATGGAATACATGGATATTGGAAGTTTATCAACCATCATGAACATTATCGATCTCACCAGAAAAACTTTAAAACTCTTAGTTCGTTCCGAATCTACAAAAAGTTTATTCCCAATGGGGAGTGAAGTTAAGAATGTGGATCGTTTATCAGAGCAGGAAAATGAGAGAAATAAGGAATTAATCAAGAAAATTGTTAAAACCATTAGAAAACTTCCACAAGTATTTCTACAGAGATATGCTTCTGGATCCTGCATGTCAGAGAAGGAATGTGCAGTTATTATTAAGAAGGTCATTGAGGGATTGCAATATTTGAGATCGAAACATATTATTCATAGAGATAGTAAGTTGTTTTTAATTTGAGAAAGAGATTATTGAAATATTGATGAATAGTTAAACCTTCTAATAGTATGTAGTATTTAAAAATATTGGAATATTGAATTTTATTAATTGTGTGAAACAAAATATTGAATTTTAATGTGGAAATATAATATAGTATTGATGAGTAAATATGGTGAAGTGAAAATATCAGATTTTGGTCTTTCGAATGGTAAAAACCTTAATATTGGAAATTCTGGTATTTATGACACAACCTACGATACAATTTGTGGAACAAGAATTTATTTATCACCTGAGGTATGTTTAATTTGATTGCATTCCTTTCAAAACAATAATTTCAGAGATTGAGAGAGGAAAAGTATGGTTATAACTGTGATTTGTGGAGTACTGGACTTGTATTAGTGGAATTATTCACTGGAAAGCATCCTCAAGATACAACAAAAGATGTTGTCAGTTGCTATACTGATTTCAATCTCTATGTGGATAATGCTTTGAAAATATTGAGAGAGGCCTTTGCTTCTAATGAAATGATTGATTTTGTGGCATGTTGTCTTCAAATTGATAGAAATAAGAGACCAAGCTATGAACAAATATTACAGCATCCATTTCTGAGTTCTCTAAGCTCCATGTCCAATGAAGAGCAGAATGAATGTCTGAGAAATAATCTACTTTCATGGATCATTCCATTTATTTCTCAACCGGAACTTTAAGTTCATTCACAAAAGTTAATGTTAAAATAATTATTATTAAAAAAATTGTGAGTGTATTTCTTTAATTCCATCCCGAACACCATAGTAGCAATATCTATATTGTTCCTTTCTTTGCACCATTCCTACTCTCAAATTTTTCAGTTGTTTTACAATTTTATAAATGTTAAAATCAAACGGATTATCGTTATCTCGCTCTTCTTTTGGTAAACTTAGGTACTCCTTGTACTGAGAAAGGAGAATATGTATTGTACAAAATGTTCCAGTTCTACCAACACCTGCCGAGCTAATATTAAATTATTAATTATTGAAAATTAAAAATATTACTACTTACCAATGGATAGTAATTGGACCATTTGGGTAATTTGGTTGTGTCATCAGATTGTCAATGCACTCTATTAATTTAAAGAATGAAACTGTACTATCTGGAACTCCCATATCAGGCCAACCTGTATATTGATAGAAATGAATCTTCTTACCAGAATCAGGCAGACCATCTCCAAAAACTAAAAATTGTCTATAAACGAAATCATAAGTTGTTTGTTCTTCCGAAATTGTTTCAACTTCAATATCTCCATAAAGTTTTTTCTCGTAGAGTGAAGGCCAATACTTATTCACCTTGTTCTTATTAAAACATTGATCAAATTGATCAGCATTGTTACTTTCATCACTCTCTGAATCTGAAGATAGCACTTCACTACTGAGCATTACAATAATTGTACTATTATGCTCAACGATCATTCTCCAAAAATCAGCAAATGTACAAGGTAAAGGGGCTTGAGTGGCAATATAGGTAGGTGGAGGGGATAATTTAATTCTTTTGAAATTTTGAGTTGTTTGGGTAATAATATGATTTGCATTGATATAATCTGATCCAGGTTCACATCTTTCCTTTGATTGGAGTAATACTCTTGTATTCTCATTTGGAAGAATGTTTTTATACCTATTCTTTGTTAAATTATGTTGTCTATATGCACTTGTATGCATTCCACTCTTTCTTTGTAATCTTGTTTCAAATTTTTTGAGTGACTATTAAACTAGATCAGAAATAATACAAAATAATAATACTTACTTGAAATTCATCATCTAATCTGTCATATTGAATTGGTTTTGCAAAGAGATCAACACTGGCTTTTTTAGGGAATTGCTTTGTTGTTGTTGATGTGAAACTGTGTGGTTTTTTCAGTGATTCTCCTTGATCATCAGAAAATGAAAATGTGTTTTTTGGTGGCAAACTAGTAAAATCAAAGCCAAATCCACCACAACCTCCAAACGTGGAAATATTTGGTTTTGTTTTTGGAGTTGGTGGTTCATCATCGAAGGAATAATCTGTTGTTGTGCTTATTGTACTTGTTGTTGAATCAAGGTCAAAATTTGTTTTTAAAGGTTTTGGTTTTGATGTAATGAGAGAAAAACCATCTCCATCATCATATTCTTCTTCATCATCAATTATTGCTGATAAATATGTTTGTATAAAACTATTTAGATCATCAATCGGTTTTGCGTATTCATCATCATCTTCTGAGAATGTTACATATTGGAATGAATTAATTTCTGTTGTTTGTTTTGGAGTTGGTGATGATAATGAATCAAATATACTTTGATTAAAACTACCGATGGCTTTAGCAGAATGTGGTGTATCTTGAGATAAGCCTTGTTGAAAGATATTACTTGATGGGCATACTGCGGTTAATGGTGTTGTTACAAATAGAGGTTTAGCCTTTGATTCTCCATTTACTTTCTGCTCTCTTTCTTGAACTATAAATTTGTTAAATGTTTTTGCCATCTCCTCACGGAGAGCTGATTTGTATGGTTTTTTCTTCGATGAAGAAGAATTAGAAGAACCTGATGTGTTAGATGTTGAGCAAGATATTTGCATTGTTGGTCGTTCCGAAATTATCATCAGAATAAAAAAGATGATCCTATTTAGAAATAATTCGTCGGTTAAAAGAAAGAATTTCTCTTGATCTTTAAATTCCAATATAATCTAACTTTAGAGTTTGAGTTAGTGTTTAAATAATAGTTTAAATTTTGATTTTTTAACCAAGCTGTATGTTATTTCCGCTTTCTCTAATAGAAAATGATCCAAATTACGAGATTAAATTCTAATGATGATAATAGCAGAAAACCTATGAAAATCTATTCTATGGTCAAATACTAGTACAGTTGGAAAAGGTAACCAAAATCACGAAGAGTTAATCGATTGTTGATGATTTTTTTGAGTTGATGATGTTCGCAGCAAGACTCAAGTTCCTCCAAGCGTAATATTATTATGAAAAGCTGTGAGTGCTAGTGATGAGAGCGATGTATTAAAGAGTTCGAGGGAGGGATTTTCGAGTCGGAATAAAATATGCTACAATTGATTCAAAAAAGTTAACTGATGAAGTTACTGTTATTATTATGAAAAACTATTTAAAACGCTGGTGTAGCAAGAAAGTCGGTGGTAGCAATGAGGACTTTTTGTTTTATCTTTCGACAGCTGCTATTGTATTTGACTTATTGGAAAAACTCAAGGTATTTAGACGAGTTATCCAAGTTATTTATAACTCCTTGTGGGAATGCTTGTGAAGAGTTCAATGGATGGAAGTGGATTAGAATGTTACTAGCAAATTTTCATTAATAGCACATCGACTTGTTAGGTATTAATAAATTGAATTGTTTTATTTTGGTGTTGGCTTCATTCAAAATTTGTTTTCTTAATGGATTCTTGTTCAATCAAACACAAAATTAGGCTTGCTTCCAGATTTTGTTGGATTTACAAAACTAAAAAAAAACTCTTTACTCAACAATATTATGCAAGGGAGTAGTACAAAGAGAAAGAGAAGAAATCAAAACAAGAAGAATAAGAAGAGGTAGGTTCAATCCGATTATCAACATGTTTATCATGAATAACATTAAAGAAAACAATCTGAAAGCATCACTGTTACACCAACACCTTCAACATCAGACAATCAAACTATTTTTAGATCAAAAAGTCATCAAGAGGAAACAAGGCTTTCAAATCAACAAATCACAATCAGCTCTTCATCTGTAAATAATAATTCAAGAAACACAACAACTAGTTCTAATATTGTTAATAGTAATAATAACAACAATACAGCAACAACATTAAAACCAACTTCTGGAAATTCTAGTTGGCGAGTAGTGAAATCATTCAAAGGCTTCTTTCCGAAAACCTTCAAACAAAAAAAAACACATTCTAAAAATACAACAATTGCTGAAGCGAGTTCAACCAGCAGAGAAAGCAATCATCACCAAAGCACAACAACAATAACAAATAGCTACATAGATTCTGATCAAGAAGACTCTAGCGACGAAGAAGAAATGAGCGAACAAAATTCGGATCAAACATTTACCTCTACTGGCGGGCTTACTCTTGAGAACATTATTCAAAATTATGGAAATCAATTCGTGAGAGGTGGTAATTTGCCTCCAGAAAGAATGGAAGAAATTCTGCAAGGATTGAAAGACTATTGTGATCCAACAAAGCAATTCGATGCAGTTTCAGATTTGTGCAATATAGTTTCCATATCTAATGAACAAGCTCTCAGTAGAATGGGAGTAGATAGATTCATTCCAGAACTTTTAAACATTATGGCTAATAGTGACGATAGATATGATTTGATGGTATTTGCTGCTAGAACATTGTTAAATATGATTGACATTTATCCTGCATCGTGCTCATTTGTTTCCTCTAATGGAGGTATTTCAATTATTTCCTCAAAGGTACTCGTTATTGAGTATATCGATTTGGCAGAAATATCTTTACAAATTATTGAACACCTTTCTCATCAATATGGTGCTGCACTTCTCAAAGAAGGCGTTTTAATGGCTTCATTAACATATATTGATTTCTTTGGTGTAGATATGCAAAAGAAAATTTTAAGAATTGCTGCCAATTTATCTAAAAATATTGGAAAAGCAGATTTTGAACTAGTTTGTGACATTCTTCCAAATATTTCAAGATTTTTAACAGCATCAGATCCATTGATGGTTGAAAATGCAATTGTTAGTTTAACAAGAATAACTCATCCATTCTTGAAGGAATCTGAAAAATTGTCAAAACTTATTAACTCTTGTTCTCTAATTGATCAGGCTATTGATATTATTTCTAATGAAAAAACTTCAAAGAATTCACTCAATTTGATTTTAAAAATGTTGAAGAGTGTTTCTTCAAATAATGAAATTGCCAAAGAGATTTATTCCAAAGGTTTGATTAATTTAATACCTGGTTTACTGCTTCATGAAAGAGGACTTCATGAATGCTTTTTAGATATAATGTACTTTATACTAGCACTACTTCCAAAGATGCCTAGAAATGAAGAATTAGTTTGTCAACTCTCTCACTCCAATAGAAAAAAGCTAATGGTAAAGATGACCGGGGTAAAACCACCAAATGACCAATCACTACCAGAAACTGATACTGTACAGGACTCTCAAATAGAGTCACTTCTTGAAAAAGAGCCTATCTTGTTACAAACAGCAACTGATGTATTATTAGAACCACTAATTAACTTGCTTTCATCAAGTCAAAATGACTCAGTTAATAATTTAGTATTGCAGATTATTGGTACTGTTGTTTACCATTCTTCTGCTACTATGTTAACAGAAACATTGAAGAATATTCCATTTTCAACATTTTTGGCCTCCCTTCTTTCCAGCGATGACATTTGTAAAGTTACAACAGCATTGCAAATTTGTGAAATGCTTTCCAAAAAGTTACCAGACATTTTTGATCTCTATTTCTTGCGAGAAGGTGTCACCTATAGAATCAAAAATATTTCAGGAATGGATGAAAAATCAAAGGAAGAGTTGATGTTAGAAAAGATGAAAAAGAATACTATTGCTGCCTATGAAAAAGCTGAAAAGGAAAGAAAAGAGAAAGAAGAAAATCAGAAAAAGCAAGCAATAGAAAAGAATGAAAGAATTAAGAATAGAGAAAATCAACCACCTCAAGAAGTCAAGGAAGGAGAGACCCCACAGGAAGAGGAAAAGTATGAAGACCCTGAAAAAATTTCTGTTGCTTGGGTTCATCCTCATGTTGAATATCCAAAAATACCAAAAACCTCAAGATTGTACACTGAAAGAAGCAAGAAGGCATCATTCAAGAATAATGAGCTTGCAGTGTATGCTGTAACTAAAGCTCAACTTTTTTACAAGGATTACATTACCAGAACAAAAGATATGAAAATGGAAAGTTCTGGTTTTATTGCCTTGCAGGCTATTGGTAAACAGTTGCTTACTTGCAAATCAGAGGAAGAAAAACTATTGACAGAATTGAGAGATTTGTTGATTATTGATGACTCTGCTACCTACTTTGAAATTATCAATAGTAATATCATTCCAACGCTTATTGAATATCTTTCAGCTGATACACACGATAGAAAATCGAGAGTTTACCGTTTTGCTCAAATTTTCGATCAATCCATCCCTGCAGGAAAGGAGAAGTCTCGTAAATCAAAGAATTTCTCGCAAAGTAATGATTTAGAAATTTCTCTTTCAGTATCAAACGCTAATGACAATCCAACATATCTTTCCGAGTTTGTAAGAAAGCTAATTGATGTTTTCAACTCTGTAGAAAACCTGAATGTTAACTACTCTGAGTCTATCACACTTTTAACTGGTGTAGGATCAGTTCTTCGTAAATTTTTAAAGTATTTCAAGTTATCCATGACAAATGATGAAAACAAGAAGGTAGTTCTATTGCAAGCAAATTCTCTCTGTAAAGTACGAGATGTCATTAACTATTTGCAAGATAATTACAGTGATGAAAAAGAGCAATCTACCGAAGCTCAAACCATTCAAATTCCAGATTTCAGCTATTTCCATATTAATGAAAGAGATGATGATGACGAATTTATCGGAAATATTGGTAATATTGAAGTAGAGACTCCAAAATCAGATGAAGATACTTCTTACTTACTTGAAGACAAGGCAGTTATGGAGGATGATAAACCATCCAAACAATACTCAATTATTTTGAATGGTGAGGTTCTCAACCCTAACATGACATTATTTGAAGTTTTTTACAGAAAGGGTACTCATAACCATCCATCTGGTCTCAACTTGGGTGATACTACTCAAAATTTGTCTTTCAAGATTTCTGATTTAACTGAAGAAGTGAAAGACGCTACAATGAGTGAACCAAATGAACTATTACAATCTAAAGAAGATGTTCTTCTCACTCACATTTTCAGTCATACGAGTGATAAGGATACGTTAATCAAGGAAGGTATTGACAAGGATGCTATTGATATTCTCGAGCTTCTTAAGATTATGAACTTTATTAGCAAGTTAGCTATTGTATTGCCTCACACTGGAGGCATGAAGAGAGTATTACTTTCATCCAAGATATTCCTTAACCCTAAATTGGCTTCAAAGATTGTAAGATCTATTCAAGATCCATATTATCTTTTTGGAAACTGTTTCCCTCATTGGCTAAAACTTTTGATCGAGGACTATGGATTTTTATTCACTTTTGATGTAAGACAATTATACTTTGACTTGACAACCAAGGGTATTGCAAGAGCAATTTTAACCATACAAAATAGATATTTCAAATCCAGAGACAGAAAGGCAAGATTGATTCAAATAGGAAAACAAAAGATCAAACTGTCCAGATCTCCAAATATTTTACAAAGCGCATACAAAGGTCTTATTAACTTGGATACAGATAGAATCGTTGAATTTATTTTTGAAAATGAGATTGGTACAGGTTTGGGTCCAACTGTAGAGTGTTATAACTTGGTTTCCAGAGCTTTACAACAGAGTGGATTGACTATTTTCAGAGATGAATTTGTAGGTGAACAAAAAGAAGCAGACAAGTTTGACAGACTTGTTGAAACCAAGACAGGGCTTTATCCTAGATTGAAGAGGCTTGTCGATGGAAAGCTTCCAGAAAAAGATGCAGAGCTTTATTACTTTATTGGAACATTTTTGGGAAGAGCCATTTATGATGGAAGAGTATTAGACATTCCATTCTCTGATGCTTTACTCAAACTTTTAAGAGGAGAAAAGCTTACTTTCTATGATATTGAAACAATAGATCCAATACTTTACCAACAATTCTGTAAATTACAAAAGATGTGTCAAAAGGTTAATGAGATTAAATCCAAATCATTATCTGATCAAGAGACAGCTGCTCACTTGTTAGAAATTACATTTGGAGATGATGGTAAAACAAGGTTAGAGGATTTATGTCTGTCTTTTACTGTAATGGGAACAGATATTGAGTTGGTAGAAGGAGGGTCAGATAGGGAGGTTACCCTGCAAAATCTCGAGGAATACCTTAGACTGGTTACTAATACCATTCTCCATGACGGTATTATTCAACAAGTGGAAATGATCAGAAATGGATTCAATTCAGTAATGGGACACAATTCCATTGCATCTCTGAAATGTTTCTCCATCAAGGAGTTGAGTGATATTTTTGTTGGTGCTGATGAAGAGTGGACTGAGCAATTATTGGTTGAAGCAACAAAATGTGACCATGGTTATACTCACTCTTCTAGAGTAATTAAGACATTCTTCAAGATTCTTCTTCAAATGACACCTTCAGAGAAGAGAGACTTTTTAAGATTTGTAACTGGAGCTCCAAGATTGCCTTCAGGAGGTATTATGAGTCTTAGACCAAAGTTGACTATTGTTTTGAAGAAGGCAGATGCTGGCAAGACCTCAGATATGTACCTTCCATCTGTCATGACCTGTACAAACTACTTGAAATTACCAGAGTACTCCTCAGAGACAATCATGAAGGAACAATTGTACAAGGCAATTCAAGAGGGTCAAAACGCCTTCCACCTCAGTTAAGCGGCATTGAAAAAGGAAATAAAATGATTGTTGAAAATTTGAATAATTGGAAAAAGTTTATTCGTTCTGCAGAACACATGTTGATGATTGAAATGATAAGCAAAAGGAAGAGGCAAACAATATGCAAACCATTATCTCACCACAAATCAATCCTTCAGATCCTTATATTGATATTACTTAGACAATTTTACGCCTTTCATCAATTTAATACCACCGAAAGAGAGATAATTCTTTCCAAAACAAAAAAAAGAATGAACTCAACTCTGTCTCTTCTATGCGACCCATTGTTGTTCGAATTGGGAATACCTCTGAGGGACTTTAGTCCACTTCGTCTTTCTAATGAAACAAGTGTTTGTCCCGATACCATCATTATTCCTATTCTTTCGACTCTTCTCCTTATCATCTTTCTTCCTATACTATTCTTCACTTTCATTTTCGTTTTTCTTAAACGAAACAGTGGACACATTCAATCTAGAGGCATTTATTGGATTTCATCGACAATTCTCGCCAGTTCCATACATGTTATCATACCATGTTTGCGATGGCTTATTGGAAGAGACTTATTTCCCTGTTTTTTATTCTCCTTCATGGGAATAAACATGTGTTGGGCCATGACTCTTCCATCACTTTATTCTTGTTTTGCATTCGTGATAAGGAATCGATTATTTCGTCTATTAACTCAGCATTCAAGCGGTCCTACTCCTACTGTGAGTAATGTAATTAGTCCACAAGTTCAAAAAGTGGTGAATGATTTAATTTCTCAAGAAAGTGGAGAAAGTTCACTATCACTGAAAGAGCCATTTACCAAAAATCAGAAACGATTATTGATCCTGTACAAGTTTCTTCTCAGTAACAAATTCCTATTTATTATTGAACTATCTCTGTTTAGTCTACATTCTCTCTTGTGGTTAATTATTGGATTATTAGAAATTTTTGGACCAGAGAATTTCTCTGATACTTACCTTAGTTCAGGATTTGATAATTTCCAATATGGTTGCAAAGTTAGACCCAATTCAATGACCCTCTACGTTGCACTCTATTCATTCTATGGATTGATTACCTTAATATTTCTAATTTTGGTAGTAATTTCAGAAAGGGATACTTGGTTCATTAAGATTGAAACATCAATTACCACAATCTTGATGATTTTATGTGTAATTCTCAGTTTTACACTTCCTAGAGTTTCAGTTTTGACGAATCTGGTTGATTATGTTTTTCCAATTCAGATGATTTTGTCAATTTATAGTATTGGTCAACTTGTGATATTAATCACCATTCCAACTATTAGAGCCATTTATCAAGAGAGGAAAATGAATGGATTATCTGGAAATGGACATGAAGAACCAAGTCTCTATGAGAAACTGTTATCCGAAAGAGAAACCTTTAATGCAATTTTAGATTTTTCAAGACGTTCCTACAGTTCTGAACCAGTTCTCTGTTTTGACACTATTCAAAATTACAGAAAAAGTAGACGAATGACATTTCGAATGAAAATAGCCAACAATATATTAGAAACCTTTCTCTCAAAAAATTCTCCTCTCGAACTAAACATTCCCAAAATTGATTCTCTTCACAATGAGCTGCTTTTCCTAATTAAAGAAAAGAATGAAACAAAAATTGATGAATTATTAGAAGAATTGAGAGTTCATTGTTTATTGGATATGAATGAAATGATGACAAGAATGAATTCTGAATATCCAGAAATGTTTAGAAAAGCAAAACAGGAAATCTATTTCAGTACAATCAATTCAGCATTTTCAATTTAAATTCGAATAATATTTCTTTATCAAATACGAGATGTATGAATATTTGAGCTAAATTCATTTCTCCTACACATGCTCGAGATGATATTTTGTGAATAATGAGAAGCTTGTAGATGTTTATCAAAAAATTGTGTTTTATCGTCTAAGGAAATGTCGGCAAATGCAATCGAATGTTTTTTGTTTAATTTAATGTCAGTGTGTGAAAAATGATACAGAGTTCCAATTCCTCACCACCATTTTTCAAATTTGGGGCGAAAACCTTTTCAAGAGATTTTTCAAAGTTGACTTGCATGAATATTTAACACCCAAAAAGACAATTGAAGGATAGCAGAAAATATTCAAAAATAATGCACCACAGAAAAGCACCTGCTGCTGCTGGTGTTAAATTTCTCTTGCTAGTATTGTGCCTCTTTCTTTGCTTTGTCAACTCTGCCAGTCAATTGGAACCACCTTCAGATGTCACTTTAACAAATTACAACACGACAGAGTTTGCAATTCTTTTGAGCAATATAACAAGTAATTTAACACAGGCAGAGGCGGAAATTGTCATGACCAGCTCGAGTAAATTCCTCCCTTCCGTGTTGATACCTATCAGGGCTTGTGTTGCGTTGATTTTTGACAGTTTTTTGTTTATTTGCATATTTGCATTGCGAGATTATGAACCACTCAAGTCAAAGTTGTTTATTTCGTTTGTATTGACTACAATTAATGTTATTTGTCATTTACCTGCTTCACTCGACACAATTCCATTCATCCGAGTTTATTTTGAAAGTTATTGGAATCAATTTATATTCGAAAGGTCAATTAATCCATCTCTTGATGCTCAAACCTTCTACAAGAACAATCTAGATTCGAATGGATTACCCACATGGTTAGGAAATTACATAACCTTTGAGAATGTTTACTGTTTCATTGGTGAATATGTCATTTATGGTTTAATTATTGGAAGTGTTTCGTTATATGCGATTCAGATAGCCAAATTCATACTACTGAATATCATTAGGAATATGAGACAGTCAATTGTGAAAACTATGGAAGAATTTAAAAAGAAACAATTTGAAAAGATGAATGCGAGTGCCCTTTCGAATAAGAAAATTTCTGATACTTCTTCCAACTCTAATTTGGAATTGTCGAGATCGAATAGTAGCCTTACTCGATCTTCACAATCTTTGAAGGGTGTTTTGGCTCTTGATTTGAGTTCTGTACCTAGTACGAATGTATCATCAGCATCAGATGTTTCGAATATAACACAAGTGAGACCTTTATCTGCGAGAAGTTCAAGAAAGAATGCTAGCATTGAAATTGAAGCAGCAAATGCATTGTATGAAGATATTGCATTGGATTTCGATGATGGCGTGTCAAATTCTGATCTTGATGTAATTTCGAATAGGGGAAAATTGGTGAATTTCTTAAAGAGAGTCATCAAGTTTAGAATTATAGAAATTGGTTTCGTTTCTCTTTGTGTAATTATTTGGTATGTTATGATTAGTGTTCAGATAGCAAGTCACAAGCCAGACAAGTGGAGTTCACTTTTCCATAATTGGGATTCGTATAGTGGATATTGCAGAAAAGAGGATAGAAGTGCAATCTTTTTCATGGATGCTGGACTATCGATTGCAATATTTCTCGTCATTCCAATTCTGTTAATCAGCGATTTTTTCATTTCTCTTTACCATTATAAGAAACAAAGACGAAACAATACGGAAAGAGGAGAAAAGACTTCGAATTTCTTCATTTACATTTATTATGAATCTGATCCTTTCGTATATAGAATAGAAAGTACATGTGTTCTCACAATAAGTGGATTTTCCTTATTGATTTACATTCTTCTTTCTCCCTACTTTGACAATCCAATAATTAATCTTATTGGAAACTTGTTCATTGTTCTTGGATTGAATTTCCTTGGTGGCTCTGCAGGCAATCCTGGAATTACCATTCTAAGAACATTGTGGAATTATTACCTTGCATATAAATCTAAACGAAACCAACAAACAGACAATACCAATGATATAGTATTTGAGAATATTCAACAATTAATATCCTCTCCAATTAACTCAGCTACAATTGACTATGTAATTTTACACAAAAAGGAACGAGAATTATTTTATCAATACTTGAAAAATGAATATTCGATTGAGAATTTACTCTTTTATGAAGATTTACATTTATTGAGGAAGATTAGTGCAAGTCATTTGAGATCTAAAATATCAAAAATTAAGGAAATGGTAATATTATATCTTTCAGAGGGAGATTCAGTATTTGAAGTTAACATTTCCAATAGGGTGATCAATAGTGAATTGAAAGAGTATAGAGAATTACTCATTTTACTCAATCAGGAAAATATTAAGGTAAATCAATTACCTAAAAGAGTTGTGAAGGATTCACAAACAAGATATTTTCCAAATATTGATCTGACAAAAGAGGAAGAAATGAAACCATTGATTGAAAATCTTTGTAACCCAGCAGTATTCAGTTCGTTAAGTTATGAAATTTACAAAAATTTAATGGATTCCTATTACAGATTTAATAATTCTAGAAAATGGAAGGAATACATCAAATCAGTCACTAATCAAGGACCATAATTTCTATAATAAACTTTTGATTTCAAAATAATTAAATAGTAAATGATCAATTCAAAAGATGTTCTTCTTAGTTTACAACATTTGAGACTTTCTATTAACAAAATACAAGACGAACAGCAATAACATCTCCTCCTTTTGATTTCTTGAATAAACAAGCATAACATCCATCTCCATATCCACTTGAAGTAATAATTCCAAAAGGTGCTGCTAATTTTGAAGGATAGTTATCTTGCTCCATCTTTTTGAAAAAGTAATCTTGCCAATCTGAATTAAACGAAAGCTTGCAAGAAGCTTCAAATTTGGATTTTGGTTTTCTCTTCAATTCCAAACATTTTTCATCATTAAAGTACTTTTCATCAAAGATTCCAGCCATGGCAACGTCTACCCCTACACCCAATTTCATAACAAACCATCCTCCCTCAATTTCATCATCATAGTATTCATCCCTTTCAACTTTGTGATTTCTCTCCAATTTTCTGTAGACATTGTTTGGAACTAACCAAAGTTTTGGATCAGAACTTAATTCTTCATAATAATCTTGATGAATGGCAACTATTTGAGCTGTCAAAAAATGGTCCTCATAACCTCCATCCACATGATCTTTGGATTTGTGAGTAGTTTTCCAATTCCAAATACCAGGTCTTACATTCTTTATGATTACGCCAGAGTTTGTTGTAAATGGATCAATGACAACCATTGAAGTACTCTCAACTTTGAACTCTTTTGTTCTGAACAATTGTTCGTACTCTTTTTCAGTTTTCTCTTCCTCATCCTCCATTTCATCATCTTCTTCTTCTTCTGGTTGCTTTGGTCTGCATGATAATATGCCAATAAACTTTGGGGACGAAAAATCATCATTAAAGTAAGCATAGGAGGAACCATATCCTCCTCCTCCTCCTCTTGTTACACGAGAAAATTCAATAGCTTTTGAAGATCTTAATCCATCAACCATATCTTTGATAAAATAAGTATATTCTACAATAGAATATTGTTCATAAATTACTGGAGCACCAAGGTAATCAGCCAAATCCTCAATATTCAATTCTACATAATCATTAGAAATTAAATCTCCCAACTTGTCAATATAATTCTTACATCCAATACCAGCAACAATTTCAATTTCATTGTGTCTTCCTTCAAGAATTTGATAAGCTCGACTAATTCTTGGATGATTGGGAATTGTTGTTACCACTTCACATGCATCAGTTATGAGTCTTGGTTGATATGTTTTAAATGAAGTGTCAAACTTTAACTTTTCCAAATATTCTTCTTCATTGAAAATTGATTTGATTATGTTTGATGGTAATACTTGAATTTCTTCCAAACTGAGTGATTTTGAAAGATTTACATCTTTCACAGACAAGAGACGCTTGGATTTAGGAGCGTACACTATATCTGTAACATTCTCATAAACACTCTTTGGTAATTCTATCAATTTCCCTTCCTTTTTCAAATTCTCTGTATTATAAGGTTGTGGACAATAGACATAATATTGAGTACCATCTTTTGACCTAGATTGAATCAATAAACCAAAATTATCCATTCTTGTGACAGAATTGATTCTTTCAATCCATTCCAAATGTCTGATTAAGATTAGATCACTATTATTTTCCTCTCCTTTCCAAACAATTTCATACAATCTAAAACTTAGAAGCAAGAAGACTCTTAATCTCTCACCCTCCAAGAATGGTACATTACAAACTCCACAAGAAGAATTCACGAAAGTGGCACCAAATGAAACACCAGTGACTGAAAGGTCAAATTTTCCACTCTTCAAATCGAATAAATAAACCTTGTCTTTTCCATCAAAAAAACCATTCAGTGAGTAATCTCTTTTGATAACATTTGAGCAAGGAATAACAATTGCAACAGATTCCGTTCTTGACATGATATCTGATTGTGGCATTGTAATCTCGTTGCATGGTTCCAATTTGAGAGAATTAACAGATTGACTCTTTTCAAGACTTGGAGCTCTATTATATGACATGAGCATGAAACCGTCAACAAATGAAATACCATCTTCATTGATATCAGCAATAACAATATTTTTCACATCAAAATCGTTCACACTATTCCATACGAAACAGGAACGATAAGAAGAACAGTAATTTTCACTTCTTTTGACTGTTTTGGCGAAACCTCTGATTAATTTTTGTGATCCAACAAGTTGATTCATCAAATCACTCTCCCAATCTAAAATGACTTGTTCAAGCCTACAAATAGGAGCATTTTCTGTTGAAACATTAGCCAAATCGTTTAAATTAACTGTTGCAATCAGGCGTTTAACAATATTATCAGCATCCGATGCATCAATCATGTAAAATTCTTCAATATCAGTTGTGGCATGATGAATCATATAGATACATTGATTGAATGGTTGAATGATCATTTGGTTTGGGCTCATTTTTTTTGAAAGCTTCCACAAGTTTGCCTTGGCGGGAACCATAAATTAGTGGAAATTTGTTTTGTTGTAAACTTGAAACAAGTTAAGAGGTGTTGCAGTAAAAAAATGATAAATAAGCATTCAAAATAATTCAAAGATTGTGATCAATTCAATAAAAGGTACTAAGCCACCTAAAAATTTGAAGACTAGGAAAAAATGATTGTGTTACGCTCAATCAGTTCCGCTGACAAAGTGGTCAAAGAAGCATCCCATCTCTGCATCAAACAAAAAACTACGAGCCTCAAATCTGTTACTCTCACTTTCTATCGCTTTGGAACAGCGAAAGAGCTTAGAGTTGAGCGGGATGGAAATATTATTGAATGTGATTTAAGGGAAGAACAAGATCAGTCGGAACAAGAATTTTCTCTCACTCTAAAAAGTGGTTTATTTTCTCTTCATTCGTCTTTTGTTATTTTCCATGATGAAAAGCGAATGTTAGAAGTTTGTTTAGAAAAGCCTTGGTTTCCATGGTGCAGTTCTTCGTATAGTTATCAGGATAGTTTGCACTTGTTAGTGAAAATATGTAATTCCAGCACCATCAAAATATCGAGACTGGATATTAGAAATATTTGGGAATTAATAGTGAGAGAACGATTGGGAATTAATTCTAGAGATTTTTATTATGATTGCATTCATAACTTGAAACTATGCATTGAATCAAAAACTGATCAAGAATACTATCTAAAAGAATCTGTCGATTATGCCTATTCAGAAGTTCTTGAGAAAAGAACAGGATATCCTTTAGAAAACTCTGGCTTGTATTCTCTAATTCAAGATGTTCAACATTTTGAATTGGCAAAGCCAGTATTTAAATACATCACTGGTTTTGAACTCACCCTTGATTTAGTAGAAATAATTACAGAAAGAAAACGAAGAAAAATTCAATGGCAAGATTTGTTGAATGAAATTTCTCTTTGTTATTGTGAAAACTCATCTGAATTGGATCCTCTATTTCAACATTTAAACTTTATAGCATCACAAAAGCAAGATGAAGGACACGGTTTGATTGATGTAGACTATCTAAATACTGCGTTATTGATACAGTATTTTAAAGAAAGTTGGAAATTATCACAGAAACAATTTTGTAATGTTTATAATATTGACATAGGTAATTTTAGTGCTTGGTTGAGAGGAAAACACGAAAGTCTATCGTCAGAAATGTCTGTAAAATTATTCTTAACAGACTCGAAAACAACACCAATTGTGTACAAACCCAAAGAAGATGTTAAGAAGTTTGTTATATCGAGTTTAGGAGAATTGCCTGAACATATTATGGAACTGAATGATATTGATTTGATACAACTGTGGAAATTGTCTTGGACTTCAACACAAAACGAGTTTTGTAAAATTTTTAATATTGACCCATGTAATTTTAGTGCTTGGTTGAGTGGAAAACGTAAAAGTTTAGCATCCAAATTGGCAATCCAATTATACCTCAAAGATTTTGCTCTACACCGCTATTAGTTAAAATTCCATTCAATCTGGTACAATAGTTTCCACAATCAGATGAAAGCTTACCTCTAAGTAGTAGTTCTCATTTGGCTGACCATTTTACTAACTCTAGAACACGATTTATCGACTCTATTTCAAATATTACTTCAGGTGGTGTATGTGATGGAGCCAAAGCTGAAGAAGCAGCTCTGACTATTCCCTATTCATTTACATCATTCCACAATGAGGAAGAATACATTGCTGATACATCCACCCACAGAATTAGAAATTCTCGAATTTGGAAATATCAGGAATAAAAATGTAGTAGAAAATCAATTAAATCGTTTTCATATTTTATATTGTAGTTTTCGAGAAACTATGACATAAATTTTTCGATGGAATTTTTTTACCAATCGATGAATGATCGAGATGGAAAATGATCGGTTGAATGGATGAAACATAGAATTTTATCAATTAATTGATCGATCAATCGATCGATCTATCAATGTTCTTCATTATATATCTCAAAATCCTCATTGAACTGAGCTTGAGACTTTGATTTTGATGATCTGATCTTTTGTTCTTCCAGTTCAGGTTTGATTTTATTCTTGATTTTTTTTTGTTTTTCAAATATTTTTTAGAGACACAGATTTCCTTCTCCCTTAATTGAATTATTTCACTTAGCTTCGAAATGGCTTCTCCAAATTGCTCCTTTTTTCATTTTGAATCAACCCTTGGTTGGATGTCAGTATAGAGTGCCTTGAAAATCACCTTATTGGTATTACTTAATTCCATATCAAGCTGGGATGGCATCAGGAACGATTCATTAAGTTTGAATGTGGTTTAATTTCTTTACAATGAATTCGACATTTTCAGAAATGCTGGGTTACAAATTAGATAGATTTGTTACTTACTGAATTACTAGTGGATCTTCCACTACATCAAACGAGTTTCCCAAGTACTTGACATGATAAAATACAACACTTGAAAAAAGGTTTCCATTATTGAGTGCCTTAATTAATGACAAAGGGCGAGAAAGAAAGCAAATTTGATAAGGTGTTCTTTGAACAAAACCACATGTTCAAGGGTGAGCACTTGGCATATTCTTGGAAAAGCGTTGGGAGCAACTTTCTGTCATTGAGCTCAGAAAGGATTATAAGAAATTCATATTTATTTTCAAATGCCACATGGGAGATTGGCTTGGATTGATTAGATGGATTTTAATATCTGATCATGATGATGGTTGGTTTCTGCGCAGTATTTTTCAACCGTTTTAGAAACTTCTGAACTATAACTTTCTTCATGAGTATCCATCCAAAACTGAATGGAAACATGAGCACCCACTATGAGAGAACTAACAAACTCCATTCCTTTGAGTTTAAACTGGTAGACAGAGAAAATAACCATGACTATCAATAAGCATACAGATAATGTAATGGCCAACAGCTTGACGAGGTTATCTATTGTGCACTCATACATTGCATGCATCATATTGTAATTCTTATTGCTCAACTTTTCCTCTGCTGTTACAAGCATTTTTATACTGATTTTATGAAAAAAGTAACCCTCAACGATAATCATTAGTAAGGGGATTACCAGAGGGTTAACTAGTTCCAATGAGTACAAAATATATGAATCCTCACATATTTCTCTAATTACAATTACAATGAAAAATCCAGATAAGGTGGAAGTGATTTGCGATTGGCGGATAAAGTCTTTAAAGACATTTAAAAAAGGATTTTCTTGATGATTATATGAATTCCATTCTGAATAAATTAGCCAACTAAAACAAGAAGCAATAATGATCACAATGGAGGAAGAGAAATCAATTCAATAGACTAATTTTTCACCAATCATATTTTCACTGTACCCGTAAAATTTTTTTGTTCTGGTGATCATGTAAATAACAATTGCAATCAAAAAAATAGCACCCATCATACACCTACATAAAAAATAAATTACTTCACTCCACTCTGTTAAACGCTCATTGGATGTGTAGTCCAAAATCAAACTCACCACAAGCTTTGCTAATACTATTCCACAAATGATGGGGATAATGGTTTCTGGAAAAAAATCTTCCATAAAAACAAACCATCCAACACAAAAACAGCCCACCCACAAAAACATGTTTTTTCCTGTGAAAGTGTTTTCGTTCAACTTGCTCACAAAAGGGATTTTCTGGCGTAGCGTTCTTGATATTAAAAACAAGACAACAACGGAAAAAGTGGAAAAGGAAGAGGTAGGTTTTTCATCTTGTTCTGTGGAAGAGGTAGTGGTTCTTTCTATTAAATTTGTTTCGTCTTGAGCCGCATCATCCTCACCATCATCCTCACCATGTTCATGTGTTTGTTGGACCTGTTGTTCATCTAGTTCAATGTCATCATTGTTTGTTGAAGGCGGCGTGGACTTCTCCCTCTGTAGGGGTTTTTTCTTGGTTTGTGGTTCTGGATTGGTATTTTTCTGAGTTTGTTTAGTTGTACCATAAATTTTCTTATTACAACATCCCATATAAATTGTTATTAAAACGGAAATGGAAAATTGAATCAAAATGATAATCGAGTAGGGGATGTAATTGAGCTGTTTAATGGTTGGATGTTCAATACTTTGCTCCTTCACTAAAAAGCATTCAAATCTTCTGTTGGAAATGGCATAGCAAATGAACAGTTCAGCCAAGGAAGTATCGAAACATCCTTTCACTTGTTGAATGACATCCAAATAATTTGATGTTCCACTCAAATTCATGTTAATCTTCTGATCAAAGTAGGATATATCAAAGAATGACAAAAAGACAGTGTGTTTTCTGACATGTAACATTTGGAGATTATCAACAATATTGAACAAGTATGTTTTGTTGCTCTTATTCTCTTGAACTGTTAGCTTCCCATACGTGTTCTTTTCATATCGCCAATTCTGAAGAGTGCAACCGCTGCTTTCCTGTGCCATAAAGATGACGATGAAAACAGTGAGCAATAGTTTTCCAAACATTTTTTTTTTAATGTGCAGTTTTTACAATTACAATTTATTTAACCAAACAAGCATGTGAGCTCTATATAAAGAAAGTTTACAAATACTATTTTTCAATTTTGTTCCTCACTCGGTGTAATAATATTTTAAAGAGTAGTGAACTCAGCAATTGCTGGTTGTTTGTATTCTCTTGGTGGCGGAAAGCACTTTGCATTACATCCACCTACTGAAATAGGTTTCGATGAAGATTTGAGTGCTACTCAATGGGAATTAGTTAAGTTACTTAACAGAAGAGAAGGTGTTATTGTATCGAGTATTAAGGATATTGAAGTTTTGAGTGCAATGTTACCAATGCATATTTCAAACGAGTCAGCCAAACTCAAGATTCGTTTGATGAATATTGACTATTTGACAATAAGCTGATTGATTTGCTTGAAAAGTTCCAAGATTAATTTGAAATATTCTGATATTCATTCAATGTTAAATCCAAGAAAAAGCAAAATCAACAAGCTCATCATTGATAAGTGTAATGCTATTGAATTTAAAGAAAAAGCAAGAGTTTGGGATAGAACATCTGCTAGAGAAATAGTGAAATGTTTCAAATCCCTTACCATCATTGACACCAATGACATGGTCGAGTTCTGTAAAAAGTGCAAAATCAATGGCTTGGAAAAATTACATATCATTGATCAACAAAATTTAACAAGTGTCAATCCCAATAACTATTCAAATTTGACAGATTTTGGTATTAACAAATTTTCATTCTACAAAAATCAAAGACCTCTAAAGAAACTCTTTCTCAACAGAATTGACGAGTTGGAGCTTTTTGAAGAATCGTCCAGTTTGTGCTCTTCCATCACTGTAAAATATCCACCATGGACAATTAGAGATACATCCAATCTGAAAGTTTCTGATTTGACCATTCTAAATGAGGAATGTAGTTTATCCTTAGATGAAATTATGAGAAAAATATCGGTTTTTGAACATGTTGTCATTCCAGAAACATTCATTAGATTAAACACTGGAACTTTGAGTGAAATCGCCAATCCAAAGCTTAGAAGAATCACAATTATGACCACACGTCAAAATAGAATTATTGTAAAGATTTTGAGAGCAAGATTAGAATGCATGTTTCCGAATGCATGTATTTTCATTAAGGAAATGAAAGAAAAAATTATTAATGAGCCATCTAAACAATTTGGTACCTTTAAATGGGAAGATGAGAAACTTGGAATAATATTCGAAAGATTATTAAGAAGAATTGATTCCGTTTCTAATCAATGCATTTATTTGAGAGAAGAAGCTTCCAAAACATTTATTCAACAAATTAACGAATCAATGAAGAAACTTGGTCAGTTGTTTGAAGACAGAAATAGTACTGATAGAAATGTAGCTAAAGAATTAATGATATTCGAAACTGAGACCTACATCCTTGAAGGTTTGAAAGCCAACATTGAATTTGCATTACAAAATGTCAAACATGCCATTGAAATCTACCAAGAACTCATTGGAAAAGACGAAACCATATCAAGAGTCATTTCCCAATACCAAGAAACTCTAAACTCTTCTGTCAGCGGTCAATTCCTCAATCAAAATCTCAAACTTTTGGAAGAAAGCTTTGATACAATGAAGAACCACTTTGAAATGAAAGGTTTCAGCCACAAATTGCTCTTCAAGAATTTGTGGCAAGCAGATGACGTTGTCGAGTTCTACAGAGATGAAGATTTTGATATTGAAGATGAAGAAGAATTGATTCTCGATGAGGAGGATAATATCATATTTGATCAGGAGGAGCTTTCTGATTTTAATGATGAAGAATATAAAGTTGTAATACTTTTCAATTTTTCATTTCTTTGTGTTCTGTGGTGTAAAAATCATTCAATTTTGAATTTGAAGCATTAAAAAAAATAGCTCTTCAACTTGTGTGCACACAATTATTCACAATTTCGGAGGAGTTTGCAGTACTTTTTGAAAATCACAACATGATCAACAACAATAGAAAAGAAAAGATTGATCATCTATTACGAAATTATGACAATATTCGAAATATTAGTATCATTGCTCATGTGGATCATGGTAAATCAACCCTAACTCGGAAATTGATTGAAGAAAATAAGTTTGCAGATGATTTGGAAGCAAATCATGATGAAATTGAGAATAATTTATCAAATGATTATAGTTTGATTTATGAAAATCCAACCAAAAAAGATGATCTTCATTTGGTCAACTTGATTGATTGTCCTGCTTTTATGAATTATCAAACGGTCAGTGCAATGAATATTAGTGATGGAACTATCATTGTTGTAGATGCAGTTGAGGGTCATAGTCCAACACAAACATTGGTTAGACAAGTTGCACAAGAAAGAGTAAAACCTATTCTTTTCATTAACAAGATTGACCGTCTCATTAATGAGTTACAATTGACTGAGGAGGAAAGCTATCGAATTATTGTTAGAATTATAGAGTCTGTTAATGTCACTCTTTCTGCATATTCCAATGAAGAATCGAATAGTTATCTTCTTGATCCAGTTGATTGTAATGTTGTGTTTGGTTCTGCTAGGATGGGTTGGGCTTTCAATCTCAATAACTTTGCTCAATTCTACAGTTCAAAATTTAACATTTCAAGAGAAAAGTTAATCAAAAAGTTGTGGGGAGATTATTACTATGACAGGTCAATTAAAAAGTTCACAAGACAACCCTATTCGTCCACAACAGGTCAACAATTGAACCATACTTTCTCTGAATTTATATTGGCACCAATTTTTAAGATTTTCAATCTTGCTCGAGCCCACATTCCCTCTGATCAAGGCATGTTATCAGTTGGATTTGAACAAACTCTAGATACACTATTAATCCACCTTTCTCGAGAGGAAAAGAAAGGAAATTCGAAACAGCTCATCGAGGTCATTATGAAAAAGTTTCTTCCTCTTCGGAAATCACTCATTCAAATGATTATTGATCATTTGCCTTCTCCCAAGGAAGCTCAAAAAACCAAATATGATATTCTCTACACTGGTGAAGACTTGACAGATCCGTATGCAACTGGAATCAAGGAATGTGATCCATATGGACCATTGGTTGTGTATGTGAGTAAGATGTTACCACCAAAATGCACATACAGTGGTGATTCAATTGCTTTGGCTCGTGTCTTTTCAGGTTCTTTCTCTCAATCGACAACAATTAGAATATTGGGCCCCAACTTTAAAACCAAGAAGGATGTTTTTCATACAAGTGCTGCAAGATTATTATTGCTATCTGGTACAAACATTGAGTGTATTGATAGAGCGTATTGTGGCTCAATAATTGGTATTGTTGGTTTGGATAAGTATTTTATCAAATCGTGCACATTCACAGAAGAAGGTGGAGTTGCATGTATGCCAATTAAGGGTATAAGACAATATATGAGTCCTATTGTTTCGATGAGTGTTGAGCCAACCAACCCTTCAGATTTGCCAAATTTTGTTGAGCGTTTGAAACAACTCATACAGAGCAATGTTAATTTATCATGCAAGTTCAATGATTCAGGACAATGTGTTCTAGGTGCAGAAAGTGAATACCATTTAGAAACGTGTCATTTGCAAGAATTCACAAAGGATATTCAGATCAAAAAATCACCGTATTTCGTTAATTTTCATGAAACTGTTTCTAGTTATCCTAGTGAAGAAATGCTAATGAGGAAAAGTCCCAACAAACACAACCGTCTATACATGCAAGCGGAACCTATTAGTGAAGACTTGATAGAATTAATAAGTGGAGATCAATTTCCAATGGATGAACAAGAAAAGATAGCTGAAATTATGGAAAATGATTTTGGATGGGACAAGACTATTTCAAAGAATATATGGAGTTTCGGCCCAGATACACACTCTAGAACCAACATACTCGTCAATGCATCCAAATCAACTAGCTATCTTAATGAAATTCAGCAATATGTAACGATAGGTTTTCAAATAAGTACTGCTTCGGGTGGTTTGTGTGATGAGGTCATGAGAGGTGTTCTTTTCAAATTACATGATTGTCATTTGCACGCCGATTCCATTCACAGAGGAGCAGGTCAATTGGTTGGAGTTAGCGCTAAACTCATGCTCGCTAGTCAACTGAGAGCTGAACCAAAATTAGTAGAACCAATGTATCATTTTGAGGTTCAATCCAATGAATCATTCACAAGTTCAGTTTACAGAGATATTTTTAACAGAAGAGGTAATATAATTAACACAACAATAATTAATCCATCTCCCCTTGTGGTCATTTCTGGTTACCTCCCTGTGATTGAAAGTTTTGGATGGGACGAGAAACTGAGAGAAGAATCTCAAAATCAAACATTTTCTCAATTTAGATTCAGTCATTGGCAAGTTATGCAAGATGATGTTTACAATCCTCAATCTAAAGCAAACCAACTCATCAAAGATGTTAGAATAAGAAAGGGCTTGAAGGAAGAAATTCCTCTCTACACTGATTATTGTGATAAATTGTAATTGAATAGTAATAAAACTGCAACTTGGACATTATTCGAAAGATACCATTTAATCAATGATTATTTGAAGCCCAAAATGATTAACCTTTAATAGTCCTCAATCAATCGATGCAAAACATCTCTAATATTACTATTATCACGTTCTTCATCATCTACTTCAATCTCGTCCACTTCTGCTTCTGTCTGGTGCATTTCAATTCCTGATTTAGAACATTCATAAATCATATCATTTTCAAAATCTTCACATTCATCATGTTCACATTCAGCAATTTGACTCACTTGACAAAATTCTTGTAATTCATCAAATAATTTTTGAGCAATTGGATTTGAATCTACTGAATTGGTGTCAAGCTTTTCTTTATGAACAGCCCTTCTTACAATCGAGAAAATCTTTTCATTCTTGTGTGAAACTTGAAGGTTTACAAAAGTCCATTTTCCATGATATTCGTCAGTGTTAAATTTTTCACAGCCATGAACTTCATCTAGAATAGTATAGAAATAATCTTCATTGTGACCCTCAGTATTGACTTTCAAACTTTCATAATCTGTTTTCTTTTCAAATGATTGTTTTTCAATAGCCTCCAAAAGATTAGTCCACTTTCTTTCAACCTTACTTTCGAATGGTCTAATACGAGTATAAAATCCATCAGCACAATGAACCTTCGATCTCATGACCTTCATTTCAGCCTCTGCACTGAATGAAACCTTAAATTTCAGCATGAATTCATCAGTATTTCCTCCAGGTGAACGACTATAGAATAAAATTTCTCACACGTTAATTTCAAACTAAACCTACAAGAATGTCTTGTAATAAATCAATAAATCCAATCCTCCTTTTAATACCTCATCGTGTGCCCATCTCGGAACCTTCCATCCCATTCCTTGTGCTCTCATCAGAGACAATCGTGGATCCACTTCCAAACCTCTGAAAAAGGAAATTTTATCATTCGCTCTTTCCATAATTAATTCACACTGTTTCTTGATGGATTTGTTACATAGTGAGAGATTGTTAAAAGTTCTTGATGTGTCCACAAAGGAAATTATCACTCCCATCTCATCTGTTGAAACAATCACTGAAGAATCGAGCTTTTGGCGTTTTGACATTTTTTTTAATTGGTTCTTTCGGTCAATAGGGGAATATTACAATCAAAAACATGTTCAAATACATGTATCAACAAATCATGATGACATATTCATTTGTTGTACTGAGTCTTTTTAAATTCAATCCAATCTTGTTCCAAGAAATCAAATGGTCTTTCTTTGATTTTAACCACATACTTTCCCTCTAAAAGTTTTGCTGATTCCACAAGAGGATGCTCTTTCAATAACTTTCCAATCAATTCACGAAGCACACCAGAGGTTCCATTCTCATTCACATGATTTCCTTTACCAGTTATTATACTGAACTCTCTGTCTCTGTATTCATATCGTTCTTGAATGAGTTCGAGTACTCTTGTTTTTGCCTCCTCGACTGACATTTTGTGGAGATCAATAGTTTTCTTTCTATTGTTTTCAAAGCAATAGTAAACTCTATTTTCTGTTGTCTCAATAATTGTGGCACTTGGGTAGATGTTAAATGCATTGTAGTAATTTACAATACCTCTCTTGACTGTAAAATCACTGTCAAATGAAAAGACAAACACAACGTAGGGTTGATGGGTATTTTCCAACTTGTTATTGATATATTTCTCAACATCTTGAGAAAAACTTTCCGAGTTGGCTAGTGAGCTTTCCACTTTATATGGAAAAACACGAATCATATCCTTGAAACCATGTTTACCATTTAATAAATGATCCCTTGTCAATCCAACTCTAGCAATCAAATTATAAAATGTTGATGGGCAAATATTTTCTTCACTCATTTCTCCTTTAAAGAAATGAAAATCTAATTTTCTTGCTTCCATTTCTTTCATGGTGTAATTTGATAATTTAATGTACGAGGTCAAGAAATTGTTTCGTCCAGTACCAAACGCAAAGGGATAACGTAACTGCTTGAAATACTCTTCATTCCATTCACAGTATTTGGTAATAGCACTGTCGTCCTCCTCTGTGTAAGATTCACATTTCGAACTTTTAAGGTTAAACTCAATTTCTCTTTCAATTATTGAACTATCCTTGCAAGTTTCATCAATTAAATAATCCAAATAGGGCCAAATTTGTTTCCAATTATAATTCAATTTGATTTTCTTAGCTTTAGCTTTCAAACCAACCAATTTGTCTATTCTTGCTCCAATCTCTGCCACTTTCTTCGAATTGTTAATCCGTTGATTAACATTCAAAGCATAACACAAACACTCAATCGACGGATTCAATACCAAATTCATAACTTGTGCAGCCTTCTCCAAATTTCCATTCTTTATCAATTCTTGAACATTTTCAAAAGAATATTCTGGAATATATTCATAAGAAAATAATGATCGATCTATCTTGGGAAGAGAATATGCAACACTATCTTGTCTCCCATCTTTCTTTACCGAATCCTTCTTTAATTTTTGATCTTTTTCAGACAAAGTTTCTTGTTTGTTCTCTGAAATTGATTTTTGATCTCTTTGTGCAGATTTTGGTCTTTCAGATTGTGATGATTTGCTTTCTTGTTTGTTTTGACTTGTTTTTTGATGATCAATTTGTGCAGATTTTGGTCTTTTTTCTTGTTTTGTTTTTTCCTGTTTCTGATTATTATTATTGCTAGTATTACCACCATTGCCCTTAGGCTTTTTTATTATTTGCTTTTTCATGATCTTTTGATGGTTGTGGAGTAGAGGCAGCATCGGAAGGTGTTGATGATGGTTTGTTTTTGTTTACTTTTTGATTGTTATTATTATTATTGTTATATTAGAATTGGATTTATTGTTGGATCGTGGTTGTAATTCCAATGATGCTGGCTCTGAATTATTGTTAGAATTCTTCTTCTTATTCTTTTGGTGTGTTTCTGTTGTTGGTTGACTTGAAATCATTTTTTAATTTTTAAAAAAATGAAAAAAGCATTTGGTGTGTATGGTGTTTTGGCAATTTTGCTCATCGTTTCGATCGTTTCATGTGTTGGTTATTTGCTATTTACGATTTGTAGTTCGATTTTCAAAAAGTGAAATCTTAAAATCGAAAACAAAAAGACTACAGCACCACAGGTTCCCAAGTTGTCTCCAACCTCAGTACTGATGTGGCTCGACGATGCTTAACTTCTCAAATCGGACGGGATGAGGTGCATTCATCGTGATATGGCCGTAGCCGACAATAATCCCAAAATGTGAAATATTAATCAAATATTTAATTGAACACTTGGAAGAATTCGGTAAATAAATGAAGGCTCAAAATTATACTTTAGTGTTTTGTTTATTCATTGCCTCATTTTCCATTCCAATCAGACTAAACTCCATGTAATCTTCGTTTTCTAATTTTTAGTTTGAGAGAAATAATGCATCTCTTAATTCCTTTGTAAACTTCTGAAAAAATCACGAGTAATAATCCTGCAAATAATACAAATACCCAATCTATTGGGTTGTTAAGTGGAACTTGGTGAAAAATATTAGAATTTACCCAAGGAATATATAATGTTGCAATGGTTGAAACCAATCCTAAAAAGACAAATAAATGTAACACCCAACACTCATAGAAACCATCCTCAAAGAATGGCTTCCTCAAATGTCTACATGTGTATGCATGGAGTAGCAACAGGCAAGTGGCTGTAACGAAGGTAAGTGATTGAGCCTCAATCAAAGGTCTTCCCCAAACCATTGTTGCCAATAAAAAGTTAGCCATTCCAAGCATTCCCATAACTATCCCATAGGCTAGAATATCAGATATGGTTTCGAATGTGAACATACCACTATTGAATCCAGGAGCCATTATATCATTTCTTACCTTTTCTTTTCCCAATCCAAATGATGGTCCTGTTCCAGTAACCAAGTTAAGCCATAGAATTTGAATGGAATTGAGAGGAACCTGCAATCCAGACAAGGCAGTAACTACCAATAATATAGTTTGTGATACGTTACCAGATAACAAGTGGATTGTAAACTTTCTGATAGATTCAAACATGTGTCTTCCTTCTTTAATTGCAATAACTATAGTTGAAAAGTCATCGTCAGTTAGAACGATATCAGCCACTTCCTTGGTCACATCACTACCTGTAATTCCCATTGCAATTCCAACATCAGCTGCCTTAATAGAGGAACAATCATTCACACCATCACCTGTCATGGCTACATATTTCTTCCTGGCGTGGAGAGCTTCAATCATTCTTTCCTTAGTGCCTGGTGTACATCTCGAAATTACTCTGGGTAAATCTGGTAATAATCTCAGTTCGTGATCTGACATACTATCAAATGTACTTGCGTTCATGACAAGATCTTCGTCATCGGCTTCAATGACTCCACATTCGTGTGCTATTGCTTTGGCTGTTATTTTGTGATCACCAGTTATTACTCTCACAGTCAAATTAGCATGTTGACAAAGTTTGATTGCCTCATGTACACCACCTCGAGGTGGATCTTGAATTCCAACCAAACCTACAAAGGTCAATTGGCGTTCTGCATCTTCTCTTTGAGTAATTGTTTCGAAACTTGCATTTTGACGAAAAGCAAGAGAAAGAACTCTCAACCCCTTCATAGCCATTCCCTCTGCTTGGTATTTAATCTTTTCTGCATCCTGTTCAGATATTTCCGATAATATGGAAATGTTATCACTATTTGAGCACATGTAACTGCAGAGTGGTAATGTTTGCTCTAGAGCACCCTTAGTTAATATAAATTCATGACCATTCTTCTTGTAAAGAACTGTCATTCTTTTCAGGGTGCTGTCGAATGGGAATTCTTCATGAAATGTGAATGAGCTGTCTTGAATTAGCTTTTCCTTAGAGAGTCCATAACATGTCGAAAGAGATAGGAGAGCTATTTCTGTTGGATCACCAACAAATTCTTCTTCTGTAGCTTTCTTATTTTGATTTGGATTGGGTTTCTCTTGATTCTCCTTCTCATTTGTCTTGACTATATTTGCACCATTACACAAGGAGGAAATGGTGAGGAAAATGGTTAGTAATTGATTTGAGTCGATATTTACCACTACTCCTCTATCATTGATCAATTCAGTAACTGATCTTTGAGGTTCATGATTGGCAGATGGTGGGGAGACAGTTTTCACAACACTCAACTCTGATTCATCGCTCAAATACACTTCTCGAACACTCATCTTTCCCTCAGTGAGTGTTCCTGTTTTGTCAGTACAAATATCTGTAATATTACCCAGTGACTCAATAGCATCGAGTCTTCTAACGATAGCATTGTTCTTGGCCATCTTTAAAACTCCCATTGTCATTGTCAATGTAAGAACAGGAGCCAATCCTTCAGGAATTACTGCAACAGCTGTTGAAACACCAATCTTCAATCCATCTGGAATGATTGGAATTGTTCCATGAATATAAACACCCAATAAAACCAGTCCAGTACAAATTAATCCAGCAAATACCAACACGATACCTAGTAAACCCATTCTCTTTTGTAATCTTGATCCACTAGGAGCAAAAAATTTCACAATAGCATTCTTGAACTTGCTGTCATTGGACTTATTAAGAGATTGAGCAATAGCACCCAATTCTGTATTCATTCCAGTGCAAGTAACAATTGCTTTTCCTTTACCTTTTGTAATCACTGTGCCTCCAAAAACCATATTAAATCTATCACCCAATACATTGTAATCCTTCTTTCTTCGTGCAAAAGAGAATCTACTGGTGGTAGTATTCGATTGATTTGTTAATGTTGAAGGTCTAACATCAAATGATTGGGATCCGACAGGAAGTGGTTTAGGAACAATGGTTTGTGGATTTTTCTTAATAGGTTCTGACTCTCCTGTCAGAATAGATTCTAGACATGATAATTGTGCTGAATAGACAACTCTGCAATCAGCAGGAATGTGATCTCCCTCATTAAGCTCTATTAAATCTCCAACAGCTAGAAATTTTGATTTGATTTCTACAACTCTTCCATCTCTAATGACTGTGGAAGTTGTTTCCTGAAGTGATTTCAATTTTTGCATGGAATTCTCAGATCTAAACTCTTGAACAAAACCAATTACAACATTTACAAGAATAATAAAACCAATAACAGCTCCATCAATCCACTCTTGAACTGCAAATGCAATAACTAACGCAGCAAGCAGAACAATATTCATAAAACCAAAAGTATGTCTCAATAGAATTTTCCAAATCTTTACACCTCCTGTTTTTTTCAATTCATTCAAACCAAGTTTGTCTAGTCTTTGTTTAGCCTCATCTTCAGTCAATCCACGTTCAATGTTAGTTTTCAATTGACTGGCAACTTGATCAATCGAAAGTAAATGGGCATCTTTCAATTGACTTATTTCTCTGTCCTCCTGATGGATATCAATATTTACAAAATCAGAAGCGCCTGAACTAGCAGCGAATTGATTGGTTGATGTGTAATTACAACTAATATTTCCCTTTGACTGACGATTGTTAAAATCATTTTGATCAGAAACTGTAATACTCATTAAATGTTTTGATTTTTTTCTCTATTTGGGTTGTCATAGGCATGGTTTATCCAACTCTTTTGAAACTGAGTATACTTCTATAAATGTATAATTTCCAAAAGAATTTTATGCTTGAGTTGTTGGTATTTAACTCCTCTTAAGTTGAATTATCATCATCAGCAACATGATTAAAAATCAAAATTGAAATTAATATTTAAAAAGCTTTTTCCAATAAACAAGTCATGCGATTCTCGTTCCTTGATGAATTGATTGTGGCACAAACTATTATTAACTTTTGACCAAATTGAATTTGAAGCAATCTTGTTCTGATGGTGAATTATTAATAATTTAATAGTTGAAGGCTTCGTGATAATAATAAATTTTTGATCCCGCCTTTTCTTTGAGTTTGTTCTCTCTTGTTGTTCCTTTCATTAGCCTTTTTGTTTGCCTTTATCTTGTTCAGCTCGAGTTTTATTGTGTGAGTGAGCATCCGTCAATTCCTTTACAAACAACAAAAAAATATTTTGTTCGTCGTCTTTAAATACGCTCTCTATTACATTTAGGACTTTTTGATAGTATTTTGAGAAACTCTCTACTGTCCTTTTGATCTGACTTGCTTCTGTTTTTAAAAACAACATCAACACTTAACAACAACAACACTTTCGTAGTAAACAACAACAACAACACTACATTTTTCATAACAATAATAATAATACATTTAGTAATTTAAAATATAAATAATATACAAAACTATAAAACACTATGAGTGATTATTCAAGCGACGAAGATACAACTTGTCCAATTTGCTGCGAAGACTTGGACATTACAGACAAACATTTCCAACCTTGTCCGTGTGGATTTAAAATCTGCTCTTGGTGTTGGAACAAGATCGACAATACAAGCAAACGTTGCCCAAATTGTAGAAGAGAATACGAGAAATCAAACATTGAATTTACTCCTCCAGATCCAGAATTAATTCAACAAGAAAAGAAGCAAAAGGAGAAGAAGAAAAAACCACACATTAACAGAAAACAACTCGCAAATGTTAGGGTTATACAGCGTAATTTGGTCTATGTGGTTGGACTAACTCTGGTTGTTGCTAAACATGATTGGTTAAAACATCAAGACAATTTCGGAAAGTATGGTAAAATCAAAAAAGTAGTAATCAACAAGAGTAATTTACATAATTCAACACATATTGCTTCTAATAGAACTCCTACAGTGAGTGCATATATTACCTATGTTAGAAAGGAGGATGCCTATAAAGCTATTAGGGCTGTTGACAAAACTTACTTGGACGCTAAACAATTACGAGCATCTTTTGGTACAACAAAATATTGTGCATACTTTTTAAAGGGTATTCCTTGTACGAATCCTGACTGTATGTATCTACACGAATATGGGAACGATGAAGATACTTTTAATAAGGATGAAATTGTTCTGAGGAATGGTTTGCCAGTTCCACACAATTTAGAGAAAATGTCTCAGTTTTATCCACCTGATGATGATTCACAACCGATAGATAAACATTTCTGGAAGTATCAAAACTCTAACAAGGAGCCTGAGGGTGATGAATCTAATGAGGATGATGATTTGTCTGCTGGGGGAGCAAATAGCCGTTCTAATCCACTTCGTCATTATGATATCATGGACGACGACGATGATAATCTATTAGAAGAGGACTTACAAGATGATGACTATGCTGATGACTCCATAGGAAATACAAGACCAAGAACAAGTTCTTCCAGTAGGAGCAGACATGAATATGATCATCATAGCATTGATGATTATTATTATGGAGGTGATGATGATGGTGAAGAAGAGGAAGAAGATGATGAAGTACAAACAGAATATGCTGATTTAACAACAAAAGTGTTAGATAATAGCAAAGAATCGATACTTCCTAAAACAGCAAGATGGGGACAACCTACTACTCCTATTGTAACTCCAGCTGTTACTTCTCCAATAATACCTGTAAATTTACCAACAAATATTACAAAGAGTAAGAAGAAGAATAAGATTAAAAACAAGAATAAGAATAAGAACAAGAACAAGAAATCAAAACAAAAAGAAACAGAAGCAACTGAGGCTTCCACAGAAACAACAGAAGCTTCAACTACAACAATAACAACTAATGATACTAATAATACAGAAGCTAACTCTTGCAGTAGTGGAAGATCTAGCACTGATCCAAGTGGTGAAGATTTAATATCAGAAAACCAAGAAAAGGTTGCAATCAGTGTTATTGATAATATAAATATCAATGAAGAGAGTACATTAGACCAAGTTGAATCTCAAATTTTAGAAACACATCCAACTTTGGAAATGCTTGGTCTTGAATCTGGACAACAACCTATTTCGAGTGATAGATCTGCTTTACTTGCATTGGTTGACTCGAAACCAACAACAAATGGATTTAATGGTTTTGGAATGGATCAAACACAACAAGGAACACAAAATTCATTCACTGCTCCACAAAATTATCAACAAGTGCAAAACCAATATTATGGATATCCACAACAAGTTCAGCAGCTGTTTGCTACCTTCCAATATGATCCTTACTACCAATATTATGGAGATGCTTGGTCAAATGGTAATCAAAACGTTGATACAAAGAGAACATCATCTAGATTCTTTGGAGGCAATCCATCTTCTGATGCACCACCTCAACAACAACAACAACCATCTCAACAATCTCAACCTCAACAAATGCCACATCACTACCCTTATGGAGGACATGGTATGGATTGGAATATGCAATCAGTACCTTATTTATCTGGATCAGGATCTGGTCAACAAACAAGTAGATTCTTTGGAGGTTCATCTAATGGACAAGGTAACGAACAAATGTTTAATAATGCTGATCTTCAAAACAGCTTTAGAGCTTTACTCCCTAATGTAAATATTACATTTGCCAAAAACGAAGGACAACAAAATAATGTTGATTGGGGAATGAACGCAACTGAAACTGAACCAAACCACCAACAAAAACAAGTAGATCCTTATGGTGTGAATCAACAACAACAACAAGCATATTCTGGTTTCTTTACTCAACAAAATAGATATCCACAACAAACACAAAATTCATGGAGTTGGAAATAAAGTTCTCGAAATTATTGTACAATTAATCTTATTGAATATTGTTATTTTTGTACAATATTATTTGAATTACCCTTGTAAGGCTAAAATAATAGCTATATTGATTTATGTCAGTATACATTTCATTAACCGCGCTAATTAATAACGGTCGTAGGTATATTTAAAAAATCAAAACAAAAAAATGGCATCTAAGGCATCTTCTGGTGGCAGACCTGATGGAGGAGTTAGTTTTCTCAGTAGGCATTGGAAAGAAGCAATAGAAAAGGAGTCAAGTATGTTATTTTGATATCATCAAATCATCATCATGATCTAACAAACTTTTAGCAATAAGGAAACAATGGAATCAAAAATACTATCCAGAAAAAGTACAAGAAGAAAAGGAAAAACTTCATCAATCTATAAAAGCAGCTGCGGAAAAGGAAAAGATAAAAAATACTATTGCAAATCACCCTCAAAGAAAATTAATTTATGAGGGAGTATCAAAAGAAGGAGGAGGTAGAATGAGTTACCTGAAATCAAGAAAAGAGGAATCCCCAACCAAGAAATATAACTTTCCAGTTTCTTCTAGCCAAACCATTGGATGGTTGGTTGAGAAAAACTTTTTAGAAGGAAAAAGATCAAGCGATGCCCAACTGACAACAGGAAAAAAGGCTCAAACTAAAACATTTTATAGAAGAGATGGAGTGGGTTTCACGGATTAAACATGATCATATAACAACTATATCTAAATCGAAATGACATTATATTGTAAATAAATTATTTGCCAATGCAAAATTCTTTGAAAACCACATCTAGAATCTGTTCGAAATCAACATCTCCTGTCACTTCACAAAGACTTTTGTGAGCTTGTCGAATATGTTCAGCTGCCAACTCAATTTGCTTATTATCCTCAAGTGCCTTATTGAGGAATAAAAGAGTTTTGGTGAAGGAAATTCTGTGCCTTTCTCTGGTAATTAAAAGAGCATGTTCAGCTTGTTGAGATCCAACATCCTTAGTGAAGAATTGTTCATCATTTCCAGTAAATATATTTTCCACTGTTGTTCCAATACGTTCTATCAGTTTATCGACTCCTTCTTTTGTAATGCAAGAGACTGCAAATGTTGGAATATCTTTTCCACTTGCTGTATTAATAGGTCCAATGAAATCTACATTGTCACGTGAATCAATCTTGTTAAAGATGGCGAATATTTTCTTTTGTTCCAATATTTGATGATTGTTTTCAGAGAGCCGTTCAAGGCAGGAGTCTAACATTTGATTGGCAGATGCAAGACTATCGGATGAATCAATGACAATCAAAATAATATCGGCTTCCTTAGCTTTTTGAATAGCTCTTTTCATTCCTTCAATTTCTATCAAGTAGTGTTTACCTAGTTCTGTTTCAGATGAAATATCATTCTTTTGATCTCTTAAACCTGCAGTATCAGCAACTGTGACAGGCCAACCTTTAAGATTGAGTTGAACTTCCACAACATCTCTTGTTGTGCCTGCTTGGTCGCTAACAATAGCAATATCCTTTTCGGCCAAAATATTTAACAAGGAAGACTTTCCGGCATTTGGAGCACCCAAGAGGGCACAACGAATTCCATTTCCTTCTCTTAATCTTTCACCAAGTCTATTCTTTGAAATTTCCAAATAGTATTCTAATTCTGATGCCAACTTTTTAACTGAAGGCATAATTCGCTCTCTATATACAACCGACTCTTCCAATCCGTTATCGTCTCCAAAATCAATAAATGCTGTTACATGTGCTACACAATGAAGCATTTCTCTTTTCCAGTTCGTCACAATATGGCTTAATTCACCATTAATTTGTTTCAGAGCTTGGATTCTTTGATGCTCTGTTTGTGCATGTAAAAGATCACTTAAACCTTCCACTTCTGTTAAATCCATTTTCCTATTTAAAAATGCTCGTTTGGTAAATTCTCCTGGGTCAGCAGGTCTATATCCAACAATTTCACTTCCCAAAGCTTTCATTAATTGACTAACAACAGCCTTACTTCCGTGACAATGAATTTCAATTATATCCTCTCCAGAAAAACTATTTGGCCCTTTAAAATACAATAGTAGCACCTTATCTATTGGAATATTGATATTGTTTGGATCGTGAAGGGAACAATAATAGGCCTTTCTGGATTCAATTTTTTCTGGATTTAATTTTGTCATTTTAGTGACAACATTCATTGCTTTGGCTCCACTCACTCTAATCACAGAAACAGCACAACTCGATGTAAATCCACTCGCCATTGCATAAATCGTATCATTATGAATATTATTTAAATTTTCCTCTTCCTCCTTCTTTTCAATCTTGTTAATTCCCTTTCTAATATTTCCAATATTAAAACTAGTTTTAAATTTTGGTGCCCTGATACCTCCTCCTACAAGACTTTGATAATTTCTTATATTATAATTATTAATAATCAATGAATCCATCATTATAGATCCCTTCCGAAAATTATTTATTCTACAATTATTATTACTCATCAACAAGTCTCGGAGAAGAAGAACATGAGAAGAAGAACAAGCCTTCCCAACAATTTGAATATTTTGTGTAGCCTTTGTGAAGCCTATCAAAGTTGTCTTGTGCATTTTTTTTCCCTCCTTTTTTATCTGTTTTTGTACGGAATGATTTTTTTAAATCACATTAAAAAAGAAGCAACCCAAAGGCTTGCTACTATTGCTCTGTTGTTGGATTTTGTATGAGAAGGGAAATTCGGAAGTAAAATGATTGATATTAAACAATTGGTGGAAGATCAATCGATAAGTGCCTGTTGTTATGGAAGGTTTTTTAAGGATGATGCAGAGTATGCTCTCGAGTCGAAGGTTTGTGTTTATCGGAGAATGATGACTATTTAATTGAATTATTTAAAATTATTTAGGGAAACAAATTGCACTTTTTCAAGTATTGTAAAGAGGAGGATTCATTTGAAAACAAAACAATACAATTCGACAAGATTGAAAAGAAAGTGATTAAATTAATGACTGTGCAATTTATGAATGAGATGTTGGATCATATTTTATTGATTGATTATGAGTTGAATTGGTTTTTGATTAGGATTGAGATGGATCAGTTGATAATTGTGATTGAGGAAGGATCACTGTGTCTATTGAACTATGCTTCAGATAAAAAAAGTGCTACTGATTTGGAAAAGAAGTTGGAAGATTCAAGTGTGAGTAGTTCAATACTATTCAATTCTTATTTTATTAGAGGACAGTATTTCCAATTGGAAGATGTAGGAAAATGAGAAATTTTAGTGAAATAGTTCTCTCATTATACAATCAATATTTGTATTACTTTAGGCTTGTATATAATCAGAAATCAACAATTTCAGTGGAAAGCAAAGTATTTGAAATAAGACCACAGTCCTCTTTGAATACCAAATCACTATTTAAAATTATGGATATGGGATTTCTAAAAGGAAGTCTTTCAGAGACAAATGTTGAATTGGCTGTTTTACTGCAAGAGTATGTTGGCGACTATGACGATTCAAATTACTCATTGCCTGCCATTCCTCACACATTTTTAACAAGTTTCGTTTTGGATGTTACAACTAAGGTTGAAACGGGACAGGTAGAAACATCGAGAGTATTCAGTTCCAGTGCTTTTTTAAAAGCATCGATAGGGCCTTTTTCTGTTTTCAACATTCATCCAACCACAACATGTCTAGAGTCAGGTAATGTGAGTAATTTAGATTAATTGATTAGCTTATTGCTTTTTAAGTTTGGAGTTTTGTGTTTCAGTTCTTGCAGCATTGTGTACTATTCCAAAACCGGTATTGTCAAAGAACATCCTTTAAAATTGGGCAATTTCAACAGTTTATTATGTCCATGTCATGTAGTATGCATTAAGGAAGAAAGAAAGAAGATTAGATCAGCCAGATATCTCACAACAAAGAAGTTTTTGTGTCAGTATTCTGACGGAAGTTTCCATATTGTCAAGTTGTCATTGGAAAATTCATTAGGAGAATCAGCGAACAATATAACTATTGAACATAGTCCCTCATCGTTGGTAAAGCAAAATGTTGGAGATTTTCTTTTATTTACTCATTCTTCGAGTTATTCACAATTATTCATCAGCTCTCCATTTGAAAATACCCAAACAAAATGGATTGATATTGCGGAGAAGAATTCAAACATAAATGGTATAGAATTGAACTTGAGAAACTATTATGATAGTGTTGGGAGTAGTATTGATGAGGAGCAATTACCATGCTTGGGAAGTATCACTCATGGGTACTTGCATAGTTTTAATATGACCAGAGATTCAAGACTGGTTTGCACTTCATTCTCAGGGTCTTTCAATCAATATACACAACATATTAAGGGTGCTGCTAGATTTAGTGTTTGTCAATCAGGAAGTAGACTTGTGCCTTTCATGCCACTTTGTGAAAACTCAATCATTGAAGGATCTTCCGATCTGTTTGTGTAAGTAATCCTCAAACAGTAATTATTAACTCAATAATTAACAGTCTAACGTTAAAGGAAAACTCATTGGTACTGTTTTCACAGGACCATGGGACCAGCTTATTTTCAACTTTTGATATGGCTCCTATTGAAATACCTTCTTTGGATTGTAAAAAAAAGAAAATACTTGCTATCAGAGAGTTCAAGAAAACTCCAACATCCTCACTCTTTGAAATGGTAACAGAGGTAGATATTGGTTTATTTGAGATACAATATTCGAACTTTGCTACGTCATGCGTTTACTTATTTAAAAATGACGGAGAAAAGTTTATGTGTGCAGAAATTGAGTCGAATGGAACAGTAAGTATTAAGATTAATGCTTGAAATTTAATTCAATTGTAGGTGTTCATTTCGAGAAAAAATCAAATGATACAGTTTGAGCTCAAGAATAGACCATTATCACTGGAAAAGGTGTCTACTAATAGTTTCGAGAATCAAGTTTCCTGCTTCTCAATATTTGACTTTAAGGGCAAGAAATATGCTATTGTATCTTTTTGGATTGTTAATTCAGTTTATATTGTTGAGGTTTCCACCTGGCAGATTGTGTCAGAAAAAAAGCTGGATGATACCATTAGATCATGCATCAGCTATGAAATTGATGGACAATGTGTTGCAGTGCTGGGTTTATCAAAAGGGAAATGTGTTATTACACCAATCCTTGGAAGTTCAGCTGAAGAGGAAGAAATATTTGTTGGAGAATCATTTGTAAATTTGAAGAAGATCAAAACAGAGAAAGGAGAGGAAGCTGTGTATTGCAGCAGTAATAGAGACATTCTAATTGTGGCTGAGGAATCAACGATGGATAAGAGAAGGATTTTGAAAACTGTATTTACTCACGAAAATGAAAAGAAGAGGTATCCAGGTAAAACCATCTCTATTTCCAATATAACCACATCACAATTTGGTGAATGCATAATTGCTCTGATTGAACAACCAGAGGGTGGCGCAATTCAGTTTTGTGAGATGGCCTCAGAGAGAAAGATTAGATGGAAGTCACTACTTCTTAAAACCAAAAGTGAAGATTTCATAGAGCCACTTAAAAGTATTAACGTGGGAAGATCACAAAGCTACTTTGTAGCATGCACTGAAAGATCTCTAGTCTCAGAAAAAGTTAATTCCTTAATATTTAAATGTGTACTGGATATGGACACTGAGAATGAGTTTTTCCAAGAAAAGTATATAAGTGCTGAAGATATTCTACCTGAATCATTGAAATTGAATGAGAAGAGTATCATTAAGAGTCATTCTATTTGTGACATTACAGCAGTTCAAATAGAGGAGGACGAAGTCATAATGGTACCAATACTAACAACATTTTTGCTACCATCAAGTACTGAAAGTGATGGAGGTTCTGTACTACTTTCTATTGCATGGATGGCAGTTCTGGACGAATCTCTCAATGTGTTGAAATCAACTATTCTTGGGGAGCAACCATTCCCTTATCATAACGAATCTATATTCATCAAAATCCAACAAATCAGTCATTCTGACGGGAAATATTTCTTGATATTTAATAACATGGTACATCTTTGCTCGATAGGAAAGGAATCTAACAAAATTAACATTGATTTTATTGATAGATATGAGCTTTTGGACTACACCAAAGAAAGAGAGCTAACTTATCCAGTGTATGCCAAATACTTCAATAGAGGAAGTCCTGTATTCAGATCTCTCCATTTTATAGTTAATAGCTTTGATATAATTGAGCATGGATTGGATATATATTTGTTATTGTGTGGATTGGGAGGTCAAACTAGATTAATTCGAGTAAGGAGAGATTTCCAAAAAGTTGAGGAGCTTTTGATTGTTGACAAAACAAACAATAGAATGCTTACATTGTCTTGTGCTCTGATACCATCAAGTGGTTCTAACAGTTACAATATTCTGGTAACTGACTACATAGATGGGGATTTGAAAATCTTGGGTCTCAATCAAAAAGAGAGAATTGGCTCGAGGAAACTAAGCAATGAATACAAGATCAAGGATGAGGATAGATTAATATCAGCAAATTGGAATCAATTCGAAAACACCAACCTTTACTATTACATAGATTTATTGAATAAGGAATCGAAGAGTACAACCCTTTCACCAGAGAAGTATTACATCAATCCAAAGAAGGCCTACTTGAAAAATCACTTTCTTGTTGAGGCAGAGAAGGGAGTTCAATACGAATCTCTTGTCAAATCCACTTGTAAGCAATTTACAGGTTCCATCAAGAATCTTATTAGAGGTGGTTTTGGAAGTTATAATGATGTTGGGCAATCCAATTCTTTCGTATTTGTTACTTCTGAAGGTGAAGTTGGTGTTTTGAATGTTAATATTTGAGTACATTTGGTAACTCAATTTGGGATTAAGGATGTCGCCTCTGATCTATTGGTTGTTTTGGGAATTAGACAAATATCAATACCCAAGTTCTAAGAATTAATACTTAAAAACTGATGGTTTGCTTGCTAATGAATTTGGCCAAGTACTTGATTCTTAATCAATTTTCCCTTCTTCCAACACCTCTCTATCTAGTTTTGATTTTGGAACTTGTACAATTTTTTCTATTCTGTTGTCAATTCTTCTTGTATTTCATTAATGTGGCGCCCTCCCTAAACATCACCTATTTAACGTTGAAAAAAAATGAAGGAAACAACAACTCCAAGCAACACCATCATGGATATTTCCTCTACGTTGTTATCATCCTCTCTTTCACGATTTAAATCCATCATGGCGATGAGGCCATCATCAGCCAAGTCATCATCATCATCGAATTTTGCTATTTACTCACCAATAATATCTTTTATAGTTTCTTTAGTAATAACATTGGCCTTTAATGATTCTGTTGAGGCTGCTACAACGGATACAGAATTGCAACCATCATTGCTCACATCACTGGCTTCAATCTCCGGTTATATGGCAACATTTTGTTTTACAGTACAATATTTGCCACAAGCCTATTTAAATTACAAGAGAAAATCAGTGAAAGGATTTAGTACAACAGGAATTTTGTTAAAACTCATCGGATCTGCATATTTGGGAGTGAATTCATACTTGATGGGTGAAGCATTGAGTGTTGTTCTTTATGGTGCTTTCAATATTGCTCAACATATTATCTTTATGATCCAGTTTACTGTTTTTACAAATAGAAGAATATTCTTGCTTTGTATTTTTATTCCAATTGTTCCTTTATTTTGTGGAGTTTCATATCCTGAAACAATTCCATATACTAACTTGATCAAACCAATTTCTCAAATTATCAGTCACATTCCACAATTACTTGTAACTTGGGAAGCTAGAAGTACAGAAGGAGTTTCACTTGCCAGTCAACATTTAAATTTACTAGGAGGAATTGCTGGAATTTTCATGTACTCTGTTTATACACCAAAATCATTTTTTACTAGATTAGTTTATTGGAATTCCACTCTGCAAGCAACATCAATGTATTTCCTTGCTGTTTATTTCGATGGATGGGAAAGATTGAAGAACTCTTTCTCAACTCTATTGGAAACAGAACCTGACGTTCCAGCAAACGCCTCAGCTACAGAGAAGGAAAGTCAATCAAGTACTGGTATTACAACTAGTTCAATGACAAATTCTTCATCATTAAGAAGAGAATTGGCAGGCACAGAGATTGAAATAACTTCCATCACTAAGAATATTGAATAAATTATTTATTTCTTTTTTTTCTTTGTTTGTACTTTTTTAGTATTAGATTGGGATGTATTGGCTCCAGTAGAAAACAAATCAATTGTAAACTGTTTCATTTCTTTAGCTGCTTGATAGTATTCAGTATCGTCATCGTTATACATAATACAATTTTGGTACATTAATAAGAGTTGATGCTTCAATTCCAATTCTGTTGTAATTTCCTTCTTTTCTAGTTTTTTTTTGAGTTGAGTCAAGCAAACTGGTTGTAAAATACTTTCATAGTAATGAGGTGTATCTTTTGGAACTTCATCTCTGAAAATATCAGCATGTTCATGGTTATTTAATTCCTCTAAAATTGATGAAAGTCTATCATTAAGAACCTTTGTGGCAGTTGAGGCTTCTGTTCTCTTATTGAACTTTCTCTTCTTTGGAGTGGATTCCACCTTTGCTTCAGTTGGTGTTTCTGAAACAGATGTTGGCGTTTCAGTTGGTGTTTCTGCTGTATGATTTGTCGTAGAAGAGGAAGTAGTAGCAACACTTGTGTCAATTTCTAATTGTTTCGATTTTCTCTTTTTTTGTGGTTTTTCCTCTCCTGGTTCAACTGTTGGTACAGGAATAATATTTGCTGCAAATTCGAATGTCGTAGTAAATTGTTCCATAATAATCTTTACATTTAAATCCTTATCTTGATTATTTTCCATAAATTGTATTGAATTTGATAATTTATCATTTACCAATTCCAGAAATTTTAATCGTTTTTCCACCACCGAGTTATATGATTTTTCCTGTGATTCCAAATCACCTTCCCCTAACAGAGACTTTATCTTGGATTTGTTAAATGTTGCTTTTTTCATACATGTAATATGTTTCTTAGCTTCTTGATAGACTCTACTATAATCCACATCGCTATTCTTCGTCCTATCCTCCAAATAACAATCCAGATAGGCCAACTCTGCTGGTGATACAAAATTTTTGGAATTTAACAAGTCGAGTTGCTCCGATGATGAAGAAATCATTTTTTAAAAATATTTTTAATTGTTTTTTTTTAAAAAATTATCGCACCAATATTTTCCTATCTTAATATGATGACAGTATAGCCTCCGTTCAGTGAAGAAGAACTTAGAAAAAAACTCGTTAAAACATAACACATTAGTAGGCTTCGAAGGCTTTTGAATTTTGAAAAGCAAATAGTATTATTCAATCTCTCGGAAACACTATGCAAAATATCTTGTAGAATACGTCAAAGTTTCAATCTCTCATAAAAGCAACTTCATCACAATTCCGATATTGTTGCATCACCTTTCAGAGATTCGCAACACTGAAGTGAACATTAAAAAATGTCTCAACAAACATCAACAGCAGCAACTTCGACAGCTCCAGAAGGTGAGGATGCGAGAATCATACCTTCATCTTCAATAACATCACTTCCAAATAATAACAAGGGAGATTCTGTGGTTAGCTTATCGGAAAATGTGTCAAATTTATACGAATACATTAAACAGAATCAAGATGATGAAACTAACACTAAAACACTGGTAAAACATTTTAGTGTGAAAGGGAGTCAGGTTGAGGATTTGAATTGAATGAAATTGACTCTGCAAGGAGTGGAAGCTCATCAGAATCAGAAAAACCTATCAACAATGGACTTGATCAATCTATCATTTCGAATAGTAACTCATGTACATCTCTAGATCAGCAATTAATTACACCTAGATCAGCACGAACTGTTGTAACACTTAACACAACAAGGGAAGAAGAAACAGTTACCATACATGAAGATTTAGTCACCCACACAACTAATACTACCAATCATAGAAAATCTATGAAGTCTATTTATTCATCTAGTGCAATGAGTTCAGGATCTGTGAAAAAAATAGAATCCAATGAGAATATTTTGAGAATAGTGTTTTGTTTCATATTTTGCTTTTCATTTATTATTTATTTGACATATGCTATTGTGTATTACTCTGCACATAGATATACCGTTGTAGATAGTATTGATAATTCGTCTCATACTTATTTATTACCTATTTATTTTCTAGCTCTGAGTGTTTGTTTGACAATTATGGCATTTTCTTGCTGCTTTTTATGGAAAAGAAAAAAGGTAAAATCAATTAAAAAGCACAAACTGAAATGGTGTGGAAGAATATCTCTTGGATGTGCTGTATTTGGATTTTTGGTTTTTACATTCCCATTTATTGTGTTCATTTTGACAGCTATTGTTTACTTAATTTTAGGAATAGTTACTGGAAGAGATGCTAATTATATTGGTCTGGGATTTTATGGCGGTTTAGCATTGGTTTCTATTGTAGTAGTTGGGCTATCTATCATCTTTTGTGTGATTGGAATGAAAACAATTTTCAGAAGAAAGAAACGTAAGAATATTCCCCTTGTACTCTTCACAATGTTCAGACATTCTGTTTGTGCCCTATTTACGATATTGGCTATTGTTGTTTCTATTGCTTTGGTGGCATATTTGGCGCTTGGTATTTCACTATCTGTCAATTATCAATACTTTACAACTGGGTTAGAAATCAGTATTTATGCAAAACTGTTATATTTCCTTACTTGGATTTCAATGTTTATTTCTATTGCTTTTGGAATTCAGTTTTTCAAATTACTGCCAAAAATAACACTTTTGACAACTATTATTCCAGTAATAATTGCAGCAGTTTCGTTTGCCCTTTCTATTATAGAGATTGATCAAGTTAAGAGCGAATTGAATGGATCATTCCGTAATATGTATGGTGTAATAGCTGATAATAATTATATTCTGGATCAAGGTGTAACTCTAGGTTCAACAGTTTTCTTTACAGTTACAAGCTTCATTGCTTATCTGAAAATAAATCTCAAATAACCTATTATTCCTCATAATCATTTTGGGAAGCCTCCTCTTGTGACAATCTAGATTTACGCTTTGGTTTGGTTGGAGTGGTTGTAGAAGCACAGGTTGTGAGCTTGTAAACACCAGGTCCCTTCTTTAAAATATAACCCTGGTTATTAAGTCTTTCAATGAGAATTCTGTGGTCTTCTGTAAGTCCCATTTGTTGAGCATATTGAACCATTTCATTAAATTCAAACATAGGACCGTGTCCATTAGAGTCTGCAATCTTGGTGAGCTGTTCAATGTAGGCATTTTGTTGTTTGGTTTTGCTCATACCAGTTACACGTGTCAAGTCAATTCTTCCCTTTTCATCTGTAAGGACATCAAACATAGATTCCTTAATTAACTCTACAACATCTAAAGCATCTCTTTCTGTCACTTCACTTCTCAATTCAGATCTAGCTCTAGCTTGTGAAAGTCTAATCAATGATTCCAATTGTCTTGTTGTGATAGGTGTTGCTTCAGAACTGTGGTGTGATTTTCTGAGTTTTACATAAAAATCTTGTAATACCTTCTTTGCATCATTGTTAAGTTTTGGCATGACATATTGTCTGGCATAGGAAATATATTTTCTCAAAAGTCTTGGCGGAATAACATCAAAAGTTTCACCTTTTTTTGGTTTCAATCTTTCCTTCAGAGATGTTTGTCCATGTTGAGTACCAACTTGACTCAGTGCAGATTTTGTGGTAAAGGTGGAGAGAGCTGAACCTGTTCTAGTTGTGTTTCCAGAGTGAAGTTTCAAAACGTGTTCTGAAAGAAGCTTGTCTCTGAGCTCATCTGGCTTATCCAATAAGATGAAAATTAAATCAAATCTTGAAAGAAGGGCTGGATTAATCTTTAAATTTTCACCAACAGTTTTAGCTCTATTGTAGTGGCCTCCAACTGGATTGGCAGCAGCGGCTACAGAACATCTGGCTGGTAAATTACAAACAATACCTGCCTTGGCAACTGAAATACTTTGCTGTTCCATAGCTTCCAAAAGAGCTTGATGTTCATTACTCATCTTATCAAACTCGTCAATGCAACAACATCCACGATCCGCCAATACTAAAGCACCTGCTTCCAATGAAAAGTCTCCTGTTGAAACATCTTTTGTTACAGTAACCGTGAGACCTGATGTACTTGTTGTGTTACCACAAACATAGATACCTCGAGGAGCTACGTGTGATGTTGCTGTTAATAATTGTGATTTACCCAAACCTGGATCACCTACAACCAGGATATGAGGATCGCCACGAACTGTCAACATATCTTTAGCATTGGTATATCTCTGAACTCCTCCAAATAATGTTAATGCAAGACCAGCTTTTACAATATCGTGTCCAAAAATTGCAGGACAAAGAGAGTGGACAACCAATCTGAAAATATCAGGTTCACAACCCATTTCTCTGATTGCTTCCAAGTCATTAGTACTAAATGATTGAGTATCATCTCCTTTGTCTGTTGATTTCGTATTTGTAATTGAATTTCCTTCTAAATATAAAAAGTACATTCTCTTTGTAGTTCCTTTTGCTCCTCTACTATACTCTTGTTGTTCACTGTTTATGACCTTGACTGTTCCACAAACAATAACTTCATCACCAGCAGCACATGACTCGACTAAATCTTCTGTAATTTCACATTCAATAGTTCTTGGAATTCTACCTGCTTCATAATCGTCACTTTCGGATACTTCTTGAATTTTAATTTTTTGCCAATCAACAGTGGATGCAGTACTTCTATCTGGATTGAATGCTTTTGATTTACATGAGTGTGTTTTACATTTGGTTGGTGGAATAAACTTTCCATCCTTGAAGTGTCTTCTCTGTTTGGCTCCACATTTTGCACAAACAAAAGTCATCTCTGTAACAATAGGTTTGATATTACTTGCTTTTACAACTGTTCCTTTGAGTGACACAAACTTTCCCATTGAATTTGATTTCAATTTTCTCAATGATACAAACACTGAGTGATTGATCAGTCTCGCATTAATTTTAGTTCCTTTTACAACTTCCTCTGCATCATTCCAAAGCAATACTTTATGAGCAGCCATTTCAATAGCAGCCAAAGCATAAGTAGGATTATTATAAATATTATTTTCCATAAATGCTTTATGATTATGATCCAAATTATTATACATAAAAATCAAATCAATAGTCAATACATAATTATTAACTCCTTCAACACTTTGTAATTTGTAAATGTTTTTATGCGTTTTAAAATGTGGTTCCAAGACTGTTATGTATTTATCCAAAACATTCGGTTGATAAATTTCATTGGGAAAATAGAGTGACCATAGTGGAGGTGGTCTCTCTTCGGGATAATACACTGCTGATGAGGTAATGTAATCATCGTCATCACCGTTGTACATTTTTTTTTAATTTTGTAATCAAATTGAAAATTTCTGCTTTGCTCTGGAAGATTTTGTTGTTAGCAAAATTGAGACATCGAGTGGACAATGGAATTAAAGGAAATTGCAACAAAATTGTTATATAAGTCTATTGAGTACCAATTCACCAATCGGAATGTTTTCTTTGCCAAATCAGAAATTTGATGAACGGTTTTAAAGTGCGAAACTCATCACGATGAAAAAATCATTAAAAATTTATTTAATTCAAAAAGAATAATAATAAATATAAAATTATATATTTTAATAGTACATTCAGTATGTTCAAGTTAATAACCGATAATAATAAGGTTTTCATCAGCTCCGATATTTAATTTTTAAATTTTTTAATAAAAAAAATGAAAAAAGCAAGAAAAAACAACAAGGGAAATTCTAATCGATCAAATGCTAGTAGTAATACATCAGGCAATAGTGGAAAAAACAAAAATACAAATTGCTTACTAAGTAATAGAACGTTTTCGGATCTTCCGAAGGAAATTATTCAGCATATATTTAATTTTCAAGCCTATTTGGAAATTAAAATTGTTGAATCCTATGCTATGGGAGTGAAGAAAAAATTGGGATGTATTAAATTGGATGGACATTCAAAGAAATTGATACTTTCTCGCTTTGATACATCAAAAGTTGCTAATATTTCGGAACTAATTTTTAATCAAGTCTTCGGAAAATGCAAATATTATCAATATAGTTCTACATTGTATGATTGCAACTATCCAATAACAAATAGATTGGTCATGTTGTATCCGAATGTTAAAGTTTGTACAGTAGAACTTGAAAATTGTGTGGATGATTTTTACTTTCAATACTTCTTTAGAAAGAGGTTGGTGGATGATCTTTTCTTGAGAGTAGCCTTTACTAAACTACACAAGGTGGTCTTCTCAAATGGATATAAGAAGGAAAAGTTTTGTGGAGGATCTACACTCTGTACACTAAGATTCATTAGAGAATTACTAATGAAAAGACTCTATGATCCTTGTGGAAGAGAGCAACTGATTTCAATTGATATGCAAAAAATAGTGTTAAGAGAAAATAATTTAGAAATACTACTGCAAATGTGGGAAGCATTTACATCTCACGAAATTGTTGTTAGTGAATCTTTGAAAGAGGGATTTTTGTCTAGGTTTGAAACAAGAGAATATGATGGTGGTAAATTTCTTGACTCTAGGAAAGCAGTTATTGAAGATAAGGAGAATGTTGAACTATTCACACTAACACAATATTTAGAACATTTACAAAATACTATTATTGAAATTATGTTTAAGGATGGAGATAAGGAAGTTTTTAATGCTGGAGAAAAGGTTGACACAAATACCTTTTTAGAAAAACTACCAGAGATTAGACAAACTAAGTTTAATTTATTCAATACTATGAAAAGTAATCATCTTGCCCAAACTTTCAGATCACTCATTAATTCCTTAGGATATTTCGAGAAGAGAGTTCCAAATGTTCCACAAAATCCATTAAGAAGAGAAAGGATTTTCCAATTCTTTTCATATTTTAATTATTTGAAAAAGCTAACTTTTGTAGTTGACAGCCCAACCGAGTGTTTAGAAGAGACTATGAAGTTGATCAAAAAATATTTACCCAATTTAAAGCACATGGACATTAGAGGAGGTTTTCACTCTCCTGCCTCTCTGGCCATGTTATTACGTGATTTCCCAAGTTTGAGATCAGTTGTAATTTATTTGACCATCAGAGCATATCCAAAAGTAATACCTGGAAATGATTCTTCTGGTAATGCTTACATTTACAGTCCTTCTGTAGGTGTTGGTGTTCCATACCTTAATGATTTGAATAGTTCAGTCAAATATGTTAGAGTTCAACCAAATCCATCTTCCACTCTTTCAATAGCATTTGATAGAGAAACATTTTTAAAGCAAATTGTTAACAAGAAAATACAATCTCTCAAGGGTGATTTCATGCTGGCTGGAGGTGCAGAAAAACTACTTCCAATTTCATCCCTTGGCAAACTAGTTTTATATAAGGCTAATTACAATGTATTCGAAAGATTTGACTTTTTAAAGGTATTGTCACAAACTAAGAGTTTAAGAGTTCTCTATATTCATGAATCCTTATTGAACTGGAGACCAAAGGGTTACAAGCCAACTGTAGAATTTTTCCAGAAGGAAAGTATGGAATATGCCAGAGATTTGAACGCTTGGAAGATGAAATTCAAAATTTATTGCAAGAAGGAAAAGACTCCTCTAAAGAAATTATTATCAGAATGTAAGAATATAACCAAGGTCAAGGTTTATTATAGATCCATCAAGGCATTCAGTGATTCCACAAATACAGCCAAAGAAATTCTAGTTGAATTGGAAAACCAAATGGCTAAAATGTACATGGAATATATAGGTCAAAGGTTCAAACATTTGGAAAGATTTTCTATGGTTCCTGTTTTGGAATAATTAATGGGCTAATTAATAAACCATATTAAAGAATATTATGATTCAATATAATTCTTTTACAATGTGTACATTTCATTCAATAAATAATGTTTATTTTAAACATTACACACAATAACATGCAATGATGGATTTTCCATTTGAATAACAAAAGTACTACCGTTCTTTGGTTCAATATTTTGAGTGAACAAAGTTGAAGCAGTATGGAGTTCCTTCAATTGACTTTGAGTTGGGTAGGTTGGTGAGCCAATTTGCTTCCATTTAGTGAAGGCATTGGATCTAGTTTCATCAATAATATGAGTCTTGCAATTGCTCAAAGTATTGGAAAGGCTGTCAACATTGATAGATACAAGGAAAGCTTCAGCTTTTTGAGTTGGAACTTGATAATTTGAAGCAAAGATCATGATTTCCTTTGCTTGCTTGTTGAGGGTTGCAAAGACATTGACAGTTGAAGTAGAGGTGGTAGTAGAATTGAAAAGTTCATTACCAGCTTTAGCCATTAATTCGAATGCTCTCCAAACTGGTTTTCTGACACCATAGATTGACATCATGCCAAAGTTTTCTTGGAAAACCTCTGGGTATTGACTAAAAAGAAAATATTAAAATAATTATTAAACATTAAAATGGAAAATTATGAAAATTAAAAATTGAAAAATACAAACCCATGTTCTTCAAACAAGTCAGTAAAAGTCCAATAACTGTAAACTTCAACAACTCCATTAATAGAAAAGAGTGTTCTTGGAACGAGAGCAGCTGGATAAGAAGAATCTTGATAGAAATAAGTTCCACTTCCAATATTATTCAATCCAGAATTCCATTCAGTATAGAGCAATGGAGTATTTGGTCCAACAATATTCTTTGTTTGCTTGGCAACTTTAATCAAAGTGTCAGTTGCCAAAGGTTCAATATCAGTTGGATATTCGTGAGTTGAAACAAAATCATAAGGAACATTATTAGACTTGGCATAATTGACAAAATCTTGAATCCATCCAGATCCTGCAGTTGCTGGTCCACCAACTCTAAGTCTATTACTAATTCCCTTAATAGTATGAGCAGTATTATTATAAAGATTGAAATAATCTTGTTGAGTACCAGTCCAGAAAGTATTTCTCAAATTTGGTTCATTCCAAACTTCAAAATGCCAACTAGCAACTTCATCCAATCCATATCTTTCAATTAAATGGGTAACGAAATAATAAATCAAATCATTCCACATTTTCATTGACTTTGGAGGTGAAATACCACCCTTGTAATGGAAAATAGTCTTTGAAGGATCACTGGCAATCAATTCTGGCATGAAACTCAATTCAATAATTGGTTTCATCTTCAATTCACCAACAAGGAAATCATAACATTGATCCACATTAAAGAATGAATATTGAAGAACATTAGGATCATGTCTACTTTGCAAAACAACACTCATATCATCATTGAAAATACCACTATTGTAAAATATTAACAAAATTGTAAACGAATTATAAGCAAAAATACACAAATTCTTCTCTCACACACTATGTTCAACTAATAAACAAACTTACTGGAATCTAATACCTGTGAATCCCAATTCCTTTTGAGCCAATTTCAATTGTTCTCTCCAATCTGCTCTCAAACAAAAAGTAGCATGACAACTACCGACCGATCTTTTCCAAAAATGATTTAATGGTGCTCCATTTCCAACCAAGTTAATATTAAATTGTGCAACATCATTGGAAGTCTTTCCTTCGAGAATCTTGTTCGAAGCAGCATTTGCGAAGGCTAGACAACAACAAACGAAAAACAAGACGAGGAGAACGAGCTCCCGCCCAACAACCAATCGATTCATTTTTTTCATTGTAAAATAAAACGCAACGAAGAATACAATAGAGAGAGTTTGAGAGATTTTTTGAGGGGTTTGTTTGGGATTATGATAATATTGTGTGTGAAAGTTGATGCCAAATAATGGTAATTGTGTTACTAGAGCATGTCCTTTGATTTATAAATTGGGAAAGTAGTATTAATTGGGAACTAGAGTTTACAATCAACTTTTTTCTCTAAAGAATGAACAGTAAGGTTTAGGAAATAAAGTGCAAACTGGTTCATGGATAGTGTCTCAATGTCTGGATTGAACTCATTACAAAGTTTCTCTAAATCGAGTCAATTTATGTTTTGGTCAATTTAAGATTTGAACAAAATCAATTTTAGCAACAAAAAACAAACAAAAAAAAATGAGCAACGAACCAAGTAACACCACACCAGAGGAAGAAGCCAATAACAATGGTTCTTCACCATCATCTTCTTCCTCGGAGAGAGATACTCTCACATTTGTAAATAAGGAATATAATAGATTACACAAAGATTTATTCGAGTTTGATGAAAAGTTTTTAAATCCGACCTTTGCCAAGGCTTGTAAAGATGCCAAGGAATTACATTATTATTTTGATTTATTGGAGAAGGCTGAAAGTGAGGAAGCTTTTAATACTATTAAAAAGGAGTTTAATCAGAAAAAGAGAGAAATTCTCTTGACCATTCTGACTGAAGAAGTTCCTCAGGTTTATAGCTTGGAAATTTTCACTCCAGAATTTTCTCAGAAAATGATTGAAGAAAAGAATAATTATGAAAAGAATCATCATGTTAAATTGAGACCAAATTCAATGAATAACTATGGTATTGTCATTGATGAAATTGGATTGGGAAAATTCTTTGATGTATTTATTGTGGAATATTTGTGTCCATTGGCCAAGATTATGAATCCAGCTGGATTTGATTTGGATGATCATCATACCTTCTTTGTAGAATACTTTATTGGTGGTGATAAGGATTTAAATGTTCACGTCGATGATGCCGAACTCACATTAAATGTTTGTTTGGGAAAACCAGGATTTGAAGGTGGAAATTTATTCTTCAGAGGTCACAGAGATAATCCAAAGACTTATAATCAATACTTTGAATATCAACATGTTGTTGGGAGAGCTGTGATGCATGATGGAGCATTAATGCATGGTGCTTTACCTCTTACTAAGGGAGAACGAGTTAATTTGATCATTTGGGCTAGATCAACTGAAATGAGAAGACAAATTCAAGAAGCAATTAAGGAAATGCAAGAACAAGGTCATCACCACTGTTGTCAACATGATCATCACCATGAACACGAACACCACGAACATCATCATCATCATGAGCATGGTGAGTGTTGTCAACATGAGCATCATCATGAACACTCTGAAAATTGTCAACAACACGAACATCAGCATGAACATTCTGAAGCTTGTCAACATGAACACTCTGAAAACTGTACACACGACCATCATGAACATTCTTGTTGTAATCATGAACATCATTAGTAAATTATTCCAAAAAACAGTCGAAAAAAACTTCAAACTCTACCTTCATTACAATAAAAGTACAAGAACGTAGTACGAATATTCGCAAAACTTCATCAAAAAAAATGGCACCAAAGAGAAAAGCCACCCATGAAGCACCATCCAATAAATCATCATCAGCAAATTTACAAGAGGAGCAAGAGAATAAAATTGAACAACTAGATGCCCACATGATAGAGTGCTATGAAAATTATCAAAAGAATGAGAAAGTTCAAAGTTATGATGACTTTTGTGATTTGGTGATGGTATGGGCGGAAAGAAAGAAGAGAAAATATGAAATGGCGCGTTTACCTTCTTTAATCAAATCGTTACCACCAGAAATTGTTGCCTATTCGATTGTTCCATTTATGGATTTGGAAAGTGTATTGAATGGATCAGTGTTTTTGGTTTGTCGTCCTTGGTATAAAGGTATGATTGATGAGGAAAGAATGTGGCAAGAATTGTTTTGTAGATTGTGGGATATGACATTGGAAAGTTTTAAAAATTGGACTAAATGGCCAACACAATTCGATACCAATGATATAATTGTTGTGGAAATTAATAGAATTACTCGTTTTACAACAAAACCAACTATATTTACAAAGAGTGGCAAGGAGATGATTAAAGAGCACTCGTATCAATTTATGAAGGAATTTTGTTTGTTAAAACATGCAAGTTTTGACAAACATTCAAGAATTGGACCTGTGAGAACTTTCTTTTTAACTACCCATCAGGATTGTAGTTATGCTGATACTACTCTTATTGCACCATCCCTTTATTCAAGATTTCACATTACATCTGTAGATCACAAGTTGACCTATATTAGTGTAACTGATGATGGAGATACTAACAATACAATATCAACTATTCACTTTACATTGGATTATTACACTGCACTCATTCCTTTTTCTATGAGGATTGATATTGACTATAGTGTTTCCTATGGTGGTGAAACTCATGAAAAAGGTATTTCTATTTCTGTATCTAGATTACACAGTGATCAAGCTAGTGACTTGGAAGATCCAAAAAGCCAAACAAAACTCATCTTAATGAAACAAGGTGATGGGAATGAAGGTGATGAGGAAGAGGAGAATGATGAAGAATCTGAACAAGACGAAACTGATGGGAATGAACAAAAAGGGTCATCAAATAGAGAACAAGCTATTTCAACATTTAAGAAAGAATGGATTGGACAAGATTTTGTAAATATTGATGATGACGGTCAAAGTTGGTTGTTCAAATTTATTTCAACATTGGGCATTGATTTGTTGGATGAAGCATTGTACAGAATGACTGATGAATAATGCTACAAAAAAGCTGCAAAGTGATTGTATTTGATAAAGTTGTTATTCTGTAAAATTTGCAGTTGTTAAATTAGAGGTCAACTTTCTAAAACTTCTTTTCTAAATACGGCTGAATATTCTTTTATTTTGATTAGATTCTGCTAAATTGATTAGTGTAAGTAATATGTAAGGGAAGGTTTAAGGCAATATAATATTATCTTTAATCTTTTTGGAATTTTAATTTCTTAAATTTAAAGTGCAGTTGAAGAACACCCCTCTCGAAAACACATCTATAACCTCTTCTGTGAGACTTTTCCCACTCTCTATTTACAATTCTAAATGAAATATCCTCATAAGGTGGACCAGAATGGAATGTAAGAATGGAGAATTCATCATTATTTGGATCTCTTTCTAAAGCATAGGATGGTGTGATACTTCTGTCAATTAAATCTGGATAGAAAATGTTGAATTTGTAACCTTGAATGACTTTTGGAGGAGGATTTTCAAAATCATAGTGAGTTCTATTGTAATTTGTCCATTCATATCCTGTTCTTACACGATTGAAGAATTTAGGTTTTCTTGGTCTATACTTATCATTCCATGCATATTGTTGGTTGACTAGTTTGACTTCTTCCACTGTATCTTCATCACCTTCCTCTGTTTCCTTATTTTTGTATTCTCGCATTAATCTATCATCTTCATTGGATGCTCCTCCTGATATTGAGTTATGATCCTTCTTTTGTTGAGTAGCATTATCCTTGTAAGATGAAGGAGTATTGTGTTGAGTGAAAATTCTATCAGTTGTACCATTCTTTTTCATTTGTTCATAAACTTTGATTGCTTCCTGATGAATTTGTGAGACAATGTTCCTAGCTTTGTAAATTTGGAGGTACTTTTTCAAACCTTCCCAATATTCAACATCTGTTGAAGCATCTCTATTATCTAATGTTTCATTAATTAATTGTTCCATTTCTAATAATTCATCCAAATTCTTATCAGATAGCAATTCTTTAATTTCAGCCACAACTGAAGCATGAATATCTTTAGTTCTTTCTTCTTCCTTTCCTACCTTTTTCTTTTCATATTCCTTTGCAAGATTAATTTCATCCTTGACAATTACAGAAAGTGCTCTCCAGAAATCTTGATAGTCAATATCACATTCAATCATTGTTTCCAAATCTTCTTGAGAATCTAATAAATCTTGCAATTTTCTATCATGAAATACTTCATATGGCTTTTTATACTCAACTCCATAAATTCTTTCATGTTCACTGCTTAAAATCAAATGGCTGTCATAGTCATCACCAAGTAATTTATCCTTAAATCTCAAATATTTCAAGTTATTAGTAACAAAATCAATTAATTTTGCTCTTCTTTCTCTCAATCTAATAAACGATGCTAAATTTTCTTGTTTCAAGTGAAATTCAGATTCCTTCTTTTCATATTCATCAAATCTTTCAGCTTCTCTTTCTCTGAAAACTCTTTCTCTTTCCATTTCCCATCTTCTCTTTTCCATTTCTCTCTCCAATCTTTGTTGTTTTAATAACAAAATTTCCTTCCTTTTATTTTCGGTTAATGATGATGAATTGTCTTCTTGTTTTGTCCATACAAATTTTTCCGATAAATTGCTATCATTGAAGGGATTTTCATCATTGGTATATCCTAACATTTTAATAACATCCTTTCCGTGATCATTTGATTTTTGTTTCTTTTCCGAGTGGATCGGATCTTCGAGTTGTCGTTTCATTTTTTTTTTAAATAATTTTTTAACGGAAAATTTATTTTTAAAACTTTGTTGAACATGGAGAGAGAAATATTTAAAATTGTTTACACAAGTTGACCTTAGTGGATTGAGAAGGTAAAATAGTGAGGATAATTTCAACAGTTTCCAGATTATGAATGTTCCATAACAAAAGTAAAAACATCTGGTGTAATGTAGTGAGCTGGATTTTGATGATCTAATTCACCCTTGTAAAGTCCAGTTTTTACTAGAACTGATCTCCAGACACCTCCTGCTTGATTGGCTCCTTTGATATCGGAAAGTAAATTATCACCAACCATATAAATGGTAGATAAAGGTTCTGAAATTCCTTGATTTTTGGCTAATTCCTCAAGTCTCTTTTGACAAAAATCATATGTTACCTTTTCAGGTTTACCATATTGTGTAATATTGAGTTCTTTTTGAGTTAATTCTCTGTAAATATTCTTTAAACATAATTTAATCATTCCTTGTCCAAATCCTTTGGTGTTTTAATTGATTAGAAATTTTAGAATTATAATATAACATACTTGGCCATGAGAACTGCAAATTTCCACAATTAATTAAACATTAATGAAATACTTACAGATGATGAATAAAGGAAATCAGCATTGGACATGATTAATTTACAATTTTGTTTATGGTCAACCAAGTTATAATCCTCAGTATGTCCAGGAACACCATTATTAGCCAAAACTAAATCCATAACAACTTGAATATCGCGTCCTAAATGATCACTTTCATACATAAAAAGTACAGCACTAACAGCATCCTTTGGATCTACATTAAAATTGTACAATTTCTTCATACTTTCATATTCATCCTTTGTAATATCTCTTGGTGGGAAAATACTATAAATGAATGGATATCTAATGAGAATTTGTACAATGTAATATTAAAAACATTAAATTCCAATCATATTCCATATATTCACCTACTTTTTATGATAATCAGTAACATGAATAGCATTTTCAAATCCATAAGATTTAGCCACATTCAAACAATCATATCCACCAACAATTAAAACATTTTTATCCTTGTAATCCTTTGCAAATTCTTGAAATGGGGTATGACTTAAAATCATTTGTTCCGATGTTAATTGATATTCCTTTGGTAAATCCAAAATATTGTTGAGTTGAGAGGTTTTAGCCTTTTCCAAAACTCCTCCTCCATTTGTAAGACATACTAAATTGTATCATCCATAATTTGATCCAATAATTGTATATTTAAATATTTAAATATTTAAAATAATTATAATTTTAAATAATATTATTATTTGTTATTAGAGTTCAACAACTCGTTTATAATATACATACAAAAAGGAATATTCCTATCTTTTAATCTCATCAAGGCTTCTCTAGCCTTCGGAATGGCATGATGACTTTTTAAAAGTACACCATCAATATCAAAGGCATAAGCACTCACATGACGACAATGATGCTGTTGAATTTTATTGATCACAAGGTTGAAAGTGGAGGAATTTCTTGTTGTATTGGTGGTCAATAATGTACGTTTAAACATTTTTTAAATATATTAAATAGTAAATACTATATTGAATTTCCAAGTTGAAATTGACTTGATTTTTATAAGGTTAGCTCACTTATATTTGGACATTTCATAACAATGGATGATTTGGTACGTGCAGAAATGTTTCTATTGGAAGAAAGGTTTAGTTTTCTCAAAGTTCTATTAGAATAGATATGTGGATGAACAGCTTCATTGGTAATCATATTATCAGAACAATTCAATTCGATAATATTCAATAATTTGATAAGAAAGAGGAAGGCATCATTATTCACCTTATTCTTGGAAAGATTCAATCTCTGAACTTGACTCCAATGAGGAATGGAAAGAATTTGTTCACCTGTAATTTTAAGTGAATTCAATGCTAGGTTTTCAATGACCTTTCCAATAGAATGATAATGAGCTAATAGATCAGCAATACCCTTATGTGTTATATTGGTTCTTCCTAATCTGATGTCTGTGAGTTGAGTGAATTGTTTAATCTTATCAATGGAAGAATCTGTAATATTATTGAATTCTAAACTGAGAATTTGAAGTTTTTCTAAGAGAATCTCCTTAATATTTCCATCATCTAATTTTGTTCCATTCAAATAGAGTTCTTTGAGGCTTGTCAACTTGTTGATGGATGAATTTAAGAATTGCTTCAAGCCATCAGATTTGTAAGTACTTGTTTCTAATCTTAAAATTTCCACATCTGGACAGGAATCAGCAATACTTCTCAATACATTTGTGGAAATATTTGTTGAGAGACTAAATGAAAGCTCAATAACCTTTGATACAATTGTTCCTAGGTCAAGATATACGTTCTCAAAATCAGAATCTTCATAACTCAGCTTTCTAATATTTTGATTTTTGAGAATTATTCCAGGATTTGTAATTTTACAACCAGTGATATCCACAATTTTGATATGTTTGTGTTGTTCAATACCAGCAAATGCAATATCACTAACATTTGTACAATATCTTACTACCAAATCAGACAAGTATGGTAAATTAATCAATAACTTGGCTACAATTTCATCATTGATGAATTTAACTCCTGACAAATTGACGTGTCTCAAATTAGGAAGTGAAATAATACTTGCCAAGAATAATTGAACGTCAAGAGTGGAGCTATCACAGAGCGGATTACTATATTCAATAGATTTCAAATGCTTGTTAGATGAAAGAATTCTAATAACATTTTCAGCAGGTAAACGAGTATCAGATATTTTAAATTCTTCCAAATTTGTAAATAAATCCAATTGATTAAAATCTTTAAAACTTGTTTGTCTAGAAAAATTAATTTTCCTCACATAACCAATATGATTTACAATAATTGGAGGTAATTCACATAAAGAGTCTTCTCTAGTGAAATAATTTGATATAAAATCAATTGAATGAATCCTAGAAGGTAATACCTGATCAAGAATTTCAGATTTCATAAAATTAAACACCAATCCATCTCTTCCAATAGCTCTAAAAGTAGAAATTGAAACATTCTTAAAAATCAAATGAATTTCACCATGATATCTTCCCATAAATAACAAAATTAAATCTGACTTGTATTTCCTATACAGAAAGGCATATCTATCCAAATCAAGAACATAATGGCAAAGAATTGAATGAAGAACAATATCGGAAGGAAGTTCTTTTAATCTATTTTCGAATAATTCTTCCTCATGATTTTTGTCGAGCATGACTATATCACAATCATGTTGATCAGAGGAAGAAGAAGAACTTTGCATTATGTTTGGATGAATGTTGATTAATTTTTTTTAAAAACTTTGAAGGCTTTGAAATTCTAAAGTTTTTTCCAGGTTCAAGTTTATTTTTAGCATTAACTTACTTCAACATTAAGATGCTAAATTCAATAATCCATTGTTCAACAATATATTTGGAGAAGTAAGAAATTGTTTGGTTTCGTTTTAATTTCATGCCAAAGTGTAGAATCACCCAATTCCTACCTAGATGCTAATAAATTCTGTGAAAATTCTCAATTTCATATAAGAACCAGCAAAAACTTTACAATTTTTAAATTGGAGACAACGACGTGGCAATAAAGATTTTATTCAACAATTCCATGTATTAATCCTCACGTATCACCAACAACATCCAAACCAAACATGCAATACTCAACTTGTCCCCAATGAAAATCAAGTATAGAATTGCTGATATCATTTCCCCGCCATGGAATTTAAAAATTGTAAAAAAAAATGGAAAGCGTCTTGGGTTTTGTTTCTCACAAGGTTCATCATACATTTAAATCACATCCCGAATTGTTGGATAAGTGTGATTCGCTGACTTTGATCAAGAATATTCTGGGGAATATTATCAAGAATGCCTTTGATGAGAAATTTAGAAAAATCAAATTGTCGAATGAAAAGTTTTCGGAGAAGGTTGTAAATGTACCTGGAGCCTATGAATTGTTGGTTCATAGTGGATTTAGAACTGATGGGGAATTTGCAATTTTACCCAATGAAGTAGATTTGAGAGTGATTGATTTGGTTATTACAATTATTGAAGGATATGTATGTTTGAGATTTTCTAATATTTATATTAATAATGATAACAAAGGAACAAGAAAAGTTTACCATCAATAGAGATGATAAATCGTCAGCATCTAGTATTGAAAATACTCTCAAATTGACCGAGCTCATTAATGCTGCAGAAAAATTAAAATCTGACACTTCTAATCCTGAATATAGATTGGAATATGCAACAGCTGTTGATGAATTGAAACAAGAGGAATTATATGAACATTCAATTAATTTACTTACAGAAGCAATTGAGAATATTGTGAATAGTGGTGTTAGAGATGATAAATTAATGTATAAATTATATTATAGGATTGGATCATTACAATACTTAAAGCAAGATTTAGATTCAAGTTTGGAAAGTGTCAAACTCTGTCAGGAATTAATGAGCAAGTCTAGTGAATTTTCAGAAACCGATTTTGGAGAGATTCATCACTTATGTGCATGTATTTATGGAACTAAAAAGATGATTGACCAATCTATTGAAGAATTTGAAAAAGCACTCAAATATAACTATGAAAAGAGGGATAATACATTGAGACAGAAATGTAACACTGTTGCAAGTTATTATTTAAAACAGTGCATGGAAGAAAAAGAGGAATTTGATGTTTGTGTAAAACATTTAATGAATGTATTGAATGAGAGTCCAGGTCATGAACATACCTTACTTGTTCTAGGTATGATTCATCAAAATTTTGGTAAGCCAATGGAAGCTGTCAAATTCTATAAGGAATTATTGTTGAGGCCATCCACAGACTATGACGGAATTTTGCAAGCTCAAAATTATGGCAAGCAAAAACTGGAACAAATTTGTAACGAACACAATATTGAAATTGATTTTAATTAAATAATGAATATTTATTTCAATGATCTTCCTTGACCTGCGAATGCTTTAAATTTGCTTTCATCCTTCTTGTCAGTAGTAGCAGTAGCAGTGGTAGTGGCTGTGGAAGCACCTGGTTGGCCTGGTTTCTTTTCTTCCTCTCCATAAGTCTTTCTCTTCCTACCAAGTACTAATCCCGAAGTATTTAAATTAGTTCCACTTGCACCTGAAGCTGCTGTTGGTGTAGATGTTGTTGGTGTTGTTGTTTTTGTTGGTGTAGTACTTGTTGGAGTGTTATTACTTGATGAAGATCCTCCTTTTCCGTCCAATCTTCTTCCAACTCCAACAAATTTTGGTGGTTCTTTTGGTTCTTCTTTTGGTGGTGGTACATTAGTTGGTGTTGGAGTGATATTAGTAGTAGTTGGTTGTTTGATAATATTATTATTGACCTTGAATAATTCATCTGCTGATGGAGTGATTGGATTTACAGGTGATGGAGGCATATCAGCAGGTCTTTCAAATTCAACTTTAACATCTGTTTCCACAATACTCACAGCTTCACAATCTCCACTCGCACTAGCAACAGCTACTATATCGATAAAGAATTGTTTGTTGTTGTAAGCTATAATAATAGTATCACCACGAGAAAGACATGAAAAGTTTCTGAGTTGTTTTTCTAAGACAGCCTTTGGATCGGAAATTTCAATAAAGGCTTTTTGTTGTGGTCTGATTTTTACAAATGTACCCTTTGGTAATGCTACACTTTCAACATTAACAAGAGATCCAGGTGATAATTGCAAGTATTCTTGCATCTAAAAATACAAAATTTGATCAATTAAAAATCATATTAATATTAATAATCCGTTTGAATAATTTAAACCTACCCAGAATGGAATGTATGCTCTTCCTTCCTCTGCACTAAATTCTAAAACACCACAATGTGTAGCTTTTTTCTTCTTTGAATTTGAAATTTTAAAAAGCATTGGATATACAATATTTAATCTAGCCAATTCATCAAGAGCCGATGATGGTAAAATAATTTTACCTCCTTCATCTATTTGAGGTTTTCCACAAAAAGCACCAGTATACACTCTGTATGGTCGTTTAAATACGTCAATTCTTTGACCTTGAAAGAAATTGTTCATCATTTTTTTTTAAAGTTTATAAATAGTATCAAGTGTGTTTCTTCTAACTTAAGCTTGTTTACGTGTTCTCTTCATTGCCCATCAATAAGCGCAACATTTACAAAAAGCTTAGAGTTCAACCACCATGAGTATATTCTAATTGGATGTAAGATGTAATACATACAATACTGTGATGGTATTTGAGAATTTGAGATTTAGTGCATTTTAAATTTTTTCATCTTCTTTTTCTTGGTGATTTCCAAATATGATTTTCAATCGAAAAAGATTTTATTTTAAAAAAAAATTCAACATCGCATCGGGTGCAGCAAAATCATCATCACTTTGTGTTTTTAAATATTTTGGATTTTTTGAAAACATGTCCTTGAAAAACACAGTGATATTTTGGAATGATTTACCACCTTCTTTTAGATACACTTGTGCTAGTGTAATAAAAGATAAACTTGTTACCGGAACAAATAGTGGTATTTGTGTGCTTTGGAATTTTGATCAAGAAAGTACAAGTTATGTTCCCTTCTCTTTAATGTATGGACATCAAACTAAAGTAACAGATTGTTGTGAATGTAGTTATGATAGTGCTTCAACAAATAATAATAGTAGTAATGTAAAAGGACCACTACTTCAAAATTCATCACCTTTACCAACTCCGCAATCACCTTCATCTTCTTATAATCCACCTTATGGATTAGATAATAATAATTGTTGTTGTAGTATTAGTTTGGATGGTACAGTTTGTGTATGGAATCTTTATGATGGACGTTGTATGGCTTTATCACCAAATTTACTTTTTGATGTTGTGCCACAATGTATTTGTAATTTGAATAGATATAGTAATTATAATTCAAGTATTGTTGCAATTAGTGGTAAACATAATATGATTTATTTATTGGATTTGAATCGTTTAAAGATTATTCGTGTTTTGGAAGGACATACTGAATGGATTGCTTCACTTTCTTCTGGACCTTTTATTATTACGGATGATGTTAAATCAAGGCTTAAAAGTGTCATGTTAAGTGTTGGTGATGATCATAGTTTGAAATATTGGTCATTTGAACTGGACGAAAAAACTCACACAATTAAAAGTGAAGAACCTCTTTTCAGTATTCAAGCACCTATTGCAAATCAACCAAATGTACAACAATTTAAACCTGTAATGGTTGTTAATAATTACTATTGGTCACTTGTTGCTGCTGTTTATAATAAGGTTGTTTATATTTATACTTATCACTCTATTCAACCAATTTATACTATAACTTTACAACAAACTTTGGAAAATGAACTATTTCCACTTTCAAATAATTCTAGCTCAATTAGAAAGAATGAAAAATTCAAAGGTGCTTTATTTATTGCTAAAGACCTTTTGTTACTTCACACAAGTAAGGGTAATGCTTTTATTTATAAAATTCCATCAACTGGTAGACAAAGAATTAAATCTATTATGGATGAAGTTTTACAATTTTATTCAACTGATATTTCACCAAAACAAAAGCAATATGATAATAATGATGGTCTTTTATATATGGCTGATGAGGAAAATGGTAATGCCAATGATTTTGGAGCTGCAATTGAACAAAGTGATACAGGAGATGATGTCCAACTTGGAATTACAGTTGAAGGTGTAACACCAAGATCTAATACTACAAGTGAATCTGCTTCTGTTGCTACTCCTAGTGAAACTAAGAAGGATAAAAGGGTCAAAAATCTTCAATTAATTGTTCCAGAAAGAGGTATTACAGAATCTAAGAGTAATACTTCTCTGAAAAGTGAAGATGAATCACCAACAACTCCATCTACAACAGATATTGATATGTCATCAAATGATTTAACATCTATTGGTGCTGCTATTGAAAGAGCATTCTCTACTTCTATTATGGATGCTTTACAACTTTCTTCTTCACCTTCTACTCCAAACTTTGACAGAGTTGCTCAAAAGGAACAACCAAAAATTGTTAAAGTTATTGATAGTGCTCTCTCTGAAAATGATCCATATGGTGATTTTGTTTGGCAATACGATCCAATTAGTAATATTCTTTTACGTGTTAATAACGATGTTATTATCATTTGGAAAGTTACTATTTCATCTTCAACAGTTGATATTACACTGCTATCAAGTGATAATAGACTTGCCAAGGGATGGAATACTTCCAATACTGTAAAAGAAAATAGCTTAACAAACAAGTCTCCTATCAGTGTTTCTCATTTTGCTGTTGAGCGTATTTCTCCATGTTTAATTAGGGGCTTCCATAATGGTGATGTTCATATTCAATATACTACTACACAAAATAATGGTAAAGAAGATTCACAAGAATTGTACATTCAAAATGCTCACAAAAAACGTGTTACTACACTGCTTGTCATGAGTGATGATGACAACAATCCACTTTTACTTTCAGGAAGTGCAGATTATAGCATTAAGGTTTGGCAACTGGATTCTACAGATCTCAAATATCACAAGTTGTTGAGATCTTTCAATTATCACTCTGGTAAGGTTGATTTACTCTTTGTTCCTCCAAGAACAATAAGAAGAAAGTTGCAAAACTGCTTCTGTTCTCTTTCAGATGATGATCACAGTGTTATAATGTACAGTGTCAAGACTTTGGATGTCATTCATATTTTAGGTGGACATGGAAGTACAGTTGTTGCAATTTATTGGAGAAGTGATTTGGATTATTTACTTGTTCAATGTAGTGATGGTACAGTGTATGTTTGGAGTATAAGTACGGGTCTATTGGAAAGAAGAGTTTCTGGAGCTTCTGCCAAGTATTTGATCAAGACAAGTGAACAATCGAGTGTTATTAGTGGCAGTTTTGGTCAATCTGATCCAAGTACATCATCTGGTTCTAATAGTCAAGGATCTGGATCTATTGGTTCTTCTGGTATTGTTAAATTGTCCTTCTCTAAACAATCAGCAACATCTGAGGCCTATAATAAGGCTAAAGGATTCATAGAATCCATATCACTTCAAGTGAATGAACAAACACCAGATATTCAATTATTGACCATTAGTGTTAGAAGATGTGTTACATTTATCAACTCTAAGAAGAATTTATTCCTCAAATATTTTAGTGATGGAGATTTATCAAACACATCTGTTAATCCTGAAGATGAAATTGAAAATAGAATTAACGACAGAAATATGTCAGCTCTGTTAACATCCCTTTCATATTTATTACAATATGGAAATGATCCTTCACTTAAACAACTTAGACATGAAATTCGTTTTGCAATTTTAAGAATTCAAGGACAACACAATGATACATCAGATTTTTCAATGATTGATAATTTAGCACCATATCCTAAAGGATTTATTGGATTGAAAGGTGCAGGTGAAACTTATTCACTTATTGTTCCAAGTATGAGTGATAATTGCCATCCATTTATTTTCTCACCTGTATTATCTTCTATTTATATGATTGGTGCTGTTTCTGTATTGACAGCTATCAGTGCTAATTTACCTGCCACTCTCAAATTCCAAAAAACCTGTAATGATTGCATAACTTATTTCCTCAATCAAATTCACACCGGATTTGATAACTTCCAAGAACCATCATTCTTGTGGTGTGCACAATTTTTGAAAGATCAAACAAAGGATGTACAACAAGCTGCTAGATCAGTAATGTACAGTGTACTTCAAAGAATGGAACCTGTTCAACACAAACTTTTAGCTGAAAAACTTGCAAACATGATCATCGAAAGTTCTAACAAGACTTCATCAAAGCAAATTAATACCCAAAGACAAAACTTTGTTGTTGCCCTCGCCTTGTTGGCATACAGAGTTCCAAGAGCTGTTGATGGAAGAATTGCCACTCTGACAGCAATGGAATTGATTGATATTTTAGAGAAGGGAGGTCCACAACATAGTACAGCAATTACTTTGTTGGGTGATGCTTATTCAATTTGGAAGTTTTATATTCCTGATCCAATGGGATTCTGTAGACAACTTTTCCAAATTTCCTTACCAGCCCTTACTTCACAAGTACCTTCTTCTAATAGTTCAGCTGCTGAGATTAGTCAACTTGCTATTGACTCACTCCAAGCATTTGTTAACATGGCAAGTGCAGATACTCCTCTCTATATCGATTTTATTACGAATATCATTTCAAATGCTCAACAAACAAGTACAACCACACTCAATGCAGCAATTAGTTCTCTATTCCCAGTCATGCAAAGACATCCAAAATGTTTAATGGATCATTTAGTTGTATTGACATCTTTATTATTGAAAGTTTTGGATCCTCATTTCCCTGCTATTAGAGATATTTGTATGGCCAACTCGACAAATATTCTTCGTTTCATGGTTGAAATTTATCCAATGGTTTCATTCCATCAAGAAAAACAAAAGTTAGCTGTTGGTTCAATTAATGATGGTACAGTTTGTATTTATGATATGCGTACAGCAAGTAAATGGCAACTATTTGAAGCTCACCAGAAACAACCTCAAAAGCAGAGTCAAAAAGGTCAACCTTCTGCTTCACTTGATGCTTTGAGTTTTTCACCAAATGGTCAATATTTGTGTTCTTTCAGTGCAGCTGAAAAGACATGTAAGGTTTGGAATACAGATGCTGGAAGTGGAGGAACTATTTTACAATTATTAGGTGTCACTAATAGAAATGTCAAGACATTTGAAATTGATCCAAATTATGTAAGATCACCTTTGAAACCAATGGAAATTTTAAAGTTTGTTAGATTTGAATGGGACAATAATAAGATGTTCTCATTAAAGCCAGGAAAGAATTTGAACAAGGTAACCTTTAGACTATAAAACAAAAGTAACATTAAAATTTAATCAATACGTTTATTTCCTCTTTCTTTTCTTCTACTTGTTGTTAAGGTAATTTTAGCAACATTGGAAGCAAATTGCATGGCTTTTTTAGGTTGATTGGATTCAAGTTCTAAAATTTGAGAAACCATTTGTCTTAACAAAAGTTTATCCTTAGCTTGTTGGAATTTAGTTGAATTATTACAACCTTCCTTAATTTCAAACTCAATCTTATCTCTCAAATCAACAGTAAAACTGAGTGGAAGTGATTGAACAAATTCAATTAAATTCTCATCCAAGAATGGATGTCTACACTCTCTTCCATGTGATGCAATAATTCGATCATCCCTTCCCAAATTTCTATACCACAATCTATTTACATCCATATTCATTTCCTCATTTAAACCTTCCCATCCTTCATCTTTGAATCTTTTAAGATATCTTCGATAACCTCCAAGTAGTTCATCACTTCCAACTCCACACAATAAAACTCTACTTTGAGATTGTACCAATTGACTTGTATCACTCCCATATAAATACCCTCTTCCTCTACTAGCAAACCATAATACACATCCAATAGTATAATCTAATACTGTATTGTTTGGATAAATTAATTGTTTAATAGTATTGGCATATTCTTCAACTTGTGCTTTTAAAACATCAATTAATACTAAATTAAATCTATTTCCATATTTATCATTTAACATTTTAAATGCTTGAATAGATTGAATTCTATCATGTCCTTTTGATACTTGTTCCAATGAATTACCAAATGAAACATTTAATAATGTAATTTTTTCATTTAAATTATTTAATGAATTTAAATGTGAAAGTGAAGCTAAAACAAGTGAATCAATTCCACCAGAAAATAAAATTGCATAATTTGCTTCATTTTCAATATCATTTAAATTGTTTTCACTTCCATTTTTAGTATTTTCCAAATTTGTTAATTTTGGTCTTTGTAAAAAATTAATTCTTTTAGAAATTGAATCTGAAAAAATTCTATAAAAATCATTTAATACATTTTTATATTCTTCTGAATGTAAATCTTGTAATTCTTTAAATAAAATTCTTTCCTTATTAATAAAATTACTTTTATATTCATATTTCTTTAATTGGTTATTTTTTAATTGAAATATAAATGGTGGAATTGATTTAAATTCCATTCCAGGAATACTATTACTAGAAATAATCAACTTTCCATTAGAATAATAATAAACTAAACTTCTCTTTCCAATTTTGTCTCTTCCAAATAATAAATAATTAAATTTAATATTAAAATAAATAAATGCAAATGGTCCTTGAATATTATTAAATATAGAAATTATTTGTTTTTTATCATTAATATTATTATTTAATAATTCAAATAATAAATTTGTATCATTACCATTTTTTAATTCATTTTCCATATTTGGATAATTAAATATTTCACCATTCCATAATAATATTTGATCAGAATTTGAAATTGGTTGAATTGTAACATTTTCACCTCTCAATGATAAAACACTTGAAATAAATGTAAAATTATTAAATTTTAATTTTCCTAAATAGTCAGGTCCTCTTTTAATTATTAAATTTTCAATTAAACTTTCAATTTCATTCCAATTTTCATCATTATTATCATCATTACTATTTGATAATGATAATGATGAATTGCTCTTGTTATTCAATTCATCATTATTACCAACTCTATCTTCATCTTCATCATCGGAATGAATTAAATTATTATTATTTAATAATTCTAATGATGATGATGATAGAATACATTGTGAATCATAAAATCCAATACCACACATTTTTTTTTATTATTAAAAAAATTACAAAACATATCAACACTTTTTAATAACTTTTAATTTACATTTTTACAATAAATATACTTTACAAAAAAAGAAACTTTAAATGTTTTTTTATTGTTGACATGATTTTTTAATATAATCAATGTAATTAATTAAATTTTCCAAAGTTTCATCAATATATTCTAACAATTCTTCATCATTTGTTTCTGTTAATAATTTATTTTTAACTACACCTTCCAAACATGGTAATAAATTTAATAATTCCTTTTCAATTCCCTTTTCATCTGCATAAACATCAAAAATTCCATTTAATAATTCTAATAAAATTGGTAAATCTTTACATTGATTAATTGATTCTATAAATAAATTTAAAATTTTCTTTTTAAATTGATTAATTTGTCCGAATTGAATTAACAAATTTGGATAATTTGATAAATTAAAATTATTTAAAATATATTCAATAATTTCAATATTATCAATTTTTTCATTAATAATATTTAATAATTCTAAAATTAAAATTTCATTTGTTTTTAATAATTTAATTAAAATTTCAAAAATTTCTTTTGAATTATAAATTTCATTATTAATTACATAATGAATTAAAATTTCTAAATTTAGAGATAAATTTTCTGAATTTTTAATATCATTTAAAATATTATCAATTTTTTCATAATTTTTCAAATTAATTGAAATTCCATTTATAAAAGTATTAATAATTCCATTTTCGGATAAATCAGATAAATCACCAAATACGTTAGTTTCAATTTCCTTTGTAATTAAATAAATAATTTTTAAAACTTTTTCTTTATATTGATTTTTTAAAATATTTAAAATATTTAAATCTAAATTATTTAAAATTATTTCTGTAAATTGTGGAATTAATTGAATTAAAAATTCTAAAATTGTATTTATAATATTTTCAATACTTGTTTTATCTTTATGATCATAAATCATTGTAGGATGTAAATTATTATCACTTGTTTGTAAATAATTAATTGATTTAAATAATTGTTTAATTAATTCACTTTCCATATTTGTAAAAATACTTTCATCAACAAGATTTAAATTTCTCAAAGCTTTTGTACTTTCTAAAATAATTGGATTATGTTTTTCAATTGTTAATAATTCAATTAATCGTTCAATAGCTTTATGATTTTTTAACATTTTAATTGAATCTTGTTGATTATTTTCATCTTCTAAAATTGTTTGAATAGTTTCACAAGCTTGTTCAATACTTAGAAAGGATTTGGAAAATAATAATTGTATAATTTTAGGTTCATTCTTTTTATTTGGTGGTTCTTCCAATATTGTTTCTTCTCCTTCGTGTATGGAGACTAGAATATTTTCTCCATCATTTTCTCCACTGTTAGTAGTTGAAGTAGTAGTTGATGTATTATTATTTTGTTTTTTACGTTTTCCCATTTTTTTAAAACAATTTTTCTTCGGAGGCAGATGCAAATTGTTGTTGAGGTTGTTGTTGTTGGGATGCAGCATTGGAATTACTAGTGGATTGACTCTTAATCTTTGCCATTACAACTAAAAGTTCATTTGGATGCAAGTACTTTTTGATGACACTTGTTTCCAATTCTTCTAAAATGGTTGCAATAATTAAAAGTCTTTCTTTTCGTTGTCTGAGAGCATTATCAATTAACTTGACAATATTCTTATTAATATTCAATACAAGTAATTTGAGTTTTTCCTTAGCAATGAGAATGGTATCCTTACTTGAAAGTGGATCTAATGGACGAATTGTAACCTTTCCATAAATCATCTTTTTAACATCAATACTATCAGCAAATCCATCCAATCCATGTGTTTCTGAAATATAATCAGATACAATAGGTTTTGGGAATAAAACTTCTGTTCTAAACTTGCTTAGGAATATCAAATTCTTAAAATCTCTTTCAGCATCTCGTTTCATAATTCTAACAATTTCCTTGATTAATATTTTACATTCTTCTAGAGTAAAGAGTTGATCAGTTTTGATACGGAAAATTAAATCCTTTCTAGCTTCACTGAGAGTAAATCCAACAAGCTTTCCTTCATCAACTTTCCAAATCTTGACACTTTCTTGTTCTTCCATATTGGCTTTACCAGATTCGAGTTCTTCCAATTCCTTTTTAACTCGTTCTCTTTCTTCCTTTTCTGCTTCAATTCGTTTGAGTTCTTCCATCTTTTTCATTTGAACTTCTCTCAACTTGTTAAGTTTGGCTTGTTCCTTAAGGATAACAGCTTCACGTTCTCTCTTTTCCCTAGCAATTTTTTCTTCTTCTTGTCTTTTGATTTCTTCAATTCTTCTCTTTTCAGCTTCTTCCTTTTCAATACGTTCTCTCTCTATACGAAGTTTTTCTTCTTCTTCTCTTCTCTTTCTTTCAATTTCTTCTCTATGTTTTTCAAAGTAAATTCTTTCTTCTTCTTCCTTTTTGAGTCTTCTCATAGTTGCAACTTCCTTAATAGCTTTGAGTTTTCTAAAGGATGCTTGAATTGTTATCACATATTGAACGAGCTTTTCATTTCTCAATGATTCCAAATCAGAGTAAGCATAGTGTCGAAGGAATACTGTTGATTTACCAATTTGTGCTTTAACTTTATCAAACTTGACTGATTTGATAATTTCTTCGCATGATACTCTCATTTCTTCTTTGGTAGATCCTTTTTGTTGGGCTGGTGGGAGAAGTATCTTGAATTTGTGATAGAATTGATCAAAAGGCATTCTTACACTGTAACCTTCTCTTCTGATTTTAACAGTTTCCAAAACACCAGATGATCTCAATTGATTCATAACTTCAGTAACACTGAACATGTTTGGTTTCTTAGCAGGGTGAGGCTTAAGACATCTAATATAGTGAGGCCTAGTAGAATTAATAGTGGTTAATAAATTGTTAAGTTGTTTTCTGAATGATTCACCAACAGTGTCTTTAGCATTACCAGTATCTTCCAAAAGGTCCTTAATAAAATTACAAGTACTTGTCTTGGTTAATTTGAACAAGTCTCCATTGAGAGTATCCTTATTCTTTTCAATCCACCCAGTAACATTATATGATACATCACCTGCATAGTGTCTAACAATAAAATCTTCCTTTTTCAATGGAGAAGCATCAAAGAATCCTGTCTTTTTCAAATAGGCCTTTTTGAGTTTTTCCAAAAAGTCGATATCTGTAGAGCTAGATTTACAACAATCAGTTAAAGAATTGACAACACCCTTTTGAATCAATTCAATACATTCTTGATTATCATTAAATGTAACTGATGTAACTTCAATACCTTCTTCTCTACATTCATCCACATCTTTCTTAAAAGTGTAATTATTATAAACTCCTTGAAGTGCTTCATTGGCAAAATTGATACACAATTGTTCGAAACTATTCTTTTCAAAAGCTTCAAAACCATAAATATCCAACAATCCAATAAAGTTATCAACCTTATGTTGCTTTGATGAATCGAGATTTTCGTTAATTTTCTTAATAATCCAGTTAAATACAGCATCATATAACGCCTTTGAAAAAGCATCTCTTGCATCACATGCCTTAGCAGGTACTAAACCTTTCAAAATCAAGTCCTTTCCTGCAGAGACATACATTGTTGTAAGAGCCTTTTCAAGACCAACTTGATCAACTCTTAAAAGTTCTGCAACATTCTTTAAAGTTTGCTTGTTTTCAACTTCAGATCCATCACCTCTAAGATTAAATTTCAAATTTTGCATATGTAATACAGCTGCTGTAATTCGGAAGATGGCATCTTGTTCAGTTTGAGAAATACCCACAATATTCATGGCCTTTATAACTTCTGCATATTCTTTTCCGTCATCCACACCATTGACTGTAAAACATTTACCTTGATTAATGCAAGAATAATCTTCAGCCTTTGATAAATATAATTCCTTTCTTCTCTTTGCATCAGCTCCGGCCAATAATTGATAGAAAATGTGATATCCTCTTTCTCCTAGTGGTTGTGATATTACTCTTGATTTTTCCAATAGATAATTATACATATAGGCTCCTAAAATTACACCTTCCTTGTCGAATTGCATAATAATAAATTTACCAAATCTCGATGAATTGTCATTACGTTGAGTTTTAGCATTACCAAAAGCTTCTAGAATTGGAGAACATTCTTGTATCTTGATAGCAATACCCGAAGCATTTTCTCTAATTTTTTCATCAGTTGTTATTGAACATGATAATTTAGATAGATATTTGATGACTGTCTTACAGCCTTCAGTTTTACCTGCACCAGATTCACCACTAATAAGAATGGATTGATTTTGTTTTGTTTCCTTCATGATTCGATAGGCATTATCAGCAATACTCCAAGCATGTGGAAGAAGATTTGAATTCTTTCCCTTATTACAATACAAGTCCATCTTATCATCTTGAACATAGGGAATTGTCCATTTGAAAGGATTCATTGCTATAGCTAAAACTCCTCCAATCAATGTATAAATTACATCCTTTTTATATCTATTTCTTAAACAATTTAGAAGAGTCACTTCATGAAGTTCTGTCATTGATAACAAATCATCATGATCAAGTTTATCCAAGTCATTTGTGTATTTAAATAATTGATCCTCATTAACATTTATAGGGTTCTTAATATTGGTGTACATATAAAATTACTACCATTAGATAATGATGATTCCAACTTACCTCATTAGCTAAAGAGTCGTTAAGGCTCGCAACTGGTTTTATTGAATAGGCTCCCTTTTTGTTATTCTTATCGGCTGCATCAACTTTACCGACTATCCATGACTCTGTTGGATGATTAACGTACACTGTCTCCCCAACCTTAAATAAGCCTGAAAATTGTGCATACATTTTTTTCTTTTGAAATATGTTAACGTTACAGTAATTTTGATAATAGCACAGCTTCTCACAACAACTTCATTAAGGGTACTCTACTGAACAGAGTTTTTGTGTTTGTGTTCGAAGGTCAGATGGTCGAGTGGTCTAAGACGACACGTTAAGGTAAAACTAATATTAATACCGTGTTCCGCAAGGGCGTGGGTTCAAATCCCACTCTGATCAATTTTTTCAAACAGCCATTGTCTGTTTATGGAAATTAGGTTTGACATGTTCACACAACTTTTGATCCGATAACTTTCAGTTCTTCTTCATGGTGATTCGCTTTATTGCTTCAGTAACATTTGTATTATTCGAATAGATCACTTATTCGGATATTTATTCAAATATATTTCATAATTCTGTGAAATACAACCAAAGTGTTAATAACATTAAAGCTCACAGAAGAATTTGAAAAAAACAAGCCACCCAAACAGAAACTACAGTTTTTATTCTTTTTACAATCATCATTTTTCAACTTCACCAATTTAGATAAAGTTTCAGATATGTAAATGGAATTCTCAAAAAAATGGCCTTTTCGCATTAAGAGATGTTTACTGAAAAGACACCTATTGGAAGGTTACTAGTATGTGATTAAGGATTTCTCTATTGGAACAACGATTCTGAATCCATTTCATATCCTTCCCACCGTTGTTCTTACCGACACTATACTGCATCATTATTACAATATTATTATTCTAAACAATAATCACATTATGATATTGATAATCAAATTGAACCATTCATAATTCTCTCAATAATATTTGACCGTTTAAAAGTGGTAGTGTTCATTAACAAAAATGATTCATCAACAACTGAACTGTAAACCCAGTAGTAAATGAACATCACCAGAGTAAATTGTATCAAAAGGTATAACAAGCTAGTATTCTCCAATAAACCTCAAAATAATTCTAGATTCCACAACTTCAACCTTGCCATTTTACGTATCGATTTCCTCAATTGATAAAAACAAAAGACTTTTGGGTCTAATTGGTAAGCCGTCATGAAAGCCTTTTTAATTCAAAAATGCAACGTCAAAACCCATCAGATTCAAAAATGGAGGCGAGTGAACGTTTATTGCAACAGGCAATTGTTTATTGTCTTTTTGGCGCCCAATCACTGATGTGAACGCTCTATGGAAAATTTCTGCTTTTCTTAAACTGCGAGCGAGATTTTGTACAGATAACACTTTCTCGTATATGCTTGCTCGTAACTCAACAACGATATTCATGATTGTGCTTCTGCTGCACCACCTCTTAATATTGATGCGCACCCACAATTGGACTGAATGTGTACTTGTCATACTGCTGTCAGTAACACTTTCTTTAAAAAAAAATTGTTGAAAACACAACAGACACTTTCTTGTGGGACTATTCGGTTGCAACAACAATAATTTCTTTAAACACAATAACAACAATATAAACACACGTGAGAAAGTCCCTACTACTAATATCACACACTCCTCTCTAACGAAACAAAAAACACACGATAAAACTTTATACGAAACAAAGGCTAGAAAATGGGTTGTATGGGAAGTAAACAAGGAAATAATTCAAACACAAGACCAGTTGTTAAGAATAATGACTGTAAATTGTTATTGTTGGGCGCTGGTGAATCTGGTAAATCAACACTTTTCAAGGTATGTTTATTGTGAAAGCTCTAGACTAAACGTTATACGAAATCATCTATTATGTGTACTCGAACCTTCCATCATCTTCATCCCTCTCATGAACTTTATATTTCTACTACACTGCGTTTATGTACTATTACATTCCACATTCCACTTTCCACTTATTCTACACATATATAACATACGAAACTAAACTAAACTAGCAATTTAAATTATTAAAAGAAGGTTCCTATACAAGTGAAGAAAGAAACATATTTGCCAGTACAATCAAGGGTAACGTTGTTCGTGCCATGATTTCCATGGTTGAAGCCTGTGATGAATTAGGTGAAGATATTGAAAAGGAGGAAAACAAACAATTTGCACAAGAATTAATTCAATTAGATGATGAAAATGCTCTCCTCAATGTTGATGCCTTCTACAATGCAGAATTGGTTCAGAAATTAAAGAACTTGTGGAATGACACTGGTATTCAAAATGTTTTACAACGTAGAGATGAATATCAATTATTGGATTCAACTGAATACTTTTATGAAAGAATTGATGATATTAGTGCTAAGGGTTATGTTCCAACTGATAGAGATATTTTAATGTGTAGAACAAAGACAACTGGTGTTGTTGAATTGAAATTGTATGTTTTTTTATTATTATTATATTAATATTAATGTTGACACATTTGACATTGTTTATTATCATTATTTATATCATCATTATCATATTATTATTTATATCATGATATGATAAATAGTGAACAAGATGGTACTAAGGTTTCACTTATTGACGTTGGTGGTCAAAGAAATGAACGTAAAAAGTGGATTCACTGCTTTGAAAATGTCACTGCCATTTGTAAGTTTATACTATTTCACATAATATTCACACACAAATATCATCCTAACTTGGTTATCATGTGATATTATTATCATGATAATAGTATTCGTTGCTTCCATGTCAGAATTTGATCAAAAATGTTATGAAGACGACAGTACAAGTAGAATTCAAGAATCACTTTTATTATTTGATGAAATTGTTAACAGTAGATACTTTATTGATACACCAGTCATCTTCTTCTTGAATAAGAAGGATATTTTCCAAAAGAAGATTGCCACTAAGAAACTCGCAGATTTCTTCCCAGATTATCAAGGACCAGCTCATGATTTTGATGCTTGTTCTAAATATATGCTCCAAAAGTTTACTTCAAGAATTAATGATGCCAACAGAGAATTCTATCCATATATTACCTGTGCCACAGATACTGATAATGTGAAGAACATTTTCGATACTGTTAAAAAGATTGTTATTAAGAAATAAGTCAAGCAACAAAACAATTTGATGATTCTATATTTGATTCAATCGAATATGATCAATCATCAAATAGTACTATCTCTTTTCACACAGCAATGTTGCAATTCTAATTATCATCACACAAATTTTGTCTCTCTCCGATTTAAACTCTTGTACACTAGTAAACAACAAACGATTAAATTATAATTATCAGTTGTGTATTTATTTGAATGTTGAATAGTATATTGGTTCTTACTGTGTGGTATGAATATGATTGTAACTGAACGAATGTCTATTAAAACTCTTGGTAAACCAACAGGCTAAAATTACAAGGAAATATATAGTTATAACTGCTTTGAATAGAGATTGTTAATGTTTCCTTTTAGAACACCCTCAAATAGAGCCCAACAAGTGGGTTTTTGTGAACGCTCATCTGTACTGCTACCAATAACTGTAGTTGTTCTTACAATTTCATGATAACTCTCCTCCAATTCTTTCATCAATTCTAATGGATTCAACTCTGACAATACCAAATCTACAAATAATTGCTCTGTCAAATCTCTTACTTTCTTCTCCTCATCCAACATTCCAATAATTAGAATTTCCCTTAAAACATGGCAAACCAATGTTGAATGATTAGAATCATTGGAAATCTTCTTTGTACGAACTATTCTTGTGAGTTTCAATGATTTGTTAGAAACGATTGGTTCAGAATACTCATCTTGATGTTTCATTTGTTCTAAAAGTGATTGATTGAATCTGAAAATTCCCATCTCTGTAATCTTTTCAAAAACTTTAACTCTAATTCTCTTTTCTTTATCTCTTGATTTAATATGTAACATGTTTGAGAGAATTAGTAAATTGTGTTGCTGATTATTATTGTTGTCATCTCCTTGTTGAGGTAATAAATCGAAAATCAACAACCATAAATCAAAAGAGACCTTCCTAACACTTTGATTTGGATCAAATTTCAAAACATGTGATGTTTGGTTGAGGATTCTATTAATTGGCACAATATTCGCTTGATTATTTGATTGCTGATTAATTCTACGTTTGTAAAATTTAGATTCAACAATTTTCTGAATCATTTCCAATGCTGTTATTCTACAATCTGCATTCTTATTAGTGAATAGTACCTTATCAAACATTAATTCAACAAATGATTTGACAATTGAACTGTTATGATCTTCAATATTATCAATATCATCAATTAATAAATTGTAATACATTATAATTGCTTGATTTTTTGCCTCAATTTCCTCAGTTGTATTTGTAATTATTTCTTTCAATGATTGAAGAATGAATTTACTAAAATCTTCTTCAGTGGCTTCTTCATCTGTTGAGGATGTTGTTTTAGATTTCATTAGAGATTGAATTAATTCATTCATATAAATATTAAATGTTGAATGAAATTGATTAGTTCTCTTCACTTTCATTACAATAAACAATCTCTTCAACAATTCAATTAAATGAGGTTTCATTAATGAACTATCATGTTTCCACAATTTTCTAAACCAATACTTTGCAATATTCATATGAGTTGAATGAAATCCAATTCCATTACCATTATTATTCAATGATTTAAATATAACATTTTGAATTGAATGAATTAAATGTTTAAACACAATTTGATAACCAAGTGAAGAGAGTTGATGTTGAATTTCATTCTCAACACTTGTTACACAAATCCAATTAAATATTCTATTTAGAAATTGTTTCATCAATTCACTGGAGTGTTCAACCTTAATATTGGAGAATCGTTGTGGATTCATTAAAGTTAAAGTTTCTAAAAAGTTTTCATCATAACTAAACATGATCATAAAACAAACTAATTCATCATATAAACCAAAGTAGGAAGCAATTTCTGAATTAATTATAATAGAATTGTCTTCATCCAAATTATTATTCATAGTTTCATCATTATCATCATCCTTATTAGAAACTAAACTATTCTTCAATATACTACTATTCGGATACATGAATATTTCAAATAATACATAAATAGTCAATTTACAATTTGATATTAATCTATTCAATATTGATTCTTTAGAAATCTTTTCTTTTGATGATAAATTATGAATAAATCCACAAATTAATTTAATGCAAGGCTTGATCACCTTTTCAATTTTATCTTTAAGTGATAAATTATCATTCTCATCATCATTTTCATCACCACCATATAATATAGATAGGAATCGAGAGGCTTGTTGTCGTTGTTGTTCTTGATAAAAGTCTTTTGATTGATTTAAAGTCTTGGAAATATTCCTCAAATCAGCCTTGATTGCATTCGATATAAATAATTGAAATTCAACTATTATATGATTAGTACTACCCTTGTCACTGCTAATTGAATGTTTCATACTTTGAGAATGTGAATTTTCTTATTGTTGTTGTTGACTGTTTTTTTTTAAAGTTGTTTGTGTATAAATAGTTTAAGGCTTTGAGAATTTTGTCTTGTTTTGATTGGAAATTGTAATGATACAATATTATATATGGATATTAATTTTGAAATTATTTAATAATTTTATTAAAACAAAAATCTTCTATCAAGTAATGTTTTTGAGATTAAGTTTTTCCTTACAAAATTACGTCTCAACCACAAAAATCCTCTATTAATAACATAAACAATCATTAGTATTCCAAAAACTGATTCCCAGAAAATGTTCAGAATGGCAAACAAGAGAATATTGAAAAAGATCATTTTCCATTCAGTTCCTCTCAACATTACCCTAAAGAAGGAATAGTTTTGGAAAAAATGTTCATAGTCATCCTTAAAGAAAAATTCTCTATCGTGTTGATAAATAAAATCTGGAGTAAATCCTAATCTGTAGGAAAGTTGCTTGTCCAAAATTTGTCCTTGTTTGATTTTTACATCAGTCACAACTCTCTTGAAATATTCATTGATTGTATTGTAACCATCAATAAATGCTGCTGGAATGTATCTACTCTTTTGGCCTACATTAAAGTTGAAAATATCACTAATTCTAAAATCACCTTGTAGAGGAGAATTGAGAAGAGGATTGTTGATTTGGTTTCTCTCTCTCATTGTCTGTTGGATGGGTTGTTCAATTGGAGGATTAAGAGTGACAGGATTTGTTGGATTAGGTTGTTGGGTTTCATGATTTTGAGGATTTGGAGGAAATTGGTTATTATTATTGAAAGTATTAACTTGGGGCATGTTTGGTCTTTGATTTGAAACACCCCTCTGGTTTCCTACTGCTCTTCTTAAAAAACCATTCTTTGCTTCCTCCTCCTGAATTGGAATGAGAAGGAAGTTATCATAGTTTTCTCTGACAGACCTTGAAATGTACAAATCAAATGTTAATACAACATTTCTTTTCTGTTCACTCGAGGTTTGAAGCAATCCTCTCTTTGGAAAGAAATCATTACTCTCAAGAGAAAGGCCCTCATAAAACTCTTTCATATTAGAATCTGCAAAACGGAATATACTCTCACCATGAATATAACATCCTGAATGTAATTCGTCAAGTATTACAATACTGATATTGGCAATTGAGCATGTATCAATGAGTGAAGTGATTGGATTTCTAGTAAATCTGTACAATACAAATTTGAAAAACAAATATTGCAGCAATGATATGGACAAGTAGAACCACATCAAGAGTGCAAGTCTCAAAATAGGATGACTAGGATAATTTGTAAGAATCTTATTCTCCAATGGTGATGTAGATGCTAATTGAATTACATTACCTCCATCTAAAATAAGAAGAACCAGAATCAATGTGAATTCCAAACTAGTCCATGTTAATTCTTGGAGTTTCTCCCATTCTTTAGCAATGAAATAGCTTCTCCATATACTGACTGATGAATAAGATCCTTCAGCTCTTCCTCCAACTCCAACTACTTTTCCTTTTGACTTTTCCCAATCCATAAAGAAAATATCATAACTGCAATGCTTATAAAACTCATAACCTAAATCAAGGGTTTTACCCAATAGAGCTACAAAAACAATGACAAAGAAATACCACTTATCAGCTCCATCAAAATTTGGAAGCAAAATAAACACACTGTCTTGTAACTTGAAAAATAAATAGTATAGAGAGACAATTACAATAATTACAATAAATAAATAATTTGAAAAGTGGGCACAAAAAGTAAATATAAACTTTCCAAGAGTTGGAAAGTCTATTTGTGCTAATCTTCTTCTTGAGTATCTGTAGCTAGCAATGCAGGATGTCAATAGACTTCCTACTAGACCAATAATTGCAAACACTAAAACAATAATCCAAGGTGTTTGTTGAGATTGGATATAGGAGGCAGAGAATGAAATTGTTGGAGAGGTTATTGATTCAGTGTCAGAGGTTACAAATTTTGAAAGTGTTGAACTTTGTATCTTTCTTGATGTATACTTTAAGGTAAGTGTTGGTGGATAAATTTTTTCTGAAACTGATGGATTTAATGATACATAGAGCTGAGCACTCTCCAAAATTCTAACAACGGAAGGAGTTGTACCATCGGTAGTGACCCCAGCAAGGTTGTCGTACAAGAAGAACCTTCTGTAGAGAGTACTTGTACCAATATCAGCGAACGATGTCTTGTCATCTTTAAGAATTTGAACTGGAACTGGGTAGAGTATGCCACTGTCCAAAATATCTGAATTGAATGGTTAGTCTTTGAAACAAGACATATTACTTACAAAGTTCATAAAAGAAAGTAGATTGGGAATAAGGTAAGGAGAGGACATTGTAAAAACAATTTTTAACATAATTGTTTCCAAAATCTAAAAAACCAGATCCTTGAAAATTACTTGTTGGACATAGTTCTAATTGATTGGTCAACTCTTCAAAACCTAACCAATTTCCATAGACATTGAATTTGGAGAGATAAAACTGTAATCGTGATACTCTATCCTTCCTTCCACTCAATCCAACAGATTGAAGCAAATCAGTATTGTACAAATTTTCACTTGCTGTTCCAGTGTACTTTAACCATGGAAGGCCATTCTTCCAACCGCTGAAACCATTTACTCTGTCCTCAGTTAGTGTATTGAAAATGGAGTAATACATTTTACAAGCAGGAGTAGATTCATCATACAAGAGTAAGGTACACAGGTTTGCAAGCATTTGGCAAGCAGTGACATTTTGTAATGATTTACAATGAGCTCCAGCCTGATAAAAGTAATCATAAAATAACTTTGATCTCACAGATTCAGTTGACGGGGTATCTTGTCGACTATTTTCGAATACTTGGATAAAGGTTATTAAGGCAGATGAATCAATAGGATATTTGCTATTGATATCAAGGTAGGCATCTTTCAGAATGCACATATTAGACCACTAAACTCATGTTTTTATCATTTAAATATCTTTTTAAACTTACTAATTGATGTGAAGAAGGGCAAACACAGGAAGTTCCATCTGTACTTGCTTGCATCAGTGGATCAGGACAAGGGGAGCACAAATATCTATTCGAAGGATGAGGAATTGATTTTGAACCACATGAAATGCATTGTTTGGCACTTAGATAATTTCCACCTGCATCTATTTCAACTAATTTTGAAGTTCCATTGCATTTACAGTCTTTTAGAGTAGAGTCAAATCCCAAAGTTGAAGGTCCACATGTCATACAAATTGACCGATCTCTTGAAGATGCGAATGTACATTGCTCACAAGTCTTTGATGAAGTAGTAAAAGTGAGCTTATACCCTTCATTACAGTAACAATACAATCCATCCGTGGATACTTCATTAGTGGAACAATCCTTACAGAACATTGATGATGAATCAAAAAACTGAGAGCTTTTTGAACAAGTGGAATTACTCAGTGTTATCGATGATCGTACGGAACTTGTATGAAATATTAATATTACTATTAAAATTATTATTGAGATTGAATGTTTAAAGGTTGTAGTAGTGTGATTTCCTTCCGAAAAGGTCACAAAGCCAAACCATTTTTGTTGAGTGTTGTTGTGTAAGGCCATTTTTTTTGGTGGTTGTTGTATGTAAATTTGTTGGCGCCAAATTTACATACAACAAAAACCAAGCCTTCTCGTCTAACAAGCCTTCTCATGTTCATTCATTTGTTCCAGCCTACTTCTTGTGAAAAGGAAATTCAAATAAATTTATTTATTGGAATATTATTTTACATTGTTTGGGAATTTCCAAGTTTAAACATCTTTGGAAGCTTAAATTTTAGAATATCAACTTGATCTTTTAAATCCTTGTTTTGAGCATTGACCTTGTCCAATTCAAATTCCATACTATTAATGATTTTCTGTTGACTGAGAAAATTTTCCTCCATTTTCTTATTAGCTTCCCTTAGAATGGATATAATCTCATAACTGGACTGCATTTCTTTTTTAACCTTTGCTAACTGTTGATTATGCCTTTGTTTTTGTTTTGAAGATTCTTCATTCTGATCACTAACAGTTCGTTTATACAATTCCACTTGATCCCTCAATTGTTCTGTTAGTTGGTTCACTTTTGATTGGTAATCATTGATAGTTTGTTGATGGTTAACTTGTTCTTCTCCTAGTTTTTCCTTATAGTGTTGTAACTCTCTTTTTAGAACCATATTTTCTGATAAAAGAGCACTTTCCTTTTCTTGGAATTGAGTGGTCATTTGATGTTTCATTTCTAAAAATTCTTTCTGATTCTTTTTATAATCAGCAGTCAACTTATCCACTAATAATTCCAACCTCTCGTTATCTTTTGCTGTCTTTTCTCTCTGCATTGAATCTCCACTCGAGTTTTTAGTGAGTTCTTGTACTTTTTTCTTTTCTTCTGCAATTACTCGTAATAATTCTTCTTGCATTCTATTCATTTCATCGTTTTCTTGTGTTTTTTGACCCAGTTGAGATTCAAAATTTTGGACAAGGGAAGTTAGCCTCTGGTTTTCAGAATTAAGCTGTTGATTTTGTCTTTGAAAAGCAAGCATTTGCCTCAAATTGGCTTCCAGAGTTTCAACCTTTTCAATTAATTTTTTAGACTGGCTATCTTGTTCGTGAATAGTTTTTCTCAACATTTCTCTTTCATTTTCGAGTGCAATATTCTTATTTCTCAAATCTAAATTTTGATTTTCAATTTCTTGCAAATTTTCATCTTGATTCTTTTTTGAGATTTGAGAATGTTGATGTTCATCATTTAATTTATCTATTTGAGTTTGTTGGTTTTCCGATCTCCTCATCCACTCATCAAGTCTTTGTTCAAGTTCAACTCTATCTTTTTCCATTGTTGATAATTGCTCATCTCGAATTGCCATCTCTTTTTTTAATCGAGCAATAGTTGTTTTGCTAGAAACAAGATCCATGAGGGTTTGCCCCTGTTGATCGTCAAGTTTAAGCTCATTTGCTTTCCTTTGTATCAAATCCAACATGATTTTGTTTGAATTTTCTTGCTCTGATGAAACTTGATGTTGAAGAAGTCTCTTTTCATTTTCCAATCTTTCAATTTTCTTTTCATAGGCTGAAGTAACTAGAGATATTGATTTTGTGGGAGTAGTAGTTCTATGAGCTGTTGATGGTCTTGAAGAGGTCTTTTTCTGAGGTGAAGAAGGAGCAGATGAAGACACAAAGGTAGAAGTTTGTACCGATGAAGACCCTCCTCCATGTAACAACAAACTGTTGTTGGTAGAATCGGTCTCACCATCGGAAGGTGGGTAGAAGAGTTTTTCCTTACTCTTTACCATATTTTGTATTCGTTGTCTGGTCTCAAAAGAGTTGGTTCTATTCATCATCGTTATTAAACAACATAGAGAACCTTACTGTAGAAGTTGTGATGAGACTAGTTGTGTTGGTGGTGATTTACAGTTTTTTTAAAGATGGAAAAACGGTGAGTGATGCTGAAATACTTTTAAAATAGGCGCCAAATAATTAACCAAGAGTATTCTTATCCCAAGTGCAAAACTTGCAGAATTTATAGGAAGTATCGGCTAAAAAGAAAGAAAGGCGACTGAGGGAATTGAACCCTCGACCCTCAGTTTACAAGACTGATGCACTGCCACTGTGCTAAGCCGCCTTACATCAATTCTGTTATATCCCTGAATCGTATTTTTCGTTATTTTTACATGGCTATTTTACGGGTGCGCACTAATAGGAAAATGAATAGTTCTTGTCCATACTCGAACTCGACTATAAAAAAAAATTCAATTAAAAAAACGCAAAAAACACTTCATTACTCTCTCAACCGATTATTAACTCCTGTCACCATAATACTCCACCACCACATCCTCATCTATAATACTCCCTCATAAATGTTACCCTTCGGAGTTAAATATAAAGCAAAACATGCCTTTTCTTCCGATGAAGATGATGATGACAATGAAGAAGAAACAAGCCTTGTTACCAATTTAAATAACAAATCATCACATAGTATTGATCAATTATTAATTAAAAATAAAAAGAGAAAAGAAAAGGAAAAGGAATATGAAAAGGAGCAAGTTGTTAAAAAAAAGAAACAAAAAATTGAAAGGTAAATTTTAATATTTAAATATATTTAATATTTAATATTACTATATAAAGAGAATTGGATACTATTAAAGAATTAAAAGATAGAATTGAAATGTTTGAAGAACAAACAGAATCAAATATAGAGAATGATGAATGGGAAGAACAAGTCATTCCACAAGATGAACCAAATATAGATGAACCAAATATGGAAAGTGAAGAATATATTCAATTTACTATAAATAATGAAGAAAATGAAAATGACGAACATGAAACTAAAAAAAGAAAAAAAATAATTAGAAAAACTAAAAAAGAACAATTATTAAATTGTTCAATTAATTTTGTAGAATTATTAATTTATTTTAATTATGAATTTAAATTTTTAGAAATTATTAAAAATGAAATATTACAAGGTACTATATTAAGTATATTAGAAGAATTAAAATTAATTGATAATAGATCTATTGATCATTTATTAGATACTATATATAAAAAATTTAAAATTAAAAAATTTAAAAATGTAAATTTATTTGAAATTTTAGAAAATTTTGAAAATGTAATTTTTAACATTTCTAAAAAAAATATTGAAAATATATTTGAATTAAATTTATTAATTTTAATTACATTAATTTATAATAATTATAATATTAGATATTGTACAAAAATAGAAATATTAGAAAAGAAAGAATTTAAATTTAATAATTGGATTGAAATTCAATATGAAAATCCAAATTCAACAAGTGAAAATATTTTTAAAAAATTAATTTTAAAAAATAAATCTTTTAAAGTAGAAAAAATTAAAATTGAAAATTTAGAAAAATATTTTAAAAAATTAGATAAAAAAACAAATCAAATTCCAATTATAGTATTTTCATTTGATATTTTAAAAGATTTTAATTTTATTATTAGAAATACAACAAGTAAATATTTAATTTGTAAATATCCAAATACTTTAATTGGAAAGGAAAATTATTTAAGAATTGAAACTTTAATGAATAATTTAATTTTTGAATTTAATGAAAATTTAATTAATTTAAAAAATCCTAATTATTTATTAAAAAATAATAATTTAAATAATATTATTACAAATATGGAAAATAATAATAATATTAAAAATATAAATATAAATAATAATGAAATTAAAAATAATGAAATTATTGATTTAGAAAATGAAGATTTAATTATACATGTATTAGATGATGATGAAGAACAAGATGTAATTATTAAAGATACTATAAATAGTAATTTAAAAAATACTACTACTAATAATAAAAATACTACTAATAATAAAAATAATAATAATACAAATAATAATAATAATATTAAAAAAGAACAAGATAAATTAATTATAAAAAATAATTCTGAATTAATATTAAATAATTCCATATATATAAATAATACATTTATAGAAATTGATGAAAAAATAATTAAAGAAATTAAAAATTTAATTTTAAAAGAAATACCAACATCAATACAAGAATTCCAAACACATCCAATTTATATAATTGATAAATTTATTACTAAATATGATACAATATATCCCAAAGATAGAGATTCTATAAATAAAATTAAAAATCATTCAATTTATTTAAGAGAATGGATAAAACCACTTCATACACGTGATAGATGGTTAAGAGATTATTTTAAAAAAGTAAAATTAAATGAAAAACCTTACAAAATAGTAAAATCTTCTAAATTTAGTAAAAATTCAGATTTAACAGAATTATTTGGTGAATGGCAAACAGAAGATTATCAAGTACCAATTATAAATGAAAATGATGAAATACCAAAATCAGATAAAGGATCATATGAATTATGGAATGATAAATTTTTACCAATTGGATGTTGCCATATTAGTACAAATAATGAACCTTTAAAAGGTTTAACAATTGTTGCTAGAAAATTAAAAATAGATTATTCTAGAGCAATGATTGGTTTTGAATTTAAACATAAACGTAGTATACCTATTTATGATGGTATTATTATACATTCTAAAAATGAACAATTACTTAGAATGGAATATTTAAAATATCAACAAGTTAAATTAGAAAAATTAATTAAAAAAAAGAATGAACGTTTTTTAAATAATTGGAAAAAATTAGTAAAAGGTTTATTAGCAAGAGAATATGTTAAAAATAAATATGCAAATAGAAAAGAACAAATTCATTTACATGATATCATTTCTATTAATAGTAATATTAATGAAAATGATAATAATGATAATGGAAATGAAAATGATGATAAAGAAGAGAATGAAGAAGAAGAGAATAAAGATTATATGAGTAGCAGTAGTAGTGATATTGATGAAGAAGATGAAGAAATAGAAATGAGTAGTAGTGATATTGATGAAATGAGCGATGATGAAGAAGAAGAAAAACCAAAAAAGAAAAAGAAAACCAAATCTTCAACAACACCACCACCTTCTAAAAAGAGTAAGAAGAAAAAGAATACACCACCATCTGCATCATCTTCAACATCAACAAGCACAGTTCAAAGAATGTTGGCAAGTGGAAAGATTGTTGAATTTGAACAAATTTAATTATTATTTATTAGTAGTACTACTAGTAGTATTGAATTGATTTTGTAATTGTTGTAATGTATTTTGTACTCTAATTAACCCAACCTATTTAAATTATATATAAATTGTAAATATTAAATAATAAAAAAACTTACAGATTTTTCACGTGCAATTTTAATCCATTGTGAAACCAATTGTAATCTTTCTTTAAATTCATTACTTTGTATATATGAATTATTATTTGAATCATTAAAATCATTTGAATCATTTGAATCATCATTTTGAAATACAAAAATAGGTTTTCTATAACCAAATGAAAATAAAATTGGTTGAATTGAACTTTGAACAAGTAATATTTTAGGATCAATTGATTGTTGTGAATTAATTAAACAATTAATTAAAGATTGTAAACATTCTAAATTATAATTTAATTCCTTTTCATTAATTTGTTTTGATTGTAAAATTTCAATAATTTTTAACCAATCTATAAATGGAATGTACATATATGGTTGATTCCATTTATCATTTAAATTTGTAATTTGTTTAATATTTTCAATATCATTTAATTTAATTGGATATTTATTATATTGAATATAATATAAATAGACATGTTGTATTATTAAATTTAATTCTATTTTTGTAAATGATATTTTACTTTCTATTAATTTATCATTATATACTATACTTGTTAATCCACTAAATGTTACCATTATGGAAATTGCTATTAATATTTCTATTAATGTAAAATTATTTTTAATATTTTTATTTTTAAATTTAATTTTTATTATTATTAAAATAAATATTATTAATATTATTATTTTTAATTTATTTAAATTATTTTTTAAATTATTATTATTATTATTAATATAATGAAATGTATTTTTAATATATTTATTATTTTTTATAATATTTAAATGTGATAATAAAATATTTAATCTTCTATTTTTAATATTATTATTATTATTATTACCATTTATATTATTAATAGATTTATAATAATTTAAATAAGTATTATTAATATTACTTAATGAATTTTTTATATCTTGTTTTAATTCTAATGGATGAATTAATATTTCATTATTATTATTAT